GTTCCCTGGCCTTTCCTGTCTCAACAAGCCTTGAAACAAAGATATCCTACTCGTCATTCATCTCGTTTTCTCTTCTCGGGCGGATTAAAGTGCACGCTGCGGCAGTAAACTGCCTCGAAGGGGTTCAACTCACACTTCTAAGAGAATGATTGGCGAGCAACTTCTCCATTGTGTACTACGTGCACTCCATGTTTTAAAGGGGTACTCCGGCATTTTCTTCATTGTCCCCGATTTGCCTAAGAACTTGCTAAGCACATCAACAAACATCGCTGAAATAGTAACCGAAATATCTGGCCGAAATAGCTTTTTTTTCGCAAAGTTACAGAATTTACAATTTTGGTCACCATTCTGTTTTTCAAAGTGGAAAGCTCTACCGGCAACATTGAAATTGAGACGTCATGGGAAGGCAAAGGTTCACTCTTAGGGCTGTAGACTTTGTTCACAAGTGATCACAAACAGTTTCATTGTGTCAAAAGAATGCTTTGGAAGGTCGCCCCAAATCCCATCCAGCAGCACGAAACAAATGCTCGGCATAGTTCATTTCTACACAGCCGCTCGAACCGTGAGCCTGTCACCCCGCGACGCAAGGACGTAACTAGAAGGGGTTCATGGAGCCCGGCCCCGCCCGGCCCGCCGCTGCCGCCCCCCGCCCCCAAAACAAAATCCTGGCTATGTTCCTGCGTGACGTCACGGCAATGAAAAGCACAAGTATATTTCAATCTTGGATTGGCATTATACACGACAGTGGTAGGAACATTACTTGTGTCGAGCTAGAGAAGCCATATTGGGGGCTACCCCAGCTACGTCCACACTGGCTTTCATGGCAGTTATGTGCGATGCAGACAGCTTTCACTATTTCAACCGAGTGCCTAGGCAAACAGAAGCAGCCACATAAGACAATCAGGAAAAGACGCCGAGTTGTACAGGCTAAGGAGGAAGGTCATAGTGCAGCGAGCTATCTAGTCCAGGCTATTCCTCTGAGAAATGCAGTCGGTGGAAATGTAGGTGAGTTATTCCCGCCATTAATTTAGGTAACTAATGCAAGCATTACACTATTTTGCATATTTCTCTACTGCAACGCTAGTCATCCGCAGCAGAAACAACGCCCCAAACTAAAAAGAATTCTCGTTACATTGTTAACACAGACATCAAGTCCGTAAGCGAGCTGGAGTTCATCAAAGCACAACCGAGAATCTCTCGGAAGTACTTGGTTCCTTTTCAGTAGTTATTGAATGAAAACACAGTGCAGTGGTGATTACCATCAGCACAGCCTTGCCACTGGCACTGCTGTCCCTTGGGTGGCACATGCACGACATGGCCTACAAGCCACATATATCCCTAAAAGAAAGCTGCATAGGATGCACTTACCGTGGCTAGCGTCGCCACCCAGCAAGCTTGCACAAACCCTCTGCATGGCACGCAGTGCTGTTCAGAACAGAGCGCCACTGGCTAGCCAGTTAATGCGAAGGCTTGTAGTGTCTTGCTGCTGCCTTGGCAAAGCTGCAAGTCACCTCTTTCACGCCTTGTGGTGCCCATCAGCTTCAAAAGAAACGGTGTTGAGTCGCGACCAGTAATATGCAAAACAAAAACGAGAACGGCTCGGTTATTAATAAGTTGTGTGCAGCAGAGGCACGGGTGCGAGGGCGTAGCTCCGCAGAATGTTCTTTTTGCACGGCTGCTCGTGCAAAAAGGGCGCTTTTGTGCTCGGGCTTGTGCCTTTTCTGCACACAACCTATGTTACAGAGTGTATAGCACGCCTTCGAGAGCACTCGCGTGCGGCGAGAAATCCATAATATAAGGAGTATTCACTGGGCGCCATATTTGTGGGTGCTGTTTAGAGCGCATGCCCAGAACGAGCCCACATTAATAGGCTGCTAAGACCGACAATCTTGAAGGTGCGGAATGCACGTTACAAAAGAACTGTGGAAGCTTGCCATCAGCACGCGCTCAGCAGTCGCGCACACAGCTATGGCCGCCAGTGAATACTTCCTATACAAGGTACGATCGCAGGAAACCTCGCAGGGGTGCAGGAAGCTGCAAGTGCACGGTGCACCAGAATGTGAAACTAGAGGTGGTGATAGAATTTCACAGTTTGAGAATATGACGTTACTTGGGTCAAAATATAGAAACGATAAACGTAACTGCCTTACCGGCTGATGATAAGGGCCACCGGAGCACGACCAACTATTTTTTGTGATCGGGGCATTCGATTGGACGCGGGTTGGTAAAGATTTGAAAAACACGAAAGAATAAAACATGTAGGGACGAAGACAGACAGCGCAGTTCTTTGTTGACATGAAATGTAAGATCAAGCACATTATTTTGTCGGATCAAATGGTTTTGTTGAATTAGGTTTAGCTCGCAAGTTAGCCGTTCTTCGGCGGGCTTTCAGCTTTCTGAGATGGTTGTTTTAATTGTGAACGCAGGCTCAAACAATGTAGGCAGCGGCGCCAAATAGATCTGAAACGAAGAAACAGCTCGGACGCGTGGAACGAACACACATAGAGATCACATCACAGGAAAACTCAAACCACTCACCTCTCGTTCGACGACGGTTCGTCAGGCACGATGTTTCCGATGTTTCTCCGGGCGTTGAGGAGACCGCGTCTGTTTCCGTGCTCCTATTGGTCGTGACGTCACCAAATTTCATCCAATAAAGTGCGCGCCGAAGTTTTCTCTAGTCGCCGGTTTCGGAGCTCGGGTGGAAAAAGCGCCGGAAAGTTGCCGGTGCTTGCCGGAGAACCACCACCCGAACGGTGCGCGCCGGCCGGAAACTGACCACGCGAACACTATTGCCGGTTTTCCGGCAAAATAAGTTGCCGACGATTGACCACGCGAATTCGCCATAAGCGAACGAAACAGCTTGCGAAAGGCGGCAAAAAGAAAAAAAAAAAAAAGACCCACCAAACTACGAGAAAACAAAAACAAAGGAGCTTTTTTTCTCTTTTTTTTTGCGCAGCGCAGTTTGGTTACGGGGGGGGGGGGGGGGGGGGGGGGGGGGGGGGGGGGGGGGGGGGGGGGGGGGCAGGGGCAGGGAGGGTCGCGCGCCGCGCGCAAGGAGGTAAGAAAGAGGAGCGGAGAGGCCCTCTAAGCTAACGAAACAGCTTGCGAAAGGCAGCAAAAAGAAAAAAAAAAAAAAAAAAAACCCACAGGACTGAGAAAAAAAAAAAAAAGAGAAGCTTTTTTTTTCTCTTTTTTTTTTTTTTGCACAGCGCAGTTTGGTTACGGAGGGTCGCGCGCCGTACGCAAGGAGATAAGAAAGATAAGCGGAGAGCCCTCGTCTAAGCAACGCGGCAAAGCAAACAAAACAGCTTGCCAAAGGCGGCAAAGAAAACTGAGGAACTAAGAAAAAAAGAAAACAAAAAGTTTTTTTTTTTTTTTTTTTCTGCTCAGCTTAGTTTGGTTACGGGGTCCGGCGCCGCGCGCAATGAGATAAGAAGTTACTTCGATTTTTCAGGATAAAAGGTCCGTTCATTATGCGAGTAAATACCGACGCAAAAATTTTACTTCGCGTGATGAACGCCCCCCCTAACTTTGCATCGATTTTTCGGAAAAAAGTGCGTTCATTCTGCGAGTAAATACGGTACTCGTTTCACGGCGGAAATAGTGCTTATCGCCAAAATAATGCGGAAAATATATTCTCAATTTAGCTGTTCAAACCGGCTCGCACCAGTTTGTATTTTTGTTCCCCAGAGCCAGAACAGGGGGGCTATGTTGCACGTTTTGGACCAACAGGAGACTAGGGAGAAGGAAGTGATGCAGGTGTGAATGAACGTATCTTAGCAGCATCGGGCAATGCGTCATCAGCAACTCCACCAATCAACAACCAAAGAGCGTAGTTGACGTCACTTTCTTCTCCCTAGTCTCCTGGGAGTCCAAAACGTGCAACATAACCCCCCTGGACCGAAAGTCGTGAGCCCAAACCCGAACTGAACCGATACAATTTTTGGTTCGACACTCTGGTTCAGACAGTTTTGTTTGCGCTAACCGACCACGTAGTGGCCGCTTATAAGCGTTTGCAATGAGGTCGTTGATATGGCCACCGAGATCTGTGCAACGCTTCATAGCGGAATGCAAGGAGCTGCCTGGAGCTGCCCAGCCTCGGGGTATAACGGCGGGTTTCCCCCCCCCCCCCCCGTTTTAGTCGGCAACATGAGGGATTTTGTACAATGATGTCTCAGCCTTCGCAGGAAATCGTCCATGCGAGTCTCACTTGTTATTTGGTAGAAATATGTGGGAAATGGTAAAAAAAAAATATACGGCACATTTTGTTGGGTTAGCAGAGAGCTAGACTAATGCGGCCTGTGCGGGCAAGTTTAATGGCCAGGGCATAATACAGAGGGCTAATCGTCGCGAGGACTCGGCTAAATAACTAAAATATGTTGTTTTTTTAATTTGTGAAAATAAATGCCCCACTTTCGCCATGCAGCAGAAAGGGAGGTATGTACGGTTGGCTCTTTTTAGGGGCGAAGCTCCTTATGGTCTAGCCTTGTCCGGCCGGCGTCCGTGCTCACATCGATCTTGCTGGTGCTCATGTAGGGCAAAAAAAAAAAAAAAAATGATGAAAACAAGAAAAAATGTTTGCGCAGTCGACAGGATTCGAACCTGTGCGGGGAGACCCAATGGATTTCTAGTGCATCGCCTTAAACACTCGGCCACGACTGCGGGACGAGTAGGGGGCTCTGAGATGTGCTAGTAACTCGAGAGCTGGGGATGTCATGGATGAAACGTTGCATGTAGTCGCTCAACGCCTATACAGGAGAGGGCGCTGCAGTCAAATGCGTCTATAACCGCGTTCAACTTTGCATGCATTGGCTCAACGTTTATAGACGAGAGGGGGCAGCGGTCAAATGCTCGAATGCGTGTATAACCACATTCCATACCCCACATTCTCTTTCTGACATGGATGAAAACGAACGAAAGGCTCGGCATGCTGCGGCTCAGCGTCTACGCAGACAAGCACCACCAGAGCTTCGCCCCAATCAACATCATTCACCACGTGGAGATGCGGTCATTTATTTACAAAATTTACAAAGCGACTCGAGGCTCGATAAAAAAATAAAAAGGGTAAAAGCGGGTGGTTGCAGCCAGCTGCTGGCGTTTGTCCCTTGCAGGGGGCAGCCCTCCTTGGATGAGGCATGCAACACCTCCTAGGCAAGGCCACAGTGCCGGAATTTCTACGTCGAAAACCGGGTCGACCATGTCACCCGGGAGTGTAGAGCAATCATCATAACTCCTCGAAGAATGCCACTCTTGCCTTGGTTGATCCGGACTTGGTCTGCAAAGAGAAAAAGGCACACATTTGCATTTGGGAGTGATCGGGCGCCTGCCTGCAGATGCCTCTCACATGGCTTGTATGCACCTTGGCCAAAATAAAAAAAAATGGAAATTGTCACGTTTGCAATCTTGGTCGCATTCACACGCTTCAAAGCAGAACGTTACCATAAAATCTCCCACCAACGCCACCCACGGCAAAAGTACCCGCGCTGGTTATCCTTCGGAATGACAAATCAACTCTTATAAACATGCAACAAAGTAAAGTAACCAATGTCGTGGACATGGCAGTAATGTTTCTTGACCTTACCAATCTTCTTGCATTCCTTTCACGCTCCAAGGTTCTGTTCTAACCGGCAGGCATGCATACTCTCTTCAACGTCAATAATCGAATTATTCCACTTGAAAAATCATTTTCCAGGCATCTGAGGACGATTGCAACCCCTTTACGAGAGCTATCAATTTTATGTGTTTTCCTGAAAAAGGACGTTCAGCCAGATCTTTGAGGAGCGAGCGTTTGTTTCAGATTCTACGGAAAAAATCCTTTAAGAAAACAAATGAGCAAAAAAGGGGCCAAAAGAAGTTATTCTTGAACACATTTAAGGACAAAAAAGGACTGCTGTTGGGGCAAGGTAAAAAGATGAGAGGATACAGGCAAGGAAGAGGCGGGCAAAACTGGGGAGTGCACGTCCGCCCTTTCACAGTCGGCTTTTTCCCCCAGTTTTGTGCTCCAAAAGGACTAGGGTTTCTTCTTTAATTACCTAATGGGAGCCCATACAGTGCTTGCAAGCTGTCAAGGTTGTCAAGCATCGAATACAAATATTGAGGAGGAAAAGCCTTTCTTCCATTCAGACTCCACATCACTTTAAAGAGCCATCGGATGACGAGCTCTCATCTTTTAGACGAAAGGCCTCGATTGGCCCTACCACCCGAGAAGCAAATCACGTGTCCATTTTCCAAACTATAAATTATCCCAGCGAGGTGAAACATTCAAAGTCTGCCAAAGACATAACGGAAACCAGTACCTATCGGGGCAATGTTTCGACGGGAACTCGTCCAGGGCTAAACAAATGGCAGACTCACCTTCCTTAAAGTAGAATATTTGTTCTCCCCCTTGAGGACGTTGTCTTCGTAGATGAGGTCCATGGAGGTGAGCTTTTCCTCCACTTTGAGCACCTCTATCTCAGACTTGAGCTCCTGCAGGTGCTCCTGCAGGTGCTTGCTCTTCTCCAGGTACTCCACCCTGCAAGAGAGCACTACGTCAGGCACACTGCCTGGAATGCCTCTTCCAACGGTAGCATTCCGTGGGGGGGTAGTCTTAATGTTCAGCAAATAAAAATGCGTGGATAAGAACCAGCCCGAAAGAGAGCTTTCTAATTTCTGCAAAAAGTATGAGCTCAATTACCGTCAGGAGGAGCGACCGAACACGTGTCTGCTCCAACGACACAAGTGGCGAAAAAGACCCCAAGTGAGCGCCTCCACTAGGGACACATTCCGGGCACCCCTCCATACAAGGAGGTTATAAGGGGCAGGAGGTGGCGTCTGTATTCTCCATACTTGAAGCCAAGTCTAACGGAAGTGGGCAGGGCCACCAAATGCCTTCTTATTGTCTCGGCTATTCAGACGATACATTTCCTACGTCTTTTTTCATTTACAAAGTTCCCTATCTTTTACCACAGTCTCGGGTAATTTTCATTGTGATTAGGGAACTCAGTTAACGGACGCCGCCATGAGAATATGGGGCAAAGATCCGCAGTGCCATGGCATTGCCATAGCAACGCTGTTGTTTTCCCCATGATTTCATGGCGGCGTCCACTTCGGTGACTAACAGGCGAGATTTGGAGCCCAACACTTGCCTGACCAGTAGGAAGTCGGCGTGTAGCGGACACTCTCGACACCGCGCCTGGAGCGTCGCCTAGAACGAGCCGTCATAGCGCGGCTTTGGAAAGCGATCGCGTGTCAGTCGTTGTACGCACAAACGCTGAAAATGGCACCGCGGGTTGAGAAAGCCGTACGAAACCTGCTTTCAGAAGGTGTTGGTTTCACACTGCCGTGATGAGAATGCGGGCTCGCATCGAAACATCTTTTGGTGCGCCGATCGAATAGAAAGCCAGCCGCGACAGTGAGCAGACGAAGCAGACCGCAGGCACAGAGCAGACGTAGCCTAATCCTATTGACAGAGCGAAAAGCAGACGATGGGAGCTGGGTTGAATTTACTTTGGATGAGAGCGTGCTGGTGCGCGAGGCAGTCTGGGATTGGGTTGTTTTTCCGGCGTCGCTGGGTATGACGTCATGCCGGATCCTGCCCTATTTAAACGTCCTTGCCTCCATAGAAACCTTTAGGGCTGCTTTTTCCTTCAACTTTTAGGCGAGCAATCAAGTTCCATGATAGCAATGAGCCTCTGCCACTCCTCAATGAGTCTGCCCCCTGCACGTAAAAGCTCGCAAAATATTTTTAAGTCTCACACATTCCCGAAAACAATGATCTTGTACACTTACCAACGATAGCCTCAAGTTTAGTAGTTCTAGTTGTGCCTACTGTCTGTCAACAACTGGCTACTCATGTGGTCATATCACTACACTTAGCGTCTCTGATATGCAACAGTTCAGACTGCTTTTACTCAGCAAAACACCACCCCATTCGAGCCCAAGTGCGTGCTACGCCCATTCTCCCTTTTCCTCAATCTGCACCAACAACTGGCAGGCCGGCTGCTCCACATCCTTAAAAAAACACTGACACCCACCAATTTTTTTTTTTTTTTTTTCAGTTTTTTAAGGCGATTTTTTATGGTGTCGGAATACTACCCAATTAATATTTAGGTACAAAGTCACATTTTTTTTAATAAAGCCAAAAAACGCAACTGCATGAAACCGAACCGCACCGCACAGTGAAGTGGAGAGGAGAGAGTGGAGTGCCGGAAGTCACGTAACTACACGAAACCGTGCGATTGTATTTTTTTTTTTTTCGCGCAGCAGATAAAATGCATTGCGGGATTTGATTTGTTCGCCGTGCGATTCTTTTGCAGTTATGTTTGTTCCGCTCGCTGTTCTGTACTTCAAGATGAGTTGTTTTGTACATTTGAGTGTTGTTTGGCAATTAGTAGGGAGTGCTTGTGGTGAATTCCCGTGATCGGCTCCGAAAAGAATACTCCCAAGATGTTGCGTGAAGAGCTGCCTCAGATGTCCTGAATCTGAAAGTGGCGTTGTGCGGCAAAGCGCACAAGTTTCCGAAAGATTAATGGGTCGCGATCAATTGCTGGCTGCAATTCCTGTAGAACAGTAACGGGAACCTCGGAGAGCGGACGCTACCCGATTCATATGCTCCTTGCATTCTGTGGAAAGTCTACATTGAGTTCGCAGGTGTCAAAAATGGAATCCCATACCATTTCGTTCAGCGACATATCGTCCACAACAATTATTTTTATCAGTGGTAATTAAAAAAAAAAAAAAAATTGCAATATGTTTGCAAAAAGAAAAAAAAAAAAAGGAAAAAAAAAAAAGGTACTCCCAGCTAGGGATTGAACTCTCGCCCGCTCTGTGTGAAGCAGACGTCTTTCCACTGAGCTACTGGGGGAACTCTTTTGTTAGCAATAATGCAGCCGGTCAACTTTAGGTTGGAAAGTTTGATGCTGATTTTCCTCCAGCAAAAGCACTCCCGGGTCGAAGTCTGGCAGCACCACGCATTGGTCACAAGAAACTGTACGCGTGCGTATTCAACTCGAAGTACGCACTACGTGCCTGACGTTTGAGCGAGCGATGTCTTCAGCCACGAGAAGGGACGACAACTCGGCGACGTCTTCGCGCAATCGGCTTGCTGGTCGGGCGTGTCGTATGGGATGAATACCAATTCTTCTGATCGGTCCAAAATTTTTCTTTCGAAGGAAGACGGAATTCGCCGGTACCGTGAACGATACCTCTGAAGTAGAGGTCCTCCGCCCGTCATCCGCTGCCGTCCGCGAGTCCCACGATACACGAAACGACGCCATGTTGAGAATTATGCAGTGAATGCACAGGATGCTTCCGGTTGTCTGTGCTACCTTTTTTTTTTTCAATCAACATATTTGCAGCTTTTTGAAAGCCACAAAAAATGGGTTTCATATTTTTTTTCTATTTTTAATATTAAGTGCGTGCCTTCAATGACCCACGACTTTGATTAAACTTGGTGGTCGTGTCTAAACCTTAGAAAACGGCCCGTGACCACAGAAAAGAGAGTGAGCGCGACTCAAACTGGCCAGTTCTCGATCGGCGGTATTGGGCCGAAAGAAACCGAATTTTGAGCTGCAAATTCTGTTCTGGGTAGTTGGGCTCTCACATGTCACGTACAACTAAAAACCTCGGCGAGCATAAATACCCTGTCAGTGTTCCTTTAACAATCGGCTCTCCTTAAAATGTGAACATATTTACAAATTCAGTTCCCACGGTAGGACACCAGCTGATCCGCATGGGCAATGCCCACTGGCACTCTGGCTGTCCTCAAGGTGGTAGCCATTGCAGCCAATTGGGAGGTTGAACGGCGATAAATCGTGAATACATCGTGGTCTTGATCTTCTCTGCCAGCTTCAGTAACGGCTGCCGTTTGAAGAGGAGCGAGTTCCTTTTTAGCGAGCTCGCTAGGAGCTGCAAGCAAGATGTCTCCAACATAAGCGGCCTTCTGCTGCTCACGCTGTGGTACTGATCCGTCCGTCTGCTGCATCATGACGCCAACAAGTCTGGCGGTACATACACCGGATGGTGAGACATCCTCTGCTTGACAAGCCCTCACTTGTAACGGTTCAGACTGCTTTTAATCGGCAAAACACCATCACGCTCAAGCCCAAATCCGCGCTACGCCCGTTGTTCATTTTCTTCGTTCTGCACCAGCACCCGGCGGGCCGGCTGCTCCACATCCTAAGACATGTATACCTCATTTGTGCAATTTCGTGTGTCCATAAGATTACATCTTGCCGTGAAGTTGCATCTGGTCCGTGGCATTACACCTCACCATGATGCCATACCTGTCCGTGACGTCACATTTCGTCCGTGACACTCATCCGTCCATGACGTTACGTCTTGTCTGCGATGTCACATCTCGTCAGTGACATCTGTCTGTAACATTACGTCTGCCTGTGGAGTTATATCTTGTCTGCGACGTTATACCTGACCCTCGTGTCACACCTGTCCGTAATGTTGCATCTCGTTCACAATATTGCGTCCACCTGTGACATCTTGCCTCTGAAGTTACATCTTGTCTTTCAAATTCTATCTGTCCATGAGGTTACAACTCGTACATGGCGTTACACTCATCCGTGACTTTACATCTTGTCCGTAATATTACCGTATTTGCACGAATATAACGCAAGTTATATTCGTTGTCTTTCAAGTTTTCTTTAGAAATTACGAACTCCAAAACACACCAAGCATTTTATTCGGAATGGAGCTTGGCCACGAGGCATGTGGGGGAAAGCCATCCCTACGACCGAATGTGGGAGATTGGGTGCGAAAAGAAACGGGGGTGTAGGGAGGAAAGGTAAATGTTCTTGCGGCACGTAAAGAGAGGAATACAGAACGTCAGCGGCGTTCTCTGTCGTGTCCATGTTTGTACAATGCACACGGCTGCAAAAATGGCAAAAACATGACGCGCTGCACCGGAGTGCGAGACATCGGCCAGTTTGAGCCGAGCCAAACTAAGACCGCCAGCCGTATTTTTGCAATCATGAAACACGAGGTGTGTGTTCATGCAGAGGGACCCTAGCAAGGGACAAGATGGTTCATTGCTTCCAGCAGTCTTTGTTCCGCCAGTGTATTTTTTAGTTTCTGCTCGAGCGTGTTCTGGCATTTGTGCTTCTGCTTCGGCACTTGGCAAACCAACCGACTTGACGATGCATCACAGCGAGAAGGAGCCGAGCAGTGACCATGAGTGCAGTCAAAATGGACATCACCACTTCTGCTAGGCCCTCCGACTAATCTGACCTCGCGTTATATTCGTCTCATCGGAAGCGTTCCTAGAGCCCCCCAAAACCCATTCCAGGTCCCAAGGCCACAATGCAGAAAGAGAGGGCACAGACCTCTCCTTCTCGATCTCCATGGAGAGCTGGGCCATGTCCGAGTCCGTGGTGAGGTCGCAGCTGATGGTCACCGGGGAGTGCATGCCGTCCACGGTGAAGCTGCTCAGGTCCCGGGGGCCGCCCCCCACGGGAGACTCCGGCACCACCACCGAGTTCTCGTACGACTGCGCGGGGAAATCATTTCATGGATTAATCTCAGTTTATAATGGCTGGCACTCGGTTGGTCGACTCTTCATCAAAACACTTTGGCGAATGCTCGGCCACCGCGGCCTTTATGGGTGGGCCAGGTGGTTTAACATTTTTCTAATGAGCCGTCGCAGACTGTCGCTGCGAAACGGCGTGAACGCAGGTGAAGGGAGGGTTAACACGCATCTTAGTTATTCGCTAAAATGTTGATTCGCTCATATGACCGCTGTTTGCTTATGGAAATATATTTTTACTTTTTGTCATTTTGTAGGAAGGATAACTCGGCAGTGAGGAAAAGTAGCGCCGTAATTCTTTATGAAACATGTAAAAATACAATTGGGAAATGTGCAACATTATTGATTATGCTAAAACTATCCACAATACTCTTTTTCTTATAATCTAGCGCAGAGAGAAAATGCGTAATATTTAGCCGTGCCCGCTGAACTTCTATCGCACATTACAATAGCTTTCCTGTAATAGAAAAGATTTTAGGTTCAAATAAAGAAGAGAAAGATGTGAAAGGCTGGTATATTTTATGTTTAAATCATCCCGAGCATTTAAAAAAATTGTAGCGCTTTTCCACTTTACATGAAGATGGAGGACTAGCGAACCTGTTATCTTCATGACGTCTAGAATGATGCCTAGAGGACGATGTCTAGGACAACCTTAAAGACGACTTCTAGGACAACCTCGAGGATGACGCCTAGAGGATGACGTCTAGGACGACCTCGCGGATGACGTCTAGAGGACGACGTCTAGGACGACTTCTAGGACGACCTCGAGGACAACATCTAAGACGACCTCAAGGACGACTTCTATGACGAGCTCAAGGACGACTTCTAGGACAACCTCGAGGACGATGCCTAGAGGACGACCTCTCGGACGACCTCTCGGACGACGTCTAGGATGACCTCAAGAACGACGCCTGGGACGACCTCTATGATGCCTAGAGATGATAACAAGGGACCAGGACCTCACTTTCTAATAAGCTCAAAGAAGGCAGACTCACGCTGGTTGCCCCCTCTTTTTGTTTTTATTCATTCATACTTGACCCCTCTTTTTGTTTTTATTTATTCATACTAGCCACGACCAGTGGGGAGTCTTCTGTCGACATGCGAGGACGCATTTCTTTGTTTCCTGACCCTAGCTTACAACAGCCTCGCTGTAAGAAAAAAAAAAAAGACCGCATCTCCACGTGGTGAATGATGTTGATTGGGGCGAAGCTCTGGTGGTGCTGATGATATTGATTTTACGGAACGTGGTTACATACGCATCTGAGCATTTGACTGCAGCGCCCTCTCGTCTATAAATGTTGGGCCAATGCATGCAAAGTTTAACGCGATTATATACGCATTTGACCGCAGTTCCCTCTCCTGTATAGACGTTGAGCGGCTAAATGCAATGTTTCATCCATGACATCCCCAGCTCTTGAGTTACCACCACATCTCAGAGCCCCCTACTTGTACCGCAGTCGTAACCGAGTGGTTAAGGCGATGGACTAGAAATCCATTGGGGTCTCCACGCACAGGTTCGAATCCTGTCGACTACGCAAACATTTTTTCTTTTTTCATCATTTTTTTTTTTTTTTTTTTTGCTTTACACGAGCATGTGAGCACCTGAGCTCACGAGCACGAGCACCAGCAAGATTGATGTGAGCACGGACGCGGGACGGACAAGGCTAGACCATAAGGAGCTTCGCCCCTACAAAGTGGTTGTATGTTTGTGCTGTCGTGCACTATGCCAACGGAAGTACAGCATCTTCAATGGCGCAAATGACGAACCGGACTTCTTATCGTTGTAGAAGTTGTGCACCTCTTAGGGCAAACCCCATGGAACGGTTTTCATTCAACATTAATACACTTTATTTATGGGGAGGTGCGGGTTGAAAAACAGCAATATTGTGCAAAAAATGTGATTTTGGGTTTAATTGGGTTATATTATTTTTTATCTTTATATTTGATGTATAAAAAAATTAATGCCCGTTGGGATGGCGAAATTAGTCAAATATACATATTTGAAGACCCCATGTAACCCACAACGACATGAATTTGAGCCCTTTTTCTCCGCGTGGCACTTCAAGTTGTAACGTCATCCGCCATCAGGTTTACATTGAGAAGTAGGCCTAGCCGTCGCCTCTTCATTGCAGTCTTCTGTAGCTTCAATTTCTCACAGAAATCTATTACCAAAATATTATTTTCTGCACCGCGAAAGAGTATAGCTACACATCTATGATAATATTCCAAGACATTTTTCTCTTTATGTAATTTTGGGGCACGTTCAAAGTTTGTGAGGAAATATTGCTGTTCTTAATATTGTGCCATCACAACCAAATTTGGCACGCATATAGTTTAGAATATGTAGAAGGTTTGGATAGAATATGTATATATTTTTTTATAAAATCTTTAAAAAATGTTTGTTGGCCCTTTGAATTGGCATTTTTTTGCTATTAAAAAAAAAAAAAAAAAAAAAAAAACATTGCACACATTATTTTTGTTGTTCATTGCATTCCGTGGTTTAAAAGGAGTGACTTAGTTTATTTAACTAGGCTTTTTTAAGCGTGTTGCCTCGCCCGACGTGTGCGCAAGAACATGTTTTCTTTTTCTGCGTGTACATGGCATCGAGAAGCTACATGGAATCTAGGCCCAGGTTTGTACAGAATCTCATTTCCCTATGGTAAATGATAGGAAAAATCACCTCGTAGGGGCTCCTGAAGATGCCCAACAGCTTCTCCTTGGCCTGCTTCTCGGCCAGCCGGGCCTGGAACAGCTCGTCCTTCAGCTGGTGGGCCTCCTGAGCCCTGCACCATTCCCGCCCATTGCAGACCACTTACGTCCTGTGCCTCGACATCATCTATAAAACTGAAGAAAGACAGTGCGTGGCAAAAGGATTCTTCCCCGCAATCCTTTTGCTGCTGCCCCAAGGGAGCTGCCGGTTTTCCAAAAGGTTTCTAAGACCAGCAAGTTTGTCCCCTTTCGCACAGTCATGTTCGGGTGCCCAACTCCCTTCGGAGGAGAATGCGTCTGGTAGCCGTGGCAAAGGCCGGCTTGCTTTTTCTACCATTGAGGACTCTGAGAAGGGAGGGAAAAAATACAGTTGCACTCGTTTGAGGAGGAAGCAGACGAAATGCTGGAGAGGAGGAAACCACCTCCTCTCTTCAGCATTCAGTCTGCTTCCACCTCCCCAGCCAGAAAGCTTCTCTTAACCTGCCATTGACTATAAAACAAAAAACGGCCTTTGAAAAAACAACAACTCACGAAGCGCAAGTTGAAAACGAAAAAGAGCGACCCGACGATTCAAAGGCAAGGTTGAGGCGCGCCATACACGGCGTCTCCACGCAGCCCATGCAAGCTTCCATTCTGCACTTGGGTGCGTGCAGCATGCAATGAAATTTGTTTTTTGAAATCAAGCGACCATTAAAGCGCGCGTTTTCCTCCTTGCCAAGCACTGCCAAGCAAACCTCCCCCACAGACCAGCGTGCGCGTCATCTGCTTTTTTTTGTCTTTTCACTACCGCCCGACACGGGCTTTTGTTTTTTTCTTTTTGATTCCGCTTTTCGAATTCCGTTCTCCCAAAAAAACGCGAGCAACCAGCGACAGTATTTACCATTCTCGAACAAAGTGGAAACGATTAATCGCAAAGAGCGTAGCAAAAACAACTGGTATGTCGCCGCAGTCACTACGAGCGCTGCAATCGCAACCTAGAGAGCCAGGACTGGAGATCTCAAACCACGGGGAGCGTTTGCAAGTTAATGGCGGACGCCTCTATTCTCGCGAGGAGGGAAGTGGTTGGAAAGGCCACCTCCTCGCCGCTCCTACTGGAAGCCAACAAAGCGCCTGACCCCGATGAAGCCATCGGAAACTCTCCGTAATCTAGGCTCTCTAGAGGGGCCCGCTGCGCCCATGCGCGATGCTTTTCCAGTTGATGAAATCATTTCTCCACCAGAACCCGAGGACGCGACTCGAGATTACCAACAGCAGTCTCGACCAGCTTCGCCGTAAATCTTGTTCTCGTCGGAGCGCACTATGCACGCAAGCGGACAAATGCGAGTTGAGAGATCTTTCGTTGTTTCCCCTCACACATAGCCCATGGTGCGCTTCTCTACGGCTCGGCTGGTTTTGTTTTACTTTTCACACCGAAGGAGAAAAATTTCCTTTATGTACATGCCTGACGTATTGTTAGCCCTAAATCTGAAACACAGGCGCGTGTGGATCACTCGTAATCGGTGCGCTTCGTGCAGCGGAGAAAAGGGTAATCGGTTTCTATCTACTTGGCATCGAATCTAGGTGCTCCAATCCAACCGATGTCCCCGCAGAAGAAACACTTCAACTACAAGTTTACCCATTAGCCAAACTAGTGCATGATCAGTTCTTGAATTTAACCTTTTTTGGGGGGTCCATCGAAGAACCCATTGCGGGTGTCTTGTGATCACTTAATGTCAATGCACTGTATTCCAAATTCCCGGCATTCAATTTAACTACCGTGTGTCCCAATTAGCGGCCAGGCTCTTTAAATAGACCGCAAAAATCAGTTTGAAGACTGGTGGTTTTGCTGCGTTTTCATAGGAGTTAAGCCTTTTTCTTTTTTCTACTTTTTCCTCAGGCAAGTCCGCCCTTTGCGAATTTTATAGAAAAAATGTACCACCTGTGGCCAACGCACTACAAAATCGGAATGCGATAGGTTAAGAAACCGCTTTTTGCGGTCGATTTAAAGAGCCTGGCCGCTAGTAGGGACACACGGTGTATGCGATTGTGATGAAGATTACCCGAGACTGTGATAAAGAGGGGATTAATGGAAGAAAAATGTCGGGGGAACAAGAACGTCCCACTGACTATATGTAAGTTCGGATATAACAAACTATAGGATATATCGAACTAATAACTGATGGAGTTTCGGAGAAGGGAGATTCGTGCCTTGCTGCTGGCTGGTGCCAGCGGCGGGAAAATGTGAAATGCAATAACATTCAGCGTTCTTTAAATCACGCGCCAAACTGAAAGGCCAGCGCGACTCCAAGCAACATTCCTTAGAAGACCAGGCCTGTGCCTGTTTCAGAGAGAGTTTGCTATAAACAGGTTCGACTGTATTTTCTTTGTATCCACCAACAGCTACCAGGGGTGCTACGAAGAATGCACAACCGAAGAAAACGGCATATGCACGATCACTCCGTCTCTTTCTCTTTCAAGCGCGGAGAGATTCGGTAGACTTGTTCATTGTGCTGGTCGTATAAAATAAGGCAAAAGCACGAGCTTAATTCTCAAGTTCACGCTTGTCGGGGGCTCCTTCCGCCTGCACCAGTCTCTCGACTCTGACGAGAGGCAGACCCAACTGCAGAGCCAAACTGAGACAAATTACATTTGGAGTGAGAACACTTTACGCGGGCAGATTCGTCCCTCGTCCTTTCCAGCAAACGGCTGACCGCCCGTTGATCCTCTCTCTGCGGCTTTTATCCCAAGTGCGCCTAACCCCGTCCTGCCACAACCTACAGAAATGAAGGAACTATACTGCCCCCCACAAATTCTGCGTAATGCTATAGATGCTTACTTCTTTTACCTCATTTTTTTTTGGGCTCTGCGTACCTTTACCACAAACAAACTTGCCCACGGTGATATTTTTGCTCAGGGCCAGACACGACTCCAGAAAAGGTAATACGATTGAGTGAACGTGCGAAGGAAGCACTTTCCTTCGTGTGTTTGCTCAAACTGTTGCGCGCATCTTTTAAAACGAAGCGTAGAAAACGACGAGTCTAAGGCACGAATACTTAAACTAGAAAGAATAAAAACACGGAGGACTTTCTCCGACAACCACAATTTTCTGAAAGAGTGCGGTTGTCAGTGAAAGTGTTTTTATTCTTTCTATTTTAAGTATTCATAATTGCAACATGCTCGCCTTCACCAGTCCAAGGCGTGGTTTCCAAGGTGTTGCGTTCGGTGTCCTCGTTCCTATTATCTTTTTGGGCAGAATGCACCGAGCCTTCGCAAGTGCGAGCTCTCGGCAGTCCTCATGGGCAAACCCCGAAACACATAGAAGCAGTTCGTACCTCCTCTCCGACTCCTCGATCATCCGCGCTGCCAGCAGCTCTGCCTCCCTGGCCTTCCGCTCCATCATGATCTTCTCTTCTTCAGTCTGGCGAGTGGAACAATTGCACAGTTCTTTTTTGGAACCCGAAATTCCCATCAAAGTTATCAGCAACCATATTACAAGCATGCTAAAGAGCTCGTAACCCAAAGAAAAGCACCCTAAATGACAATGGCTGCAAATGAAGTTGTAAAACGGTACTGATTCTACCCTTCCATGACCCCTGTGGTAACACTGACCCACTGTGTTTTCAACTCCTTCCAGATATTTTTGCCCCATAGGAGGCTGGAACCCTCAACGACGCACTCGTGCAATACATTCTCTGGACGTTTCTGGAAATTAAACTAACTTTACAGATATGCCTTTAAAGGGACACTGACAGGGTATTCATGCTCGCCGAGGTTTTAAGTTGTACGTGACATATGAGAGCCGAACTACCCAGAACACAATTTGCGGCTCGAAATTCAATTTCTTTCCGCCCGAAAACTGCCGATCGAGATCTGGCCAGTGTGAATTGCGCTCACTCTCTTTTCTGTGGCCACAGGCCATTTTGTAAGGTTTAGACACGCCCACCAAGTTTAATCAAAGTCGTGGGTCATTGAAGGCACGCACTTAATATTAGAAATAGAAAAATTATGAAACCCATTTTTGTGACTTCTAAAAAGCTGTCAGTAAAGACGTGCCACAGTACCCTGCCATGTCATATTGGCACCTAAAATAACATTCGCGCAAAGTGTGTAAATGCAAAAATTTTACCCCGCGTAATGGATGCACCCCCCAAATATGTCAATTTTTAGGAAAAAAACAAGTGTGTTCATTATGTGAGTAAATACGGTATTTGAAGCTGTAGAGTAGCTCAGTGGAAAGGTGTCTGCTTCACAGACAGCGGACCCAGGTTCGATCCAGAAAATGGGCATACTGTTTTTTTTGTCACACATTTTGCGATATTTACACATTTATTTTTTACAATTAGGATTGAAAAAATCAAATGTGGGCGAAACGTCGCTGAACTAAATGGTATTGGACTAACTTTTTGACACCTGCAAACTCAATGTAGTCACTTTCCACAAAATACAAGGAGCATATAGATCGGGTAGCGTCCGCTTTCCGAGGGGCCCGTAACTGTTCTGCAGGAATTGCTGTCAGTCATTGGTCCCGATTCTGGTGATCTTTCGGAAACTTGTGGAGAGACTGCCGCACAATGCCACTTTGGGATGCAGAACCTGTGAGGCAGCTCTTCACGCCTCACAGGTTCTGCATCTGCACCTCCCCCGTGTGTGTGTGTGTCTGTGCACATGTGTGTCTGTGCACATGTCTGTGCACGTGTAAAAATCTTTGTTTGTTTTGCGCTTGTAGTAATGCGACACTGCAGGCCTCAGGTATGGGCCAATGGCCTTTCTGTGGTCTCACAGCCCTTTAGGCTGAATAAAGATTATTTTTATTATTATATTGGGGGCATTCTTTTTAAAGCCAATCACTTATTTCCAACCCTTCAATGTAAAAAACAACTCATCTTGAAGTGCAGAACAGCGAGCGGAACAAACATAACAGCAAAGCAATCGCACGGCAAACGCTACCTGCGACGCTTTTAACAATGTCTGCTCAACAAAATCTGCTCCACGCGGCCAAGAAAAAAAAAAAAAGCACGGTTGGATGTGGTTACGGTTTTATTAAAAATATACGTGACTCTGTAGCAAAATATTAATAGACCCTTTTGAAAAGTCCGCGCCAACGACTGTCCGCCATTGCTTGCTCACATACTGTATTGGACACGAGGGTGACGTCAGCGTTCAGCGTCAGCTCGGCTCAGGTTGTGTTGATAACGATCGCTGACGTCACCGTTCGGCGAGGACTCTGAACCAATCACACGCTTCGTGAGCAAGCAATGGTGACCAAACAATGTTGAAAAGCATCTATTGGGTAGTCTTCTGACACCATTTTAAATCGCCTGGCAAAGAATGAAAAAAACATTTTTGGTGGGTGGGACACCCACCAAAAATATTTTTTTGGTGGGTGTGCGGCATTGTGCGGCAGTCTCTCCACAAAACCACTGCCACATGTATTTGGGTTTTCTAGGACGATAACAGCCTATCTTAATTACATATATATCTCCCTGTTCACAATCCCCGAAACACCTGGAAACCAAATTCCTTCGAGCAAAGAGGTGAAGGCAAGCAGGTTTCCCAGGCATGCCTGCAAGATCAGATGCAAGACCAGATGCAAGACCAGAAAGGGTACGAAAGAAGTGAGAGCGCACCTTGATGGCACTGATCTTGATCCTCTGGATCTCGGCCTCCGCCTCTGCCGCCTTCTGAGTGAGCAGCATGGCCTCTTCTTCTGCGATGCGAGACTTTTCCACGAGCAGCTCCGCCGTCTCTTCCGAACGTCTCTGCAACACATATTACTAATTTGCTTCCTCACTCTATTCCCAAGTAAGTGAGATCGGCGATGCAAGTGAAATTGAAGGTCTTTCTAGTGGATCTTGTAGCAGGTAAAATGTCGGTCTGCCCCCGATGCTTTCCAAGCATTCCAGATGTGCACCACCTCGTATCTCTCTCACTTACCCTCCGCAACCTCTAAAAGTTCGTCAACCGCGAAATCCTATAAGTTGTCATCGTCGTACCAACGCAACCGACAACTAAGCAATTTACGTGGACAAAATTTCTCTCATGCAGCACACATGCATGTAGCACACGCGTGGGGCCGCAACCAACTGCAACAGGGAACCCGTGGAGTTTGCTCACCAGAGCCTCGTGAGCCACCCTGGCCTCCTCCTGGTAGTGGAGTAGGCGCTGCTCCAGCTCCGCCTTCTCCCTCTCCACTTCCTCACGCAGCTGCTTCTCTCGACTGAGCTTGTTACGTTCCGTCTGCAATGTAAAGGAGGAAACATGCCAGCCTCTCTCCTTAGAGGTCTACCCTTAGAACTAAATCTTTTATACCTACAAACATTAGCTTTGTTCGATTTACCTCCTGCACTGGAGCAGACAAGTGTAGGGCAACGCCGGTATGTGCAAAGAGATATGGCAACAAGTACACCGCCCTACACTTTCCTGCACCGGCGCAGGAGGTTAAGCGAGCAAAGCTATAGACACACGCTGAATATTAGACAAATCAATTTGATGAAAACTGGAACCAGAGCTAATTATGGCACACGGCTAGTAAATCGGCAAACTCCAAACCTTCTCAATACTTACCCGGCCTTCATCGAACATACTTCTCCGCTGACCTGCGGGAAACAATAAAATTTCCTACGTCCCTCGTAATTCTGGCCGTCTTTATATTGTTGTTTTAGCAATTTATTCTCGGTTAGCTATACAGGTTTATTCGCAGTTTTTGCGCTGCTCTACATGTGTTTCTTATTTGTAGCCGTAAGAAATTTGGACCCGTGTTGCAAGTCACTTCTACAGACGTCTTTCGCCTTGGCACCAAGGCAATTTTGTCTCAAGTTTGAGATAAACAAACAAAACTTGTCCCAGCACTGACCCCCAAAGCTGCCCTCCAAGATAAGAGACTCACGAGTTAACATTATCCCTCAGATTTGCCCCCAAACGATCGCTGTGCACGAACAAGCCCAGAGTGTCAACTCATTGTCCGACGGTCGTTGGTCTGTTTGTTTAAACGCCCACGGCTCGAAGGCTCCACCATTCTGTTTGCCACACAAGCGCCGTTCACGACAAATCTTGTTTTGAGGTGTTTCACTTTAACCACGAGCGCAGCAGACGCTATGAGAGCGAGCTTCCCTGCCAAGCACACAAAGATTGTGCAGGGCAATGTCCACATAAAACTAACAATGTCGTTTTGCTCAATCGCAAGCTCGTCAAGGACGCTGATGGGATGCACCCGCAGAAGCTGGAGACGACCGGCGATGCTCCTCCCAAACAGCTTCAGTGAGCCTGAAAGGTACTTTCCAACTGAGCGGACATGCGTTAAGCGGGGCTGTGCAACTCTAGGTGCACAACACGAGAACGCTACATCACGAGAGCGCACAACCAGTCTGCGCACAAGCAGTCAGGGCGACCACTTTACCAGGGCAATTTCGTGTTTTAGGTGAAAAAAGCGAAAGCTGCTTACAACTCCCTGTAACGCCGAATTAGAGCGCAGCTCTTGAGGAGGAGGAGGGAAGGGCACTGGGGGGGGGTTAAACTAACCGGGGGGGGGTCACGTGACCTTGGGGGGTCACGTGACCTTGGGGGGGTCACGTGACCCCCAATGCCGATGATGTCATCACTGAGGTCACTGATGACGTCATCATTGACGATCACGATGCGGGTACCGATGACGTCATTAGTGACGTCACTGATGACTTCACCAGTGATGATGACGATGACGATGCGAATGTCGGTGACGTCATCAGTGACGTCGCTGATGACGTCATCAGTGATGATGACGATGACGATGCGGATGTCGGTAACGTCATCAGTGATGATGACAGTGACGATGCGAATGCCGGTGGCGTCATCAGTGATGATGACGATGACGATGCCGGTGACGTCATCAGTGACGATGACGATGTGGATGCCGGTGACGACATCAGTGACGTCACTGATGACGTCATCAGTGATGATGACGATGACGATGCGGATGTCGGTAACGTCATCAGTGATGATGACGATGACAATGCGGATGTGACGTCATCAGTGATGATGACGATGACTATGTGGATGCCGGTGACGTCATCAGTGATGATGACGATGACGATGTGGATGCCGGTGACGTCATCAGTGACGATGACGTCATTGGGGGTCACGCGACATCGGCGGGGGTCACGTGACCTCAGGGGAGTCACGTGACTTCGGGGGGTCGCGTGACCTCGGGGGGGTCACGTGCCCCCCACGAGGTCACGTGACCCCGGTGGGGGGCTCGCGCGGTGCATTATGGGACGTTTCCCATGATGCACCGGGGTCACGTGACCTCGGGGGGGGGTCACGTGCCCCCCCACGAGGTCACGTGACCCCGGTGGGGGGCTCGCGCGGTGCATTATGGGACATTTCCCATGACGCACCGCGCAGTTACGCCGACGGCGACGCCGCTCAAGCCGGAAACGGGCCCCTAAGAGCTGCGCTCTAAAAAGAGGGGATTTAGCCACTGCACTCAACAACGTGGCTGGATGCAACGGCATAACAATGCAGCTGAGCGTGCCACAAACGGCAAATGGCAAAAAGCTCTATTTTCGTTTTTCCCCTGAGAACTTGCAGACGCACCGGTGCAAAAGAGTGACCTTCGATGGGTGGTGCATGAAAGCCCCCAACCTCCAATGCCTCATGCCAAAACGCCCTTTCCCTTACACCCGTTTGCTAAAACCCTTGGCCCAATTGCCCAGTGTCAACAGCCCTAGGATGTCAATGAGCCACCGGTAGGGTTAGGCCCTCTAAAACATATATGGAAATACAAACACACCTAAAATACTGAAATACATCCATACAAAAGTATTGCGATACATATCAGAAATACATTTGAAAATACAAATACTGGAATACAATTTGCCGGCTAAGCAATACTCGAAAGTAAACATCTTCGACAGAAATCTGTCTGGTTTGGGGAAACAATCAGAAAAAAAGAAAACTTGAACCAAAAGCTTAGAAACAAACAGTTCCCAACGTTTCGGGGTCGACTTGACTCCTTCTTGGGGCGTGATTAAAAATGGAACGAGACAGCGCAAGATTCGACCTCTCCTTCCTCTTCTACCGAGTTGATGTTTTGTGAACATGACGCGGGCCATGGACGGAAATAGATGGTAAGGCCCCGACGGACCTGTTAATTTTCCCCGGTGTGTTTTGGATATGCCACAACTCCAAGAACAAACGTTTTTGAATATGTGGCTCCGTGTCTATCACGTGCGCATTCCCGAAGTCGATCCAATGATCAAATACCTCGCAATGTTCCGCGACAGCGCTACGCTCGCGATCGAAATTGCGCAATCGTTTTGGTGCTGGCGCATGCGTTCGGGAAAAGATTTAGTTTCACCGATGTAGGCAGCGGGGCACTCAGCACACGGTATCTTATAGACCACGCCTTGTGCTTTCCCTTTTGGGAGGCGATCCTTCGGCCTTGACATGAGCCGTCCTAATGTTGACACTGGCTTGTGCGCCACTTGGATCCCTTCTTTTCGGAGCACGCGCGCCAGTGTCTTGCTCGTCCCAGAAGTGCATCGACATTAGAGGGCATTAGTGGTAGTTGACGTGAGTGATGATCGGACTTGTGGCAGCCGATATTAGAGGTGACCGACAACAGCAGCAATTAAAGGGGGGGGTGCAACGATTTTAAAATTAAAAGAATTTGCATCTCGTCATTTTTACGTTGTTTATCGTGTCCCGGAAGACAGAGAAAACAACTCATTCATTAAAAAATGTCACGAATAAGCTGCATAATTGCAAAGCAAAAGTCTAGCTTTTCCCCCCACCTGCAGCCGCCAGTGGCAGCTGAAGGAACTACGGTGAAAAGATTACGTGACCTCGCTTGGCTCTAAGTTGCAGCATAACGCCCGCTAATGTCAGCAAAGAGAGGAAGGGGAAGCGTCCTCCGAGAGAGCACATGGGAAGCTACACGGCACTCCGAATGATGTCACTAGGAGGGGGACCAGGTGTGACCCTGAAGACTGGGAGTGAGTTGAGGGGTGCCAGAAATGCCAATATTTATCTTGTTTTGACACAACAACTAAGACATGCAGAGAAATCGGTTTTCTGTTCCTTGCTTTGCTTTAGAAGTGTCAGAGGGCAACTTCCACAAATTTTTGACTGAAGTGCAAAAATTGTTGCACCCCCTCCCCCTTTAACATTAGTGACCATCAGAATTTGTGGCGATAATCGTTATACTCCGTTCACCCCTAAGCTGAGACTGAGGTGGAAGCTACGTCCTCGTAGGACCAGTCCTCTCTCTCGCCATGTCATCACGCGCACAGAGCCGGTTCAGGTGATAAGCTTGAGGCAGTTGACTGGACCGGCAGGGCTCCTACCGTAGCTTGAGGGTGAATGGAGTATACTGGCGATCAACATCAAATGGTGATTGACAGTAGTGCTGGTCGTCATTTGTCGTAATAGACATTAGTGGTGGTCGGCATTTGTGGTAATTGACGTTACTGGCAACCAACATCTGTGACAACTGACATTAGTGGCAACAGGCACTAGTGGCGATCGACTTTAGCGGCATAACATCAGCAGCAATGGGCATTATGGCGATTGGCATTAGTGGCAATTTCGGGGGAAACGACTACCATGGTACTTAGATTATTTCTTTAAAATTAAAAAAAGAACCTGCTCCCTTAGATAAAGTTTCTCACCTGCCTACGCAGCTTCTCCTCTTTGGCTTGAGTCTTCATCTGTTGCACCTCCATCGAGTCTGGCTTGCGGCGACGCATGAACAGGTCGTGGTTCCCGATGCACAGGTCCAGGATCTTTGGGGCGGGATATGTCAGGCCCAAGAGGGCAAAGACTGAAGCACTCTTACCAGTTTGTTCATCCTTATCTTGCATGAGTAGAATTGGAAGCTGGGGGCACTCTTCTCCACAGGCTTGATGTTGAACTGAAAAAGCAAAAACAGGAAACAAACAAAAAAGAGCTCAAAAGTAAGACAACCAAAAACTAAAATGTTGTTCTTGCGGGTGCTGTACAAGATGCATTTGAACATTCCTCCGCCAAACTCAGGTGGGCTCGGCGGCTGTGCTACGATGCAAACCACTCACCCTTTCACCTTTGCAATGCAGGAGTTTGCTACCAACATTTCCAGTGTGTTGCTCCCGGCCCTGCTGACTACCTCCTCGGACTTTACTCCAATACTCTACAATCACAACGTGCCTCCAACTGTTGAGTCATCGCGCCTGATATCGCCGCCTTTGGAGCGTGGGGTCCTCGATTCAGCGTGGACAGCTTCATTGCCACTGACAGCTCCCGGCGTACCAACTACAAAGCAGCAACGACCTTCCGCGGTGCACTGTGGGTTCAGTGGCCGCGCTACAATGCAGACTACTAATCCTTTCACCTTCGCAATGAGGTTAGTAAACCGTATGCACTTTTTGCTAAGAAATCGAGCAACTACTTTTTGGTACAGCTGCTGAGCCTGGAGTGTTGCACTGCCATCGGTGTCAAGTGCGCTAGCGTCATTTTTTCCCTGCTGTTGTTGTCGGACAATGTTGAAAACAACCAAGGCCCCGACGATTGTGAGGCAGTTCTCGCTCAAATCAGAAAGTTAGCTGCTAGTCAGTCTATGCTCACTACTGAAGTGCGAAGCTTCAAAAGTCAACTAATAGCAACAAACAAAACCATGTCCAACAAATGAATAGCCAAATTAGAGGGGCATGACCAAAATCTTACCACCCAGCAAACTAAGTTTGAAACCACACAGGCTGAAACCGCTCAAATGAGTCACCAGGTCTGTGATATCGAGGCTCGTGTGGTTGACGCCGAGAATCGCTCGCGGCATTACAACCTGATCGTTTATGGTAGCCCTGACACCGCTGCGCTTGAATTGAATGATTGACCCGTGTTCTGAACTATTGAATGTAACCTTGAATCTCAAAGAAATTGAATGTGCACACCGTCTCAGGTGTCACGCCCCTGACCGCTGCTGCCCAATAATTGTGAAGCTCACCCTTTTCAACACCAAAGCATCTACACTTTCAAACGGCCATAAGCTAAAAGACACTGCATACAGTATTGGTGAAGACTTCTCTCTTCCTGTTCGAAATGCCCGAAGAAACCTTCTTGCCTTCGCCAAGAGCAAATCTGTCCTGTTCTCTTTACACTTCAAAACCCTTTTCATTGGACCAAAATGCTATATGTTCAATGAGTCAACGCAAACTAAGCGATAAGACGTCCCGAAACCACCCTTCGAAGAAGTGCTGTGTCGAGGAGGACATGGAAGGCTAGAAACCTGGTGCCTCCTAGAGTGAGAAATACCACTAGAAACCTTAGAGATTGTTTTCTCGGAATTACATTTTTTGCTTTTTGTCCTACTCGTGGAGCTGATATCTTGGCAACTGTTTTGACCATTGTTGCTCCGTTCGTTTTATTATGCACCTTGAACTACACTACACATAGTGACATTCTTTTTTTTAAAGGTATTTCTTTTTGTATTTATAATGTGGTTCTTCATCTGCGTGCTATTTGTATCCATTCATACAAGGCGATGAAAAATTCAAACTAAAAATAATCATGCAAAAAAATTAAAAAATCCCAGAATGTCACGCTGTATAGCATTCATTTGGGAACATACTTCAAGCCCGACTAGTCTTCTATCACATTTCTTATATTCCGCAGGCACTCCACAAGGTTCGAAGAAGAAAAAAAGATATAACCAAGAAAGTAATTGAGTAATTGAGATATCACAGTGATATTTTGCATGTATCACACCACACAAACATTACAAGCATGCATGAATAATGAATCAATTTCTGTGGTGACATCATTCTCCACCTTTGCTATGCCACCGATAACCTCTTTTTGTTTGTTCTGCTGCTCATTTCAGGATTTCAAGAGGTATGCCATTCTGCTCTGGCACATTCAAGACTCAGTTTTGTGACGTGTTCAGCATCCAGATGCCTTTATAAAAAGAGCAAGTGTACCCCAAGACCCTATTTGCATAATAAAATTTATAAAGACACCACCATACTCTGTCTGCTCATGCAGACGGGCTATATGCCAATAGACCAATACCAATAGACCGATACACCAATAGGCTGATACACCAATAGGCAGATACATCAACAGGCCAATACCCCTATAGACCGATACACTTATAGGTGTCAATAAACCGATGGGCTATCGGTTTACTCTATTAAAATTTTTTCTGGGGCGACTCTTCGAGGCTGCTTATGCTAGACAGGCATTAACAGGTGCTCATATTAAGCAGTCAGGAAGTTGTTAGTTGGTAGTAACTGTCATAAAAAATGTTCCGATTGTGTTCTGCCGTCCTCTGGCTACCTTTTTGTCGTCGAAGGATATGTTCCGGATCTCGCTCCAGGGAAAGGTGATCCGGGGGCAGAGCTTGTTGTTCTTTTCGTAGATGTTCAGACCCAGGGCAGTGACTCCGAGCCAAAGGTCCGTCTCTTTTTTGTTCTGGGGATAGAAAAGAGGAGAAGAAAGAGAGGCCCACGCTTGTCAGCAAACTTCAGGACCAAGTTTTTCCCGATCCCAATTCAGTCGCCGAAGAGCATTGTCATGTCAAAGTTGTGACTATGCCAACGTGTCTCTTATCATATGGCTGCATATAAAGGACAGCAAGGTGTGATATAGTCGAGGTAAATACAGCGGTGAGTTATAATAAAGGTAGAAAGGTACGACGTCACAAAAACCAACCTGGTCTCTGAAGAGTGAGTCAAGCAACAGTTACACTCATGCGGTGCCAACCTTTTAAATGTGCATTTCCCCCAGGAAAATTCTGCCCCGTTACAGGAAACGAATGTGCGGGACGGCGGTCAGTGGATAAATCGAGAAGGCAGAAGAAAACACCGATGGTACCCCCGAGGGGAGTCGAACCCAGGAGCCAAGGATTGTAAGCTCCACCGATGCGCCAAAGGGAAGGAGCGGCAGTTATTAAATGATGGTTCGCCGTGGAATGTGCAGGTGGCATCGCCACACGAGGGGCAGCCACAGTCCAACGCAGGGAGCTCACACTTGTGTCCACTATTGTCCAGACACAACTTCCAACAGACTTTCAAAAGGGGTCAGAATGCATAATACTCGTGGGCCCAAATACATTAAAGAACCGAGATTTTTGGAGAGGAAGGCTGTATAAGGAAGGACACTGGGCACTCATGGACAGCAGTGGAACCAAGCCTTTAATTTTATCTTCCTCTATGTACCATGTTTTCCGGGCTATAGTCTGCAAAAACATAATTTAGGCCGAAAAAAAAATAAAAGGAAGTCTGCTTAGATAGCTTGCATGCCGTGCCTAGTGCTTAGTCGACACGAAAATCTTCTCGTGAGTGGTGCACCTTGACAGATGTCTGCTTTCTTAGCTCACAAAGAGGCTCGTATTATACGGAAATTTTTCATTCACAAAATCCGTCAAGTCTCCTCACAATGAACAATCTTGGAAAAACAAAATTCCTGTATACACCGTTTTATTGTGGGCAACACCATTTGGAATACTGTGGCATCATCCGGCAAGCATCACGTCATACTGAGTGGTCGGAAACGTTGGTGAAACTGCTCTTTAGTGTGCCGCTCCTGCGTTTGGTGTGCTAGTTGACTGCTCCCAAGTGCTCACTGGGAACTTTCTCCCAGCATTATCTTTGGCGTCCGCCAGTGCGGTGATGCCGCGAAGAGCGGCACTCAATGCAACACTGAACGTGCCATCGATAGAAATTGGACGAGAGTACTCAAAATGTTGTTTCAGTTAACAGCGATTGAATTTTCCTTCAGGTTTTTTTGTCGTTTTAGATGCAGTACACTGAGAATATCTTTGGCATTTCAAGTTGTCCACAACAATATATATAATGGGAACAATATACTGAAAAAACAGTGAGTGCGCAGGTGAGCTAGTGGATAATGATCATGATGTAGAAAACCCGAGACCGTGGTAAAAGCAGAGAAACTTGGCCGAAGAAGAAAGACAGGGGAAAAGGATGTCTCAATTTTCTACATCATGATTTTCAATATACTACTTTAGTTGTGCACGTTTGCAAAAAACTTAAACAGAAGAAAGAATAAAACAAAGGACAGACAAAATGTGTTGTTTCGCACACCCTTCGTGTTTATTCTTTCTCATACTTAATGTGAACAAGGGCGCGCGAAATAAGAGCATTGCAGGGAAAGATAGAAGGCAGCTCCCTCTGGCTCGCAGATGTTTATAAAGGTTTTAATAGAGCATGTCCTTTGTCTAGAACTGAAAAACGCCAAGTCGAGATGGGTCCATTGCTACAGCGAGTCAATCAATGATTTAACGATTCAAAATCGATGCATGATCATGTTTCAGCAATACAAATTCAAGTTTTCTTTCCAGTTATGTTATGTACTAATTTGCAAACTAAAAAGAAACCATTGTGACGGTCAACACAGGTTCACGGCTCTCTTTTATTGCACGGGAGATCGCGATTAAGAAACACCGATACAATTTTTTGACAATTTCCAGCTACAGCCGGCGGCGGGAATGAGGCTTCAACTAAGCGTCGAACATGATAAAATTGTGTCAATGTTACGATTGCAAAATAAAAGCATTAATTTAAATTAAGTCAGAAAAAGTCACCAGCTGAAACAGCGATCCTCACGAGAAAATTTGCACCCAGCTCACGAGCGTAGCCCACGTTCATCGAGGGTACAGAGGTAAGTTTGGTGCACGCTCTACTCAAAAAATGTTTGGAGCAAACTCTAGAAGATGGCGTTGAGGAAAAGTCTTTTTTGTTTACAGACGCAGCCCACTGCCGCCGGAGGTTTTGGACATTTGAAAAGCGATGGAGTTTGAAGACATTGCAGCCGCGCTATACAGATGTCTTCCGATATTCTGCGCTTTCGGTCGTCATTCATGCGGCCTATTACGGAACAATGATGTCCCGATGAACGGGGGATTGTTATTGATTCTGCTAGCTCTAATTACATATGGAAGTAAAATAAAAATAGAGGAAATTGCAAAGAAAACCACTCAACCTGAACGAACACAGGCGTTTGCTCGTTCCTAACCACTCATGATTGTGTAGAGGGTCACGTGACATCTTGTACCATGTGATATCCATGTTTTTGGCGGCCCAACGCCAATATTGCCGGACTGAGCTGAAGTTTCAGTTTCGATTTTTGCTCATGTGTAAACTGAGATTTATCCATATAAATCCCATTTTTCGCAAAGAAAATGACTTGGTGTCTTTTATTAGTGCTTTTTATTGCAAAATTACTCATTATTTCGAAATCTTCGGATTTGAACAGAGTTGCCCTTTAATACAGCCCTCAATGGTTTCAGTGCACATGCAGTCTCTGGAAAAATGATAGCAGCAGCAGGTCAGCTCAGTTGGATTTCTCTGCAAGGAATGATTGCTTGTATGACCCATTTGGAACAGTCACTTCTGACCTCCAAAAGTGCTAAATCATTGTGGCATTATTGGCCTTGAAATCGACCTAGAGGTGGTGCTACTTTTGCGCCTTCATCACCATCAAAGTGGGGTTTAGAAGCATGGCCGCCCCATAGGCTCTTCACGTTTGTGCTACAGTGGCTTAAAGGGGCAGTGGTGTAACGAATGAAACCAGAGAAGCGGCAGAGCGTTGGAAGACAGCCGCGGGTGGCGCTGGCGTTTGCAGCACCGTCGTTCCGGCTATGGCTCCGGCTTGGCCGCTTGGCCAGCTTGGCTCCGGCCAGCTCCGGCCGATTCGCAGCTGTCGACTACAATGTCGTCTGCTAGTTTCACATTTTTATTCACCTATGAACACAAACCATGTCCTTGGAAGTTCACTGTAAACAAATAATTGTTCTTGAGGTATTTATATTAGTTTATGAAGCGTGTTAGGGTGCCTCTATCTGCCAGCCGATGGAGGCACCCTAACGGAGCTGCGGATCGAACCGCCACCTACACCGTCCTCCAAGGAGCGGCCGTTCCCGATGCATGGTAGAGGCTACGCGGTAACTACACTACCCCCTTTAAGCCACTGTATTCGCGTGCAAGACGGTGTAGATTCTTGCGTTTATTTTGTTGCATATTACCGGCGGGAAAATAGTTTTAGCAGAAAATGGCGCAGAACTGTTCGGTGCTTCAGTGAAGATTGAGTCATGTTACCAGCGTACAGCCTAAGTTTAAATAATCGCTCATGTGGATGTGTCGTCTGCTCTGGGCAGACGTTGGGAAGCATGGATCACCGTGATGGATTCCTGTTTCCGGGTGAACCGCACTATTTATGTTAAAAATTCATCACCGTGGGAATTCAACAAAACAATGAATTCTAACCCGGATAACATAATACAGGTACTGTGGGCTCTAAAATTGCAGGTTCCATGCAATTATTTGTTGCAACTTTTAGCTTTCAAAGTAATACAAATACTTTGCATGAAGAGAAGTTAGTGACATATTTGAAATTAATGTGTTATTGAGTTCTGCTGCAGCCAATGTTTCTGTTTACTGTGCCATGCTGCAGGTAAGTTTTCTACTACATTGCGATGAGGCGTGCGTGCCTCTTCTAGTTACGATCTGGAAACTTTTTGTTGGCAGGACAACTGAAACAAGTGAAACTATTATATTAGAGAGTTTTCGAATAACGTAAGCAAATTTAGCGCACGCTAGCGCTAAATTTAGCGCTTGTATTAGCGCGCACGACGCAAGAGTTTTAGAATAGCGTTTCTCCGTCGCGATGCAGATGCCCAAGCATCTCAGGCTTGCGATGCCCTTAAGATACAGTCACAATTTTTATTTCACACATGAAATGCTGCAACTTTAGAAAAAAAACAAGTTTTTTGGTCCAGAGTACCATTTTAGACTTGTTTAAACATGAGAATGCGACGCGAGCGGTTGACCGGTCATGTCCGCTTGCGTCACCTTGGTAAGAGGGGTCTCATGTACTGACCTTCGCACATCGTACCATCGCCGAGAAATGTTTGCGCGTCGCAAGCATCAAGTCGCCGGTGATCGTTGCCAAACCGAGTACTACAATGTCGTCCCGTATTGAAAATTGAAGTCGCGAGGATGCCACCGACGTCGCACTCACGACGCTGCCAAAGCAGCCACCGACATAATCCTGGAAGCCGCCATTTTTTTTAACTCTCCTTGGCTTTAGCCAACTTCTCATCACGAATCCTCCTTGGAGAAGTGCAAAAACTGGTTTGCGTTCGGAGCTTGCGAAGTGGCGATGATGCTATTCTTTGCGTATGCAAAGCTTTAGCGTGCGCTATTCTAAAACTCCCTAATATAACTGCATCAAGCGGAACAAACGAGTGGAACCGAGCAACGCAGAAGCGTGCTACGAGCCAGCTTCTTCTGATTCTGACCGTACATGCCTCGCATTAGCATAACTCGACACAAAAGGGACCTCTTTCACTTGAGTTTTAGGTAGCAGTGACAAGTCTGAATGGTGTTTAACGACGAAAGGAGGGTAGCACTGAAAATACAGGGCATTGTAATAGACCATGTAGAAAAATACAAATATCTGGAGGTATGTCTCAATGAGTCAAGTCTAGAGCAGGGGTTTTCAAATGGGGGTCCGCAAAGCCCTTGCCTCACCCCCTGGCTAGGTGGCGCAAGCTACTACCCGTTGGGTACCTATAACAGTAAAGGATGCCCTTTTCACACTGCAATTAGACATTTTATAACCTCCCCGCTGGAATGGGGTCCCCCCACCACTCTGGCCAACGGGTCCCGACACATCCAGGCTTGAGAAGCACTGATCTAGAAGAACACCAAGGAAATATGATTTGGAAAAAGAAAATAAATTCAGCTATTAGTACAAAGCTCGAAGCAATGTGGAATTGTAATAGACAGGAAGTGGTCAAAGGTATATGGAAAGAAGTGATGGTGCCTGGACTACCTTCTGGCAATGGGACCAGAGCTTCAATCAGGACTGGAAATTCAACGAAGGAGCGCAGGTAGATTAGCACCGCAGGAGCATACATCCATGGGCTGGTCGACTTTAGTTCAGGGGGCTGAAGGGCAATTACTAGTCAATTGTGAACAAACGTTAACTGAAATGGAAGTATATAATTTATACACACATCGTTAGTCTGCTTAGGCACAATAAAGATGTGGCTCAAGTTCAGTGGAAGTGAAAGAAAGTAAAATGGGGGACAAAGGTCCTTCATTGTCCACGCACTGTGGGGTGCGTGGACAAAAGGTGCAGAACAAAATGCTCACCCTTTTGTTCCAAACACTTTAGTTTCTTTTACAGCAGAGCTGTTAACGGCTAGTTTCCCCAGTACCGTGTCCGTGGGCAAACTAATGTCGACACAAAACTCTGGACAGCTACTGCCATCCACAAGCGACAGTGGCAACCAGACAACTGGCTTGCCGATTGTCTGGTTGCCGCCGTTGCTCATAGATGGCGGCAACCTTTCCAGCCTTTTCATTGTGGTTTTCGTCAGAGTGGAAAGGCTGAATTTCTCTAGGCATCGTTCTAGAAGTCGTCCCAGACGTTGTCCTAGAGGTCGTCCTAGATGTCGTCCTTTAGGCGTCGTCCTTGAGGTCGCCCTAGACGTAGTCTTCTAGGCATAGTCCTAGACGTCGTAAAGATAACAGCTTCGCTGGTCCTCCATCTTCCCGTGAGGTGGAAGAGCTCTACATTTTTTTGTTCGGGAATGCATGTACAAGCTCCTGGCATTGACAGTGGCAGCATTTCATTATCGGCCATTTCGTTTTTGGAGAGCAGTGGGCATTGGACATGAACAAGAATGGCACCACCCTAAGCAAAGGAACATTGAGGGAACCTAGTCACAGCTATGGCAGAGCTCAGTGGTAACGCACCCACTTCCCATGCAGCAGACACAGGATCCAAGGGTTTTAAGGATTTGGCAACATCCATGACAAATGCCCTACTGGGACAACTACAATGTCAACAACATCAACTACTACAACGGATGGTCATTTCCCCTGGTGTGGAGCAGGACATAAGAAATGAAGAGGTGTTTCATAATTCACAGAGAAACTCTTTACTGCTTGAGGCGAGAACGGGACTGCTAAGGACAACATCAGATAGGGCTAAATTTCCAAGAAATAAACAGATATGATGCTAGAACATGCGAATTTCAAGTGCATAGGGCTTCATCCTGCTCTCGCTGAGTAGGTAACGGCGCTGCGTTTTGCTGACGTGGCTAGAAGTATGGAGGAACATGGGATTGCAACCACAAAAAGGAGGTTTTACCTAATCTTCGTCCAGAAGCCACCAAAAACTGCGCTGCTGGAAACAAGTTCGACCCGTCGGAGTGGGTGATGCTCCGCTGGCGTCCGCAACAGCGCAGGTTCTTAACTGTGACGGCAAACTAAGAGGCTCCCGCGGCTCAAAGTTTGGATAGGTCCGAATGCCTCGCGGAGTTAGAGGTCAAGCTTGCAACGTCCGTCGCAGAAGCGCGCAATCGGTCTCTGCCCATGACGTGCGACGCAATCACCGAGGAAGAGCGAAAGATGCGGGTCATGTGGTCTTTTGTGAAGTGCGAGATTTCGTTGGACGACACCATGCTTGGAGAAGGTAGCAGTGATGATGATAAGAAGGACAGTGTGGACGAATCATAGTCTCTAGTAGCAGACAGACTGAGAACGACAGCGAGCAGCTTTGCTTGTCCAGCCTCCAGCGCAAGCTTCCGAGCTCCAATAACGATTGAGCATCTTGCGTGCCTTGTGCATGCATGCGCAGTTTTCTAAAGAGACGCCCTGCTCTTCTCACGTGTTGGATGCAAAAAGCGACCCCAAAGTACTTTTTGTTTTGCTCACGCGCAATGTGGAGGACGTCGACCTACAATCGAGTAACTACAGTATGTTCCTGTCATTTTGCTTCGAAAGGCAAGTAGCTCTGAAGTTTTGTGGCGCACCTGGCCTGCCAAAGCGAATATTTTCAGGTTGTGTTTTAATTGTGCATTATGAAGCTCACCTACCTTGCTTGCAAGTGCTATGCAAAACGAAAAAGAAAAAAGAAAAAGAGCAGGAGCAGAGAAGTTGGAAAAACTGCATATTGTCACGAATGACGAGGTGACGACACAAAGAATAACTGAGAAAACTGACACAGTCAATGGAGCGAACTTGTGCCCAAAACAAGTTAAATAAAGCTTAACGTCGCAGGCGTCGATGGCAGCATAACAGCAGGAACGAGCGCTGGGGTGAGACTGACCCTAGCTTGTCACGCGGAGCCCCTTATGTACACACGTGGGCTTCTGGAACAAGCGCGTGGATGGTTTGGCACGTAGAACATTCTAACCTCGAATAAGCAACAGTGTTCTCGAATTTGCCAGAAAGCGATATTTACTCAAACAACAAAAAGGTGCATCCGCAGCCACGAATCGAACCTTGGCTTTTCGGGTGGGAGGCAAGCACAATAACCGTTAGGTCACTGGCGCACTGCCTACTTGGCCAGCTGCGCGCGCTGCAATATTTATTTTGTTCATTTCTTTTTTAGTCCATCGAAGCACATTGACAGACACTCATTTTAGATTGTGGCTCGTACGCGACAGAATGCTAGAGCGCCGTTTCATGGTCGCGTCTGCGAGTGCTGCAGACGATAGATGGTAGTGGAATAGCAGACGATGCCGAAGGCTGCCGCGCATCTTCTTGCACGACTGGCAGGCGGTATCAGACGCCAGACTAGACGCACTAGATGTGGAGACAGAGAAACACTAGGCTCGCAAACATATTAAAAAAAGTCAATATTTTTTTAATCTCAGCGTTTTTTTAGCGAAGTGACATATCAAACTTGGCCACTTCGCACCGGAGTGCTAGGAGTAGAACTTAAGATGAGGGAGCAACCAGGCTGGCTCAATGAGCTAAAAAATTTTGCTCGTTCTTCTAGGTCGATGTTGTATGGTTATGTTTATAGATGAACTGTTACCTTTAAAGAACAATTGCAAAAAAGCATCCTACACTCGAATAAATATGCTAGTCTTCCACGGCTGAGAAGGTTCATATGGAATAAATTGCAGCACGAGTCGCCTCCTGTCTAAAGCATAATCAGATATTACATTTTCTCGGATCCCAAGTTTCTTATCTGCAGTCCCCCGATAAACATACAAATAGGGTTCTCCTCTTAGTAACATCAATGAAAGAATCTCATGTACTCAAATAGTGCTAAAACTGGAAGAACAGTTTACTTAGGGGCAGGAACAGCCGAGAAAATTTAGGGAGTCGGGGAACGCTCGGCTGAAGAAAATCTGGGAGTGCTATAGTTTTCGTTAATATCCTTATTAACAGCGTGCCACAGCAAAGATGTACCGAAGACACTCACGCTTATACGAAAGTAGTTGACCCCGTACATGTCCAAGTCTTGGGCGATCTTGAGGTACTCCATCTCAGCTTCGTCCCTGCGAGACACAGAGGCGCGCAACAGTGACTCACAGGAAGAAGCAAGCTTCAACGGTGATACGCAAGTTCTACGTGCAACTAGACATAGGAATTGCTAAATCCTCCCAAGCTGTTTAGAGGTAATTAAGCGTGCACGACAAACCAGGGTCGGCCGTGGCAGGCCCGCTACCTCCGGGGACGCAGAATTTGAAAGACCCTGCAAAACAGGGAGAGGCCTTGGGGGAAGATTGAGTACTATTGCGCAAGTTTTGCAGTGGCTGACTTTGTCCTTGGTTCTACGTAAAAAAAGAGTAATCCTTCTCTCCGTATAGGTCCAGCCGTGGCAACGTCTAGCCTCGAAAAGACTCGCATACAGTTTTTTTCGCTCTCACTTTTTGCTGAGAGAGCCGGTAAGTGAGGTGAAAAGGACGAAAAATGATTGTGGAACAGGTGAAAGTGAAGCAACGATTTCACCCTCTTTGTTAGTACAGATAAGAGTCCGAGGCAAGGTCTCTGGCAGAGAAGAGTCACCCACCGGGTCATGCCCTTGTGGTCGGCGTACCAGATCTTGATCCGCTCCTCCCACATCTCCAGCGTCATCTGGTACTGGTCGATGACCCGTTGGGGCAGCAGGTCGTCGTTGGCCAGCATTCCCGGAGTGTATGATGCCTCGTCATAGTCTCCGTACTGCAAATGCAAATTTACGAGAATCTCCCTTGTCCCAGAAAGCCAGTCTATGTACCTGTAAGCCCGCTCTAACCGATGCAGGGATAGTAACCTCAACCTGCCCTGCCACGAGCCACGCACGAAAGCGTGTAGAGGCACTGGGCCAACCTTGACCAAAGAACACAAATTTCTTTCGCCATTACACGTCGACGCATCTTGCACGCTAGTATCTGCACATGCCGAACCACTGGAAGTGCTTTTTGCACGTTACGCACCGCGCATGAAACTTGTTGCTCTACTAGGTCTAATGCAGGCACTCCATTGGTCACAGCTCAGGGAGACTGGCATTCTATTTGGATTGTCCCCACTGCTCCCGTAGGGCGATCGAAGGGCCACGGAAGCCCGTTTCAAAACTCTGGCAGAGCTCCTGGGCTCTCTGCACCGTCTGGTGAGTAGTTCGAAGACAAGAGTTGGCATGGACTAGGACTGGGAAGGGTGCTCGGAAGCCTGGAAAGGAGGACGTTGTGGCAGGCCGGAGCGACCAAATTAATGAGGCTTAGGAGTTGACAAAATTATTTTCGTGCCTCCAGACATTCCAACGAGGCTTCGCGTCTATCGAAATTAAATGTTGATTCCAACGCCTCGCACCTGCGCCGCTTCTCGAAGTGAAGACTTGACCTCTGCACGGCCGCATATTGCACCAGGCATGACTTGCCAATCGCTCGTTGCAACAGGGTTTTGCTTCCTGCATGTTTTTCTTTCCCCTTGGCTTTTTAAGCTGAGCGTGAAACTGACCGCAGGTCCCTGTTGCCGACGGCCGTGGATAGGCCCGGCAAGTGCTCGAGTCACTTTCCTGCCAATCCTCCATCCATCTGTCCGAGGACCGAGCCATACCCTTGCACCTCAGTTCTCATAGCCACCATCGGCAACCTGTGCTTCCCCACATCCGGGAGATAATTTCCCCAGCCACATGTGAGCCATGAGTTGACTTCATTTTTGCTAGCTCCAAAGCTTTTAGAGATCAAACTCTATTTTTTGCAGGGATTGTTGTTGTCAAAAATGAGCAACAAAATGACTCATTGTCAGGATGAGAACACTCGGTGGCCGAGTGGGACGGCAAAAGCTCGCTTCGCTGCGCAACCTCCCGGGTTCAATCCCCACACCTGCCCGATCTGGACGAGTATCGGACTGGCGTGCAGTTTGGATTGCTACTGCGCATTAAGGACCCCAGGCTAGCGGTTGTACCGCACTGGCTAAATCACTCATCAACAGCCGAGACACCAGATTGGCCTCAATAGGAACTTCCGGCTGTTCAAACATGCACGCAATGCAATTAGTATCTTTCAAAAAATGAACATGCACACAAACCAGATTCTCTTGAGGTGAAGCGTCCGAGCATGCATTGTGCCGACCGCGGTGCAGCCGCAGTGGCACAATGCATGGGTATCTGTATAGACCTACCTTTACCTAAGTTGGTATAATTAAAAATGAAAGCCGTTTACAACTCCCTGTAACGCCGAATTAGAGCGCAGCTCTTGAGGAGGAGGGAAGGTTACTGGGGGGTGGGTCAAGTGACCTCGGGGGGCGGGGGGGTCACGTGACCTTGGGGGTCACGTGACCTTGTGGGAGTCACGTGACCTTATGGAAGTCACGTGACCTTGGGGCGTCACGTGACGTCGGGGGGTCACGTGACCTGGGGCCACGTGACGATGCCGATGACGTCGTCAGTGACGTCACTGATGACGCCATCAGTGATGATGATGATGACGATGCGGATGCCGGTGACGCCACCAGTGACGTCACTGATGACGTCACCAGTGATGATGACGATGACGATGCGGATGCCGGTGACGTCATCAGTGACGTCACTGATGACGTCATCAGTGGCTATGACGTCAACGGGGGGTCACGTGACCTCGGGGGGGTAATTCTAGTAACCCTTGTGAGGGCAACTCTCGTGACCCTCGTGAGGGTAACTCTCGTGACCCTCGTGAGGGTAACTCTCATAACCCTCGTGACCCTCGTGAAGGTAACCATTTTGAGGGTAACTAACCCTCGTTACCCTCGTAAGGGTTACGAGGGTAAGTAACCCTCACGAGGGTTACTTACCCTTGTGAGGGTTACCCTTTTGAGGGTAACTAACCCTCGTAACCCTCGTGAGGGTTACGAGGGTAAGTAACCCTCGTGAGGGTAACCCTCGTGAAGGTAACCCTTTTGAGGGTAACTAACCCTCGTAACCCTCGTGAGGGTTACGAGAGCAAGTAACCCTCGTGGCCCTCGTGATCCTCGTGAGGGTAACCCTCATGAGATTAACCCTCGTAACCCTCACGAGGGTTACGAGGGTTGCGGTTACGCCGACGCCGACGGCGACGGCGACGCCAACGGCGACGCCGCTCAAGCCGGGAACGGGCCCCTAAGAGCTGCGCTATAAAAAAAAAAAAATAACCCTCTTTGACAAATAAAATTTTCCATTAGCAATCAAGTTGACCCCTAGGGTGCATGACGCTCAAAGCTACATTGCACGGCTTAAGAGCTCAAGCCAAGCGTGCGTTTAGTTAGAAAGCGAGCCCCTTCCACAACGGAACGTGCCCTCGTAGCCAAGTTACGGCGTATACTTAACGAAAAATACGAGTAGATATACTAGCCTCTTTACGTTGCAAGTTCAGAACACAAAAAAGTGCCAGCACAAACACGTAACAAGGCCGATACATACTCCGCATTGTTATTGTCCACTCCTAGTGTTAGTGAACCACTCCTATTTTTCACGGGTGCTTCTTGGTGAGTCTAACGACGTATATTTCCGTAATGCGGCAACAAACTGATGGGGACTTTCCAAAATGCAGTATCCCAATTAAAATCTCAATGGTGGAAAGGTACCTTTGCTTGCACGGCGTAGGAGGCTAGGAGCACGGAGGCCTCGGGTGGGCAGTAGACATTCATGTTGAGGATGGCCTGCTTGACCTGGAGGAAGAACAGGTGCTGGGTGATCTCCTGGATCAGCTCCTCCGACACGTCCTCCGGATAGAACTTGGCCAGGAACAGGAGCACCAGGGGGCTCTGCTTGGGCACTGCCTGGTCCTGGACCTGGGAACATCCCTCTTCCTTACAGGAACCCACTAGGACCATGAGGTCTCTCGCTTCCTCCATGCAGCCCAGGGCCCCATGCTGCCAAGGGGCCCCCAAAAATTTGAAAAAATGCTAGTCGCTCTCAGTTCAGAATAGCTCACACCTAAGGAAGGAGAAAAACTCAGAGGAGCCTGGGCCCTGGCTTTCCCCCCCCCCCCCCCCCCTTTTTTTTAAAGGGGAATCAGGGATGCCATAAAGTTCTCTCCTGGAGACGAGCTGGTGTTTTGTGAGCTCGTTGTAAAAGACTGCTTGAGCAACAAAATGTAAGCACTGCCTCCCACCCTCCTTGTCCCGTTGAAGCCTCTTCTAATCGAAACCAGACGGAAGGACAGAGTTCTCTATTGTACTGGGGCCCCCTCGATGCGTTTTATGAACAAAGGTGGGTTGGAAGGCAAGCGAGTGTTGCCGAAGGCTACTTGAGCAACATACATGCTATACATTATTTTTTGTTTATTTGCGGTCTTTTAGCATAGTTCAATATAGAAAGTTTAAAACGAGTGAAAAGAAATATCGGTGAACCTCCTGAAGCCATATTTCCTAACCACTAACAGCCGTATCAAGGAGCCGACGCTTCAGATATCCCCCAAAAACTTTTAGAGGGGCAGTGACTGGAAGCAACTGCTCTGGAGCTGTGTCTCATCTGCCAGTCGAATTATATGATTGCTGCAATTTTTTTCCCAGCCTCCGAGGTATGACTTATTAAGGGTGATTCACACACTTGCGTCGAGTCTGGGCGAGTGTAACTGCAACGGCTTGCAACATACACGCTGCCATGATGACCCTCAAGACGAGCCAATGGGGAGGCACGACGCAAATCTGTGAACCAGCTTTTATTCTTAGCTTTGAGTAAGACGTTCCAATGGCTGCAAAGTTTTAAATGATTGAAATTAGAAGAAACTAATTGAAAATCCTTTCGAAATAGACAGCATGCATGAGAGAGAGGGGTGTGAAAATATCCCCTTGATCTTCGTGACAAATTCTGTGAATCTGCCCAAATGACAGCGGCTACTATATTACAATCACATTCAGTCTCAATTTCTTCCTTTTATTATTTGAATGCAGAAGTCACTTAGTTGGGGACACGAAGGTTCAGTTGTTATAAGAGAGTGGACAAAGCAGTTTGATCCCTAAACAATTTTACCACCAAAATTACTTTGCTGTCTCTGTTTCTTAACTGTTCATAATTAACTGAATAATCATAATTAACTTAACAGTTCATAATTAATTAAGAAATGACTAGTTAGACAAGCTTCCATCAATTGGAGCAATTACTAGACTAAAAACGCTATATCATACCTGCCAAGTTCGGAGAAACCAAATCCGGGAAGGGGGAAGAAGGGGGGTGGAGTTTTTTTTTTTTTTTTTTTTTTTTTTTAAGAAATGTTGACAACAAATGTACATGAAGACAACCTGATTAGTACATTTATATTGCACTGCTCATGCTAGCAAGAAGCAGCTCGGCCTCGCTATCATTCCTGCAGCCGTTTGTTGCGAATGCAAAAACTCATTATTTGAAGGGGGGGAGGGGAATTAGCATTTTCCGGGAGATTTTTCAGTCAATTGCACAACTACTGACAAATTTGTCAAAATTTGAGAGCCTCCCGGGTAATAAGAAAGACTTGGCAGGTATGCTATACTCTCAGAACAGTTTTTGAGCTGCGACTCTCGAGACATGTCTTTAGAGCAGCGAAGTTGATTTTTTTTTTTTTTTCTTTCTTGTAATGTGAATTTTTTTTGTATCCTTCGAGTTATTGTCTAATGCAATTTGTCCCCAAGGAATTATGCCACTCAACATCAAACAGGTCATCTGTGCCATCTCTCTAACTCAACAGTATGATAAATTTATGGAAGTAGAAAAAGACACCTACCGTATAGTTAAGGTGATAAAGCTGGTCAAACAAGCTCATAGCAACACGGAGTCATCATTTTCAAATTTTTCACGAAAGTTTAAGAGGCCCTATGAAGCTGCTCAATGTGCGCGACACTTGTTCCTATTTTCCCCAATCATTCATTGCTTTGCATTTTGTACCACTTAGTGAGCGACTGGCTATTTCTAAAATAGCCTCTAATCCACCACATCTGCTTCATTTCCACCCAGTGAAATCCAAATTTCCTAATCATTGAATCTACCGATACAGAAACCTTCTAAAATATATAATAAAATGAACAATATTTATATTTCATAAAGTGTAATACATATTGCCGTCATTGTCATTACCACCACCACTACCATTCTCATCATGCTCAGTATTATCATCATGAACAGCCTTAGCCCAGGGCCCCAAAATTCCTTAATCTGCCCCTGCATGCATGCACTAGGATTTAGCTTAACAATAACAAGTTGGATAATCCATTGGCACCTTTTAAAAGCTCAGATGGTGCCACAGCATGGCACTGAGGTTTTGCGTGCTCCGTGCAGCCACAGGTAAAGACCCATTATGGACCTCTACAATGTTCAGATGTAAGCATCAAGAGCTGCCTCGACTGACAATATCAAGGACGTGCCATCTCCTGGCCATAAGAGTACTGCAGTTGTTTCTTACATCTCATATTTGTCACGAGTGTCTCGTATGTCGTTTCCGCTCATGCTTGGGAATACTTTTATGCTGGCTAAACACAGGCCTAATCCAGTGGCTCACTAACTCATCGGGTGAGTTGGAGTGAAACTGCTCTCAAGTAAATTCACATTAAAATCTTTGTCGGAATGCCGGCCTCTGAAGACAAGACCGGTGGTTTTGTGGTCTTAGACGAAGGAACCTGTAGAGAGAAGGTCACCAAAGCATTTGAAAGGATCAACTAAACGAGAGACCATCAGGATCTTTGCACGCAAAAGCAAAAAGACTTTGCACCTTGATGAATCTGCCCTCGCTCAAAAAAACACTCTAATCTCCCGCAAAACAATATCTTTTACATATTTTTTTTACAGCCAAGACACACGAGTGTATTTGAAAGAGGTTGCTGGCAAAAACATTTCGCCTTAAAGTATCTCTCCACGGTGACCCTCCTCCACCCCTTCAGGATTTCCAACCCCACGGAACTTATCTTCCACCTCACCTCCCCTACACCCCACCACTCAGCCACACTCCTATGTTTTAGTTAGATATAGAACAACTATTGTACAGTCTTGAGAATTTCGTCTCCGACGCAATGCATGAACACAGTCCCTCTAAATTTCAAAACACCTCAGTAAAGAACTTTGCAGATCTCCTTGCCTTATACCTTCAGTACGCTCTCACTGAGCACAACGGCAAGATATTAAGGCAAAAGAAAGGCATTTGTATAGGCTCCTGCCTAGCCCCGGTGCTCAGCAATGTTTTCGTCATGTACGTAGATTTAAGTCCCAACACAATGTTTTCGCTCCCGAAAGCCGAGTGTATCGATACATAAATTATTATCTAGCCGTTCATCCGACCTCCGTCTCTTCACGGACCATTTAAGAAGTCTTCCATTACTGTTCATAAGCCTATTCATCAGCTTACGAGGGAAGAGCCAACAGTAGAGGGACTACAGTATCTGGATCTAAGACTTCATCTTCAACCTCAAAGCTTGTGCTAGAGTTTCCAGCAACGATCCAAAAAACTGGTTCTCCCCTTCTGCAGCAACCACTCCAAGTCGATACAGCTTGGAACTATTCGAGCCCTCTTTGCCTCTTCTCATTCAAAACCCTGTCCCAAACCTCTCATCAGCAAGCGTCCAACGTCAGCATGATCGACTTCTCCAAGCCCAGGAGACCTCCTCCGTACTACCCTTCAGCGTCTTCATCACAGCCCCCAACCGTCCTTAATCTAACAACAAAGGCCATAGACACACACGCCCGGCTTGCATTCCATACGTGCATAATACTGCCCACCGCCTGAAGAGACTCGCCGCTTGGTTCGATACGAAGGATGAAAGTCGTCCACCAGGATGCACCATCAAGCACTCCGACATGTATGTTGAATGCCAAGAAAAGCCATTATATTCTATTCCACTGAGTTGGGATAGCCAATCCATCGGCCATATGCAACAACGCTTGAACGTTCGCCTTAGGGAACACGACTCATCGTCAACAAGGCGTTTACAAATCAATAAGGACTCTAGATCTTGCTAGGTTCACTTGACAATGACCTAGATTCAGCTCCGGAGACAGATGGATGCTAACGGCTGTACCCTTTATAACAGACGGTAGCTTGCGCCACCTAGCATAGAAATTAAGAACCAAAAGTATGATTTATTTCCTTCGCTAGTTTGCTCACCCTCTGCAATTTCGTAATATAACCAGGCGGTGTGGGACATCCCCAGGATGACCTTTGGGAGCAAAAAAAAAAACTAAAAACCATCATCCCCCTGAGGCAGTCACCAATTTTCCTCTGCTAAACCCAGCCAGGGTAACCCCGGCACCGGGCCTATTGGGAGACGGGGTGGAGACTTTGGGTCGGAGCCACACAGGAGGGAGTACCAATTTTCCTGTCCTGCCTGTCCTTAGCTGTGATAGTTGTGCGTCATTCAAATCTCATTATATAATTTCCACCAGACTTCTAATCTCTGGCAACAGAAAAAATGGGGGGTTACATGGGCAGCCCATGTCGGGCATGCCCACACTTTGCCACTGTGGATCCCGCCTCATTGCTAGCGTGGTCCACGCAGAGCCTAGGTAGGACCTAAGGCAATGTTACATGGGCTGTCCCGAGTTTGTTTTATTCTTTCTCTTGCCAGTTAATGTTACCAACACGCCCTGCAGATAATGTGATCTCCTCTTTGCTATTCGCCCCAACCAAATCTGTCGCCCCCTCTGGGAGGGCGGGGGCAAGCCCTGTGCACCTCAACACCACATGTTCTATTGTCTCGTCTCCCCCTTGGCACACGGCACAACACCTTTCCATATACTTTTGTGTCTATGGTGACTTGTCTTTCACCCCAGTTAGCACGAAGAAGCTTGTCCCCTTTCCTTCCTACTGGAATTTTTTCATTCCACCCAAGACTCTGGGGAAAAAGGTAAATGCAGCCCCTGCTCTGCTAAAGAGGAGAGGGCTTTGTGGAAAGATTTTAAAAGGTTAAAAACAGTGCAAAAAGACACGGACAGGGAACATGTCCACCCACAGAGTACCGACTTTCAACTGTTTCATTTTTGAAAAAAGACGCCCACTGTTGTGCCCACACACATCCCATGACATTACAACACAAACGTCACATCATATCAACTGACCATTGCGTCGAAAACTGCTAATGAACGCAAGTTCACAGTAAAATAAACAGATAGAGGGAGGGCTGACACACCTATCTTTGTACTTAGAAATGAAAAATGGTTCCGCAATCACTCATCTTTTTTCAGCAATTAAACAGTTGAAAGTCAGCGCTCCGTGTGTTCCCTGTCCGTGTCTCTTTCCCTTTTAAAATGCAACACCAACTAGCCCAAATCACCACAGTGCTACAATTTCTGAGAGAAGCCTGTCCTGCCACTCTTAACCTGCGACAGACAATGCCCACTTTTGATGTTCTTTTGCATATCGAGAGAAGGTTGGGCACCAATGCACGCAGGCGAGTCATCCAAATTAGCCAATGTCACGTGGCAGACTTTAGGAGACAAAACAAATCGTTACGCAGCTAGGTACAAACGTAGATCTGGCCCTTGTTGTCACACCAACAAAGGATCCAGAAGAACAAGCGTCACCGACGCGAGTATGTCGAGGACTGGCAGATTGGGCAAAGGTACCTTTTTGTCGAGCTTGAGCCAGACGACGAAGCTCTTGGCGTCCACGTACTGGAGACCGAAGTACCAACTCTCCCTCAGCCCGATTGTCCGGCAGACCAAATCGAAAAGCTCCTGCCCGGTCGCCTTGTGCTGAACGAGGAAAAATGAGCCTTCTCGTGAGGAAGACAGCCGCGTCGAGGCGGCCGACGGACTTGGATTAAACATCCAACTCACGTCGAGATCGAATTCCAGCTCGGCGTCCATCGTCGAAACGCGAACTGGAAGCACCTTGCCTGGCTTCCGGCTTTTCTTGAACGGCATCTTGAAGTAGTACCTCGACGACAGCGTGCTGCTTTTATGGCACCGACGAGCAGTCGGTGATCATGTCGCGGTAAATATTTCTCCGATTACTAGGTCAGCAAACTGCGAATATCGCGCCTGACCTGCCAGTCGCCTCGTCGCATAGCGATCGTTGGTCACACTGGGAGGCCTGCTCGGGACCGACACTCGCTGGCAACTGACACCTTTCGCAAGATTTCCACCAACATGCGCGCAGTTTCCGACGTATTTTCTTTCTCGTTAAACTAGCCAACTTTCACGCTGGGAAACATAGCAATAAATAACCCTTCTGTACGGAATCTAGATGGTCCGCCCATAGTTGCTGCATCGGCTCGCTGCGAGATCAAAACCTCGTCAAAGAATGTCAAAATTCGCTGACGCAGTGTTTTAAAGATATATATTTTTCTCCAGTTGGCGTTTCAACTATGCTACGTGCCATACATATTTACTTGCGTAAAATATTTCTGGCTTATTGCGAATGGCGGTGCTGGTTACGCATGATTCCATTAATTTCAGCGTCGTTAGCTCGCGCCCCCTGAGAAACGGTCAGGTTCAGTCCGCGCCAATCTCGCTTTCCCGCCTTCTTTCGCAAGTGACGTTCTTTTTCAGGCTGCATTTAGGAGTACCCACCTGGAAACTGATCTGTGCTCACTAATTAAGTTCCGATTTTAATCGACGATTTTTGTGCCCAAGAAGCAATGGCATCTCCCTTGACTGGTGGCGCAGTCGAGGTAAGTTACTCGGGAAACTGCGTCAGTTCCTCGAACGACGTTTCATCATGTTTTTCTCCCTCTCTCTCTCTCTTTCTTTCTTTCTTTCTTTGTTTCTTTCTTGTTACTTCTGAGACTGGGTGTGAAAAAACGTTGAAACCATAGCCGTAGACTTCGGGGGGCTGCAGGAACTCGTGCCCCCCCCCCCCCCCCCCTGGTGAGATCCCGGGGAAGGGAGGGGGTGGGGGGGGGGGGGGGGGTGCTGGGCTGGGCTGGGCTGCAGGGGCAAAGACCCCCCCTCCCCCCCCCCCCCCCCCCCGCCCCCTTCGGGCCCGGGCCATCATCCTTACCGAGACGCTCTTTACGTGCCATGTAACAAGCTTTTAGTAGTGGCATGTAAACAAAATAACGCCCACGTTGCCTTTATTGACGAAATACATGGGAGATGGAATCCCAGCGTGCTTTCGTTAGCTTCAATCTCCAGTTCTGGCGAAAAGATAACGCGCACCTCCCCCGACCCCCCCCCCCGGAGAACTTCTCAGCATTGCCCCCCCCTCGAGGAAAATGGAAAGTCTACGCCACTGGTTGAAACAATCAAAAGTAGAAACGACAGGGAAAGAAGTCAGTCACACGACGTCTCAAACAGACGTCGTCTCTCTAACTTCTTTCCTTGTCTCTTCTACTTTTGGTTGTTTCAAGATTTTCTCACCCAGCTGTCACCAGCTCGCCTGCGCCCTCACTGTTCATGTTTCATTGGCAGATTGTTTCATAGACACGCAATGTTTCATCGACAGCTCAGATTTGCTTTTTTCTGTAATAAGCTGCATCAGACTGTTGCCGCGAAGCGGCCTGTATGGGTGTGTCAGGTTAGAGGTTCTGTATACGGGAGCCAGAGTTGCGTGCTCATCCCTTTAGCGTCAGCTTTCCTGCACGGCATTCAGAGTCTGCTCCCCACGTGACGGAATTCGGCGAATAGCGGCACCGCGCCTCCGAGGCGCGCGGCACACTCAAAAGGGAATGTACGGCGGGGCTACTTTCCTGCACGGCATTTGAGTCGGCTCCTCACATGATCGGACCTCGGCGAATAGCGGGGCGGCGGCATGTGGAAAACGGGCGTTTTTTTCAAGTGGATTAACATTTTTGTAACGAGCCGCCGTAGACAGCAGCTTAAACGGGGCGGCCTGAAGGGTTAAAGGGGTACTGAATCAAAACTTAAAATGTACAGTCGGGGACAAAAGTCCCCAGGATGTGCGAGCTGCGACTGAAACGCATTGCTCTGCCATCTGCCGGCGGGTCGCCTGGTTTCGAGATCACAGAAAAACGGATGCACGTCCTTCTGTGCCTGCCAACATATGCGCTTTCCCACTCTTCTGTGGCGCGGCGCCTAACTCGGAATCGGGCACATGGTACCGCCTCGGTGATAGCGCTTACTGACATGGCACCCATAAAGCAAGAAATCACAGCAGCTCAACTGAGCGATAAGCTGAACTGGTTATAAAGCAAGGTGCGCTGACACGGCGAAATGCGGCGCAACGCCGCAGGCGGTATCTCCAGTTTCGGAACGTGTAGCAGACGCTCATCAGCCGCCAGCGCTATCTCTGATGCGGTACCATGCGTCCGATTCCGAGTTAGGCGCTGTGCCACAGAAGAGCAGGAAAGCACGCATGTTTGGAGGCAGAGTAGGACGCGCATGCGCTTTTGTGTGATCTCGAAACCAGGCAACCCGCCGGCAGATGGCAGAGCAATGCGTTTCAGCCGCAGCTCGCATGTCCTGGCGACTTTTGTCCCCGACTGTACCTCTCGCATTCAGCAAGAAGTTAGACATAATCAACTCTTTCTGCTGATGACAATCACATACTTTTATTTCAAACGGATGGCTGTATCTTTCATTCTAAATGTTCAACATTGGCGAGTGCTTCAATATCAGCCATTGAAAAACGCGGTGCGTCTCGCCCACTCGACTTGCCCACGACGCCATTGGCCTCGCTATGCCCAAGTGTACTGTAGTTATGAGCGATGACACTTGATGGCGTCACCGCGTTACTGCATCACTTAGAGTGGCCAAGGGCTGTAACCTACCACCTGGAGGCGTATTGCAGAGCCGGCGGAATTGTGGGCGCTATGATAACACACGGTGCATTGTCTGCTCCGCGACTTGGCCGACATGAAGACATCGGCAACGTCGGTTTCGGGTCGAGCTTCTTTGAACGGGACGTCTCGAGGTGGCTAAGGTACCTTTGTCATCTTGCACAAGGCAAGATGCCAGTAGATTTTCTACCTCGTTGTCTAGGCTGACAGCAGGATTATGTGTGACATTGGTAGGACAAGGCAATTGGTGCTTACCTGATTTACCACCAACTAATCACAATGACCTGACTCGGCGAGAGTGCCAGCTTCACAAGCAAATAAATATTGCTTTGAAGACGCCTACCAGCTGGCATTCTTCATTTATTAAAGCGAAACAGAGAAACAGGCCGAGTCCGATGGAGCAGCACGGCAGGCATCGATAGTGGTGTGACTGCAGCATCGTCACGCAACTGCGAAGAAACGTGCACACCATGACGATTTTGCGACATTCCTTGTCACAAGGGCAACCACTAAAGAAAAAAGGCGTAGGGGTAGCTTGCGCTGGGTCTCGACAGGACGCAATTTTTCGAGCGAAAGCACAGAGCACATCGTCACACAAAACCTACCATGAAAAAATGCTCGCACCGCCACGATTTTGTAACGCGACTCGCCTTAATGGCTAGCACTAAACGAATAAAGAGAAGCGATCGGCACCACTTTTGTTGGTCTCGTCCAACGAGGCTTATGCGTTTGTCTAGGCGGCGGGGGGGGGGGGGGGGGGGGCACTTAGCACATCAACTGCGACCAAGTTGGTCGGCGAGACGATTCCTGAATTCTCACATCGTCGCACAGAAAGTACCGCGAACAAAGGCGGATACCGGCACAGCTCTGCAACGAGAGGTCGGCCTCACTCGGTGAAAACAACTTAGAAAGCAGCGTACGCCATGTTAAAAAGGATAGTTCATCAGCCCCTGACGGCCCCAAACGTCAAAGAATGGGTGGAAGTGATTGGTTGGTGTAGTGAATCCAAGGTGGCCAATTGTGCTTTGGCTATCTTCACCAAACCTTTGGTATTGCATTCTGGCCTAGGTAGCCTGTACTAGCGATAGTGAGCGAACTTCCCGTATAGTGGCACTGCCGTCGGAGGTCGATGCCGTCACACTATTCTGTTCAAGTTTCATAACCAACAACCAGGAGTTTTTCTTGTTATCGTTAAATTCAGTTTAAAATAAGTTTTCTTGTTTTTTCCAACAAAATAGTGATGTTTCTGAGGTTCTATTGCTACCTACGTCATGTTGAATCAAAGAAATAAGCTCCAGATTTTTGTTTCCGTATCTCTTTAACACTCGCCCCAGTGATACACACTCGACGAAATGTCCCTACAGTGTGCACCTTGCATAATGAGTGTTAATGATCTGTTCGTGTCAATGAAACGTTTGTCCACAGAAAGTTCTCGATGAAACGTAATTCCACGAGACGAGTTTTGACAAAATGATAGGGTCTCCTGATGAAGTTAGTTGCATGTCTTAACTTCCTCTTTGATCGACCGACTTGATTTTGCACCTTTCCCCGGGATTTCTCTGTATTATCTCTTCTTTTTCGAGAAGAAATGGCTCATGCCAAAGTTTCAGGGTGGGGCTACGGTGAAATAAACAGAACAGCTCGCTTTGTTGTTCGAAAGTGTTTTGTCAATTACTGAATGTGTGACCCTGGCCGGCATGAGTCTGCTTCATTAAACTGCATTTTTTCTAGCGCATTCTGAATGGCGAGACGGTGGACAAGCCGGTCCTTCAGGTCCTGGTACGTAAGACACAACGTCCACTTATTTCATGGTGCTGGACCCCATAGCAGAGCGCAAGATTAATATACCTTGTAAAATGGCTAACATGTTCTGTGCTTGACTTCTATTTGTCGAACAACCAACTAGCCTGAGCAGTTATCGGCAGCACTGCTCCTTCGCCACAAATATTTTCTGGGTGGCACTCAGTTAAGGGCTGTCCAAATGGGAGAAATTGTGAGACAACACAACTCCGTTTGAAGTCGTGGAAGTTGAAGTGGTTCAAAACCGATTTTTGAGTGAACACCGCCGAGCAAACATCACAACTTTCCTCCTCGCTTCCTTTGATTTTCGGTGACCTCAGTGTTCGTCAGTACTGTCACACGCCACCTACCAATGCTGTCCATTTGTTCTGCCGGGCCCTCGTATGCTTTACCATGTTTTAAAATTTACTCGATGTTACTCCACAGTAAGGGTTGTGTAGCTTTGCGTTCGTAAACCTACTCATGTCTTGCATTGCTCTATCTGTGTTATCACATGACACGACCCGCCGGAGTTACTTGGATCTATTTGGGTAAGATTTGAAGCACAGCCCTTTCCCTTTTTCTGGACCTGAAGAGCAGTGGAGGCTTTGAGCAATTGACCAAGAGCCAACAGAGCGCATGGGTGGCTGTCTGGTCCCATATGATGAGCATGCTCAAGGCCCCCCATGAATGAACTTTGATGGAGTGAATTCCTTCCGAGCAAAAAGAATAGACGGAAGCTTACCGCTGCACAACTTATGTCAGAGTTGTGCTGCCTCACGATTCCTGAAGTATCCTTTTTAGACAGGCCTTTAGTCGAACAACATTTTAGCGAACAAAGTCCCACCCCCGACTTTTCATTAAAGGACACTTTAGTGAATTCGGCCGCCGCAAAGTGGCTTGTGTGGGCCAGATGGGTTCACGTTTTTTGTAATGAGCCGCCGCAGACTCTTGCTGTGAAATGGTGTGAAGAGGTTGGAGGGGAGGGGCGGCAGGAGATGGCTTTTGGGACTATTTTATTATAAACAATGTACAAGTTTCAACCTACATGATCCCCTTTTTTTGTAACTTCTGTATTATACGTCTGCGAGTTTGGCTTTAAAGAGCAGCAAATGCTCTTTCGGTCTTGGTCTATCTGCATACTTATTCATATTGTCACAAGTGGTGACCAAAAGAACAATCAAGAAACAGGACCAAAGACGTCGCATATCGCGCGCTTTCGGTACCGTGGGTCGCCCCCATTGGTGGAGGAGGTTTCCGCGTCGTCCGGCTAAAATATGACGCGCTAATATTTAGTTACTCTCTTTGTGCTCGCTGGCTTGCCCGAACCCCAAGAGACGTGGAAACCGCAAAAAAGGTAGACGCTTAAATATGATTGCAGGGCCCCTTTAAACATATTGGTGTCGTCTGCATAAAGTATAACAGTATCGATAGTTTGCAGAATGTTTACGATATCATTTATGTACAACAGAAAAAGGAATGGTCCTAGAATTGACCCCTGAGGCACACCATAATTTATTTTCTTTAGTTGCAATTCATACTCATTGATTTTTACATATTGTGATCATTTAGATAAGTACATATGAATTAGGTCCCAAGTTGTGCCCCTTATGCCATAGTGCATAAGCTTTTTCGGAAGCATGTCACATTTAATCAAATCAAATGCCTCTTGAAAATCCAAAAAGAATTTCTACAGTAAATAACTGATTTTCAAAAGTATTTATTATTTTATATTTGGTGTATAACGAGGCTTTTTCTTTGGATTTGTTTTTCTGGAAGCCATATTGTTGCTTTACAGTTATGTCATTTGTTTCAGGGTAACTAGGAAGCGTAACATTGATTACCTGTTCTAGAAGTTTTGAGAATCGCATGGAAATTGGCCTATAGTTATTTATTTTGTTGCATGGACCACTTTTATTTACGTATGGCACAAACTCTGGCAAACTTTCTCCGGAAATATACCAGTCAATAATGATGCGTGACAGATGTGTTCCAGAGGGGAGCTTATAAAGTGTGTGACTGCTTTAATCAGTGCTGCTTTTATATCATCTGATTCAACTGCTGTGTTATGACTTAAAATTCTGGATCTCCATCACAGGGCAGAGGAAAACTGAATTTGCAGATCATTTGGAAGTACATAGTGGTGCTGAGAGATAAGGCACCCGCAGTGTTCCATACTTTTTTTCGGGACATTACAAACGTGAATTTACTGCTTGCGTTCTTTCTTGATGTCTGCGTTTAGCTTAATCCTTATCTTTTTATGTTCACGTACCGACTCCTCTCTTTTTTCGATAAAACCATCATGGAGTTAATCTCGCCGATTTATTCTTCTATGCATATCACGAGCGATTCGTGGTTTTCTTATTTTCTCGTGTTTTTTGACTATTTCGCGAGGGAAACGTTTCGTCATAGATGTTGTAGCATGTATACTTGGATTGCTTTCACTGAATAAATCGTCCTAATTAATGTTTGATATGAGGTTATAAAACTTAGTTATATTGGCATAATCAATTCTTCCACAAGCTGTGACAGCTATGGAGTGCTTTGCGTCTATTTGTTCAGAAGGAAGAATGCAAAATATTGATAAGCGGTCACTGACTGGAGAGGAAAAGATTCCAGATTGTTTCACTTGGTAGGTCGCTTGTGATCCATAAATCGATTCTGGTTGCACTGTCCCGAGTTATTCTTGTTGGTGCAGTAATAACATTGGTGCACCCGAATGATTCAATTGTATCAAGGAACTGTCGGCAGAGCGGATGCGACGGGTTGATATTAAAGTCCCCTATTGGTATGATTTATAAATTCAATGAGGTCATATGCTCCAAAAGTTTAACTACATAATTCATAAATTCAGATTGGCTCCCTGTTTGGATCTTTTAGGTGCTCTATTTGAGTTTGTAAATTAAAATAAGCTGAACATTAGATGTGGTGGTGATTTTATCGTGAACTTGCTAAATAATAGTTTCAAAAAGGGAACTAGAGAACTTAATAATCATGAATGGTAGTGGAGCGTAATCAGTTAACCACTAGGGTAAATGTTACTTCAGAATTGTTGATCGATACTAATTACGGAGGAAAGCCATGTAAGGTCTGGAGTAATAAGTTCTGATTTTAGTGATCATCTTCCCATTTTCATGTGTTAAAACCAGCTGTGCAAAGAAACAAGTGCCAGTGTCTTTTGTGTTAGTCCACTGTATTACGCCGGACAGTTAGGAGAGGTTTGCGCAGAATGTAGCTAACACAAATTGGGATGACGTTTTCGAAAATGGAGACCCCACCCCAATGAGGTGTGCAGTTTATTTTTTGGAGCAGTTAAAAGCCTTTACACCGTCGATTTTCCCTAAAAAATAAAGTTAAAAAGCAGATTCGGAAACCTTGGGTAACGGTTGTTACTTTGAAGAATAAATATTAAAAACTCTCCCTATAAAAAGTTTACCAAGACTAGAGATCCCAATGACCTCGTGACATTTAAAAATTATGGTAATCGACTAACAAAGGACTTGAAAAAAGGGCAGGAAGCATTACTATTATGGATCTTTTAGTTCTTCACTAGGCCACAGTGACTTCATGTGAAAAAACTTAAATGTGGCTGTCGGGCATGGTAAGCGCTCCAACCATCATCATCATCATCATTTATTATTCTTGAAGGCCCAGGGGGCATTACACAAGGGAGTGAACACTTAAAAAAACAAACAAGTAACAAAACTATTTATCTACAGAAACACGCTGTAATCTAGTTATGGGTTAGAAAAAATAAGCTAATGGCTGCAGAAAATTTCTTGGTATCAGATAAGGAAACAATTACGTCAGGCAGTGAGTTCCAGTCGTCAATGGCCAATGGTAAAGTAGAGATTTGGTGAGTGACGGTTGACGATGAAATCGGACGGAGTTTACACGAATGGTCGAGACGAGGGAAAATGCGGTAAGGAGGTGATAACAAACTTTGTCTGAGATGACTGTTATAATAAAATATCCGATGAGGAAGAGAAAGACGAGACACCCTGCGGCGAAAAAGAGTGTCAAGGTTAGCTGATTGGCGAAGTCCTGATATGCTTGCGTATGGGGAATAGTCGGAATAAATAAAACGGAGGGCCCTGCTTTGAACGGATTCCAGGTTGTTAGTTAGGTATGCCTGCCACGGTGACCATATGGAAGAAGCGAATTCTAGTTTAGTTCTGACCAAGGTAGTATAAGCTAGTAGTTTTACGGGGTATGTAGCTTGTCTGAGGTTACGGCGAAGAAATCCGAGAGTGCGGTTAGCATCGGCGATGACAGTTGTTATATGAGTGGTCCATGACAGGTCAGATGTCATAGAAAGCATTTCTTCTGTTGGCGTCAAGTTAACTAACATATCTTTAGCAGGTGTATTTAATGGCTATTTTATAAATTTACCTCCACATAGTTATAGCGGCGGCGCATGCAAAAATGTTGCTTTTAAAGAGTGACTATTTTTTTACGTCCAGTTTACGGCTGTTATAAAATTATATAACAGTCCCACTTTTTAAATTGTATAGTTTTTTTTTGCTTGTTTTTTTCCCAGGCACTAGAGAGTTGTTTGGTATAGAGTGATTGGAAGGTGGGCAAGGTGGTTCCTTTATCTAAATCCGGTGAAGTATGTTCACCACCTAACTACAGGCCCATTTCATTAAGTGTGTTCCCTGAAAAACTTAAGAATCTAAAATTTATTTCAACATAATTAAATTCCTTGAACTTTATTAATTTTTTACGTCGTACCAGCATGGATTCTGTAAGGCATTCTCATGTGAGACTTGACTAATATCATTTACAAAAGAACTTTTACTGCTTTAGAAAATGGATTTTATGCTGACTACCTATTCCTAGATTTTCTTAAACTTTTTTTTTATTTTGTTTCTCACCTACTACTTTTTTAAAGTTAAGCACGCTAAACAATAATAGGAACATTATTGATTAGATTGAACAATTTTAATCTAACAAAATTCAGTTTGTAACCGCTAATGATTTTGACTCTTCTCCTTGCGTGATCGGCTCTGGTGTACCGCAAGGCTATTTCAGGATCTCTGCTTTTTCTTATTTACATAAATGATTTCACTAATTTTACCAACTCATCCATTAAATTATTAGCTCACGACTGTGAAATTTTTTGTGTTATATCCTCTAGTTCCGATACCTTCATACTTCAGTCTGGCCTGCTTTGTGCAACACGTGGAAAATGTGTTTTAATTCTAATAAATGTGAAGTGATGTAAACCTCCTGCCATGCTAATAGTGAAATCTACTCCAACTATAACATTGTAGGGTCTGTGCTGGAACAAGTGATGTCCTACAAGTACCTTGGTGCTCATATCGCCGCTAACCTCTTGTAGCAAATGCATATCAACTATATTGTAAACAACGCTAATCAGATGCTTGGGTATTCACGTAAAAAATTATCTATGGTTCCTTCTTTCAAGCTTTTACTCTACAAAACTCTTGTCCATTCCAAACTCGAGTACGCTTGTGCGGGATCCAAGCCTAAACTTTCTTAACAATAACCTAAAACCAGTTCAAAATCACAGTGCACGTTTCATTTTGTCTAACTACCGCTCTATGCAGTAGTTAGATCTCGCTCTATGCAGAAAAGTGTCTAGGCTAGCCTTTTTCGTAAAATTTATCATCACAATCACTTACTGAAAAGCGAGCTGCTCTTAAAACTGTCATACTTCTCATCCCGTGTAGACCAAAGTCATAAAGTAGGTGTCCCTCACTATCGCACTAACGTGTACTTTTTTTCTCATTTACTCTTAAAACAAGCAACAAATGGAACCACCTGCCCACCTCGATCACCACCATAACAGATCTACTCAATTTTAAATCTGCCATTGAAACACATGTTTTTGTCTTACTAATCCACCTTTGCTTGGGAGAAGAGCGTGTTTGGTTTAAGTCATAGCTGAAGAAGGAATAAAACAATTAAAACAGGGACAACACAACCACATCTTTCAACTAGCAACAGAGGAGTGGCCTTTCAACTAGCAAGGGACGTCTGTTGCTAGTTGAAAGATGTGGTTGTGTTGTCCCTGTTTTAATTGTTTTATTCTTTCTTCATCTATGAATCCACCTTTGTGTCTTTTATGTTGTTGTATTGCATATATGTTGGTGTTATCGTTTTATTTTTGGTTACCAGTTCCTTCTGTAATGCCTTCGGCCTTGGAGGTATGGAAATAGATAAACGAATAAATACACGGTGAACGGAGTGGAGTCTTTCTCTCCTCAGAACTTCAAGCCCATCGCTGGCAACACCACGGACCGTTATCGGCTGCTGCTCTCCGATGGAGTCAAGTGCCACACTTGTGAGTGACACAGTCGAGGAAACTTTATCTTTTCGCTGCTGTCTTGTTTTTCTTGTTGTCCATTCTTTTAATGTGTTAGCATTTGTGCCCTGCTACATGCACTGACCTTAAACTGGTTTGGAGCACACATACATAAAAGTGACATTCGTCTGGGGCGTGCGCAGCAACGAGAAAATGCTGCCCCCACGGCCACGCCACCGTGTAGGTGCACCACATGACGCACTACCAGGCGAAGCATCCCACCGTGCGACGCGCTCGGTGGAGTCTTTGCAAGGGCAAAACACGAACGGGTGGACTGTTAAAAAAATCCGCCATGAGTGGGGCGGCGGTTTGCGCCATCTAGCGAGGAATGAAAGCAACAAATTGTCTTTCAAGTGGATGTTTCAGGTACACATGTACCTGTTACTGAAAAAATTCGCCTGCCAACGTAAAAAAAAAAAACACACAAAAAAAAAAAACACGTTGACTATGAAACAAAGCGTTTATTTATACATATGTGATTTTATTGTCAAGAAATGTATCGTGATATATCTAGTATGCGTGATGGAAGCTTGTCACGGAGTGGGGGTCTAAATTAAGTATACCCGATAAAAGAAACACTTCGAGATTAAACAATAAATTACTTAAGAAGATTAAAAATGCTAGGCTTGCACCGGTGACAAGTGATAGGTCTACGCCCGACGTGAAAATAGAGGCGACGGCACGCCGGGGTTAAAATAAAAACAAGAAATTTCATTAGGCGATAAAAAGCCGCGAATAGCGACAACATGACGAAACCATCGGAACGAAACGTGAACACCCGTTACTCTAACAACACACAAACCTTCGGGCAGCGGGGCCACGAAGTAAACAAAACGGCACTCAATACCCGGCAACGCAAAACAACTTGCGCTCGTAACACAAACGGCAGCCGGGAAACATGTTCGCCGCTGCGCAAAAGACGAAAGTTCCGAAAAAGGAAAGTTCCACCACGGGACCCAAAGTCCAGGTAAAAGTTAAAACTAAGTCTGAAGACTCACCGACGTCTTGGGTCCAACGGACGACGAAGGCATCACGTGCCCGGCGTGGTGGGCTGGTTGCTTAACGGCCGACGCAATGCAGCACCGCACACGCACACTTCCCGAAAAGGGAGAAACTGACGCCCGTCGTCCCTGCTAGAATCGTTGCCAGTGCAGAGGGCTTGAGGAAAAGAAGATAGCAGCGCCGACGTCGCGTTCTCTGGGGCCGCCATGTTCTGCAAGACGAGGAACGAAGACGAGGCGAGAGAGAGGGGAGGTGCCGAAGGGAGTGGAGAGTGTTAACTCAAGGTTGCAGTGCGCGGACCTGGGTGGTCTCCGTCCGACGGTGCAGCAACGCACTGGTGCTGCGTGCCGCAAGAAGTCCCTGACAAACGTAATGCAGCCGCACCGACACGAACAGGCAAACGATACGCGTCCGTCGGTGCAGCGCGGTGTGTTACGCTGCGCCCCAGACCAGTGTGACAAAAGTTTGCAACATCGCCATGGGATGGCACCCCAATGGCTGTAGGAAACATCTGCTGCAAGCACTGACAGATGGCGGCAGGGTGCATATTTTGGGAGGCTCTACGATAAGATGTGTAGCAACGGAGGCTGCACTGGATTTGGTTATAGGGAGCTTCACCGTGACGTAACACCTAGAAACCGAAGATTGCCGCGCAGGGGAAGTAAGTGCGCTTATGGTCAGACTGGAGTACGTGTATAAGGGTGCATACTCTAGTCTGGTCGTGGTTTGCCTTGCCCCGCTGTCTCCCACTGTACGTCCGTTACTAAGTGTTACTTCACACCTTCGCACTCTATAACCGGCCAATCCCGTGCGGCTGCTGTCATATATGCACATGCATGCTAAGTGACCTGATCTGCTTGCACTAGGGTGAAGAAAGTTTCGGAAATGTTCACCTTGTGAAAAAGTGCTGAGTGGCTGCAATCACATACTTTGTTGTATATAACTGCTGTGCAAAATGCTAATGCATTTCTTTAAAAACCAACGTAATAACAGCAGCAATTTTTTTTTTTTTTTTTAACATTACTCACGATTTAGTTTTGCATATCTGAGGGTCATGCACGTCCGCAGGTAACTGGTGAATGCGGATAAAAATGAATCGGATTTGGATTGTGGATTGGATGTGGATGCGAATCGGATGCGGATACTGTTTTGTTGAGGTGGCCCAAAAACGTGTGCACAGTGTAGAATGAACAAGTGAGTGATACTATGAAGTGCATCATCGAATGTATTGCGGGAGCAAACTACTCTTTTAGATAAAAGGTGCCAGTCGGGGAGAAAATTGTTCTTTATATCAAAAAAGATTTGATTATCAATAAAGCTCGCTTTAGAACGTTCCATCTCACCAAAAGTGCTGTCCTTAGAAAAATTGAAGAATGCAGGAGCATCAGTCGTCCCGGGAAAACGTTTGGCAGGGAAAGAGCGGAAAAACGCGGGGCAAAGGAAACCCAAAACGTACAGGCCACAAAAAAAAGTAGAAGCCTGCAAATGGCTTCATCATCTACAAGTAGATCGAGAAGACTGATTTCAATTCTCTGGTGTGGTGGAACTTGTGCCAGCACGAGTTTCCGCAGCTCATTCTTGTAGTGCAGTTCATGCATGTCACCCCAGCATCAAGTGCACCAACGGAGAGAGACTTCTCATTAGCGGCTATTAATTTAAGAGATGCGAAGCAGTCTTAATCTGTCTTTATTGATGATACTCTGTTTCTTGTACACAGCATCCTTGACGACTGAAACTTTGCGTGTTTGTGCATTTTCTTTTTCTCAACAGTTGGCACTGAGTTGTTTTAAGTATGTGGTTCCGAGCATGTGGTTCAGGGTTTGTGTTTAAAACTGAAACCGATAGGAGGTGTTGCCATTATCGAATATTGTGATATTTTCCCTGTGGTGTCCTCGCGCCTTACCCCATACCCTATACACGAGTATACTTTGCTGCAGTGAGCAAGCGCCTTTCCTCTCCCACTTTTGTATTGTTTGGCCTGAAGAAAATGACCCAATGTTATTTGTCTGTCCTTCGTTAATTTTCATATTTATAAAATAGCATCTCCAGTACTCCGGCGATTTTTTGAGCTACCTCAACTAACTATATTTTTTGACTCCCCAGCCTTTACTCTTTCTGGTATGCTATTTAGTGTCACAAAAATCATAATAGTTATCGTGAAATCGGCACATGAAAATGATGCAAAAACCAACATTCAAATATACCCATACTTTTCAGTGTCGTGATGTCAGTGGCGGGCAGGCTTGCCAGTCGAGCAAGCAGCCTAAAAAATAGAATATGCCGATCATTTGTTCCACGCTGGAGCGCAGGTCCTGGAGTGAGCTTCCAAAGCATTCATTTGACACCATGAAACTGCTTCGAATCAGTTGGGAACAAATTCTACAGTCCAAAGAGTGAACCCCTGCACTTCCACTGACGTCGCTTTTTCATTGTTGCCAGTAGAGACTTTCACTTTAAAAAAACACGGTGAGGACCAAAATTTTAAATTCAATATCGCGAAAAAAAAAAAAATATTTGGCACACTATTTTAGTGATGTTTATTGGCGAGTTTAGCAAAATTTCAAGCAGATCGGGGACCATGAAGAAATTTCCGGAGTACCGCTTCAAGTGGGTTTTACCAAGCAAAAAATAAAATAAATTTTAAAATTTCCTTTTTTTTTGAGCGCATCATCTGGGCAGAGTGTCAGTGTCACGTACTTCCAAGACAATCTCATAACTGCGATCAGCTTTCCAGTGATGCGAAGTGTCTTTCAAAGGATGATTGCATATTTTATAGATACGATAAAACAATATGATAAAAATTACTTTCACCGTATTCTAACACAAAGAGTTCTTTGTACAAATGTACAAAGTTAACCAGATGGCTTATAGGATACTATCCAGATGCTTTCTTTCATTTTTATTCATGCTTGATTTATGAGTAAAACGAATGTGCAGATTAAGGGTCAGATGTGGTTCCGAGTTTTGCAGATGCGGTTTGTACGCGGATACAAAGTCTGCAGATGTGAATCGGATGCGGAGACTATTATTGAAAAACATTGCAGATGCAGAAAAACCGATGCTAAGTCTGCGGTTGTGGATGATGAAACTGTTGTCTGCACAGGGCTCTACTGACGACCATTGGGGAATGTTTTCAGATGCAATGTTGGGGACACAGCTCAACAGCAAGATCATTGACAAGGAGATCGAGCGGTTTGCGGTGGTCCAGCTGGACAAGTACATGTGCAACACCATCAGCCCGGAGAAGTAATTCCCAGTCGCTTTGTCCCCTGGTGCGATGCTAGCTGGGTTCATCCGAGGCTGGACAACAGACCACGTGGAAAAGGAGGCGTACAGTGTGGCTTCAAGGAAGCTAGGGTTTACAATCTGGGACAAAGAAGGGTGATGCTAAGGTGCAACTAACAACTGGTCTATTTTTCCTTCCATACAAGCATGGTGAAAGAAAAATTACATTGAAAAGGTAAAAGAGAGACAGATATAATCAGATCTAATGCAGTCATGCAAGTGTAAGCACGTCTAATGATTAGGTCCTGGCTGCAGCGGCAAATGCATGTGTCCTCTACCCATCATGATGCGGCATCTTTTTAGCAATTCTATTTCTTTTTTGTTAAGAGAAATTGATGGTTTACTAACGTACGTTCCATGCTTTCTTGATGTCATGAAAAAGGCCTCCTTGATTTCTCACTTCGTTCTTTCACACAATCTTTTTAAGATATGTGTGCTCTAAATAACGCATCGCAGGGGCATCTCATACAATGTGCTGCGAGATTCCCTGGTTCACCGGTTCGCCTTGAACCGCCACCGGTTCAAGGCGTTTCTCCACGCCGCCGGAAGGGAACACTCTTGCGTGCCGCTGACGTCAATTTCTGACCGGCGCACAGGTCTATCACGTGCTTGTGCTCTTTCAAGTGCTTCCTTTAGGCTCTAAAAGTTACTTATTAATCTTTGTTGTTTGTTGCACTTCAAACAAAGATGAATAAGTAACTTTCAGAGATCATATGAAGCTTCCAAAAGAGCGCAAGCACCACTCTAAATAAAAGCCACTTTTCCGAGGGCATTAACTTTAAATGCGTTTCTTGCCGTAAATATAGCTGCAAAAATTGTTCTTTTTGGTTTCGTTTTATGACTTCTTTTTCCCGTCCAGGCTGTTTAAAAAAAAATTTTTTTTTTTCTTTGCATGGTGTCCTTTAAGGCAGTGCTGCATGATATGAGGCTTGGGCGCCACCTTTTAACTTCTTTCTCGATTTTCTCAAAATATGTTTTTTTCTCATCTGGTTCGCTTGTGCAGGGGATATCTTGAAAACTATTCATCCGATTTCACTTCTGCTTGCTGTATTATATTCCTAAATAACAAATGCAGGCGGTGAGACCATTAGGTTATATCAATATCTGACCTGCAGCAACAGTGACATAAAATGTTTCTGAAATTTAAGTACTAAGTAGCACAAAACGGTTTTGTACAATAAATGCCTGTGATGCAACTAAAACAATATTCCAGTAGTTTTCACCCCTTGGAGGTATGTCTTGGGGCATTATACGTGAAGTACTACTAAAATGATACAGGGTGTTACTAGGCCTGAGGGGCTTGCACAAACCATCAACATGCTAAAATTTCTAAACCTTCACACTAATGATCAGGAAAGCTTCAAACTTTGTACAGTTAACCTTCTTAACAAAGTAGAACGCTGATGTAAATTTCATTAGCCTAACTCTGGTTCGCTAAAAAGTTTGTCTAAAAACCGCGACTCTACTAAAAGTGGGCTTTTTTCAGTGTTTTGGGAAAAATACCGAATTGTGCCAAAGGTAGGGTTTGGTTATCTTTCTTGGGATATTACGGTAGTTAAAAAAAGTCGCTCCTTTGCCATACTAGTGCGGCGAAGACAGTGGTAACACAGAATATGATCTGTTAGTGTGGAGGAACCGAACGTGGAGACTGGATGATGCAAAGCTTCTGCGGTTGCAATTTAAATGTAACTTTCTCGGAGCCTGTTGGAGTGTGAGATGCAGTAGACTGAGCGTGCCCCAGCTTGCAGCAAATGAGAGCCTAACACTCAAACATACCTCGACCCGACCCGTTGCAGAAAAGTGAGGATCCACCTTCTTTTCTGTTTTTCTCTCTCTCTGGTCAAACTCTGAGTGTGTTCGTTTTACGGAGCAAAGTGCCGCTGCATGACTCGAGTTTTACGGAGGCACTCGAGGAAGAGGTTCAGCTGGCACTGATGTCCAAACAGTGAGGAGACGAGCACTGCTTCGGCGTTCGGCTTGCAGTCGACCCGTTGCCTTCCCTTGCTTTGGAGCCTAACCGGATATGGTTAGGTGCCAGCCATATAACATCCTGCACTAAAAGGCTAGTTTAAACTGCGCTCGAGAGAGCAGGCCTAACTTGTAGCTATTTCAAGAAGTGTCTGTTCCCTTTGATTACTTTCACTGCACACCGATAAAAGATGGTGGAGATTGTGTGTGATCCTTGATATTGTTCCAGGAAGATATTGATCATTCTGGAACTGACTGTGATTGCCAACGGAGCCGACGTCGGGTCCAAGCTGGGGAATCCCGTCATGCCGTCCTCCACGGGGGCAGCCGCTCCTTCGGGTGAGGAACAATCTTTTCTGGTCTTCATCCGCCCGGTGACATCGAATAAGGGTCGTTGCCGTCCGTGATCTTGGCGATGTCACAGCAAGGGGGCTGTCGCTCTCCAAATTTACAGTCCACGGAGGACCCTTGGTTTAGACGTTTTGCCCAAATTTGTAGCACCAGCCACCAGCACATGACACAGCGGCTGTTGCCACTGTGCACGTATGGGTGGACGCTCAACACTCCCAGTTCCAGGCACCCTAGTTTCGTTCTCACTACTTGGTTTGCTTGTTTCCTGGCACAGACGGAGACGGCGCATCGAACAGGACCCCGGCGTCGAGCGAGTTTGCGGCGTCGGTCAAGCCACCGGGCGGAGCGCAGTTCCCGACCAGGAACACTCAGCGTAAGCTGCCCGCTTTTCCAGATGCCCATCTGTTGACACAGGGTTACCAGTATAAACGTGTTCTCTTCATTTCCACGCTCGTTGACCTTAGTGAGGGTGGTGAATAGCAGACGCATACTAAAATGGCAATCTGACGAGAGTGGTAGAAGCGGGAAGCTTTGTTGTTTGATTGAGACCAAGAGTTAGGTTTTTGTGGGTGTCTGTTGAAAATGAAGATTTCGCAGCAGCTTGTGTGCAAGAAGAATGCTGAGGCATTTAATTGGCGTAACATTTTTAATCTTCGCAATAAATTTTATGTATGTGCGAGGAATGTGTAATTACCGTATTTACTCGCAGAATGAACGCACTTTTTTTCCGAAAAATCGATGCAAAGTTAGGGGGGGCGTTCATTACGCGAGGTAAAATTTTTGCATCGGTTATTTACTCGCATAATGAACGGACCTTTTATCCTGAAAAATCGAAGTAACTTCTTATCTCTCTGCGCGCGGCGCCCGACCCCACAACCAAACTAAGCTGTACAAAAAAAAAAATCCTTTTTTTTTTCTCTTAGTTCTTTGGTTTTTTTTTTTTTTTTTTGCTGCCTTTCGCAAGCTGTTTTGTTTGCTTAGGCGAGGGCTTTCCGCTTATCTTTCTTATCTCCTTGCGCGCGGCCCGCGACGCACGACCCCCCCCCCCCCCCCCCCCCCCGTACCCAAACTGCGCTGCGCAAAAAAAAGAAAAGAAAAAAAAAAAAAGCTCCTCTTGTTTTTTTTTTTTTTTTTAGTTCCGTGGGTTGTTCTTTTTTTTTTTTTTTTTGCCGCCTTTCGCAAGCTGTTTTGTTTGCTTAGAGGGCTTCTCCGCTCCTCTTTGTTACCTCCTTGCGCGCGGCGCGCGACCCCCCCCCCCCCCCCAAACCTGTGCAGAAAAAAAAAAAAAAAGCTCCTCTTTGTTTTTGTTTTCTCTTATTTCCGTGGGTTTCTCTTCTTTCTTTTTGCCGCCTTTCGCAAGCTGTTTCCTTCGCTTAGAGCGCTTCTTCGCTTCTCTTTCTTACCTCCTTGCGCGCGGCGGCGCGCGAACCCAAAGTCCAGACTGCGCTGTGCAAAAAAAAAAAAAAGCTCCTCTGGCATGTTTCTTTTTTTTTCTTGCTTCCCTTGGATCTTCTTGGATCTTCGCAAATTTTGTTAACGCCTTTTGCAAGGCGTTTTGTTCGACTCGCTGCCCATGCATTCGCGACTTCGCTGCACCAGGATAGAAAAGTGCGTTCATTTCGCGCACGTGGGAGGAGGGGGTCAAAATTTTGACGTCCCAGTTGGGGGTGCGTTTATTACGCGAGTGAAAAAAAAAGTCGAAATTTTGAGAGCCGACTTGGGGGGTGCGTTCATTACGCGAGTGCGTTCATTGTGCGAGTAAATATGGTACTTCGTTTGGGGATTAAAAGATGGTCACGTGGAATTATGTATATGCATCTGCTATCCGGGTGCATCTGCTATCTGGGTCAGTGTGGAACGAGCTTTCTTTGCACTAAAATTTATTTCGTGGGCTCGCTCTGGCTTTTGACATTCTCAATGATCCTCAAGTCACCTGCCACGCTGAGATCTTACATCTCGATATGCATAGATTAAAACAGGCTTTTTGTTTCTAGTCTGCACAACTAGGTAATTATTGGTTTTTGGCGCGACACTTTTCCTATTTAATGTTGGGATAAAAATAAACTTTTATATGCGTGGCATTTATACTGACAACCTTAGGGGTGTCCATGGCATGTTGATGGTGTTAGTGTCGCATGAGATATCTTGCAACAACACACTGGCATGCTGGTGTTATCTGTGAGGTGACCCTGGAACTTCATTCTGCGAGGTCGTTTATAACAATGTCAAAGAAAGAAAGGTGGCGCCATTGTGTACTCTCGTCGCAAGTGCCTCGACGTCGTCCCTAAATACATAGTTTTTGTACCCTAGCAAAAATTCCCATAGAGAATTCCCATAGCCTATCGGTTTATTGACACCTATGGGTGTATCGGCCTATAGGTGTATGGGCCTATAGGTGTATAGGCCTATAGGTGTATGGGCCTATAGGTGTATGGGCCTATAGGCGTATGGGCCTATTGGTGTATGGTCCTATTGGTGTATGGGCCTATTGGTGTATGGGCCTATTGGTGTATGGGCCCATTTGTGCATTGGCATATAGGCCATCTGCATGAGCACACAGGGTATGGTGGTGCCTTTACACATTTTATTATGCAAAAAAGGGTCTTGGGGTACACTTGCTCCTGTTATGAAGGCATCTTGACGCTGAACACTGTCACAAACTGAGTCTTGAAGGTGCAGAGCGTAATGGCATACTTCTTGCTTGAAATCCTGAAATGAGCAGCAGAACAAACAAAAAGAGTTAATCGGCGGCGAGGCAAAGGTGGAGGATGATGTCACCACAGAAAGTGATTAAGGCTAAAGCCATTCGATAGATGATTCGAGCATTTTTAAGTTTCAGACTGAAGAAAATAAAATTAAGAGGCTGGATTTCCTTTGTTTTCTGTCTTCATCATGAGCCTAACTGCCTTCAAAACTTATTTAGTAAGTGTGCTCTGTTGACATAAGCTACACTTTCTCGGACCACACCCGGAATGAGTGACAACTTTTCTCTATGCGCAGTGATGGAAGTGCTGCGCCAATTGCGCCAAATTGCGCCAAGGACGCAATCCTGCTACATGTAGCGCCAAATTGTCATTTTACCGAAGAATTGCGCCATGTCTGCGCCGAGATGAGATGTAGCAATAAAAAATAAAAATTGTAGTCTTATCAGAGCGCGTGGCGGTACCGCGGTATTTTCCACGCCGCAACTGTTACGAAAACCGAAACTGCGAGGGCGCATTATCATCATCATCATCATCATCATTATTGGAAGGAACAACATTAGCAACATCTGAGACCAAAGCCACAGAGGCTAAGCGAAGAACCATCCCACTGAGCAGCCTATTAAAAAAAAAAAAGAGGCCGAGCATGTGGATGTTTTCAATGTGGGCCCGCCCTGTTCCCGTGCGCTAGCTACCAGCGAAATCAAAGCTAGCGCGAGCTCAATGCTCTGTGCATTCCCGACTCGCGCGTGGGCTCGCGCAGTGCGGGTACCGTTACGGGCTCCATCCGCGCGCTTGTAGCTTCGGCTGCGCTCGCACCGAAACTGAAAGAAAGTATAGTTTAGTTGCACCAAACTCTGGATGTAGTGCTGGTAAAGCCTCACCGTCCTTTTCGGAGCACAAAGCACTGCGCGATTCGTGCAACTGCGGTGTCTGCTCCGCTGGTGTAGCTTCTCTGCAGCGCGTCGGTGCATGCCAAGGAGTGCACTCAACGGGTTAACTTGCCGTGATCCGATCGTGACTTCACCAGCACATCGAAAATGAATCGGAATTTTTGAAGCGAATATCAGATATCGCAATATTTGAAGTTGCTCTCCGAAAGACAACTCTAATCTGAACTAAAAGATTCCACAACAGTGAAGGTCGTTAGGTGCTGCTACAGATACCTTAAAAGAAGTGCAGGCTGATAAAACTAAATATTCTGTACCATCAGAACTCAGTGTGACTTATTTAATTGTATTTTTTTATCTGACGAGCATTTAAACTTTATTTAAATAATGTTTTTTTGTGTTTGTTTACTTTGCTGAATTTTATATATCCTGTCTTAAAAAGGCGACAGGCGCTGTGTTCCAATAATAGAGATGGGCTTTATATAGCAACGCAGCATTTATTCATTTTCAAGTATTATGCTAACATATGCCGGACCCTGCTCCAAAAGGGCCACTACCTGCCCCAAAACAACATTTTGCCTGCTACAAGGCCTGCTCCGAAAGGTCAAATGGCACTTCCATCACTGTATGCGACGCGCAGTTCCAAACATAAGAACAGGTAAACAAGCACAACTAGTTAAAAAAAATAGCTTAACAAGCAAAAGTGAGCCGAGAAAATAGGGAGCTTTGGAATAACGGGCGCTAATTTATCTCGCGTTACGGACGGCAAAAGCGTTTCTCTGCCGGGGACCCAAAACGCAAGCATCTCACACTTAAAGCGCCACCAAGATGTTGCGATAGTTTTTATTTTGATGTTAGAATGTTATATCTTTAAAATTAAACAAGCTTATCGTCTGGAATAACATGTTTATAGTTGTTTTATACTCAATGCCGCATGTTTCTGTTACTGTCAAGCTGCTCTGTTGTACTACCGAGGCCACAACGATCCACAACCCCAACATATTTACATTTCTGCCGCGATCGCAAGTACACGCGCTTTGATAGCTTTGAGCTCTGAATCCAACGGTATGTGACATTTTCTGTACGCTATGACTATACCAACCGCGGTCGCCAAGTGCGACTCACGCAGTCCCAAGCGGGCGGCGGGCGTCGAAGACGCGATCAACGGAATGTCGTGGGCGCCGCCATTTTCGGTATCCGCGCTATTTCCAAGAAATAACGGGCCCCAAAGCCCAAGCCCCAATGCTCGTTTTGGGTCTGCGCATTCGCACTAGCGACGACGTTATTTATTCGAGGTTGCAGACGTCGTTCTGAAACTCCCTAATGTTCAAACTTCCACGCGTCTACAATGCAAACAAAGACCAAAAGCATGCTTACCAAGTGTGTTGAGGTGCTCGCTAGACTGTCGCGTCGTGGGTCTTCCAAGCTCTTCTTGACCATAATCAACATAAGAGGAGACTTCACAGATAGGTAAACTTGAATAAATGAGCACATTTCCATGTCTAAAAGCATTTTCGTCCCCTGACAGAAACACACCCGACGCACGACAAGACAATGTCGGGGAAAAAAAAAAAGTGTGGTGTCGCTAGCGATGGGGTGCTGTAACTAGTACGAGCTCGATAGGAATAGATAACTGGGCAAGTTGATGAGAATTCATGTTGAGAGACAGCGCGACCGGGACGAGGACAAAAAGACGAAGAGAACACAGGACAGGCGCTGTCCTGTGTTCTCTTCGTCTTTTTGTCCTTGTCCCGGCCGTGCTGTTTTTCAACAATATGAGCTCCTTGCAAAATCGAAACCGAAACTGGCCAAATCGCGATGGAGGGTGCCATAAAAATGTCTTTACAAACTTAGGAATAAAAGAGGGTGTATACAACTATTGTTATAAGCACATGAAATAAATGTGTAAATCATGACTAGTACCGACTTGCCATTTGTTTTGGGTAAAATGGAGTAGGAAGTAGATTTCTTTGATTCAACCCATCAAGATATTTTCTTTATTTTTCGTGGAGATTACTTTCCTTACAGTATTTTATTAGTAAATTATTTTGACGCACCAGGGTCCCAAGTTTTATTTAGAATATTGTCCTAAAATTTATTCAGAAAAGCAAGCATTTCATTGTGCTATTTTCCTCTAAATTGTGCATGACTGTGTGTGAGTCTCTTATTCTAGCATTATTTCAAGCTACAAAACTATATGAATTTTTATAACCCTTTGATTTACAATGATGGTGTGTTATGTAACCTGGGCTTAAACCATTTTTGCCATTCGAAAATATTGAGGAAAAAAAAAAGCGTAACATTGTCGCATAATTAACTTGACTGATGTAGTTTTATGCATGCTGTTCTAAAGTGGACACATTTTTTGCATTTGGAATAGATATTTGCATCACACAGCCCAGGTTACATAACACATGCATCAAATCGGCCGGTGTATTTCTGACACGGACTATTCTGACAGACATATGTCTAATTTATTTCTATTGCTCAAATATAGACATGCACAATTGGTACATTCCTATTGAATGATTCGAGGTTTCCACTAGTCAAGGAAGCATTTCTATTTGGCCAACAAAACTTTTGGTTTAACTGATGAAGATTCCTAACCGTCCGATAAAGTCCTTATGGGACCAGTCTAAGTTTCTATGGGACCAATAGGAATGCCTATTGAACCGATCGAAATTTCTATAGGCCCAATAGGCATTCCTATGGGACCGGTACACACTCCTATGGGACCGATACACACTCTTATGGGACCGATACACACTCCTATGGGATTGATACACACTCCTATGGGACCGATACACACTCCCATGGGACCGATACACACTCTTATGGGACTGATACACACTCCTATGGGACCAATAAAACTTCCTATGGGACCGATACGCACTCCTATGGGACCGATACGCACTCCTATGGGACCGATACACATTTCCTATGGGACCAATTGAACTTCCTATGGGACCGATACAGATTTTCATGGGACCGATAGAGATTTCTATGGACCAATAGAAATTCCTATCGGACCGATAGAAATCTCTATTGGTCCGATAGAAATCTCTACCGGAATTTTTGCTAGGGTAGGTTTTCTGTCACATGACACCCGTGATGCACGGACACTCACATCATGACGTTGATCACGTCAGGTGACACCATCATGTCCTATGACGTCACAGGCACTGGGACATCTGAACACACAACATTGTGATGTCACATCATGTGCCACTCACATCATGTGACACAGTGACATCATAGTGTCACGTGGTGCGCACCCTGAGGTTATGTGACATGATGTGACATCATGATGGTACATGACACCCTCGCAGTGTGCCCTTCCGTGGCCTCTTTTCAGTGCCCTCAAAAGGACAAGTTCAGAGGCCCTGTAAATGCTATGCATTTAGAATGCCTTTAAAAAGTGCCAAAAGGACTGCCAATTTTTTTATTTTTTTGTTGTCAAATGCTCTCTTATGGTGTCTACCAACCTGGAAAATGCGGAATTCTCAGGAATTCCAGAGCACCTGTAAAAGTCAGGGAGTTGTTGAGAAGATGGCCGAGTCAGGGACGACTGACAAATGGCACAGTGATGCACAGCAAAACACGAGGATGCAACGTCCAGTGGCATGGGTGGTGGTGAAAATGTCTTTCTTTTAAGACGTTGCATGGAAATACTGTTGCTCTTAACGTCGCTGGGCGGTGCGAGTCACCCCCAACTAATCCGATAAATCAGAACAGCCTCTGTAACCCTTCCCTCTGGCAACATAATGTTCAGTTGGGCTGGTTGGTTCATGACCGGATAGGAACAGGGACAAAGTGAAGGAGGTAAGGACAGCACGGAGGAGTGCACTCGCAACTGAAAGTTTATTAGAAACACACTGACTTATATGCTTTAATTAAACTATATCACTTCCAGCCACCCCACTTTCTCTCAAAAAATAACATTTCCGTATCTAACAGTGCAGACGGTGTCTGCTTGATAGCTGCTGCGTGTTGTCTAGCGATGTCATTTACACAGCGGCCTGTTTGCCCTACGTAGGTGTGCTCGCAGGATAATGGTATGTCGTAGACAACAGAGGTTGTACATTCCAAAAACTTGTTTTTGTGTTTCTTTTGCATTTGTCACTATCTCTGTCTGGAGCATTGATTCTTTTGCATAATGACGATGTTGCCTGCCTTGACATTTGACGCCTTCGAAGACCTCGTGGCATTGCTTCCACCCGAAGCCATGCCCCTTCCACTGTACTTCGAGGACACGTACATCGGACGTTGTCAACGGAATGGGCTGTTGTCTGTCATCTTCCCGACGTGCGTGTGGTCCGTCCACAAATCGGTCATGGAAGGTCTTTTTCCCACAAACAACTCAGCCAAAGCATGGCACCGCTCATGACAAAATGCTGTATGAGGGGGAGGGGGGAGAGGAGGTCCCAGCAAAATTGAAGATTTTGGGGGGGGGGGGCGGGCTTGGGCCCCATGGGCCTCCCCCCTGGCTACGTGCCTTGCGCTAACAGTGCCTGACAGTGCACATAAATGTACGTACGAAGCCGTTTCGGCACAGTTTTTATTGGGATGAATTTGAAAGAAAAACGCCGTAACTGACCAATTATTTCTTCGGCCTGACTGAGAAATGTTCCAGGCTACCTAGTACGCAGAATTTATTCGGGATATTTGCTCTTATGATCGAGCGCAGGGAGAAAATGCACTCACTTTTTCCCATAAAAATGCATTACTGGAAGTCAATTTTTGAATGGTTGCTGTCTGCTTATTTGCGTCAGCACACTAGCGCCACTTGAACCTCTAGCATAGATTATAATAACTCTATGATGTACAAGGGGAGGACGATGGCGTATAGATGACAGAGAGGTGCCGACAATGCTGAAATGAAGCCTACGGGCCAATGTTGCAGGTGTTGAGGGCCCGGTGCACTTGAGTGTCCAGCTGGCAGAAGCATCTTGACAAGCTCCCCAGGGCGGTGACCATAGGCTGACTGCAGTCATTTTGTGTTCGCCAATTCATTCGAGGGCACTCAAAGGCTGAAAACTTTAGACGATAAAAGATTCAACACACTAGTGGGAATCTATGTTAAGCGAAGCTTTCTTTAAGTACAGAGTGTTGAAACTAGTGATGGACCGAATTTGCCGAACTTCAGATTCGGCAAAGTTCGGCAAATGCCTGACTTTTGAAGGAAAGTTCTGCAAAAATTTGGCAAATGTCAGCGCACGAGCGAGAACGCGACGGAGCCATGGATTGCAAATGGACGCCGTGCAGTCGTGCGGTTACCATCGTGCAGTGTAGTACAACCAGCGGTTAAGGTGCAGTGTGGAGTAGAAAACACGGTAACTGTGCGTTTGTGAGCGAGTGTGGTTCTCTTCAATATTTTCTGCCTCAAGAATAGAAGATCGACCAGTAATTTACGCAGTCAACTGCGCAAGTGACAAATGATGTGGTGCATTCTTAAACATGGCCGACAATTACTCTAAAGCACTCCTCGCAACTATAACAATTCTGTTCTGCCCCCCCCCCCCCCAAATGTGATTCAATTTCGGGAAAAAAAAGTGTGCTCATTATGCGAGTAAATACACTAATCTATTGGGGGCAACAGCAACTGTCAGCAAAGTCTGGGGGGGAGGAAGGGCGGCATTCAAAAAGAAAGCTTTATTTTAAGAGACTGGAACAGAACATAGAAGGTTTGGGGCTTGCTTGGGTCGTGGTTCTGACTGGCTCGCTCTGCCCACAGCTGCACCTATGCAGTCTTCGTTCCGGAGCAACGGCGGGCCCACAAGTGGAGGGGACGTCGTGGTGCTTCCCATCTGCAGCCTAACCCCCTACCAGAACAAGTGAGTGGCCCCTCACAGTCTTGGGTTTGATTTCCTTTTCATCATCGATACTTTATAAGAATTAATTAAATGTTGCCACTGTGACAGTATGACAGTTTCTTGCGACACTCTTTTAGAATGTTATGCTTATTTCACGGAAGCAAGCCCTATAACATATTCTGTGTTAGAAATAGGGATGGACAAGGTTTTTATTTATTTATTTATTTGACATACTGTCAGTCCTGATTAGGACTTTGACAGGAGTGGCAACGAGTTACACTTGTAAAAGCAACTGCTAAAACAATACGGCAACGAAGCACAATGCAAGGAACACCAAAAAACAATGCAAATCAAGAATAAACAATAGTTAGGTTGCGTCCAACTGGAAAAGGAACAATTCAAGATCGGTGGAAGAAACGACATGTTTGTGGCAACAGATTCCAGTCCCGCACCGTACGAGGAAAAAATGAATACTTAAAACAATCTTTATTGAACGAAAACTCTTGTAAGTGACACGAATGTTGGTTACAAGTGATACGGGATTGATGAAGGGTTAGGTAACGTGATTGGTCAAAGAGCAATGAACCAGAAAGTGTCATGAAAAAAAGCTTCAAGCGTTTATTTTCCCGTCTAGACTGAAGCAACGGAAGATTACACAGCGCATACAGCTCTGTTGGCAAATCTAATCTGCAATATCTAGAGTAAATGAAACACAAGGCCAGTCTCTGTACACTTTCTAGGTCAAGGATTAGGCTTTTCATGTGCGGGTCCCATACTTCCGATGAGAGACTGCACCGCTTGTGTGGAAGTTCCTTTTTCTTGGGCGTGAACTTTTCGGCAGCCCACAATCCAAGCAATGCACGAAGCAGAAGCACCAACACACAAACACCAGACCACTCTGGAGCATTTACTAAAAAATGTGCAGGCAGAAAAAATACTGCTGAACCCGATACACGACCACACTTCTTGTTCCGGTCCCACTGCATAAACAAACACCACGTGTTGCACGATTGCGGAAACGCGGTTGGTGGTCTTGGCTTGGCTTCTGTTGACTTGACTTGGCTCGGATTGGCCAGTGCCCACATTCGCGCGTGCGCTGAGTTTCTGCAGCGTGCACGCGTTGTACAAACACAGAAGCGATAAAAAATTTTTTAATATTTTTTATTTGTCCCTTTACGTGACCCAATAGCTAACAAATTCTCTTCCACACCCCCACTTCTTTTCCCACCGGATTTCCTGCATTGAGCAGGAGGGATGGCTTTCTTTGGCTTTCTCCAGACTCGCGCGCCTCGTGTCTGAACTCGATTCCGAATATAACGCGAGGTGCGTTTTGGAGCACGTAGTCTCTGCCTTCTTATTCTGTCTGTTTCTGTGCCTTCTTATTCTTTCTGTAGTCCTCCATTTTGTCTTATTCTGTCAGTGCAATTAACTCTTGTTCACTATCTAAACGCCTTAATTGCCCAGTATTATCGGTTGGCAACAAGGCAGTGTGTGGGGGGGGGGTTCCTTGGGACTTTTTGAGGCTTGCTGGGGTTCCCTGGGACAAAAAAAAAAAATTCGAGAAACCCTGCCCTAATGGAACGGTCTATACGGCTTGATCAAGGCCTCACAGTGGAGCGGACTCTTCTTTTGAGGCTAGGCTAGGTTTCAGAGCAACATAGCTGCCGAGAGTCTTGGGGTCACTTCCACCTGGATTGCGCAAGTCTGGCAGATATCGCCAGAGGGTGCTCTGACTACATGGCGCACGGGTTTCACAGCAACATAACTTCCGAAAGTCTTAGGGTCACTCGTCCTCCCAGATACTGTCACAGTGCGACTCACTTTTGCACTAGACCAATGCTCAAACATTCTGGAATGTTCAAGAAAGAGTGTGTAGTAGATAAGGAGCCCAGCATGGCCTTGCCAAATCAGTCTTGCACTAGCCAGCTGTCACGCCGGCCCCTCGACACTCGCTTCTGCCGCCTGCAACTCTCATTCCTCCTTTCGTTTCTGGAACAAGTTTGCCCATTAAACCTTTATGATCAGTTCTATGTTTGTCGATTCTTTTATGTCCGCGGCAATATTATGTACGTTATTGTTTACGAGCTCTGTAAGCTTCTGCGCCGCTTTGTTGCGTCTATGCTTAGGCTGGGAGGTGTTCCTTTGCTGCCATTCTGGAATCAAAAGTTTTGTAACTTACCATACCCTATTGCCACTTTTATTTCATCTTTTTCTCCTAATAGGGTAACATTTCTTTGGCACTCCCTGGCCCTGACAGCACTTGCGCCATAAAACTAATCACTAGATGAGTAGAATTGGCATTGCGGCGTGGCAGTCTGGATCTGGTTCTCGCTTTTATGGATGTGAAGCTGCTCTACGCAGGTGGACCATCCGGGCCCGTGTGACCAACAAGTCTGCAATCCGGACCTGGAACAACGCCCGGGGAGAGGGCAAGTTGTTCTCCATGGACCTGCTGGACGAGAGCGGCGAGATACGCGCCACTGCCTTTAACGCTGAGTGCGACAGGTTCTACGACCTCGTCGAAGTCAACAAGGTGGGCTCATACGACCCCTTTGCAGTCAGGTTTTTACACTGTTAGTGTTACGAGTAACAAAACATGTTTATTATGACTGAACGTGTAGGCTGGTTTGGCCCGCAACCTAACAGTCGGTGGCCAGCAGCACTTAGCGCTGCTTTATATGGGAAGGGCAATCGATGTGCCCCCTGCTGTCTACCCAGGCATGCGGCGGTAACTGCTGAATGCAAGAGCTAGTGCCCCTTCCCGGCAAAACAATGCTGATCTACGAATGCAAAACCCCACTCTACCCCCCATTGTCCCTGAGACGCACGCAGTGGCAGCGTCAAACAAACTGTCAGTTTCGGTTTTTTGCCCTGTGCAAAGGAAAAAAAATGTTCTTGCATTTTAAATCTACACTCGGAAAATTTGAGTGTGCCCAAGATATATTTGTGAAAAGACTTATTGGCTCATTTATAGATTTTTTTAGGTGTTGCAAGCACCCTAAAGAGAGCTGGAAGGGAACTCGGCTGAAGGGCTGACGGAAGCTGCTTTTGCACGCAGGTGTACTACATCTCAAGGGCTAACCTGAAGACCGCCAACCCCAAGTTCTCGTCACTCAAGAACGAGTTTGAGATGTCGTTCACTCAGGAGACGGCCATGACTCCCTGCGAGGAGGCTGCTCCCCACATCCCCACGCTGCAGTTCAACTTCGTACCCATCCGGCGCCTGCAGGAGATTGGCCCGGACAAAGTCGTGGGCAAGTAACTCGTTTGCAACATCCTTGGTGGAATCTGTCGGGGCTCTCGTCTGCAACTTGGGTAACCGCGTTGGATCCCCGCCCACAGACGTCATTGGAGTCTGCAAGGATGCTGGGACCGTACAGACTGTCGTGCGGCGGGCCAACAACCAAGAGCTGAAGAAGCGGGACGTTTCCCTCGTGGACAAGAGCAGTGCGGAGGTCTCCCTCACCCTCTGGGGTGACCAGGTGCGCTGCCCCTCCCTATCTCCCTGCCTTTCACTTGCCAGCCCCTCTTTGGAGAGCTGTGGATAGAAATGGTATTACACGTTTTCGGTGTAACCTCCCAGCCAAGCTGAAAAAACCCAATTATGAGCTGTGCTCGAATAGAAAACTTGTCTCGATCATCCTTATAAAGTCGAGGGAACGCAGAAAGTGTAAAACATGCCTTATGTACACGTCATTATTTGTTACGCTTGATTACGAGGAGCTTTAGACAGTTTTAGATAAGGTGCATGCACGACATACCATACTATATTCCCCCCCCCCCCCTTTTTGCATATAACCCGCACCCACAACTTACCGTATTTACACGATCGTAAGTCAACCCCCCTACTCTGCCCATCAGAAAAAAAAAAATCTTTAAAGGCGCATTTTACGGTGAACACGGGAGAACGGCACGGTGTCTCTCGTGAAAGCCCAGCCTCCAGCACGTGATCTATGCCTTCTGGCGTGCTTTGGCTGCGCATGCATGTGTGCATGAGATGCCCAGGCGATACCTAAGCTAGGAAGCTCACGCTGTGCTGAAGCTGCTCCCTACCATTCTCATTGTCTGCGACTAGAGACTATGATTTGTCCACACTGGTGATCCCATCATCATCAATACCACCTTCTTAAAGGGATACTACAACGAAATTTCGGCGCTCATTTTTTGGTCTATATTTGTTAAAAAAAGCAGCATCACATTGAACATACCAATATCTTGTTAAAAAAGTCAGGAAAAGGAATTTTAAAACAAATTAAACGATTAGCAAAGAGCACCTGGTGGATGTCGCTATCGCCTCGCTTGTAATGCCCGTTTAGGAACCTTGACAGCTAGTGACGGAGGTTGTCTCGCCTCCGGCCACGACGAGAGAAGAGGGGCAGGAGGAACTCCCCTCTTCCCGAGAATGCCTTTTGTGTGTCGCAGAAGTCGCTATTGTCCCCCTACAAGATTACAGAAGATTAATTCGTCACTCAAAATTCATACAAAAGCAGCCGCTTCGGTGGCTGGAACGACTAGGCCATCCTCTCGACGTCAGCCTCGCCGTAGCTTTGCTCGTCTTGAGACGACCTACGTCACGATTGCGTTGGATGTCACGTGGTCTCCGCTGGGCCTTCTCCGAGCGCTTGCCAGAGTGGGCCGTTTATAACGAAAAATACAGCCACCAGGCTCAAAATACAAACGTGCAATTGTCATTTACGGATATTGTGGATCATATTCAACCTATTTTTGAACACGACGGGAATATTTCAAATTTCGTTGAAGTATCCCTTTAAAGCATGTCGGCGGCAGCGTCCAACAAAATCTCGCACTTTGCGAATGACAGCATCAACCGCATCTTCCGCGCTTGCTCGGTGATCGCGTTGCACGCCACGGGTAGGGACCGATTGCGCACTTCTGCAATGTACGTTGCGAGCCTGACCTCTAACTCCGGAAGGCATCCCCATCTATCCAGACTTCCGCCCGCAAAAGCCTCGTTGCCGTCACAGTTAACATCTTGCGCCGTTGCAGGCTCCACTGGAGCATCACCCGCTCCGACGGGTCAAGCTTGCATCCAGCGGCGCAGTTGTTGGTTACTTCTATCATGAAGATTGGTGATAAACAAGCACTGAATACCTAAACTGCCCGGATCATGCGTGTCATTGAAAAAACGTAGTTGGCGCTCCAGCAGGATCTCGACATTTGATCAAATGACGTGCGACCGTGAATCGTGCGAAAAACTGCGAAAAGAAGCCGCGGGGAGTGAGGCTCAAGGTTGGGCTGTTCCAGCGGCCATTCCGCAGTGACTCTTACAAGAAGTGCTGCCACCCCCGGTAGTCGAGCGCGCTGTGCGCTGTTCTCCGCCGTACATTCGGGCTGATTTGCGAATCGCAATCAATAACACTCGTTCCCACAAATTAAAAAAAAAAGGGAACTTGTAAAATTAGTGCAGAATATCGCGATGCTACAGGTACAGCCGGCTGAACTAGTAGCAAGTCGAGGTGTTTGTGATATTGCGATTGTTTTGTTTTTGTTGGCGGTGGATTGTTTTGGTTCGATTATAAGTTGACCCCCCCCCCCCCACTTCACGTTTTCAAAAAAAATGAAAAATGGGTCGACTTACATACGTGTACATACTTCTCTCTGAAAAAACAAAAAAGATTTCTCGCATATTAGCCGCACTAGCCACTGAAGGTGGACGTTGCGAGCCTGACCTCTAACTCCGGAAGGCATCCCCATCTAGATCTCACTGAAACCATACCTTTATTTAGAGCAGGGGTTCTCAAACTTTTTGGTCTCACGGAACCCCCAGGAAGCCTCAAAAACTGCTGCGGAACCCCCCCCCCCCCCTCCCTCCATATTTGCCGCTCGAGGAGCGACAGATGCACAATTGTAGGCAATTTAGCTTGTGTTGCTTCCCATATATCCCCACCATATCAGTCGCGATGTCAGTACAAAGTGAGATGAAGGCTCTTTGCATGGTCCTGCCACGCAGCCTGCGGCGGGGGGGGGGGGGTTTGCAATTTGGGTGTTCGCGGAACTCATGAGACCAGCTTGTGGAACCCCTGTGTTCCCCGGAACCCAATTTGAGAACCCCTGATTTAGAGTACACTCATAGCCGGCATGTCTCTCGTCTAGAAAAGTCGTGGTAACGCCGAATCTCTGTAGATACGGCTCAGAGAACTTTGCAAGCACTTTTTCAAGTTCGGAGTATGCATTAGTCTTTGGATCGCGGAACGCTCATGTTGCAGTTTGCGGGCTCTCAATCATCCTCCATTCTCGCATGCATGACTAGTCTATGTCGTAGCAGTTGTAGTCAAACCTGGCAATAAAAGTTTTCTTTTTTTGAAATTGAGAAGAAAAGTTCCAATTTTCGGTTGAATTTTCTCGTGTATACTGTAGAATACCGTGCATCCGCCCATACCACATTAAGCGCCCATTCCCAAATTTGTAAAATCTGAGAAAATATGCACAGTACATTGATATGTAGAATTGATGACCAAACAAGCGCCCATCCTCCATTTTTTCATGATTATCTCAAAATCTTGAGTGGGCGCTTGCCCGGTATTTTACGGTATGTCAATGAGGGAGGTCTACTTCACACAGCCCCTAGTTATATATATTTATTAAATCATTACAAGGGTGGAACGGCTGCGCCATTTGCGCCATTTTGCGCCAGACGCATGTGTCTGCGCCATCCTGTGCCATGTTGCAGAAACTGCGCCACAGCCAATACCTTGCGCCATTATGCGCCAAATCGCAAAACGTGCACCAAAAAACTTTTTATTTCGTCTTGGTTTCGGTTTTATTGACTCGATTAGCAACAATGAGCGTGTTTAGCCTGGTCGGCCTTGCAATCCTTTGTTCTGTTTATTCTCCCTGTGTATCCCGAGTCGGAAGCGCGCGAAAAAACTCGGATTCTAAGCGCTACACCACCTGCGACTGAATTGTTATTCTTCAACCATAAGCGGTTACTAAGTCGGCTGAGGTGGGCTCGAGTCGTTAAGCCTCAGATTGCCTGAGGCTCTGCAGCCTGGGTTCCGGACGTCAGCCAGTTGAAAACACATCAGCAAACGATTCCCTTTAGTACTTCATCGTCAGAAGTTGGAACGGCATTCTCGCAAGATAAATCGTGATTTGATAGAACTGAAACGCGGTCCAATCCGAAACCTTGCCGGCCAGCAGCTCTTACGCGAGTGGTAGATCTACTCGGCGTACTTTAACCTTGCTCCTGCTTATCGCTTCAAATACCATAACTCCGCTAATCGTAGTCTGCCGCTTCGATATTTAGTTGCACAATAGGATAAACTCGAACTTTGTTGCCCTGTTCCTCCACGCAACTGCGCGTCCGTTGCTTACGCAGGTCACGTGGTTCGCACATATAATTACTATATCGAGCACGTGTGGGCTGTGCAATAAGCAGTGCTGGTTTGCATTTCGAGCAGCTGAAAGCCTCTCAGAAAATATCAAGGACGCTATCTTCAGAAACATAGGGTACTTGCTTTTTGATTCTCATTAAAGCTCACGAAGTTTCAAGTTTTCGCGTCTGTTACACTGTTATCCCATCTACCTAGGTCCCTAACTACTCATGTTCATCTGTGCTGCTAAGCACGATTGAAATTGTTCCCGTGCTTGTCTAAGGCACAAGCTGAAGTGCAATGAAAACTGATCTGAGCTGCTCCTAGCCTGCTCCAGAACATAGTTTTAGCTGCTCCCAACCTGCTCCAAAACAGCTGTTTCAGTTGCTCCCGTGGCTGCTCCCAAGTACATTTCATGAGTTCCACCCCTGCATTATCATATTTAACCTTTACCTTCCCCAGACTACGAACATTTGCTAAGGCGAGGCTTTGCTAAAGAGATTGAAAAAAAAAATGCCTCAATCGGTACTGCCTCGAGGGCACACCCGATTTAAAGCCAATTAAAAAAATATTAATTGGATCGTATGATCAAGTGGGAATTTTCAGGAAAAGCCAATTTGAGTTAAGTGGGGATAAATGAAACCAACTACCGTATTTACTCGCACAATGAACGCATTCGCGTGATGAACGCACCCGCCAAGTCAGCTCTCAAAATTTCGTGGTCTGTTTCAAGTACTTTTTTCTTGCTGCTTTAAGTCGGGACGCGCGAGAAGAGCACATAGAAACATAAACATTCTTTGGTCGTCGCGGCCAAGTAACTGAACGACGCTGTCGGCCCTAGTGTAGTTGCTTCGTTTACTACACGATAGATGGCACTTGGCTCTCAGCATTATCAAATTTGGCAATTTTCGCCACACATCTCTAATTATGCTACAAAATGTGGATCTGAATATTATTTAAGAAAACTTTTAGGAAACATTCGCCGGCTAGTTATTGTTTATGATCGCGGTGCTGGTGAGGTAGGCGCTTACCCAATAGGCGACGTGGATTCGGCTGACGTTCTGCGGTTCCGCGGATGCATCGCAGTGAAAAGGCAGAAAGCTTTCGAAGGAAAGAAGGCGCAAAAGAGTCCAGTTTTCTTTTAAAAGTTCTATAGCAAATAATTTTTTTTGACTCCCTATTTTCGCATTTTTGTGTTTCTTTTCACACCTTTTACGACGTGCGGTAAATGAAATTCGATTTCAGAATCGTTTCATGGTCCCTTTAATTACCACTTATGTTAAATTCTTTTCCCTTATTGTCGACTTTGTTATAACGAGAGACTACAGTCGCTGATCGATTTTTCGGACGCCGATAATTCATACTTATTCAATATTTCAGACCTAAAGGAGGAACCATGACCTACCCGATAGAGATAGTGCATATTCACGCCAATGTTTCGGACAGCTTGAGGTCTGAAAGTTTAATTTTTCGGACAAAATCGTCGCGAGTGGTCAGCGGGAAACACCACCAAGAAGCCACCATTTTGGATTTTATGTTGGCTGCTCATGGATTGGCTTGGTTTGGCAGTGCTACTTGAGATCTGTTAAGTCCTACTGCTAGGTGCTGCTGTATGGCTTTTTTTTTCTCTAGCTGCGCACATTGTCATCATCATAGTTCTTACCATTTTGCTTTGTTCGTTCGCCATTGCAGTCGTGTACTTGCGCCTCTCATCTCGATCATGTCTCAGCGATTCATGTTTTCGGACTAGGCTGGCGTGGACGTCATTGCCTCATGTGTTCTCCAGCGATGTGTCGCTAAGAAGCGCAGAAAGCAAAAATGTGACGTGTTGGGCTAGTTGGCTTGAAGTGAAAGCACTCGACCGTAATGCTAGAAAAGAAGGCAGCAATTCTCAAGCTAATAGAAAGTTGCCAAACGCAAACGGAGGCGAAACCTGAAACAAGGCGCGCAGGCGCAAGGCACTATTTATGGCTTTTTTTAAGCCCACTTAGATGTAATAGAGGAAAGTTTTTTTATCTGCTGATTTTTCAGACTGCTCTATTGTTCGGACATTTTTTAGGTCCCTGCAAAGTCCGAAAATTCGGTCGGCGACTGTAGTGCATATAGAAGCCCTCGACTATAAATAATGATACTTAATTATAATTAGCGAGATTTGTCAAGCGGCACTACGGGAATCAAACCCCTGACCGCATGATACCTTTGCTCGGTGCTCCTAGGAGGAGGCGATTGGGAGAGCATGCAGCTGGGCTAAGTGTGACGCAAGCGGTCATTGGTTACAGGTCCTGAATAAATTCAAACTTGTTGTTCTGAGTGAATGAGTTGTGCGTTCAACGCATTCGAAACCACCCAAAGTATTTCTTAACCAAGCATAATGCGTGCATGACATATTCTGTATTCCCCAAGGTTTATCAGAATGATCACGACAAGTCTTTGTCTTGCACTGAAAGTGGACTCTAGACACACAATTTGTAGAGAAGACTAAACACCAAGAACACTGAAGCCTAGACTTTGTGCAATAGTGATGTACTTTGCACATTTTCTCGGTTCACAAAAATGGTCTATTCATTTGCTAGGTTTCTGGTGTTTGCATGCTTACAATGCCATCATTGAGGTTTTGCGATTGATGAAGGAATCTTTTGTTTCAGGCAGAAGCATTTGACGGGAGCAATAATCCCGTAATCGCCGTCAAAGGAGTGCGGGTGTCAGACTTCAGTGGTAAGCTGCTTAAACACCTTTGTACCGAGCTCTGAGATGAACGAATAGGTCTTTTGTGCAAACCCCTTAGTTTTATGAATTTACTGACAAAATTGGAGCATGCGAGGTGAAAATGGCGATTTCGTATCTGCGTAACCTGCACGGTTTTTAGAGAAATGATGACCCCAGCGGTCGTGCACTAATCTCCCAATAACCAGAAGATGAAACCAGAAAATGATTTGCACGATGGCAGTGGCATTGCGGCCTACGGGCCCAGTTACTCAGCTTGGTGTTATACTGACGACGACCCAGCCGGTTGTGATCATGGCTTTGGAGGCTTGTGAATGATCGGTCGGGTGGATTCTGGGGTGATAGGGTTCTTGGGACGAGTTTCCTTTTTTACAGCCTGTCGGAAACAGAAACAACAGAAATCGCGACAAAGGTCAATTGCAGTTTTCTCGCACGGCTCAGAGACTGCATGCCCTGGTTCGCAGAAGCTAATCAAGTGTTGCAATGGATGCATGTGTGGTGTCACCATCACCTTTTGCTGTAGCTGGTGCTTTATGCTGACGAGACACTAGGCAGAGAAAACGTTGAACCGACATCACGGAGCTAGCGTAGCTACCGATACATGCTCCAGCTCGATCCATGTTGACGTTTATACAGGGTGTGAGCGCCACTTCCAGCTTCATGACAGGGGGAGAGAAATACTTCCGGTTCTCGTGCGTTCACCTTGTGTTTGGGTGGGTGTGTGACGACTCTTGGTTCACCAGCGAGCAGTTCCGGGAGCTACGCCCTAGAAATGCCCCAGCATCGTGCTTCTAAGTTCAAAATGTCGCATGTGAAGTAATTTCAATTACCTCGAGACGATGGACGCCACCGATATCGTCGAGCCTGGGCGATCGCAGTACGACGGCATTGTCAGACAGTGCTAGCCTACTTCATTGTGCTGCCAACAGGTGGCGCAACGCGAGAGTATGGCGACTTGACCAACCATTTTCGTACAACGACGGGCCATTACAGCACGTACAAATGCAATGTGCACGGTGATTTGAGAAAGAAACCTTGAAACACCAAAGGAAACAAGTTGGAACACTAGAAAATGATGCATTACAGAGACTCGGGTTGCTCTAAAGGAAGCTTATTTATTTATTTATTTATGTATTTATTTATTTAAGTACCCTCAAGGCCCTGGGGCATTACAGAGGGGAGTGGTACAAGACAAATTTGGAACACAAACAATATACAAACACTAAATACCAAGCACGAAAAATGTAAAAAAAAAAAAAAAAACATGTGTAAACAAATTAAGAAATGTATAAAACAAGGCAAACAAGTAAACACTTTGGGAAGGTTGCTGAAACCAAGACCTGGTTCGGCGACTCCTGTGGGGAAGCTTGTACCTTATTCACCTAGTCAAGGTCCACCGCCAATGCCTTGCCATTCACCAAGGAGTTGATTGCGTTTAGGAATTTGTAGGTTTTAAGTCATTCTCAGGTATATGGACCAGGTGAGTGGAACAGGTAGTCTCGAAGATCCCAGGATACCTTCGGCAGATTTGTCATTTCCTCGGGGAACAACTGCTCTTTCACCCAAGGGAGCAGGAAGGGATGTTGATTCTGTAAAAGTAAATTTCAGGAGGTACCACAGTTAGTCCTCGGTGGTAAGACTTTCAAATAGGGGTGCGTGAATATTGAAACTTTCATATACGAATCGAATACAAATATTTTTGAAAAAAATAGCTTCGCATATGGATCCGTGCGTTTCGATTATGCGTGTACCATTAAGAAATGACAAAAAAAATATGACCAAAGATGATAACAAATTCAAGTAAATGAGACTACCTGACTGGGCAGCATGTAAACAATGCAGCTGATAACACAGCTATTATACTTTGACTCGTAATTACTGTTCATGAAAGCAGGCAAAAGGTGCAACTGATAAGCTATACAAATTGACAAAAGTAAGAGTGTACAAAACTGCACATGTCTAAATAGTAGTGATGGGGTGAAACTTTTTCTGAACCTCGTTGCGTTTTGGAGCGTTGCCAGGCTGGCCACACAACATTATTATGGAGTGAAACCTTTTCTGACATAACAATCTTATAAATCCCATTAAATCATTAAAATTCTAAATATAAATACTTAATTTAACAAAGTAGGCTTAGTCAGATTAAATCTGAGATATGGAGAAATAAAATAACGGTCAACGCATCACAAAGTACAGTCAAACCCACTTATAACGATCCCACATATAACGACCTACTTTCAGAAAATATATGAATTCAAGGCCCTACCCATTACAACGAACACAAAGTCCGCTTTCGAAAGAAAATAAAAACTCCCTCGCGCAAAAAGCAAAAAAAACAAAGATTAAAAGAGCTACATCCCGGACGTGGCGGTCGGCAAGACGCTCAAGGTCATTTTCACGGCATCGCGGCAGGGGAGAAAACAAAACTACAAAAGCAAAAACGCCCTCCCGGTTTGCGTAGTCTGCTCATTGTGCGTGCGCAAGAAGGAGAAGAGGAGGAGGAGGAGAAAGTCAACTCTCAAGCCGTGCTGCGTTACTTCATTCTATGTTTGGAAACTCAAACTCTGTATGCAACTCAAGAAGAGCTCAATGCTTGGTACAAGTTGGCTAGCCCCATCGCCATCGTGACAGTTTGTTTACGTTCGCCAGTTTGGTACCATGCACATTCTCTCGCGTCTACGGACTTGTGTCTGTCGTTTTGAGATGGGGAAAAAAAAAACACCAAGAGGCTTTAATTAAACGAAAGACATCACGCTGGCAAAAAAAGATGGCAACGGAGCAGTACTGCGTGGCCTCGCAATCCCAGCCACCCGACGAGCTCGCAAACTGTCGTTTGAAAGACGACCCTGCCAGAGGCGACGGCCACGCACTCGTACATGCGCAGGAAGCGCGGCACTTAAAACGCTTTGGACCAAAGAAAGTAACGCTGACCCCCCCCTATACCGCTCATCTTAGCATAAATGCCCGGTTCCTTCTGACCTTCTACGATCACTCTGCCAATATGAAACGTGCACCAGCAAGTTTTCAGCAGTCCGAAATTGTGTAATCCAAAGAAAAAAAAAGCTGCCCCTGTCTTTACCTCTCGTCACTCAGAAACTCAAAGAACTTAGCAGAGCTGTTGCCGCTGGAACTGGAGCACCAGCAAGCAGAGCAAATAGACAAGGTGCCGCTTGCTCAGCGTACTGGCGCACGAAGTAGGCAGATAACCAACAGGCCACTGCCCGCTGCCGCAAACGAAAAGCACCACCGCACCGCTGGCACAGGCGCCGCCAAGCGGCCAATTCAGCACACAGCCGCGGCAGCCGACACGCAACTGTTCTGAACGGTCAAAATACAACAAAAAACTGACCAATGAGAGCAAAGTATGAGGGCAAAACTTGAGCTAACCAAAATATTTGTTTCTCCTTAGCAGGATAAATTTTTGAGATCTGTAAACAGCAAGAATAATATGTATCTCATCCTAATAAATAAATTTCCGGCGAAAACCAGAAGTTCTTCATAGGAAACCAGCTAATAAGAGATGGCGCTCAAATAGTTGACCGGATGTTGCTCGAAGATTCTGGGGGTTGGTTTAATATGGATACTTCAATGCAGTACAAAACGGTATTTTGAATTTGAGTTACGATTTGTGCGGCAATTTGATAAAATTTCTTGGACACCTGTGTACAGGATGTGTGGCTTGTTTTCCAGGAGTGTCTCTGTCCATGATTGGGTCCAGCCAGCTACAAGTGAACCCCGACATCCCGGAGTCACACGCTCTGATTGGCTGGTACAGCAACGAGGGTGCATCGCTGCAGACGCAGTCTCTGTCCGTACGCACCGGAGGGTTCGAAGGTATGTTCTCCTTGGATTTGCCGTTGGTGCCATGGAGTCCCTAGGGGTAGCTCCCTAAGTAAAGCGTTTTAGATCTGAGCCACCCACTGTTGCGTGACTATGGGTCAGATGCCCAAATCAGTTCCTCGACTATCGATTGAGCGTAGTTCCTGGAAGCTTGAGTGCTTAGCCCATTTGCTTGTTCCGCCGGGCCGTTTAGAAGGCGTCTTGCGCAGGTGCGGCGGCATCCTGGAAGCACCTTTCGGAGGCCAAGTCGCAGAAGCTGGGCTTTGGAGACAAGCCGGACTACTTCTCGTGCAAGGCGAGCGTGGCCATCGTGCGTAAGGAGAACTGCTTGTACAAGGCCTGCCCCGCCGAGAAGTGCAACAAGAAGCTGGTGAACCTGGAGAACGGGCTCTACCGCTGCGAGAAGTGCAACGAGCAGACCTCAGAATTCAAGTGGAGGCTCATCGTCTCGGTAAGATTGGTTGGAGAGGGACGTTACAATGGAGACAATCTGCCGGCTCACGTCTGTGATGGCAGACTTGTCGAGCGCTCAGAGGGAATCCGGAAGTCGTTTAGTTGCTGATGAGTTGAGAACGGCGTCTTTTTAATGCATTAACTGCCCCATGGAGCGGACCGACGTCATCAGCTTTGAAGGCCAAACGGCGCCTATACTCCCCGAAGTGAAGCCGATTTCTGACGGATAGGCTCCCATTGGCTGGCACGCGTCATCGAGGAATGAGGCTCCCATTGGCATAGTTCCAAAAACTGCCACCAGAGAAGCCCTCTCCATGGCGGCACAGCGCACACAGCCGCCGGTAAGAGGGAGTGGTGGCGGCAGAGACTGCTTGGGCAAACTCTAGAGAGGTTGCACGGCCGAGCTCAGCGCGGCGCGGCCACTTCACGAGAGTGCGCGCTCCACCGTCGGCCGCTACCTCGGCAGTACCAAAACGTGCCCGTCCATGCCACTACGGGACGGTCACGTTTCCAAACGACCGGAACGACATTCATGCTTTCGCATTCACAACTCATAAGAAGTGCTTAGGTGTCCTCGGAATATTTTTAAAGCCTCCGGCGCACACGCTCATTGCCTTTTGCCGTGCTTCGGCTGCACGCTCGAAGTTGACGAGGTTTACATCTTGTCAGTGGCCTGACGATGGTAGCAAACGACCGAGTGCCACTGTATTATGGCAGCCTTACTTGCCAGAATCTAACCGTGGGTACTACAGTTTGTTCCACTTAACGCAGAAGCTACGAGCGTGTTGCCCCCAAAGATCCTTGCACGAGTGCGCATGCTTTGCAGGGACGCTGAAAGCCCGGAGCTGGCTCTTGTAGCTTCTGTTACGCTCGCATTTAAACTATATAGACCAGTGGGAGTCCTTTCCAAGATGTTTTTTTGTTGTAGAACTACGTCCTTTACGCTTAGAAGGGGATGCAAAGTTGCGAGATCGATGCTTGGTCATGGAAGCGACGTCTCGCAGATCACGTGGGAGCACCGACCGATTTGCATCGGTGCTGCCGAGAACCGCGCAGTGCGCACGCGCATCCTTTTAATCTGATAGCATTCTTTAGCTAGCCCCCCACCCCTTGGGTTTCTTGGACTCTGGCCTCCAAATTCATAGTATATATCCACAGTAGACCATTTCAACTCGCCTTCCTTCACATTTACACCCTCTTCGAAGTTGGTGAAGTCAGTGAGAAGCAAGTGTGCATTGCACTGGAGGTGCGAACGGAGCACCAGTGGATGACTGGCTTGGAAGCAGAGCGGACCCACCGTTCCTATGTAGATATATGTTCACTCAGCTCTGTAACAAGGCAGCGTTGAAGGACTTTGACAGGATAGAGCAAAGGCTGGGTGCCTTCTGGTTTGCGTTCTGTTCACGGGGCCACAAAGAGCTATTTTCGTTTGTCAAGCTAATTCTCTGCTTGTCTCATGGCATCATCCCAATCTAAAATCATTTATCCCAGCCCAAAATTAATTTCCTACAAACTTTTTAATGGCCTATATATTTCCAAATAAACTCTCGCTCCCTCCCCCGAGAGAAAGATTTTTTTAACGATATTTACTTCGCAAGTCACCAAGTTAGGACTGATTCTGAAGCATCTTCTATTAGAGCTCAGCTCGTTGGCGCCCGTTTCCGGCTTGAGCGATGTCGGCATGACCGTGCATGTTGCATTATGGGAATAATGCAAGTGGGCGTAACAGTGGGTTGCATTATGGGAAAATTTCCCCTTTAAATTTAGCAGGAAACTTTTCGCCGTTTCCCTGCTAAATTTAGCGGGAAAATTTCCCCGCTAATTCCTAGCTAAGTTAAGTGTAAAAAATTTCTGCGCTAAATTTAGAGGGAAAATTTTCAGTTTCTCTGCTAAATTTAGCAGAAAAATTACCCGCTAAATTTAGCAAAAGAAATATTCCCGCAAAATTTAATGGAAAGAAATTTTACCAAAAGGGGAGCGGGGGAGGAGGGGCATACCCTCCGTACCCTCCCCTCTTCCTCAAGAGCCGCACTCCATACCTGCCAACTCCCGAATTTTCTAGGATCCTCCCGAATTTTGATCACATCTCCCGATTGTACGAACGCGACCTCGAAACTCCCAAAAAACAAACGCCGTAATTTTAGAAATTTTTTTGGGCGCTTTATTGCTATAATTATTATGCGTATGTCAGTGCGAGTTACTCGAGAGTAGGTTTAAATTACTCCAGTGGGTTACTACGTGACAACTCAGTCATAGCAGCAGCCTAAAACGAGGATAGATTTTCAAACGCCAAGGTACAAAACCTCTACTCTAAAGTAAGTTCGAGCATATTTTGGAACAGGGCTTATATGATCATGGGTGCGTTAGGCTTCAGTTGGCTTTGTTGGGTCGTCGAGTGAAGTGCGGACGCGCCGAACTACTCCGTGTGCTTCCCCCAGTTTAGTTGTGTAGTTCAATCGTTGGAATGATCGATGGCTTTTTTAAAAGCCAAGAAGAAGTACTTGCAAGTATTTCTCAGATGATACACGACTGAGTTTTCGTGCTTTGTCACTTCGCGGAAAGGTGACAAATATGGTTTCTGTACCACATGCGCCTGTGATGTGTGCGTTTCGCATGGCGGCAAGGCCGACATCAAGATACGCGCCACTTTACAGAAGCATCAGAACTATGTTCGTGCCGCAGAAGGGCAGGGCACCATCGGCAGTTTCCTCCGAAACAACTACGAAGACAGTGTGATACGCGCAGAGTGCCTCTTCACGGGATATCTTATTGAACACAACCTGCCGCTAAGCGTGAGTGATCATGCGGGACCGTTATTTCGGAAAATGTTCCCAAAATGTGACGACGCAATGCGCTACGGATGCAGACGTACCAAAGCAACTGCAATTGTTGGGGAAATGGCTGCAGACGCCGAAAGCTCATTGCTAAAGTCTCTAAAACGCCGTGCTTTCTCAATCGCTGTGGACAGAAGCAACAACAGCGGGTCGCAAATGTACCCCATCGTGGCAACTTACTACGTCGAGGAATCGCGGAATGTTGAAAGCAGACTGCTTTGTTTGCAAGAACTCCATGGAGAGGCCACCGGGCGGAAAATCGGGAAGCTCGTTCTAGACGCGCTCAAGTAGCGCGATATACCCTTGGAGAACTGCATTGCATTTTGTGCCAACGACGCCAACGTGATGATTGGGAAAAGAACAGCGTGGCAGCTGTGCTTAAAGAATCCCAGGAGAGTTTTGATAGTTGTTGGTTGCCCGTGTCGCCTTATCAATCTTGCGGCCGAGAAAGGAGCCACCTGCTTACCTGCGACATTCGACAAGGTGCTCGTGGACATCTACTTCCTCGAGAAGAGCACCAAGCAGAAAGACAGGCTTGTCGAATTCCAAGAGATGCACAACACAGAGGTATGCAAGATTTTGAAGCACGTGCCGATATGGTGGCTATCGCTGGGAAGGTGCCTGACCAGATTGCTGGAGCCCTTAGTGAGCTTCTTTCTAAACGAGACAAAGCCAAAAAACCAGCAAACCAGCAGCGTCCATCCTTTTTAGGGTCGTACCAGATCCCCAAAAGAGCTCCACTTTGGGAGAAGATAAGTTGGATGATGTCAATCAAGATCACAAAAAACGGAAGGAGCCAAGAGGCAATGTGGGATGCGACCCCAGCGAAGAAAGTGAAGTTTTCATCCGAGAATACCGGATATGCCAGCTTGACCCGTGAGGAACAGCTGTTCTACTTCCTGACCTCTGACGTCAACTTGGCATATGGACTTTTCTAGAAGAGTGTAATCTCCGTTTTTGAAAAAGTCAACTGTTTACTTCAATCCCAGGCACCTCAAGTTCATCTGCTCCAGTCTCTCTTGGTCCAGCTCCTGAAGGGGTGTCCAAACAGGACACTACAAAACGCACGACTCCGACAAATCGTGAAAATTGAAGCGGGCGCGTCCGCTTCAATTTTCATGATTTGTCGGAGTCGTGCATTTTGTAGTGTCCTGTTTGAACACCCCTTAAGGAACCTTATGGCTAGTTTGTCAACTTCTCTGCCATGAAGTCCTGTGCTTCACCTCTGGAGGTTCCCACCAAGATCTAAAGAACCAAAAAGCCAATGAAGAGCTGGTCGTTGGGAGCCGCACATCGTCTGTTGTGGAGGGGCTGGCTACCAGCGACAAGCAGCAGTTTTTTTCTGCTGTTCAGCATTACTTTTCTGTGGCAAGTGATTACATACGGCACAAATTTCCACTGGAGGATGAAACCTTGAAAAAAGCAGAATTTGCCAATTTGAAGTTTTTGAGCAGTGCATCCTTCAAGAGCCTTGGCTTCTTCATTGAGTCGTTCCCGCAACTTCTGTCCTAGGAGAAGAACATGTCGAGAGAAGAGGCCTTGGACGCCTTGGAAGTGGAATTCGCAGAGCTGCAGGCATATGATGTTTCTGAGGACATCTTAAATGAAGAGAGAATTGATGTTCAGTGGTCAGAAGTGAGAAGAATCACTAGCATTGATGGAAAAGTGAAGTTTGGCAGAGTGGCAAAGGGGATGCTGCAACTACTTGCCATTCCACACAGCAATGCTTAAAGGGACCATGAAATGACTTTTTTACTTTTTCCAGATAACTTTTACATTAAACCGTCAATGTTCACTGAATGCCGAACAGGCATCCGTTTTCGTCTCGGTTTATTAACTTCTACACAAAAAATTAATGAAATATCGACTTTTTCTTGACCGCAAAACAAGCCGTGACGTACGCTGCTTCCGGAACCGGAAGTTCTCTCGGCAGTTGGAGATGGGAGCGTTAGCGGCGACGAGTTGGGGTGTGCCAGTAGGTTCTACTAGTTCTACTGCGCCGATGTCACCGACGTATTTTCTGAATCGGCGCCTCTCATCGCCGCATCGCAGCTGAGCGAAATTCAATGAGATACGTTGCGCTACAGCGACAGCATGGGACTAGTCCCATACGCCGTCATGCCTGTTGGGAAGTGCAGCGAGTCTTCCGGTGACGACTCCAGAAGTTAACCAAACTGTCATTGTTGGTAAAAGGCGGCCAGTGTCAGTCGTTTGCAAAGCGACGTAGATGGAAACAAATTGCCGCGGCGTTTTTCGCGGTCTCGGAGATGCAGGAGCGAGCCGACGTTAAAAAAGATACGTTTGAACTATGAGTGTCAGCAAGAGCCACGTAAATACCTGTTCACACTCGGAGCGGACGCGCGCGTTTGATGGAAGTGCTGTATTCGGGCTGTTGGTAAGCGCTTCGGGACCGATCTTTTACGATTGCAACTCGATACTGACGCGACACTCGGCAAAGAAAGGTTGGACCGGTATTGCACGTGTACCTCCCACGAACTGTTACAGCTCGACAGTGACGTGCAGTCTGTCAGAATAAAAATGGCATACCAATAACAAAGTGTACATACCGTGTTACGAAGGTAATCCATACAGCGTTTATTTCAGCTCTGACAAGTTTTTGAAGCTTGCGAAGTCTGCGACTGCCAGGTCCCTTCACAAGTAAAGCAGTAGGGCCCCCCCCCCCTCCTCTTCCGCTACAAGGACCAGGAGTCCAGACGCTGGTCTTTATGACCCTTCTTGGAAGAGTTTGTGATGATGCAACAACAAAGAGATCAATTCAAAATAAACTAGTGTGCCCCCACCCTCCCCTCTTTACAATGTCATAGCATCTTCGATCAACTCGCACCGGAATCGCCCTGAAACCAGCACAGTGCACAGCGCTCCTCGGTCGTGCAGCGCGATGTCGGTGCAACATCGAGGACAAACTAGACAAACTGCGCCGCGCCGATGCACCGCGGCGAGCTCCACCTTGCGCCACTTCGCGTTTAGTTCGTTTATTGTGCGTAGGCCAGCGCACGGTGCCCGTCTGCTGTCCATTTCTTCTATTTTTTTACTCGCGGATTTGACGGTCCCACAGAAATAAACATCGTGGACGTGATTGTCGATGGGGTCTCGAAGCGGGTGACAATTCCACATGTATATGTTGGCCATCATTATTAGTTCAAGAAAACGGAACACCAGATAATAGCCGTACCTCGCTGTCATCGGAACGCCTCGCGCCGCTTTCCACGAAGTTCGTGCTTTTCGGGCGCTCCTTGCCACCGCAGCAATCGCCAGTAATCGCGGCGATGGTGAGAAGCTCGTCGTCTCGCCGTCAGAAGACCCGAGGAAATTATCTAGTGCAGCTGCGAGGCGTGTTCGTTTTTGCAAGATCGCCATCTCGATAGTCTGCGCGTCTGCTACTCCCGCCATCTTCTCGATTCCCGTTCCTGGACGCAATGCCTGATGGGACTGCCCCCCAGCGCACCGCCAATTTTCTTGGTGCGCGTTGGGGCAACGAAAAGCCGCACCGGGAGGGTGCGCTTCGTTGATCGAGGACGTACGGTGCGCACCGGTGCACTTGATCGAAGATGAAGGGGCGCACCTCAGTGCCCCGGTGCGCACCGGTGCGGATGATCGAGGATGCTATCAGTCTCAATAATTTCAAAATTTCTGAAAAAAAAAAAAAAAAAATTGGACTTTTTCCTTTTTCTTCCTTCCCCCCCCCCCCCCCCCCCCCCCCCCTCCCGTTGCGCGGCGGTCTTGCGAATTGTTATGTTGCTAGGTTACCAGGTATGTAATTCGGCGTTACAAAGAATTGTAAACGTTTTTCATTTTTTGAGACCCCAATATACATTGCGGATGAGCTCCAATGAGTCCCATGGTATAAATATTGCGTTATGGCACATAAAACGAGAATGTTTTCTTGACTATGTCTCTTTAGGTGCTTCCCTCTGCCATGTGAACAAAAAGCAGCTGTGAATAAAGAGGAAAACATTTGTCGCACTGACGTCCTCCCACGGTTTATCTGCCGTGCAGGCCCACTTGTGCGACTTCAGCGCTGGCCAGTGGGTGACCTGCTTTGGCGCAGAGGCTGAACAACTGCTGGGGAACACCGCTGCGGAGCTGGGAGGATTCTTCGAAGGGGTCAGCTCTCCTTTTGATTCTTGTTTCCTTTGAATGACAATGCTACGATCTGCCACTTGACATGGAGCCGTCTCTCGAAAAATGATGGGCCGAGGAAAAGGTGAGGAGAGACAACGAGTGTTTTCATGTAGTCTCAAAGATTGCCTGGAACTGAGCTGGTAGGTTATTCATGTTTGTGAGATGTCACATTAAAACTTGGGTTTGGGCTAGTTGGTCCATTACTGAATAAAAGGTTAAAAAGGGGACAATAAAGAAACACGGACGACAAGACAGGCGCTTCAGAGTGAGATGGCGTTTCTGAAAGGTTGGCTCTGATTGTGGCGATTGAATCCGATGTGGTTTGGGCAATGTGTATACAGCCGCCGACCGATTATTCGGACTTCGCAGGGACCGAAAAAACGTCCGAATAATAGAGCAGTCCGAAAAATCCGCAAATTGAAAAACTTGCCTTTATTACTTCCAAGTGGGCTTAAAAAAAGCCGTAAATAGTGCCTTGCTTCAGGTTGCGCCTGCATGCCTTGTTTTAGGTTACGCCTCCGTTTGCGTTCAGCAACTTTGTGTTAGCTTGGGCGTCATGGTCGAGTACTTTCTGCGCTTCTTAACGACACATTGCGGCGTCAGAAGAACAGATGGGGCCATGACGTCCAAGCCAGCGTTGTTTGAACGAGATGAGAGGTGCAAAATGGCAACTGGCGACATGAAAGTGGGGCGGAGGCGCGAAGTGATGGAAGTGATGGAAGGAAACAAAGCAAAATGATAATAATGATGATGATAATGACGTGCAGCCAAATGGAAAAAAAGGACTAGCATCGCTAGCATAGCGTCACCTAGCGGTAGGACTCAGGAGTATTCAAGTAGCGCTGCCAAACCAAGGCAATTGATTTGCAGCCAACATAAAATTCAAAATGGCCGCTTCTCGGTGGTGTTTGCCGCTGATCGCTCGCAACGATTTGGTCCGAATAATCGGAAGTATCGGACTTCAAGCTGTCCGAGACATTGGTCGTGAATATGCACTATTTCTAGGGGGAAAGTCACGGTTCCTCCTTTAGGTCCGAAATATCTAACAAGTCCGAATTATTGGAGTTTGAAAAAACAGTCGGCAACTGTATACAGTCGCCGACCGGTTTTTTTATAAATACGGTAGGAAAAAAAAAAAAAAAAAGCGCCTGTTTTCTTGTTTGTGTTTCTTTATTGTAAAAGCGCCTGTCCTGTCGTCTGTGTTTATTTAGTGTCCCCGTTTGTTCATGCTTTTTAACCTTTTATTGTGAGGTGTTATTCAGTAAATTGTTGTTAGTCCAGTGGAGTGCATGTGTATGTTCCTTGTGTCTCTATCTTGTATACTTCTTCCTTTGTTCAGCTGGCAAATCTCACAAATATCAAAGATACCTGAGCAAAGTTGACAAAAGATGGCAAGACCATCTTTCGGTGTTGACTGTTTTTAGATTGTGCTTTCAGCAAAATCTAGCTGTGATATTTGGAGTTTTTTCCCTAAAAATTCAAACCTTAATTGAAAAAAAAATATATTTTTCTTTTTAGCGTCTTATGTTTTGTGGTTTAAAGAAAGTTGTAAGCATTGCAAAGGTTCTGCTTTGTGTCAATTTGTGTGTATCAGTTTGAAGCTTGGCTTTTTTTTGTGTAATCACCAGGTAGTTTTTGCTTCCTGCCCATTGTACAGAGGCTCTGAAAGAGTCAGCGTGTTTCAAATCCGCCTCATCATTGTGGATGACGATGTGCAAAGAAGTTCAATTTTATGCAAAAAAAAAAAAAAAGGCCAGAGGAAAGTGAAGAAACGTCTATCAAAAAGAGGTTGAAGGGCAGAATGTGTTTGTTTGTTGTGGTAGGAAGGCTACCTCTTCTCTACATGAGAGCAAAAGACATTCTTTTACCAGTTCCATGAACAAAAGTGAAAATGAAAAAAAAAAAAATATATAAAGAATTTTAAAAGTTGTTGGAGAATCCTAGGAAAAGATACTGGTTGGATTTTTACAACTGGCACAGCCCCAGAATACTAAATTTTAAGGTAAACCTGAATGCAGATTTCAGTGGATTTATCTGGAAGGACAGAACCCTGCTTGTATCTAACGGCAAACTGAATTTTTCAGTTTGCTATTAGGTTCTGTCTGAATATTTGTAAGGATTAATTGAACATGCTGATGAATAAGCACGGGGTTAATATCAGATTGGAATCATTAGTCACTGCACGATATGTAACACACTCGTGGGCAAATAAACTAAGTGAGGATGAAACACAGGAGGGTAAGTCGTTAATATATACATGAAAATTGAGAGAATCCAGTACAGAACCTTGAGGGACCCCGGACGTTACAAAAACTAAAGGCGAGGAAGTATCATTTACAAACACAAATTGAGCCCGGTTAGTTAAGAAAGCATGAATCCAAGAAACTATGATGGATTCAACACTTAGTGAACTTAATTAATGGAGCAGTAGGTTATGTAGTAACAACACTTTGAATGGTTTGGCAAAATCGAGAAGTATGCAATCGAGCTTGGAAACTACGATCAAGAATAATGTGAAGGTCATGAGTGAAAGTAGCTGAGTTTACAGGAAAAGTTTTCCAAAAGCTGCGTTGCGCCGGCGGAAAAAGATGATTTGATTCCAAGAAATTGACGAGGTGTGAAGGTATGATATGGGGGGGGGGAGGGGGGGAGGGGGGGGGGGAGGGAGGGAGGGAGGGAGGGAGGGAGGGAGGGAGGGAGGGAGGGAGGGAGGGAGGGAGGGAGGGAGGGAGGGAGGGAGGGAGGGAGGGAGGGAGGGGGGAGGGGGGGAGGGGAGGGAGGAGGGAAGGAAGGCTCTAGAACTTTGGATAGTATACTGGTTAGTGATATGGGACGGTGGTGAGAGGACAGTGTTGATCGCCAGCTTTGTGTATTGGTACCACCTTTCCCACCTTCCAGTCGTCGGGTAAACTTCCAAGCTCAAGAGATTGTTGAAATATTTTAGCAAGTAATTTCGATGAACATTTTGCAGTAATTTTTAGGAACTTGGAAATAATAGCGCGTCAACTTCCACTGAAGAAGTTAATTTTAAATCATTAATCGCACTAACAATTTTACCAGCATCAAAAAAATTGGGTTACATGGGTATAAATTCACTTGGTTGAAATGGGGGTAAACGGGACGAATAAACGGCCGAGAATGAGTCGACAAATGCCAGGTTGAAAGCCAATGCACATTCTCGTAAATCACTAAAAAGGGATATTAGGTGCTTCTCATTGCAATGGATAGCATTCCAAAACTGTTTTGGATTGTTTGTTAGCATGGATGGCAAGGTTTTAGAAAAGTGAGTAGCCTCCGCTTGTGTAATATCATTTTTGTAAGTACTAGCAACATCGTGATAAGGTTGGAGCACATACAACGACAAACATACTGAAAGCGCAAGTCTTGTTTGGTTTAGCCGATGAATGAAGAACAGATTCAAGGACTGCCATGATGCTGCGCTGGCTGGTTGATCGCCGTCTAAACTTCCAGACGACGTCAGCGATGTCGGAAACTCCCGAGAAAACTTGGCAAAATAGTAGGATTGCCGATTACTGTGAGAAAGCAAGGTCTGGTACTCCTGATCAACATGATTATCATGGCTGCCACATGCCTTTGTTGCGTGGCACTTGCGCCACTCGCGTCAACCCTGGCCTCTCAACAGCGTGCGTGCGTCGAGCTTCACCACTTTGCATCGGAGTGCTTTGTAGCAGCGACTGACCTGGGGGAGCTCCTAGCATGGCATGCAAATTATGCTCTGGAAAGCTTCTTCGTCCTATCTTTTTTAAATCTGAGAAGAAAACACTGGTCTGTATACATTTGAATCAGTACAATAGTCACGGTAGTTCCTGTGCAGCTGTCGATCGAAAGAGCAGCAAACTTTGACGTAACTCTGGTTCCTACACCGCTAAAAAGCAGTGTCACCTTCAAAGCGAGAGTGTTGCTTTTATGATACAGTGCACTCCCTTTAAACGAAACTCAACAATGACAGTGAAATCTGTTCCATTTAGTGATTTCTTAGTGATTTTGGAAAAATCACTAAGAAATCGATTTTTGGAAAATAGCATTTTTGTAGTCTATATGTATTATTTTCCTTATCTGCCAAGTTTCCTATCTCTTAAAGGACACATGCAAAGGAAAGAAACATTTTTTTAGACAGCTTAGATGGAAAAAGGATGTCATAAAACGATTTTACAACAAAGAAAAAAAAATTTTAGAGCTATATTTACGGCGCTATACGAATTTGTAGTTAGCGCTTGCGGGAGCCGCCGCTGGTCACGTGTTAGGCCCGCGCGCCACCGCGCCGCGTCGCCGTTGCATGCTGAGCGTTGTGTGAACGCCGCTTCAACGCGTTTCTCCGCACCGCCGTCTCCGCCGCCGCACAAGTTTGTCTGCTTCGGGCCTTTGCCGCCGTCGTCTGACCGGTGCACAGGTCTATCACATCTGCTTGCGCTTTTTCAGGAGTTTCCTTTGGGCTCTAAAAGTTACTTATTCATCTTAGTTTTTTGTTATACATCAAACAAAGATGAATAAGTTACTTTTAGAGGCCATAGGAAGCTTCCGAAAGAGCGCAAGCACCACGTGACAAATATGGGCCCGTCACATGATAAACAAGGGCCACTTTTCCGCGGCGCCCGCCGGCGCCTGCTACAAATTCGTATAGCGCCGTCAATATAGCTCTAAAAAAATTTTTCCTTGGTAGTAAAATTGTTTTATGATATCCTTTTTCCATCTAAGCTGTTTAAAAAAAATGTTTTTTTCCTTTGCATGCATCCTTTAAGTTCATATTTCAGCCGTAATATTGATTTAAAGACATGTAGGGCACCTGATTTTGCACCCATGTTGATGCTAAAACGATGATGCATGGCTTGCCTCTGTAGTCGATGGTGGGGCGCTCTGGTGGACGTCATTGTCGATCCCCTCTTCACTCTCATCACCATTGCCATCTTCAACTTCCTTTAGTAGACCTGCTAAAGTGTCCTCACGGCAGGTGACAACGTCGTCATCAACAGCTTCATAATCGTCCATTGTCACAGGGCGAGTGCCACACACCTCAGCCACCAAACCGAACTCAGCATGCGCTTCAGCACTGTCGGCATCTGACTCCTCTCGGTCCGTGGCTACTTCCTTAGAGAAGCCTGCATGCTCGAAGCATCTTTGAATTGTCGTAGATGCAACTTCATCCCACGATTGGGCCAAGATGTGGATGGCAGAAGGGAGGCCCTTTGTCCCTATCCATGCACAGCATCATCCTTTTCAGAATGTGGCGACGGTAAAACACCCTCGAATTTCGAATAACACCCTGATATATCGGCTGGAGTACGGCTGTCACATTGGCAGGGAGAAAACTCCGGGTGAATGCAGTTCAGATCGTGCACTTCACCATGCGCTGGACAATTGTCCACAATAAACACAACTTTTCTGCTAAACTCGGCGTCCCTCTCCCTCAACCAGCTTTCGAAAATCGCCCGAGTCATCCAGGCCTTGGTATTTACGTCATACAGTACTGGCAGTCCTTTCACACCTTTAAAAGCTTGGGGTCTCTTTGCTTTCCCGATAACCAGAAGCTTAAGTTTTTTGGGCCCGTCCATATTGGCTCCCACCAGAACAGGGATGTGGTCCTTGCTGTGCTTACCTCCTATGCACTTCTCACCTTTAAAGCTGAGAGTCTTGTTGTGAAGAAGCTTATAAAAAAGCGCCATTTCGTCTACGTTGAAGATGTCGCTGGGCTCATAATTTGAGAGTATATCTTGGAGCTTCTCCTGCTGCCAGTCAGCGCAAGCATTTTGATCCACCGTGGCACTTTCACCTGCTATGGTGTGGAACACAAGGCCGTGGCGCTTCTTGAAACCGCTTAGTCAGCCGTCGCTGAATTTGGAATTTCAATGCCCATCTGGGGTGCAATGTCTCTTGCCTTCTCCTCCGAAATAGGCCCAGTCACTGGAAGGCTGGAGCTTTGGGCACGCTTCAACCACAGGAAAAACGCCTTCTCGAGGCCTTTGTGGTCGGCTAGATGCATCCTCTTCCTACCAGGGGCGAAAGTGGTGCTGTTGTATGCCTTCTCAATCTTTTCACCATCCTTCAAAATCCTCAAAAAGAGTGCACCTCGGTATGCCATGCCTTTTTGCGATGGCCGTCTTCGACTCCTGGCTGCGCTTCACGTCTTCAAGAATTTTCATTTTTTTGCTTAAAGACAACGCATTATGCGGGCGCTTTTTAGCGGTTCCTTCCAAATTGCACGCACGTAGAGAGGGACGCCCGTAAAGAGCCACGCGCGTAAAACGCGACAGACCAACGCCGGCTGAACACAACGTGCAAATCGGTGTCCACAAACAAAAATGCACAGCGCGACTGGCGCCATACCGGATTGGATTGGATTCTGGATAACGACAATAACAAAGTCAGCATGAAGCTCAGTTTCGGTTTCGTTTATCCGTGCTGCCCGCAAAATGGTGTTTCAATTGTCGAGCACAACTTAGTACTCATTTTATAGAAAACCAATTAATTTTTTTAGATTTGTTTCGTTTAAGAGACGTTTCATTTAGCACGTGTCTACTGTACTTTTGGATGGTTGTTTTTGCAGTTTTTGATTGGTTGGGTAGGTTGGGTAGGTTTGTTAAACTTACGGATCACACTTTTATTGGTAGCAGGGGTGGAAGTGCTGCGCCAATTGCACCATTGTGCACCAATTCACTTTCGCTACGCCATCCTGCTCCCAAGCGCACATGTTGCGCCAAAACTAGCCAAGCAAGTTTTTTTTTAATGGCGATATTTATTGGTGTATTTTTCTTTATTGGCCACAGTGGTTTACTGTGTTGTGTTCGTTTAGGTAATTCTGAACCAATACAGACTTTTAGCAATCCGTTACCGCGCATTACCGGAGCCTTTGAAGCATGCTTTTAAGCGCGCGCCCAAGTGATACGGTGACCGCGGGGCGCGCGCTTAAAAACATGCTTCAAAAGCTCCGGTAGTATGCGGTAATGGTTTGCTAAAAGGCCCTATTGCCATGACACCGCCATACCGATGTGGTCGTGTCAATGGCGTGTAAGTCTGATCTCCGAAAATGGCACATGCGCAGGTCGCTTTGTCAAAGTGCTCATCAGAACTCTGACAAACGACGAAACGATGCTTTGATGCATCGTTTCGTCATTTACTTAATCTTTTTTTTTTTTTACAGTGGCATTGAGCATGACTGAGTGTATTCGAAATAAACGAAATACCACACACACGCATTAAATCGCCGTAAAGGCTCATACAAACGCTCGCCGCAAAAAACGCACATCCCTTTTTTTTTTTTTTTCTTTTTTTTTTTTTAATTGCATTTATTGTGTGTCTGGGTATCCGAAAGTGCATCTGGCGGCCGTGCTGCCATTCGGTTATTGACGTGTGTGGTTGAGTGTCGGGTTTTCATTGTGTTTCCGGAAGTGGCCTCTTCACTGACGATGTCGGTGGCTAGAAAGTGCTCGTTTAACCCGGACTGGACGAACCCGAATATTTAGGAATATGCAAGTTTGATTAAGCCCGTGCAAAATGATCCTTACAGTGTTCAATGCCTTGTGTAGTACCGTAATGGTCTTGTCTATTTAATCGCCTGTACAGTGGTAAGGGAATTTCACCCGAAATTGTCAGGGAAAACCTGGAAAAGTCTGGGAATTTCAAAATAATATTTTGCTAGACACCCTGTAACTCATTTAGAGATGCAGTCACGTTTTCATATTCAAGTGGTGTGCTAACTGACGTTGGCATCTGCTCCAAGAGCATCAGTGGCTGCTTCAAACCAATGAAGGGGGCTTTTAGCAAGCACGGTTTACTCAAAGAAACTGGAGCATTATGCGAGAAAGCATGAGACGAGCGGCACATGTCTCATTCGATTTGTGCCATACTCTCTCTTTGCAATTCGTGGTTTAAACTTTGACATTCATGTTTCTGTTTCATTTTTTTTTATAGGATCACGAGAGATTTGAAGAGGCTGTAAACGATGCAGCGTTCCGAACCTTCATCTTCAAATTGCGGACCAAAATGGAAACCTACAATGTAAGGACATTCCTCCGCATTGCATTTGCTTTCATGGCATTCAACGTAACGCTGGTACAGTGTGTCCCTAACAATGTCATACTGTTTGTTAGGTCATAGTAAGTTCTGACAGATCAAAGGTTAGAATGGGTAATGACTGGTCAATGGTGACAGTGAGTTGTAACAAATCAAAGGTCAGACTGAGTTATAACGGATCAAGGGTTAGAGTGAGCTGTAAAGGCTGAATCTCACACTTGTGCCTGACTGTGAACGACTGCACTACGAGAGGCTTTTCAGCTGCTGGTGAATGACTAGATGCACTGCACAGCCAGTTGGAAGCAGTCTCAAGCAGCTTAAAAACCTGTTGTGGTGCGGTCGGTCACAGTCAAGCACGTGTGAGTTATGACAGATCAGGGCGAGTCGTAACTAGGACTGTCGCAAACTTTTGTCGAAGCCGAGGTTCGACTGGTTACCTTCAAACTTTTTGCAAAGTTCGACCAAGTTTGACTTATGGACAGTGTTACTTGGCTTCTACACAAAGATTTCGAATTTTGACACAAATCATTTAGACTGGTTTATTTTATAATTCATAAAAAGATTACCGATGTTCACACAATATAAAAAAATAAATGGGTACTTTTAAAGCTTTTGTTAGTAATGTCAACCAGCGATGCAATACACTCAATAAATATTGCACTTTTCCTCTACCAGGTGGTGTCAACTCGTTTTTATATTTTTGCGCAGCGCAGAAAAGTCTAACTTCAATCAAACTTTTGTCGAACATCACGTTGGAAGTTCGTAAAAGTTGAACTTGGTCGAACTTGACCCGGGGCATCCCTAGTTGTAACAGATCATCCCATCGAACCACAAACAGCAAGTTTTCAACATCTCACTGGTTCAACAAGTGCATTCATTAGCTCAGCAGTGCCACAAGGCATCCACACATGGAACAACCATTTCGAATCCATAGTCACCACTACTGACAACACACTTTTCCATGAAAAACATATCTTGTTTTACAGCAGGAGCTGTAATGGGGGCCCTTCCCACCACTGGAAATGACACGTCTGTTGTTGATGTTGTTGTAGTTGTAGTTGGTCATGTAGGACGTCCGTCGTCCATCTTGCCAAATTCTTGAAAAGGATTGCCCGCCGAAATTGAACCCAGGTTCACTGCGTGTGAAGTGGGTGCATTTTTCAGAGAACCATGCCACAGTGTTAATAACCTGCTTTAAGCTTAAGGTTTTTATAGTACCCACTGCATGCACTCTCTGAAAAACAAAATGCCGTCATAGCACTTTCAATGCCAAGAGCTTGTGCTGGAGCAGAAGAGCAACAAAAGCCTTTGGAACAAAATGGAGCAAAACAATATAGATATTCCAAACACTTTTGTTCATGTACACTGCTGCCCAACGACTTCGCTGTGGCTTTAATGTATTTAAGGGGGGACATGGGCCTAAATTTTAAATTTCTTTGAAAAAATTCATTTTTTAATTTTGAGGTTTTCAGTTTTAGAAACTAATTATACACCCTTACACCAAATTTGATAACCATACGCCAAATAGTTACGTTGATATAAAATATTTTCAACACATTGTGAGGCAGTAACAAAGTAAAGGTGTTCAATGTTAGAATGCATTTTTCTCAGTTCCACTTTTTGCTGCAAATTTCATACGAAGGAATCTTTTGTTCGAAGGTGAAAGTATTCTGATACCACAATCAAGATGTTTCTGAACTGAAATTTACTCAGGAATCGGGCTATCTACTTTATTTTGTTTTAGGTTGAAGTCCTCAGTGATAAAAAACTAAGTTTTCAAAAATTGACGGAGGACAGATATGCATCGCATAGTTTCAGGTAATAACTCTTCCTGAAATATTTACATTTAAGTTATTAAAACTAGATAGCCCGAGGTCCCATATCCCCCACTTTATATTCAAGCAGTCAAAATGATGCTTAATAGCTTAATTTGCATATCATAGATTTCTTAGTGAAAAGTGACACATCGTCTTATGCAGGTATGTAAATTTGTCTTAGAGGGCTGAAAGCTTGCACAGTGCACCTACATCTGAAGCTAAATCTCCCCTGCAAATTTCATTCCGATCACTTGAGTAGTTCGAAAGTTTGACCTCTAGCCAGTGTCCCCCCTTAACGCAGGACTGCTCAATTTTTTTCTATCCACTTCATTTCTTTCCTTATTACACTTACTTTGTTTATTATGGTATACTATTGTCGGTTTCTGTGATATACCGTATAAACAGGAATATAGGTTGAATTTATTTTTGAAAATGGACCTGAAAAAGTGGCAAATATATTCGGGATCTCTACTTGTGACGTCAGAGTGTGTCCATACGAAATCCGTCGAGGTCGCTCGTGATTCCGGGCTCTCGAGGGCGCAATTCCGGGCTCTCGAGGGCGCAATTCAAAGGGACGGAATCGTCCCTTTCAATTGCATTAGTGAACTCATCATCGGACGAAGGTTCCGAAGAATGTGAGTAGTAACGCTCGTGCACTTCCTGTTTTATTGCGTGCGAAGCAATTAAACTAATGTACCGTGTTTTCTCGTCCTTCCGTGTACTTGGCCAATTTTGTTACCAATATAAATTTGCATTTTCTTGCCATAACTTTTTTTTGCTTTTTGCAGCTTGTAACTTAGAGGGCCGACCTATATACAGGTTCGACCTATATTCCACTTTATACGGTATTTATGTTAGGCGATACATGTGTAAAACTGAGTTGCACCTGTACATTAGTTTGTATTCTTCATTTCTGCAACCAAGTTGAATTCATCTGAGACTAGGGAAGAGAAGAAACATCAAAACATTGAAGAGGCACCTCAGTCTCAGGTTAATTCAACATGGTTACAATGTTTTATTTCTATATTTGTTTAAGGGGAATTACAAGTCGAAACACAGATTTTTTCGAAAAAAAAAATTGATTTTGCGTTTTTTTGTGTTTTTTTATCTTTGAACCTTCCTCTTCTGCATATAAAAAATCAAGACCGGATATCATCGTGAAATTAGTTGGATATGAGTATGAAGCCATTTTCGAGCACGTAATTCTTTGGATTGCGGCGTCGCCCGCCATCGCGTTTATTTCGGCGCATAGGCCTAGCCGTTTTCACTCTGAAACTGTCGTCAATAGTTCCGTATTCTGGATGCAAATAATAAGAAATAAATGTTTTCCCCGCTGCAAACGCGCATCGCCAGTGGCCTTTTAAATCCCAGATGCGATTGGGGCCCCGCCATTGGCCGAGAGCAACATGCTAAAGCTTGCTTGCAGTTTTAGCGTCGCACTGCTCCGGAAACCAGAACCAACGACTTGTTCGATCACTCTGCTTTCTTCGCGATGAACGTCAACCGAAAACGCGAATTTCGAGCTCGGAAGTTTTGAACGACACACAAGTTCAAAGGAAGTCGCCAAAAGGGCAAGCGGAAAGCTTTAAAGAAGTCAAGTTCAGCCGCGGCAGCTAACCCTAACCTCGGTTGGGGCGACGCTTCCGAGTTCGATCGAGTTTCATCAACAGCTCTGACGAGTTCGTTGGTGCATAAGAAAACAAGATTGGGATGTTTGAAAACAGAGGGAACTGGAGATGTGCATGCAAGTACTGCGATCTGCGAGGTCGGCGCGATGAGAGCTCTTGTCAGTGGCGCGGCATGCTTGCCTTGTGGAAAGTGCGAACTCGCTGCCCAGGAATCAGTTGCTATGCGAAAGGGACTGGCATCTTTTCAGGGGCTGTGCTATGCAGCAGGGGAATTCTAGTTTGGTGGTCCAGGCTCTGACATTTGAAACTAAATTACCACCAAGTTTCATGTGGTTTGACTGAGAATTTAGGTATGTCAGAGAAAACTAAACTTTCATTGGCGTTTTTCTCAAATTGGTATTTTTGCCTGTTTTCGGAGTTTGTGCACACAATTTTCACCGTCTGCGGTTACTGTATCGCAACCAAATTTTGCACAGGTGCCTGGTGATGTTTAGAGTGTGCAAATCTTCCTAGTTATGCGATTGGCACCACTGAATTTTTATAAGAATTATAAAACTAAAAGTGAAACATGAAAAGTGATGACTCAATAGTTTGCAATTTTAATTTTTTCTGGAGGCATAGATATTCTTTTCCAGGTGGATTTGCACACTGCTGTTCACAAGGAAGCAACCAGGCTATTTTAAGATGCTCTCTTATAGTAAATTTTAGAAAAAAAAGGGTGCGCAAAAAAGGCAATTTATATGTTTTCATACGGCACAGATATTTCCCCAAGGCAGATATCAGAGAACCGACTACATATATGTATACCTGCCAACTCTTCTGAATTTTTCGTAAGATGTACGAATTAGGACTAATTTTACGATTTTACAAATCTTGCTTCAAATTTTACAAAAAAAATTATAAACTTTTTTTTTATTTTTTTAATTTTTTTTACATTTTTTTGTAAACTTTCTGCTGGTGGTACCTTGCACTGCCACAAGAGGGTGATAGGTACCGTCCACGCCAGCGTCGTGGTTTTTACTATACGTCTATCCGGTGGCCACGGATCCAAAGCCCAAAGCCTTTGTTCATGTGTTCGGCGGCACATGTTGGTTTGGCAAGTTTCGTGACAAGCAGAGCGGTGTCTGTGTTTGTTGCACGTATAATCATAGCATTCCCCTAGTCGCGATGGCTTTGCGGCGCGATGGCGCACTCCGTACCTCAAAAGAGGGACTTTCAGGTGTTCCTGAAATCCTACACGTTAGAAGTCCCATGCTTCGTACCGTTTAAGAAGGGAGAGAAGTTTGGATTCTGTCGCACGTGCACGTTTGATGTAAGCGTTTCGCCGAAAACTGCATGCCTCTTGCTACTCCCCCCTCCCCTCCTCCGCGGCCGCAGGAGTTTTACGAATTCTAAAGTCCACAGATTGGCAGGTATTTATATGACAAGAAGAGCTCAGTATGTATTAACTGTGAAAAATTCAGCCTCCTAGCCTCAAAATTAAAAAAAAAATATAAATATATATTCTAGAGGAGCATGTCCCCCTTAAACAATGTTCTTAATGAGCCTGTAAGTTATTGTGAATAAATAGAGTGACAAATGAAAGGTCAGGGTAAGTTGTGACAGTTGAAAATCTTGCCGCTTTTTAGGATGAGAGCCGGCTCAAGACCTCGGTGGTTTCCATCAACCCTGTCAACTATGTGGACTACACCAAGAAGCTTCTCAAGGACATTGCTGAGTTCGAGAAAGTCTTGTGAACTTTGATTCTACTTTGATTCTGTGAGCACTATTCCTGCAAATTGTGCTCTTTCTGATCAGTGTTGATTCTAATAAACTAACAATGGTGTTTTTTTATATCATTGTATTGTCACTTAATTTTTGCTTTAGATCAAAGGTGGCCAAACTGCGACTCTAAGCGTATTCCCCACGCCTTGCAAGATCAGCAAAAAAACCTTGCGGTTTGGCATTTATTTATTTATGAACTCCAAAGGCCGTCAGTAATTTTAAAAACAAAAACCAGGCAGAAACGCACACAAAAAAGATACAATGCATGCATACAAAAAACATTTCGGTGCATTCCGGCAGCAGTAATTGAAGTCTATATACACAGAAAAGGTACCATAAAAATAGGTGCGCCAAACCAGACGAAAATTTGAATTCAACTTGACGTACTCGAGCAACATCATGTTTACGGTGGCAAAGAAACACTCATCACTGGTGGAGGCAATTCCCCTTGAAAGGCTATTCAGTCCAAGATCACAAGGAGAACAGGCGAATTTTTGAACATGTTAGTGCATATGAGGAGTTAATTTTAAAAGCGATTTATATGGGGCGATATATGGTGAGCTGGCCATAAGAAAGCATCTTTAAAGGGACGCCGACACCCCCGAAAATGTTTTTTTTCCTTTTTTGTCAGGCGATTTATTATGGTGTCGGAATACCCAATTAATATTTTGCTACAGAGTCGCATTTTTTTTAATAAAGCCAAAAAACGCAACTGCTCGAAACCGAAACTCCCGCACCACACGGAGAAGTGGAGAGGATAGAGTGGGGGGGAGTGGCGGAAGTCACGTGGCTACATCCAACCGTGCGGGTTTTTTTTTTTCTCTGCACGTAGCAGACGAAATGCGTTCGTTCTCCGTGCGATTCTTTTGCAGTTATGTTTGTTCCGCTCGCTGTTCTGTACTTCAAGGTGAGTTTTGTTCATTGAAGTGTTGGCAATTAGTAGTGAGTGCCCGTGGTGAATTCCCGTGATCGGCTCTGAAAAGAATACTCCCAAGATGTTGCGTGAAGAGCTGCCTCACATGTCCTGCATCTGAAAGTGGCATTGTGCGACAGAGTGCACAAGTTTCCGAAAGATCAGTGGGTCGGGATCAATGGCTGGCTGCAATTCCTGTAGAACAGTTACGCGAAGCTCTGAAAGCGGACGCTACCCGATTCATATGCTCTTTGCATTTTGTGGAAAGTAACTACATTGAGTTCGCAGGTGTCAAAAATGGAATCCCATACCATTTAGTTCAGCAACGTATCGTCCACAACAATTGTCTTTTTTTGTTTTTTTTTTCAGTGATAATTGTAAAAAAAAGAAATGTAAACATCGCAAAACGCTTGACAAAAAAAAAAGGTACACCCACACCAGGGATCGAACCCGTGCTCTCTGCGTGTGAAGTGGACGTCTTTCCACTGAGCTACTGAAGGAACTCTCACGCGTAGTAATGAAGCAGGTCGACTGTATGTCGGAAGTTTGCTGCCGATTTCCCTTCAATACATGCACTCCCGGCTTGAAGTCGGGCAGCACCACGCATAGGCCACATTCGTACCTCGTAAAGAAATCGTACGCGTGCGTATTCAACTCGAAGTACGCTCTTCGTGCTCGACGTTTGAGCGTGTGATGTCTTCTGTTTCTAGAAAGAACGACGACTCGGCGACGTTTTCGTGCAAATCGGCTTGGTGACCGGGCGTGTCGTACGGGATGAATATCGGTTCTTTTGATCGATCCAAAATTTCTCTTTCAAAGGAAGACAGAATTCGCCGGTACCGTGAATGACAGTTCTGAAGTAGAGGTCCAACGCCCGTCGTCCACTGCCGTCCGCTAGCCCCACGATACGCGAAACGATGTCATGTTGAGAATTGTGCAGTGAACGCACAGAATGCTTCCGGTTGTCTGTGCTACCTTTTTTTTTTTCAATCAACATATTTGCAGCTTTTTGGAAGCCACAAAAAATGGGTTTCATATTTTTTTCTATTTTTAATATTGACTGTGTGCCTTCAATGATCCATGACTTTGATTAAATTTGGTCATTGCGTCGAAACCTTGGAAAACAACCCGTGACTACGGAAAAGAGAGTGAGCGCGACTCAAACCGGCCAGTTCTCAATTGGCGGCTTTCGGGCGGAAAGAAACAGAGTTTCGAGCCGCAAATTCTGTTCTGGGTAGTTGGGCTCTCATATGTCACGTGCAACTAAAAACCTCGGCGAGCATAAATACCCTGTCAGTGTCCCTTTAAGAGAGAGAAATATGGTGACGTGAGCGATCGAAAGCGTCGCTGTTGTCGGCCCACTACAACTGGCCGACTGCTGACTATGACGTCAGCAAAGGATTTCTCATCGATGCAAATAAGAGGAATGTTAAGAACTTCAATTTTGACGGTGCTGGCAGTGTTGCTTTGAGAGCGCAATGATTTGAGGTTTTCACCATGCTCATTACAACATAGAGTTATTATAATGCATTACAAACACCATCGAACTTGTTGTTCACAAGGTAATGACGTCACGAAAGGTAACCAAACGAGGGCGGCACCGAAACATCTCGCCGCTATATTAGCGGCGGATGCTCCGATCGATCCAACATGGCGGAAAAGAGGGGGATAGATTTGCGACGCCCATAGACCGGTAGCGTATAAATTAAACAAAGCGTGTCGTTCTCTGTTTGTTGCCGCGTGCGAGATGATCATCGCTTCAAGCAAGGCCTACAGTGATGCTACGGATGAAGTGTTCAAGCCAGTCGAAGGCAAGAAATCTTGCCATAGTCAAGATATGTGTGCAAGTGTTCGACGTGAGCTCTCACGCTGGTGCAACTGTCATCAAGCTGAACCGAATGTACGCGGGTCCAAAGAAAGGTACATATCAACAATGTTTGTGCGTCGAAACTATGACGCATACTTTATCTGAACCTAAACTTATCGGTCTGTGGCTACAAACATTTTCGTTGACGTTGCTTAGATGATGTAAACATTCAGGCCTCGCATTAAATGGTGTTGCGAACTCTTCGGTTGTTCTAGTTAATTGTGCTAAAAAGCGGTTGGATGGAAAGTATGACAGCTACAGCATACAAGGGACGATCGAGGTCTTTATCCTGCGTTCTATGTATCAAAACATTGGTATCCTTGGTGATATATTGCGATAAGCCGGTCGCCGATTGTCCTGTTTTTACACATAATGTAAACAAGCTGCAGAAGTGACAATCTTATTCCGATGTGCTTGTGCACCCCTACAAGCCTCCTTTTGGCTCTCGTGGAAAGCTTTGTTATAGTAATAGTCTCATTGGTCGTTTGAGTTGTATGTGCCACGGTGATACCTGCTGTGTGTGATCTGCTGACAAACAAAAGTGTATTAAATGCCAGAAGGAGAACAAAGGTAAAGGTTTTTGAACTTTTTATTCTTTTTACAAAACAGGGCAAAGCTTCTAAAACAAGAGCAACCTAAGCTGATGTTTGAGTGTGCTCAAAAATAAATTGCAAAAGGTGCTTATGCTAAGTGGCAGATGTACACAGTTGATTTTCTCTTTTGCCTCTGCATTGTAAATTGGAAGATATATGTCGGCAGAAGACACGCGTCCTTTTGAAAATGTCTTTTATTAGGGCGAAAATAAGTTTTCATACACAAACACATACACTGAGTATTAGAAACGTGGCAGATAGTATTGGGGGGCTATGTTCGACAAATGTTTCGTTTCTCCTAAAAAGAAACGGAAGTGATTGAACTGACGATATCGCGTCTGATTGGCTAGAGGCTCAAATGACGAAAGTTCCCTCTTTCGTCATTTGAGCCTGCAGCCAATCGGACGATATATCGTCAGTTCTGTCACTTCCGTTTCTTTTTAGAAGAAACGAAACATTTGTCGAACATAGCCCCCCTGGTCTAAGGATATTAGGTCGCTGTTATTCAAATGTATGCTGTTTACAGAGTGAAGGTACATCTAGTTATATGAAGGTTAAATATAACTTCTAGACAAGTTTGACAGAGTCGCGGGGTCAGGGTCAGGGACACGACAAAAAACAAACAAACCTGTTATTTGGTTCAGAGTACAATTTTAGATTTCTTTAAATATGGGAATGCGACGACAGCGGTCAACCGGTCGTGTCATCTTGCGCCGCCTCGGCAAGAGGTCTCATGTAGTCCTTCGCACACCATACCTTAGGTGCCTGCAGAGTCGAGTGCACTGTACCCCTGTACCTGCAGCAAGTTGCCGGCGATCGTTGCCCACCTCGCTAGGTCTGAAGTGCAACTCCCGTAGGAGTGCGATGTCGCCGCCGACGTTGCGCTCAAATTTACTTTGGTTGCGCCCACGACGAACGCCCAAGCGGCGGAGGCGGCATTGTGGCCTAGGCCGCGGTATGCTGCGGTCCTGGGAGCCGCCATTTTCTAAGTGTGCTCGTCTTGGCTTTCGCCAACATCTCGAGCACCTACATGACCTACATGACGAATCCTCCTTGGACGAGCGCCAGCGCGAATGAAACTCGCTCTATGGGCAACAGCCCTATCGCCATCTCCGTAAAACACCGATGCTCGCGCCTCCAGGTGTCTAGTCCCGTTTTGAAGAGCTGCGTATCTTGTGTGTTGTCGAATTTTTCCGTGTTTGTGAAGTGTCACGTTGCCCTACAAACGAGGAATAACACACCAATTTACCGTCATCCTCTGACGTCCCCGGTAAGTTATCCTTCTGGTGTGTCGCTGAGCCAAACGTCCCAACAGCGGGTGGGAATCGGAGTTGCCCGTGTCTTTCCTAAGCCTGATCACCACCACTACTACAGGAGGCTATGCCACTACGCACGAGCCGTAACAAAAGTTATCGGGAAAATCACCGCCTCTCCCGACCTTCAGGGGCAATTTTGGTTATATCTTCATTGCCGTTGAAAAATTGTTACTTTTGTTTTACGAGTTTTTAGGCAAAAGAGCGCGGAAATCGGCCGCCTGGATGCCGAAGTTGCCAAAGTCCGCCATAGCTTTGACCACAATGGCTTTGACTTCTCTTCGGACGATTCTACTGGCCCGTCTTCCCTTGCACTTTCCAGTCTATGTGTTAAAAACTAACCTTCTAGTCCAGATCTGATCAAGGCGAACATACTTCTTCAACTGTACGAGTAGTAGTAGCGACTTGAATGCGATGCGCTTATGCGATGCGCTTTCTTTTCGCATTATGCCGTTTACATGACCGCATTGAATGCGACAAGTGGATTTGATGCGACTAAGGCGCATTCATGTAAACGCGGCTAATGTGCTTAGCAGGAAAAAAAAATTGTGGAAGAAACGCAGTTAGAATTACGACGAGTTCTTATGTCCATATTTCGCGAATAAAAAACAAAACAAAAAAAGGGCTCGGGTTTCTTCTTTCTACATTATTTAAACTACCTGATTAATACCGCAACTGATGCATACTTATGATTCTACCGCGAGTACACTACATTCATAATTTTACGGCATCTGTGCGCGTGCCAACATACTCAACCTATTTGCTCATTCCGTTGACTCGTATTTGAGGCTAGCTTGTTGTTATGAAGGAGAACACACATTTTTGAAAATCGGAACTTCTGGATCACATCAGTAATCACGAAACATTCATGTCAGATTTTTTTCGCCACAACATTAGCGTGAAAAGAGTCAAAGTACAGGCTAGCTGGTGGAAGTCAACCATTTCGTCGTTTACCCTGAGACGGTTTTTTTTTTGAAGAGCAGACTTCTGCTCTTCAAAGAACCCCCCACTCTCAGGGTAAACGACGAAATGGTTAACATTAGCGTGTTTACGGAGAATTCTCATTCTAATTTTTTTTTTTTTTTACGCTACCACTTGAATAAGTAGTGCAGTGTAGCTTAAAGGACCCATGAAACGAATTTTGGGCTGGAGTAAATCAATTTATATTGATTTTACTAATAGCACATCGTTCTGTGGGCCAAAAGAACAAAGGTAGAAAGTCAGAAGCCTGACTTTCGCTACAAAAATTTGCAAAACATAGCGGACTATTTCGTACCTCCTTCCCTTCGTAAACTCTCCGCCTTTTCACAGTGATACATCCGCGGACCCCGCAGCGCGTCACCGGGCTACTAGCCACCATAACCGGGCCCCCGCAGCGCGTCACCAGGGCCCAAGCGCACGTCACACGACACCGGACCTCACTTAATCCCTTTACCCCTAAGCTGACATTGCGGTGGAAGCTACGCGCTTGCCGGACCAATCAGCCGCCTCCCTTTCATCACCTGACCTCATTCTCTGCGGTCGGTATGCGCGAAAGGGCGTGATCAGGTGGAAAATGTGTGGCTGGCCCAATGAGCACGTAGCTTCCACAGCACTGTCAGCTTCGGGGTGAACGGGGTGGGGAAAGCAACTAGTCGGAATTTTGAGCGACGGGCTAATCTTCTAGGGGGACAATGGCTGTGTCCGGGCTACACAAGCGAGATTCCGAGCAAGAGGGGACTCCCTTCTTTCCGACTTCTTGAACTGTTTGGTACAATGCGCGATTTATGAGTTGAGGAGGAAAGCTAAACAGAAAAAAGTTGAAAAAGCGTTTCATGACTCCTTTAAATTAACGTCACGGGATCCTATGAAAGTAGCACCGAATGTCGCCATTTTGGTTCATGGAATGAGCGGTTTCTCCTTGACCACTCTATTCTTGGTAAGCCAATCTATATTTCCTGGTGACGAGTAGCTTTATATAAATGTTTTTTGAATACCGAGATGTTGTGGTCCACACACGGCAAAACGAACGCGCAACTTCGCACTGCCACCACATGTGGCACCATGCTTGGCAGCAGTGAAATATAAGTTCTCTGTCTTTAAATATGTAAGAACACCAATACCACTGCGAGAGATGTGTGCACATAAGCGTACTTGATAAGTTGATGGCATGCACAGCGCCAAAGACGCTTATATTGGCAAGGAACGCTTTCAGTATGATGACGCTCCATAGCGACCTTGGTGTGACTGGTTTAGAACGACCCTTTCGGTTCATTCGAAGATTTGAATGGACCGCGGCAATCGACAGGGCAACTGAGTCCGATCAGCTAATCACCTTGCGAGGTTTGGTCGTCTGTATGTTAGTGTATAGGCAGGGAAGGCACTACTTTCCCAGGATCCAGTGACTTTAGTTTAAATGTATAGAATTGGCTGTTATTTGTGTGTTCCATGGCACTTAATGCATTCAAATGTTCACCTCCTGTTTTCACTGGATGCCATATTTGAGTGCACTGTTTACTGGGGATGCTCAGATTGAATTCACACTTACAGGTTCCCAAGACCGGCTCTCTTGATGGTATGAAATGTGCGTTGCAAACACACTGTAAACGCTTGCCGTCAGCATACGCTAAACAGCTGTGCACTCGGCTATGGCCGCCAGTGAAAGCCCCCTATAGGTTGTATTCACCGGACGGCACAATCGAGCGCGGTGTTCACGGCAAATGCTCAGAACAAGCCCCCCTTATCTTCTGAAAAAAACTACAATCTTGGTGGTGTGCAGTGCACGTTGCAGAAGCATTGTGGAAGCTTATCGTAAGCTTGCGCCAAGCAGGAACATACTCGGCTATGGCCGCCACTGGATGCCACCTATAGACGATTACAAGCAAGGCATTCGGCGGCCACCATATTCCTCCTCGTATGAGCACTTTGTGCAATTGCAGGTCTGCCAAAGCAATCTTCATGCGCATGCTGCACATGCTTGCGCACGTGGGGCACCAGTCGTGATGCCTTGCTTGTAAACATCTAGTGAACGTTAGCACATTAGAGCAAAGCATTGTAAAACTAATTATTAAATAGCCGAGACACCCCAAGAACCAGTTAAACAGCCCTGACAGGAGCAGATGCACAAATTCTCAATATATGTGGCATAATAAAACTTGTGTAGGGTGTTTCTTGTGCCTATTCCCCAATTTTGTTTACCATGATATCCCATGAACGAGCAGGTAGCGTATGTTGTTTGAAATAAGGTGGTGAACCAGGCAAGGCGGTGAACCAGGCGAGTTGGTTTATGACATAAAATTAAAAGCGCAAACAATAAACAAAAATAATAAGGACGAACAGACGAGCGCTCGTCCTGTTCATCTCCCTTATTGTCCTTGTATATTGTGAGCACTTTTAATTTTATGAGTCGTGTGTGTTGCTTGCTCTTCATTATCCACTAATATGACACTTGAATCTTACATCATCATTATCGTTCAGTTATTCTTACATCACTAGGAAAGGGGAAATTATAACAAATTATGGTCGTTGGCAAATGCATACCTGTGACGGAGCCGTCTGTGCGGTTCCAATAGTATGATGCCCTATGAATAAAATGCATAAATCGGCTTTCTAACAGATTGTAATTCTATTAGGGGTACATTTATACGGTGAATTTTTTTTAATTAAGGATGGAGAAGAATGAGTTTACCCGAGTAAAAAAATGAGAAAGATCATTTTTTCTACATAGAATGAGGGTTCAAGCAAGGTGGGGAAGGTCAAACATGACAACTTTACCCGGGGCCTTTCTAAAGGATGACTCAGTCACAGAGAAGTCTTGTCACTTCTTGAGACTTCTTTCTGTTTGTGTCGTCCTCTAGAAAGTCTCAGGTAGTCGGCATGTTTTTCCCATGAAAAAAACCTAGACAATGTCTAGGCTTTTGGTTCCTAGACATGGTCACGATGGTGGACCATTGTGGCATTTGTTTGGGTAAAATGGAGGGGTAGTATGAAAGCCAATTTTATTTCCTTTACCCTTTAGCCAGTTTTTCGTCGTAATGAATGCCACAATGACCAACAATGCTATCAGTGATTTTGTTGAAACAAATGCCTTGCTGGACATTTGTCCATGGCAGGATTGCTTTTCTTTGACTCGGGTGAACTTAGAATTTGATACTTCCAAATTATTAATGCACCACCTACATACAGCTCTTAAGTAAGCCGTGCCGCAAAAAGAAACCGTTTTGTTCTTTTGAAGTGTGCTGGTTTACTTGGGAGGGCAACTGTGTATGATGATGAGAACTCCCTGTTGCCCTTTCTGTACCTTATGTAGAGGCCAAAATAAGGACATTGCTGATGGTTTGTCAAAGAACTCATTCCTTCATGCTTCGAGCGCAGTCGCATGCAGCCTGATACCATCGCATTTGCGTTAACCACCCTATAAACTATTCTTTAAAAAAAAAAACTAAAAAGAATAAAAAAAAATTTTTTTTTTTTGTTTGGTTGGGAAGTTTTTTGTGAAAAAACATTTTTTAGGGAAATATTGACGGTGAGACATTTATTTGTAATTCTGCTCGCAAAGTTCATGACGTCACGGAATGGTCATTTGCTCTTTCGACCCCAGCGAGATGGTCATTTGCTCTTTCCACCTCAACGTGAAGGCGAAGCCGATCCACCTCCCCTCAATGCGCCCGAAATGCGGACTGAGAAAACAAGTGGAAAGGATGTGACTACCGACTAAATCATGCCTTGCGCCGTCAATATTACTTTAAACATTTTTTTTTTTTTTTTGCATAAAATTGATTTTTTGGCGCATCCCAACCAGATTGTTAAAAAAAGTTTCTTTTGCTTTTCAGGGGTTGTTTAATTAAAAGGTTTACTCGTCTTAGCATGACACACCAACCAACAAAAATGCTGACGTTTTGCCACATATGCAGCTGGCATCCTCACTATGCATCCTCACAACTGAGGTGATATGCCAGACAGTCACTATTTATCACATACGTCCCTGTGTACGTCCGGTAGGGGGTTGCACTTGTTTTTACTTTTAGTCATAAATTCTCCTGGCTTTCGAGAAAAAATTATTGGGAACACATTCTACTTAGGGGAATTTAGTCGGAGATAACCAAAATGGGTTGAGAGGGTTTTTTATCCTCATGCCTGCTTTTTACCCTTCCCATTTCAGTCATGGCCGACTTTGTGGAGAGTGAGGCCGAGGAGTCGGAGGATGAAGAGGTCATTGGCAAGCGGAAGGTTGTGGATGACGACGAGGAAGAGGAGGAGGAGGAAGACGGCAAGTTCACTGACTTTCGTGCAAAGCTGATGCGGCGTGTCTAGCTAATAGGGACACCTCCATTGCCTCCCAAAATCGAAAGTAAAATTAGACAAAAATGCGTTATTTAAGGTTTGACCAGAAAGTTTTGTCTGTATTAAGGGGTATCCATACTAACAGTGTCTATTGGCGAGGAGATCGAGTTACAGGGGTGCTCTTTCCAGTTTGCTCCCCCCAAAGCTCGGTTTTTGCCCAACACAGGGCCTGTGGACTTGATTCGTAATGTAACAAGTGTTGACGACAAACAGAGTGACATTGGCGGGATGCGACAAGCCGGATCTTTCGAGAAATCAGCCAGAGCATAGAAACTTGACCCACTTGGGCCTTTGTGCTCAATAGGTGCTGCTTTGTTCACGCAGGCCAAAGTGGCTGTGAAAGAGCCCTTCCTCTGGCGACAGAAGAACACTAGCACTGCCTTGTTGTTGTCCCCGGAAGTTCTAAAGTTAGCTGTTTGGGGCATAACAACTGAATCTGAATCACTTGGCATACTGAGCTTCCAAGTTGAAGTGCTTAAAACTAGTACTTGAAGTGCATTTTGCATGCTTATATCCTTTTTCGATGCTTTCTTTGGCCGCTTGGAGAAGCCACAGACGCGGCATAGTCACTGGCAGAAAGAGTATCTCCAGTTCTTGTATCGGTAATTTTCTGCCGCAAATGTGCTCAGGCTCCTTGTTGCATGGCATGAAAAAGAAGACGGGTGTTTTTGCTTGTGTTGAATGCAGGTGTGCCTTACCTTAAACACGTTTCAGGGGAACATATATCTGCCTTGGTTGAAGTACTTGTTTTTGTAGTACTTCCATTGTAAAGTATAGTCCTTCCTTGCCAGTTTGTATCAGAAGTACTGCCTGCGACAATTTTTATACATGCACAGGTTTTTATGACTAGCGGCGCCTAAACGTGAAATCGACCAAATTGTGCCACACTGCACCGAAATTTGCGGTGACGCTAGATAGTTGAAAGTGAGGCTCACCACCTCAGCTATTTCATTGCCAGGTGTCGCAAGCTGCCGCTAGATTTCTTGGTTCAGCCGTGTCTATTCATTCATCCATCCATCCGATGGATTCAATGTACCTATACATCCATATATCATACATCTTTATAGTCGTCATAGCGTTGCATCATACTAATCACATATATTTCTATGTGTGCTTCAGCAAGGACAGCAGTGACTAATGTTGCTGAAGTTGCTAGAGTTGCGATCCATTATCAAGCAACTATGGTCCAAACTGGCCGACGATTCCAGTATTAGTACTGTGTAACGCTGTCTGAGCGGAGCTGTGGCACACCTAAGTTTTCACTTTCTCCCATGTATACCACTTGTCAAAATGGATGGCACACATGGGCATTCTTCCAATGCATAACAAATATGTCAAGTGAAACACTAGCATTAATTGTCGTTCACGTCCACTCCAAGCTTTTTTCCAATACACTATTTACTGCTCTTCCGTGGACTTTGTAGTGGCACATGCTTTTTTGCCTTATGAGCACCCGATAAATGTCCGAATTCCTTTAAGTGAAGTACTTGTTCTTGCTCTTATGGCCTGCATGCATTATTGCCTCATTTTTTATGGTAACGTGTTTGAACTATGTATCACTGTCACTAACGCAATTTCCAAATTGTCACGTTGGGTGGTTGTAACTGACTGGGGAAGATCTGACAAAGTAAACAATGTCACAGTTACTCCGAAAGATCTCCAAATATATATATATATATCCTTAGTGCTCCAAAGTGCAGAGTTTTCTCCTCCGAAAAATAGCTCCAAAACCAGTTTGGTCTTTTTCAGCCCTGCGGGAGGAGTGTCAATCAACCCTGTATAAAAACTAGTATCTATTCAAACTCGAGGATTAGGCCAGCAATTGTATCTCTAGCCAGTGACAGGCTAAGTGTGCAGTGGAGGCTCCACTTCCAGCATGCACTCTCTATATTTGGCTTTGGCTGCGCATGTGGTGAAGTGCTTACGCTGAAGGCAGAGCATCATCTGCTTTCTGAACCTGATAGGGTGGCCACTTTGGTCAATGTTGACAACCATTTTTTTTTCTTGAAGATAGATGGGGAAGACTGTTGGGTGTCAAACACCTGTGTGGTTTGATGATGCAGTACAGAAATATTATACTTTTACTGCATTTTTTTTTTTATTTAGGTATTTTTTTGCAAGAAATTAACCAAATCTTCCAAATGCTCCTGACCTAAGTATGGGAACATTCAGAGCTTACGAGAAGTGTGTTGCTTTTGTTTAGCATTGTTACTGAAAGGGGATTCTTGGGATCATTCAAGATGAACATGCACTAGCGGGTTTGAAAGAGGACAATATTTATGAATGTCTATTACTTTTGCCACAACTAATTTCACTTTGTTTTCTTCCCTCGCTTCTTCGGACCGTAGGAGGTATACACTGATTTTTCCTCACACTTTGAGTCTACCTGAGAAAAGCAGATTGATAACTGCTCATGATTTCATGAAGCATGTGCATGAGAATTTAAGTTAGGTGATAGATTGAAATTTATTGTGATTTTTTTGCTTTCTATATTCATTTAGATGACGAGAGGTTACGGGAGGAGATGAAAGACCTCATAAATGACGAAGAGGAAGAAGTTGAGGAAGACTCAGATGAAGACGTGGGCAAGAAGAAACGGCGACACGGTTTGTTTCCTGATTGTCATTCCTTGTGGCAGACCATGTACGGGATTTTGTTTCGTGCAGAGTTTAACTGTGTCATTGTTTGTTTTAGATGACTTTGACGACAATTTGGAAGATGAGGACTACGATCTCATTGAAGAAAACTTGGGTGTCAAAGTTCAAAGGGTAAGGCCCCTCTGCAACATAAATCTTGAGTTAGCGTAGTTTCTGGGCTATAGCCCACACCCGGTGCATATTTGCAGAAGAAAATTTGGTGTCAGAAATAAGTTTTTGCTTAGGATAGCTCACACCCGATGCACAGTCCACACCTATTGCCTAGTCCGAACGTAAAAATTATCGTACACGCCACACCTTAACAAGTGCCTGCTGTATTAGCTCACAGAGATGCTTGAATCACACATAAATCAACTTTAATATACTTCATTATTCATCAAATCTTTCACGTCTTGTCACGGTGAACAATCTAGAGAAAAAGCAAATCCTTGGTATAGTCCGCAGACTATGCACTGGAAAATATGGTAATTGTGTTGACTTTGCGTGTGCTTATTCTTTCCTACTGCAGTTCGGTGGCAACTCACCCTTTTTAATTGCTCCAGTTTCCTTACTACAGGGAGTTCCCCCAAAATATTTCCATGCTTTTTTTTCGCCGCAAAAATACACTAGGCATCGCCGAACGCTCATTCTCTGCCCATATACGCTGCTAGTGGTCTGAACCAGATGAAAAGGTTTTAGAACTAACCGTCTTATTTAAAAGTTATGTAAGTGATTTTCTGAAACTTTCACTGGGAAAACGGCCGCCGATGGAGCTCTCGAGTACATGGGGCTTTGTAATGCCAGTTACCAAAAATGGGCAGAAATGGGCCCTATTGTACCATTAAAAAATTTCAGAAAATCACCTATAACTTTTGAATAAGGTGGCGGTTAATGCTGAAACTTTGGCATTTGGTTGGGACGGCTAGCACTATAATCTGTGCATTCAGCGATGCACAGATGATTTTTCCGGCGAAAAAAACAACATATTTGGGGAGGGGACTAGCTGTACCGTTTTGGGGGCGGGAAGGGGGAACAAGGCATACTTTTTGCCTCTGCATAAGTGCATTTAGGGCACATCCGAAGCTGCACATTCAGTTTTGTACGGAAGTAACACGATTTATTCTAAGAGACGAAAGGCCTACATGCAACCGTAGGTGTGCATGCACACTGGTGGACGTCCACCTGCCCAGAAAACATTTGATGAAGGGCCGATCTCGAGGTTTGGATTGCCTGTCTAGGCGAAAGGACTCGCAAAAATAATTGGCAGCTGAATTCCAATCTTTCGATAAAACTGTCGCACGCTGAATTGCAATGCATATGAGAAACAGTCGGGTGTTAGGACATTTGTTTAGTAGCACACTCCGATTAATTACGGGACGTTGCCCGTCACGTGACGCAGCACAGTGTCGCGTAGCACCATAACGTCGCGCAACATGGTCACACGACATCGCAGCTTTGAGTCATGGTGTCGCGTGACTTTACATTAAGTGGGGCAGTGTCACGTGACTTGATGTCACAATATGCCGTGCGACAACGAGGCCGCACCGTAAGCCACGTGACATGCCACACAAAATCCGAGTTGTCTTCCATTAGAATGCAATTCTGCATTTCAAGTGTGTCGACCAATTTATCTGCTCAAGAATGGGCAGTCGTCTGCGGCACCTATGACGTGGCTGGCCTGTTTGTGCAAGTTTGTATGTGACAGTAGCAGTTTCTTGGCTACAGGTTTGAGTATCTCTTTCAGAAAAAGAAGTTCAAGCGGGTGAGGAGGATAGAGGACGAGGAGAGTGACAACGAGGACAGCAAGGACAGCACCAATCGGGACGCCATCGCCAACGAGCTCTTCGAAGGATCGGATGCTGTACGTGCGTTCAGATCTGTCGCAGTGGCTGCATTTGCGTCTGGGCGGCGTCTCATCTCGCTGGGGCTTGCACTTTCTTCGCTTTGCGTCTGAGGAAGGTGGCCTCATGCCCGGCATGCCCAAGACATAGTTGCACCGTGGCCATTCCTACACGTTCTTGCCAAGCAAAACAACTTGGGTGCCGCGAAATGTGCCTCGTAAACGGCAGCGGCGAGGCCGCCACGACGGGTGGTGGTGCGACGTCGGTGCAGGCCACGTACATGTCCGATGATCTTAACCGGATGGTGATGTGTGATCGTCGGCCTGGCTGAACAGCTAGACTTAGTGGCGAAATAGTGACGTCACATGATATCACGAAGGGGCTGGGCATTTGTGACGTCATGGCGTCGCGTTACATTACGTTGTCCCGTGACGTGATGTCTTGTGATACCCCGATGCCTCTTGCTGAATCTGAGAAGCACTTTGCCGCTAATCTTGGCGGAAAGCGTTCCCCACTTCAATCAGCAAAAAAGCATCTTTCCGTCAATCTTAGCGAAGAAATTTTCTCGTTACTTTTTTTTCTTAGGAGCGTTCATAAGCCTCTCGTGCGTGTTGTGCAGTAACTTTCCCAGGCTCTGAAAACAATGGTGCAAGTGTCGACTTTCGTGTGAACTTTAGCGGGTATGCAGGCCTGTGATGATGTCGGTGTGTAGTGTATGTGGTTTTATGGGGAAGCCCCGAAAGACCACTCAACCGAGAAGTGACGTATTTCCCCGATTCTAACGCGCACCCAGTTTATATAGTTAAGAAAAAAATGTAAGCTTTTTTGCGCCAGAAACGAGCAAAGGTTTATTGACTTATGAGCACATTAGTCCTTCTCGCGCTCCGACAGTTCTTTTTCACTGTCCATGCACCAGAGCATGTCGTTCTCGCTGCTGTCTGTTTCATTCAATAGACTACATTTCTTAAAAAAAAAAAAAAAAGTGAAGGAAGGAAAGTTTTTTTTTTAAAACATACTGGATAAGAAAAAAAAAAGTCAAAAATAAATTTACAATGAAAAAATGTAAAAAAAATGTTAAGAGCTATATTACGGCGCAAAAGAAATTTAGTTGGTAAACCTGTGCACCACCGAAGTCTTCAAAACGCCCACATTGCCGCCGCACGCTGAGCTTGGAAAGCTGCCTGCTGAACGCATTTTTTTTTCTTTATTTGCAAAAAATTTTTAAGAAATTTTTTCAATTAAAAAGAAAAGTTTTATTTAAATAAAAAATGAAAAAAAAAAAAATTCCATAAAAAGTTATTGTCATTATTACTTAGCGACTTTTCTCCATGCCGCTGCCGAAAGGGACTGATGTGACTGTACTTCGACTCTGGCTCCCCGCCGCTGTCAATTTCTGATCATCACACGGGTCTATCACGTGGTGCTTGCACCCTTTAAAGAGTTTCTATGGGCTCTAAAAGTTACTTATTAATGCGAAAGCATTAACTGTCCTATGTAGCAAGCCGATGTCATCAGCTTTGAAGCCGTGCCAAACAGCACCTTAAATCCTTTCTCCAAGTGAAGCCAGCTCCCAGCTATGAAAGCATGTGAAAAGCCTAGCCAAACGGCAACTAGTTTCCCCGATCCCAAAGGAGCGGAGTAAAGCTGATGAATTTCGGCTTCAGACTCCTGTGGGTGCCAACTACAAATTTGTTTCGTGTTGTAAATATAGCTCTAAATTTTTTTTTTGCTGTAAATTAATTTTATGACATCCTTTTTCCATCCAGGCTGATTAAATATTTTTTTATCGATTGATTTTAAAATACTATTAGTCTCTGTCGAGAGTATGATAGGGTGGTTATACAGGTGTACAAATAAAACAGCAAGAGCAGCACACACTTGAAATGGTACTATAAAAGATATTACTAAACAATTGCGCAAAAAATGCTTTGACAATAACAAATAAAGAATAAGATCCGTCTTGGGCTAGAATGCGTTGACGGAGAACAGTACACAACAAACAATACATTTCCCTTCTCGTATGTTTTTTAAGGAGTGCTCGACCATGGCAGACGGAATCGTGCTCCATGCCTGGAAAACCCACCCAGTCAACTTTTCCATAAACGCAAGCTTCAGCCGATTTCTTGGCCTGAACCACTAATCTTCCTTTTCTGCTTTTACAAGTGCGGGTGATGACTGAGCAAAGCAGGAACGAACGGGACAAATATGGACGAACGAACGCTGCGCTACCATCTTGTAAGGACGATAACACTGAAACTGTCGCTAGTGCAATTATAATGCGCATGGCATTTCTAGCTGTATTTTTTTTTTTCTAAAAAAGGTGGACATTAGAATTGGGTGATTATGTTAAGTGGTTCGTGTTTCAAACTCGATGGTGGGGGCTGTCCTTGCACGGTGTAAACGTAGGATGTGTCGGGAAAGCACCCTGGCTACTGCCACCACCTCATTTGCAGGATACGACGATGAGGCTACGAATTTTAAGGCTTTCTTTCTCGCTCGTGTTGGTCTCGCCGCACGGCGTCTCAAAATCACATGACGTTGCAGTGTCGCATGACGTCGCGGCCCGATGTGACGTCTTGATTTTCGCAATAAATTTTGTGGGGAGAGATATCCGCTGAATTTGAATTGCCAACTGCTGCTCATTCGAAACCCTGTCGAGCGCCGCTTCCCCTTTGTTGCATTTGTCGCAATGTCTAAGCCGGGTGATTTCTTCTCCAGGAGGCAGCCACTCCGGGAGACGATGTCAGAGGCGAGGGAGAGGAGGAGGAGAGGGAGGCCTCTGGTTCGGAGCTGGAGTCCGGTACGTTCTTCCCAAGTGTTGGCTCGTTGGAAAGCGAGCTGTCTGCCAGTGCGTTGGGGCGTGCAACAGATCCCTTTTGGACGTTTATTGAGCGATGCTGTTGGCCGCCATATTTTGAGCAATGTTTCCCGCGCAAAGGGTGTAATTGTAGCACGGTGATCAGTTTGGCTAAGTTGGTGTAGCGTCGTAAAAGGGTAAGAGCAGCGTGAAAAATTACACGGACAGAGAAGGTGTATATAAACAAAGCGATGACTTTCAACTATACCCGTTTTCATCTCAAGAAAAAAGGAAGTTTTGCTCATTGTTCATACGCCGCGAGAAGTAGTTCTTACACAAGATTTGGTTTACTTTGTTTCGTAACTGATTACGTCATCTTACTTCGAACCACTAATTCTTTGTAGAATTTGATTGACCAGTATTTCTCGTAACCATTGCAGATCCCGACGACTTTATCGTTGACGACGATGGTCAACCAATCACAAAGGGAAAGAAGAAGAGGCACATCAAGTATACGGATTCGTAAGTCCCCTTACCCTCTTGTCTGTTTGGGACTTTGTATACCGTTTTTATACCACGTTGTCCTCTGCCGCAGCGCGTATCGGCGTGTCTTCACAGTTAGTGTGATCCCATAGACGGGCCAACAGGGGCGTCTCTATTTCGAATATCCGGCATCCAGAATGCACTCGTTGCCTTCTATTGTGCTTTGGCTGCACGGGCATTCTTAAGGCTCCCGAGAAGCGTTAGCAAAGGTTGGAAACTGGAGGCAGGACAACTGAAGAACCTTTGTGCCGTCCTTATCCCGTCTGCGACTCTAGGTAACCGAATGGCAAAGAAGGCGAGTTGGTCCACGAGGAAACGGCGCGCAAATAAAAAAGGCGAGGAATTGTGCTCCAGGGTAGGGCGAAAATCACAGAACAAGGTACGTCCAGTGCGAGGCGGTGCTGGTGTATCGAATCCCATCAAGTTCTTGTCGACCATACGTCGGACGGACGGGCAGTTGTGTAGAGGACAAAGCGCTCCGGCACGCATTGTGGCTGAGATCAGCCGTGCGAGGGCACCTCCTTTACACCGTGTAAGTTGCACGTGTAGATTTTGGGGAAAGGGGTGGATAAAACTACAAGAGGGAGAGTAAACGTGTTATTGAATCACCAAGTCCGGTACCCGCGGTTACCACTCCTCGCCCGGCGCGCCTTTCACATGCTGGACTAGGTGTGGCCCAAGATGTGGTTCGTTGCCAGGAAGGGGGGGCGTGACCCATTCCTCCCAGTTTCCTCGTCCAAGTGCTACTGGCAGGGTGTCAAGCGTAGTTTTAGTGATGGGAGCAACTTTCGGGTATTCCCACGGTTGATGTTGGAATATAGTGTTTGTGATGTTCTGTGAGTAGTGTGTCGGTTTGTGCACGTCTAAAAATTGTGGTGACCTTTCTGCTGAATGCGTGTGTCAGGTGACATTGTCTCCGAGTTTTTTAAGTATGTGTGTCCTGGATTTGTGTAGTGTCTTTCCGTGGTCGTACGGGTCGTAGGTTGTCGGCCAGGGAGTTGAAGTGCCCAGTGGGTCGCTTCCTCGGGCGAACTGGTTGGCTCTAGTTTTCCCTTCAACTCCTAGGTGCCTAGGGACAAATTCAATAGTGACTTTGGCATAGGGGTCTGCTCTCATGGTTTTTGATACTGCGATCATGATGTGCGGGGGCAGAGTGTTGTTTCTGTAGTCTCTTGCGGCTCCTTGGCTACCGTTCGGAGGGTGGTGGAATCTTTCCCGGCCTGCGAGGTGATAGCCTTGGCTATTGCTTGAATTTCCAGTGCGGTTGGGGCGTGGGTGTGCAAGAGAACTGCCGGAAGCTTTTGAGATAGGAAAGTCAAACTTTGCTTTGTTTACATAAGAATGAGGTGGCTTTTTTGAAGCACGTGTCAATGCGATAGAGATGTGGTTTGTTAGTGGGATGTTTTGCCTTTTATTAAATAACGAGTTGATGTCGAGCGCTTTTCTCATCTTTGTTGACTGCCCAGGTGTAGATAACTGGTTGCAGATTCTTTGAAAAAGAGTCGGCAAACTTGCTTTGTGTTTTTGCTCCCTGTTGCAGGGCATTGCAAGAAGCGCAGGACATTTTCGGCGTCGACTTTGACTTTGACGAGTTTTCCAAGTATCAGGACGAATATGACGAAGAAATGGAAGAAGAAGAGGTGCACTCTTTTTCTTTTCTTTTTTTCAAAGTGTTTTCACAATTCCCCGAATTCGTTTACTCGCACCAAGTGCCGTACGAGCGCTGGGCTTGTGGGCTAGAATCAATACATGCCTTGCTTCTGTGGTGGGTTTAACCTCAAAGAAATAAAAAAGAAAACATCAGAACACATTACTTTAAGGCATCGTAATATGCTTTTCAGCAGGCCATCAAAAAAGAAGTGATCTGGTAAAACAAAGCAACCACTTCCCGAAACGGGAAGCAATTCTTACGCATGCTTATTCTCCGGAGAGGCCCGCCGGCTCAAAGCACCCAGACTAACGCAAAGATAATGAAACTAGCTGTCTGGGGCCTGCATTAAGTTTTCTCGGAATACAAGGTCTACAAGGAAACAACTCGTTTTCGCCATCAGACTTTTGTTTGACGGGTGCAGCGACCTTCGCTCCCTCCTGCTGTGGAGGTGAGAGTCTTTCATCCGATTTCTGTCCATGCGCGCGGTACGGCAAACATGCGCTTGAAAGAGGCGCACCTGCATGCTCCGTGCTGCAAGTTTCATTGAGGCTCGGACAGGAAGATCCTAGGAGCTGGCCCTGCATTTAGAACATTTTTTGGGAGCTCAGTGTCTTTTCGAAAAGTTGGCGTCTATGGTCGGTTACGGGTTAATGCGGAGCCAAGTTCGTCTGCTTCTTTCACGGGTTGCGATGATGTCGGAACGCCGAGCTCTTATTGGCTGATTGAAAAAATAGTGGATGGACTTCAAGGCATCTAGCATTGAGGTCTATCCACTATCCTTCCAATCAAAGCCAATCAGAACTCGGCGTCATTCTGATGTCACCGCAACCCCTGCGAAACAAGCAGACGACCTGCTCTCCGCATAGTTTGGGGGAAGCTCCTCCCGGCACTTCTTACTTTGACAGGAGTCACTTTCTCTCCAGTGTTCGCCCTGCTAAAGTGGAAAAAGGTAGGAGAAGCTTCCCCCGAACTCTTAACCTGTGACCGAGCACGAGCAACCATAAAATTCGGCAGATGTGTGCCTTAGGGGGCACAAACACGAAACAGGGAAACCCGCCTTTTTTTTTTTTCTCACCCGACTTTCTTTTTTTCTTTGACGGGTGCCAGTACGAGGACGAGGAGGAAGAGGGCGAGGCGCGTCCGCGTCCCAAGAAGACGGCCCGCAAGCGGCCGACCAAGAAGAGCATCTTCGAGGTGTACGAGCCCGTGGAGCTGGAGCGGGGCCACTTCACGGACCGGGACAACGAGATCCGGGCCACGGACATCCCCGAGCGTTTCCAGCTGCGCGCCGTGCCGGTGACCTCCGCCCCCGAGGACGAGATCAGCCGGGAGGCGGAGTGGATCTACAAGCACGCCTTTGGGAACCCCACCGTCTCGGTGCAGACGGCCACCGAGGACGGGAAGGGGGCACCGGCCTCGGAACCGGGCGGACGGCACCAGCCGCCGGCCGGCCGCAAGGGCGTCACGGCCATCGCCAAGATCGCCGAGGCCCTCAAGTTCATGCGGAACCAGCTCTTTGAGGTGGGTGCCCAGTCTAGCTGAAGTTTGTACGTTGCCGCCTCGCCCTTCCTTTTTTACTGCATGGACCACAGCGTAAGGTACCGTATCTGCGCAAATAAAACGTGAGGGGAGGCTTTGAAGTCCCAAAAAAGAAACGATTGAGTTATTACCGTTATAAGGCGAACGTAAGGTTACCGCACTCGAGGGCATAGCGGAAGTGGGGACGAGAATCGGGAAAACGTTGCGTTTTGACTGCACTGGCTCTTCACTACTCGGCTCCTTCTCGCTGTCACGACTTGGAAGGCATCTTCGGGGTGAGCCCTTTGTCCCGACCTAGTCCTCTTAAACCTTCTTGCACTGTGTCAAGTCGGTTGGTTTACAAAGCAAGCAAGCACATGAAGCACAAGCACCAACGCACAAATGCCAGAACACTATGGATGGTTCTTGCCTTTGCCACTTTGCATAAACACACACCTCATGTTTCATGATTGCGTAAACACGGCCAGCGGTCTTGGCTTTTGTCTTGACTTGGTTTGGCTTGATCTGGGCGGTGCCCCGCACTCCCGTGCGGCACGTCGTGTTTTGGCCGTTTTTGCAGCCGCGTGTTTTGAACAAACATGCAAACAACTCAGAGCACTTTCAAGGTTTCCTATTCCTCTCTTTTCGTGGTGCAAGAACTAATACGGTTAAAACCGCTTATATCGAAGAGCGTGGGGATCTCAAAACACTTCAATATAGCCAAAATTCAATGTATAAAATGAGGTGAGAAACAAACTTAAGCACTACGTGGTTGGCTCGGTAATGAACTTACCTGTAATTTTCACTGCCGCATGCTTTCTTAACTGATTAGGACACTTACTTAAGACCACTATGTTGATTTATTGCACTGAAAAGTACTGCGCCAATGTTGTCTGCATTTTAGAGTTAATAGCATGCTTTGTCACGGCCTGCTCCACGGTGTCGAGGCCACTCACAAGTGCAAGTCCACTCTCTTCTATTGCACCGCAATAGCGGCGCAGCGTAGTAACGGCATCCACTGCTTTGTCGGAGGTGGGGAGTGATTCAGCGTCTTCAATGTCCACTGGACCAGGATCATCGCTCGCAACTGGCCGCTCGAAGGCAACCTCGGCGGTGATTTCAATATCCGTCAGCTCCGTCGTAGTCCCGTTGTCATTGTCACCAACAAAGTCGTCTATGCTCATTGTTTTGGGCACAGCACCCACAATACGGGAGAAGCTGTCCCATGTTTCGTCCAGCTCGCGGCGTTCTTGTTTAAAGGAAGTTCTTCACTCAGTCCTTTGGCTTGCTCAGAAAGCTCCTTGGTGCAAGCAACGAAGCCAGCGTGCCGAAAGCAATTGGCTATTGTGTCGCACTTGATGTTCTCCCAGGAGGCCGTGAGCCTATTGGATACCTAGGAGAGTGGCCAAGACTTTATTTCTGCTTCATTAAACGGATGTTTTCGTAGTAGAGGTGTTTGTTATAAAGGCATTTGACCGTATATATATATACATTTTACAGTGTGGCCTAAAACGATGAGAAATACCTCGAGTTTTGTTTGTCAGGCGGTTAGTTGCTCTTGCAAACGAAGTTGTGATGTAATTGCGTTGCTTTAGACTGCGGGAAGTTAGCGAGCGTTAGGTTTCTTTGCTGTGGGTGAGAAATTTAGCCAGTACCACTACCGCTAGCCTGGGGCTTTTCAACTAATCTGCACGCTCATCCAGCAGATTGAAACATGCAGGGATGGGAATTGAACTCTGAATGCCTGGATCCTGCGGCACGAGCTCTTGCTCCACGTGCTCCGAATTGCGGTGCGTTAACACACTCGACTCTCGATCCCCCCCAAACGGGATTGTTACTAATCCGACGATGATTGCGGCAAAAATTTCGGCGGGCATTTGCTCGAGCAAGGTGCCCATGTTGGTGCGTCTGCTCTGGGAAAAATGAAGAGTGGAATGTCGTGCAGATATGGCCGCTCGCTTGGCTCTGCGTGGAGGATGATCTCTACCGAATAAGTTACGACACGGTAGACCCACGGCATGCTAACCTTTGTGACAGTTTGGCTGTACAATCGTTTCCATTACTAGCAACTGTTTTCTGCTGCTAACCTACTTAGTGGCCTCGTTCCAGGTACCGTTCATCGCCTTCTACCGGAAGGAATACGTGGAGCCTGATCTGAACATTAATGACCTGTGGACCGTCTACAAGTGGGATGAAAAGGTATGATGCACTGCTGTTCTGTTTCCTTCGTTTTTCTTTTTAGGCTGGACTGTAATGCCACAATGGACTCAGTTAAGCTTGTGTCTTTTCCAGTGCATTCGTTGGATTTTATGAGTGTGTTCATTTTATGAGTTGTTTTCTTAGGAGAAAATTGAGCCTCATAATGAGCGTCATAGCGAGTGTCATGAATGGGTGACATGCTGGAAGCGTTACAAACGTCAAGGTTATATATAAAGTTCGAGCTCTGTCAAGGTTCGAAACTATGCCCACTGAGCGTAGCTGGCTTGGAAGATTCAATGATTTTATTTGAATGGAAACGTGCTGGCGAGAGTGACAGGTTTTGATGGAAAATAATAGAATACTATCGGGACCGCAAACGCTTTTAACCCCTTGCCTACTACTTTTTTTCTTCAAAGAGCGTACAGCAAAACTTAATTTTAAACGGGCAGTTTACATCAAAAACATTTCTTTGACATCAACGTGTGGTGTCTTCGTCTAAATCAGAACTTCTGGTCCTCTTCAGTATACTTCACAGTGTGATAATGCAGAAAACATTCACGAAGGTGGAGAGCCACTTTGCAGTGTCCACACTCCCATGCAGTTTTATTCCTTTTTTTCTTGGCCGTGTACACTTCGCATGCCTGCGTCGGGCTCTTCTTCCCGGTGCATACCATGTCAAATATGCCTGTGCATTCATCACTTTCAAAAATAAATTTTTGTATCTCTTTGTCGGCTCAAGCTGACCTCTTCCCTGAAGTCATGTCGTTTTGGTGCAAGCGCTTACAAGCACACCTTTTGTTTTTTGGCTAAATGTTAAGTTTTCTCTTATTTTTGTAAAACAGCAAAAGAAACAAGCAACCATGGAGCAACAGGGGGGGTTCTGCCGTCTGCCGGAGAGCACACTAAACAAGCGCTGAAACCGAAGCACGGGTCACACTCGGGGTTGGGCTTTACTGTGCGTAAGGAGTGGCCTCGAGTGACACTCGTCATTAGTAGGCAAGGGGCGAATGATCTGTTTGTCGTTCATTTCTTTATAACTACCATACCTTTTTCGATGCGGACAAAGGTTTACCGAAATCGCCTGCCAACATCTGTTTTCTTTTAAGACATAATGGCATACCTGCCAAGTTATATGATTTTGTCGTAAAGTGTCCGCTTTTCAGTGCTTTCTTACAGTTATCATATTAACAACAATATTTGTACAATTTTCGCACCCGTGTTAAAAAGAAAAAAGAAAAGTTTTTGTGTAAGCTGCATCTTGCCTGTTTACAAGTTGGGGTTGGCAACACTGGTACATCGATTTGTATGCCAGGGGGCGCAAGCTACCGCTCCAGTGTTGTAAGGGGTGGTATAGCTCAGAGCCGTATATGTAGAAAGTTTGGTCAATGGGAGGCGCGGGCAGAGGAAAGAGGGCTTGGCATGCTCTCTTGACCAACCAGAAGCCGAAAAGGATCCCCTAGCGGTGGTAGCGGCAAACAGTTCTGATCAAAAGTCTATGTTCGTGTATGGTTTTAATAAGCGCGTAAGAGTGAAGTGTAGTAACTCTTTGTGGTTGAAAATAGGGTGCACGTGTTGTTTTGATCATGATCATGCAGAAAGAGGTAAGAAAGGAATGCGCTGCGCAACTCTGTTTTGCGCGGACAGAGTGTAACCGTTCGTACGGCAGATTCCAGGCCCTGGGCGCTTGACGTACGGATCATGTCGATCGTTCTGCTAGTCGCACTCTTCCACCATGATTTTTTGATTAACGTGATTGAACATCACGTGTACCATATTTTCAGTAATCGAGAGTTACTCCAATGCAGTTATCAGGTTTGTTTCTCGCGACCACCGCCAGGGTATTATTTCCGGATTCTGGTTGGTCACTTTCGAATTTCTGAAGACGCCCTGGAACACGCCCAGCCCGCTTTCGGCCAATGGCGCCTCCTCATTTGTCTCCTATACTTCCCAACGAATGGCCAAACTCTCTACATTTACGGCTCTGGTATAGCCGCTAACATCCATCCATCCATCCATCTTAATCCAAAACTGCTTAGGAAATCTCCTTTGTTGTGGCGACGTTGGTTGTGGCGAATGTTGTGTTACTGGAACTTTTACTCATGATCCCTTGAAACCATCTTTGCTACAAGATGGCGGGGAAAAAAAATACTTTCAAGTGTTTATTCCCAGCTATTCAACCGACTTTCCGTTTATGAAGACGTCGCGCAAGGGCAAAAGGTACGCATTTTGCAGTGTCGCTGCGATGTCAACATTTCGCACGCTGGTCGCCGGTACATTCTGTGTCATCTGAATACAAAAAAGCACAAGGACTCTGCAAAATTAGTTGAAACCAACGAGAAGTTTGGAGGGTTCTTTAGTCGATCAACAAATTACGACACTACCCGAGCAGAATGCCTTTTTTACGCCATTTTTGATCGAATACAACGTGCCGTTCACGGCAATTGTTGTGGAGTCATTAAAGAGCAAGAACTTTGCTCTTTAACGTCTCCGTTAAACCAGGCACAGGCGAAAGAAGGCACACATACAGTTCCGCTCCTCCATGTCGAAAAAGACTCTTGAACATTTGTTAGTTGCGAGATGCAGCCAGTCCGGAAAGTGCCATGAACAAGTGTTCGACAAGAACTTCCTAAGAAAAGCAAAAGCTGCAACTTCCTCAGTGTTGGCCCAACCTTCTACTTCTAAAGAATAAGACATTTTGTGCAATGTATGATGTGTTTGTGCCCTAGTTGAGGTATTTTTCTTACCTAAACCAAGTTTTTGAAGAATAAAACAGTTTTCGTATTTCTTCACACAGTTGTATTGTTTTTTGGCGTCCCCCGTAGTATTTTCAGCATTGTAGGGTTGGCAGGTCTGTAATGGGTTTTATGGGGCGTAACGACCGTCGTGAACGAGCGGCACGCTTGGAGCATTATGGACAATAAGGTTATATATTGCCACGTGCGCAGCTAGTGCGGCCGTGGCCAATAGGTATCGTGCTTGGCTCCCACTCAAAGGGCCGAGGTTCAATGCCAGGGAGCCAAGCGCGATAACCATTCGGCTACGGGCACGCTGCCTACTTGGCTAGCTGCGCACGTGGCATTCCTTACCACCCCCCCCTACCTGGCTAGCTGCGTGTGCGACAATACGAAGTTGGATCCCCGGCCGGGCTCGAACCTGGGTCGGTGCAGTGGCAGTTGGATATCATAGCCACCGAGCTATCAGCACAGCTGATATGGATTTTTACAGCGCAGCTGTTATACACTAGGGTCTGAGAAAAAATGACATGTCGACAGAAAACTCTCATTGGTCGTGGCAAGTATCAATAAATAAAAACAAAAAGAGGGGTCAAGTTCGAATAAATAAAAAAATGAAAGACGTTTGCAACTCTCTGTAACGCCGACTCAGAGCGCAGCTTTTGGGGAGGAGGAGGGGAAGGTATTGGGGGGAGGGTATGCCCCTCCTCGTCCGTACCCTCTCCTCCTCTCCTCTCCTCCTTTCACGCGTGTCGTCACGCAACGTTTTGGTGAAGTCGCATGGTGTTTCGGCACGTGACTTCAGTGAAGTCATGCGACGTTTCGGTACTGTGACGTTTTGGTGGAAGTCACAGTGACGTTTCGGCACGTGATTTCCACCGGAATGTCACGGTGCCGAAAAGTGCGGTGCCGAAACGTCACTTGTAACGTTTCGGCACCGCACTGAAACGTTGCATGTCTGGCACAGTGCATTATGGGACGTTTCCCAAAATGCACAGTGCGGTTATGCCGACAGCGATGCCGCTCAAGCCAGAAACGGGCAACTAAGAGCTGCGCTCTAAAACAGAGAGAGGGGCCAACCAGCGTGAGTCAACCTTCCTTGGCATTAATAGATAGTGAGGTCCTGATCCCTTGTTATCATCTCTAGGCATCGTCCTCGAGGTCGTCCTAGAGATCGTCCTTGAGGTCGTCCTAGGCGTTGTCCTCGAGGTCGTCCTTGAGTTTGTCCTAGAAGTCGTCCGAGAGGTTGCCCTTTTTGCGTCGTCCTAGAAGTCGTCCTAGACGTCGTCCTTGAAGTCGTCCTCGAGGTTGTCCTAGAAATCGTCCTTGACGTCGTCCAAGAGGTCGTCCTAGAAGTCGTCTTAAAAGTTGTCCTTGAGGTCGTCCTAGATGTCTTAAAGATAACAGCTTTGCTGGTTTTCTGTCTTCACGTGAAGTGTAAGGGCTCTACACTTAAAAAAAAAATGCAAACGAGCCGGCGAGAGCGGCATATTTTGGATGATAATAAATACAACACACAAAATACATAACAATAAATAAATAAGTAAAACCATAATAAATAAAAAAGATTTGTTAAATATAAAATAATGTAAAAAAAATATACAAGAATGAAAAGCCTAGCACGAACCACACGCGAAGTATGGTTTGTCCGAGACACATTTTGTGCTCTCTGGTCTTTGTTAGCACAATCAAGCCTGTACATTTCTTTTTTCACTTGCCACCTTGGTGATAATGCGTGCTTTCTCGTTAAAAGGAAGTTTTCCTTGTTTCTCGGCAATGCTTTGCTATTGCTTTTGTCAATGTTTGCTGATGAGAATTATCTGTTTTCATTGTAGACCTTGCGAAATAGTTGTGCAAACTCAAATGCCGACTGGTACAGTCGAACCTCGATATAACGAACTTCAATGTAACGAAATCCTCGATTTAACGAAGTATTGTGTTTTTCATAATTTCTTGCCCATAGACCCCATGTATTTTTAGTCTCCATATAACGAAGTCTATTTTGCACCTATTTCAATATAACGAAGCGCCATTGCCATAGAAGTCAATAAATAAATAGACTCTAAAGAACAACTTCGCAAAAAAATTGTGGTTAAAAAGAAAAAATTATTCGCAAACGCGAGCGCTTGATACGTTACTTCACGGGGACAGGCCTTCCAACGTTCCTAGGTTGCCCGAGGATGCGGCGCCGGTAGCGCTGGCGAGGCATGCGGCAAAGCGCATTCCGCGGGGCTGGCCAGAAAATGCCGAGCAAAAAGTTTACACGGCATAACAGCATCACCACTGACATTCACTGATCACCATAGTCCACTGTACCGCGGGTAGCGCGGGAGCCAACTTCAGCGGTGGAGCGAAGTTGGCGACGTGAAGGCGCGACCGCACGGGCAGTGCCATCTAGGAGAAGACCGAGAAGACCGATTATCGTGTTGCGAGCGTGATGTAAAGCAAAGTGCGGGCAAGAGTGCTGTGTAGGTTGGAAACATTGGCACCGCCTAAACTGCTTTATTTTTCAACCGGGTGGTTCACTCACGTGCTTGCTGCCATTGGGAAACGTAAAGTTCTTTCTTTGGACGAGAAAGCAAATGTTTTGGACGCCATCTCCAAAGGCGAACGGAAGAAGGATGTCGCGGCTCGCTTTGGTATACCGCAGAGTTCCCTTTCAACAATTCTAAAAGCAAAGGATTCTATTCTCGGCTCTTTGAAGAGTGGTACAAGCGGCCAACGAAAGCGACTGAAAGCTGCAACTTATGAACATGTGGATAAGGCAGTCTTCACTTGGTTCATGGACACTCGTGCGCAAAATATCCCACTGAGCGGGGCTGTCCTGCAGCAAAAGGCCAAGGACTTTGGATGTCTTCTGGATGAAGACAAATTCAAGGCGAGCAGTGGATGGCTGCACAGGTTCAAGGCCCGGCACGCAATTGTCGGAAAAATGACAAGTGGGGAATCGACGTCGGCCGATGCGCCCGAAGCTGCTGCTTGGGTCGAAAAGGAACTGCCGGGAATCATGATGCGCTGCAAGCCAGCTGACATCTACAATGCAGATGAGACCGGTTTTTTTTACAAGATGCTCCCAAATAGGACACTGGCCCTTAAAGGAGATCGATGCCACGGAGGGAAACAAAGCAAGGTGCGGGTCACGATTCTTCTTTGCGCGAATATGGACGCGAGTGACAAGCGGATGCCGTTCATAATTGGAAAAAGCAAAAGGCCGAGATGCTTCAAAGGTGCTCGGGACCTCGAGATCGAATACACGTCCAACACAAAGGCGTGGATGACCCGTGACATCTTCCGCGGATGGCTCGGTGACTTCGACAAGGCGATGAAGAATGACAGCCGCAGTGTGTGTCTACTGCTGGACAACTGCTCCGCACACCACATACCAGACCTGGAGCTAACAAACGTGGAGCTGCAGTTCTTCCCACCGAATTGTACGTCCCTGATTCAGCCGCTCGACCAGGGCATTATCAACAGTTTGAAGTGTGCGTATCGTAGGCGGCTGATCGATAAGCTCCTTCTCAACCTTTGCTTGAAACGCTCAACGAACGTGGACATTTTCCAAGCACTGGAGATGCTCTCCGCGTCTTGGAAAGCCACGACGGACAGAACCATTCAGAACTGTTTCCGGAAAGCTGGGTTTGAAGCTCCTCCAGCATCAACAGCCAGTGCTCTCGGGGAAGGAAGCGGAAGTGCTCCCACGGTATCGTCCTTTCCAAGTGAAGATGAGACGGAGTCAAACCAAGAGGCACTTCTGGGAGCATGGCAGTCCCTCCGTGGCGACGGTGTTGTCCCCGACGATGTCTCTCTGGACGACTACCTCTACGGGGACTCGTGCGTCGTTGCAATGGAAGAGGTCTCTGACGCTTCCATCATGCAGGATGTGGTCGGGAACTCGACGGAGGACGACGACGATTCTGAGGCCGATGCTGAAGAAACTGCCGAGATCCCGAGCACTCGGGAAGTGCTCGACGCAATGGACGTACTGAGGAGGTACACGGCGTCGCATGGGCAGCAAGATGCCGTGCAAGCGCTCTGGGCGCTCGAACGCCGTATGACACCGCTGCTACTGTCCAACAAGACGCAAGCAAAACTCACGGACTACTTTGCCCCTAAATAAAATTCATTTTCGGTGAGTTTTCATACCCGTAAAATGTTTCGGAATTTTTTTTTGCATGCTAAAGCCAAATTTCGATTTAGCGAAATTTCGATGTAACGAAGTAAATTGCGAATTTTACCGACTTCGTTACATCGAGGTTCAACTGTACTAACCGACAACCATGCTCCGCATGCACTTTTAATGCGTCATTTTGTACAAATTAGACTTGGCTCGAGCCCACCAAAGCCTGGCGCAAATCAGCCTTTGCGGGAAGTTTGGAGGCTCTGGAGCTCTTGTAAAACGCTCCACTACATGGCCATCATCCTCAAACGATGCTCAAGTTTGGTTTCCAGCCTCCAAGCAGCAGTTTGTGTGGCACCTGTGCTTTCTTTGGCCGTTTGGCAACATCATGAGCTGCGATAGGAAACGGAAATTGTATATTTCCTTAATTTGTGTATTCGATAATCGAGTTTGTTTTCTTTATGAAAATCTCGTTGAATTGAAGTTTGAAAAGTCGTTTGTTGGGGAAAGACTTGGAATCTTCATTTTCCAATCTGCTTGGATGAAGATTTGAAAATACTTTTGTGGCAGAAATTTGGTTGAAGTGGCGTTCACTCTAATGGTGTTCTAAGAAAGCCTAGCTGAGATCTGCTGCTCACAGTTTGGGATGGGTCCGTTGCAGTGGTGCCAGCTGCAGCAGCGCAAGAAGAACCTGAAGCAGCTGCTGCTGCGCATGCAGGAGTACCAGTGCGACCAGATCCTTCAGGAGGACCCCGAAAAGCCTCTGCCGGACAACATTCGTCCCATCGACGACAACGACTTTCACAGGTGCTTTCGCCCTTCCACATACAGTTGTGGCCAGGAAGACAGTCGAGAGAACAGTACAGTCAAACACTTTTCTAACGAGATCCGTGGGACCGGCGAGATTTTTCCTAGTGTAGATAATTTGGTTGTAGTAGTCGAGTGTGAAAAATCGATTGCCGAAACCGAATTCATGCTATCGCATATTGGCTTACCTGCGCGACATTCGGGGTGTTTGAGGAAAAAGTATAGCGCCAAATAAGAATTACGAAAGACATCAGAAACGAGGTTTTGTACGTTCACTTATCACAAGGGGGAATGGTGGCCGAGTCTGCTAACACATTGCTGCCCGGAATACGTGGAGCGAAAGCTCGCGCTGCAGAATCCAGGCATCTTGGGCTCAATTGAGACTTCATCCTGTCCGTTTCTGTTCCTTTGACTTATGTGTTCGTTTCTGCCCCAGTCTCAGGTTTATTCAACATGGTCAATAACCACTTTTTTTTTTTCTAAATGAAAATTGTATTGACGCGCATTTGGTTACTTACCAGTGCCTGACACAATTTGCACCACTGGCTGACACAACTGCCCGACACAACTTCCCAACTCACGTAGAACTTTGATAAAAAGCGATAATTCGAAAAAAGTGATTTTGTTATAACAAAGGATTACTGTATATAAAAAACCAAGAATGCGTGGTGTGGCATGGCGGCGGTTTCAATTGTCGCCGCTGCCGAAGTATTTCTGTTCTTTATGCATGTCACTTAGAGTGAAAATTTACGTAAAATTGGTTACTTTGTATCTAGAAAATTTGTAATACTGGTCATTTTTGCTTTGTGGGGCCACGCAATTGCTTAGTTAAAGGGCCCCTGAAAAGGAAACAAATGTTTTTTTTTTAAACAGTCTGATTGGAACACGCGCATCAAAAAAATTTTACATGAAAAAATTTTTTTTACAACAATATCGACGGTGCGATTTAATTGGTGGTCCCCTCCTTTCCACTTGTTTTCTCTTTCGGCATATCTGGTGCATGGAGGAGAGAGAGAGCGGCTTTGCCTTCACGTTGAGGTGGAAAGAACCAACTACCTTCTCGTTGAGCTCGAAAGAGCGAATAACCATTCCGCGATGTCGTGGACTTTGTGCACAGAAGTTTGAATAAACCTCTTGCCTAAAAAGGTGCATTAAAAAAAATTTCGCTTTATATTTGGGGGCTCTAACCCAGATACTCGGCAAGAAAACTGGTGAGACTTCCAAGTGCCGCGATTGGCAAGCGCCACGGTCAAGTGCAACGCCAGCCAATCACGGCGGTCAGAAATCTCGCCGAGCGTCCGAACCCCGGGTTTGCGTCGCTCTCGAGGCAGTTTGAGTTGACGCCGAGACTGGTTTCCCCCTGGCAGGCTGAATGAGGTGCAGACGCCCGAGGAGCTGCGCGACGTGTACCAGCACTTCCTGCTGCACTACTCGCTGGACGTGCCCGAGATGCAGGAGGCCAACCGCAGGCGCAAGCGCAAGGAGGCCGCCGCCGCCAGGGACGACAACCCCGACAACCCCGCCGAAAAGGAGGCGGCCGAGGAGTCGGACGACGAGGCCCAGAAGCTCAAGCACCCCGTCCGCAAGCGGCTCTTCGACATCTGCCGGGAAGTGGGCCTCGGTGAGCGAGCGCCCCCTTCCGGATTCTGGGGTCGTCTTCAACTGGCATGTTTGGCGTCTTGTCCGTGGACTGCGCGTCTCCTCAATTTCGTCGGATATGATCGAGGCGGGCTTAAATTTCGTGCAACATCAGGCGGGCGTAGCTTCCATAGTGCTGCGACGCTGTCGAAGCCACTCGTGCGAGTGTGTGGCTTTGTTTGGCTTTTCCTTGCTGCGAGAGCACGTGCAAATGACGCGTAATATGAAGCCACGTGCTCACGCGGCATTGTAGGACTGCAGCATTGTGGAAGCGACGTTAGCCTCGACAATGTGGTGCAAAACAGTTGACGCCGAGTATAGTGTTGCGCGAATATTCCAAGTTTCGTACGCTGCTTTTGAAAAGTTCTTCATTCCATTGGAGTCGTGGTGAATTGTAATAAGCATAGTTTTCAACCACCTGGTTTCCTCGATGCCTGTTCGTATTTGGAGGTTTTAGTGTCGCACAAATATTCCAAATTTCTGGTACCACTTTCAAATGCCGTATTTACACGAAAGTAGGTCGACCCCTTTTTTATTTTTTGAAAATCTAAAGGGGGGGGGGGTTCACCCCCCCATTTCAGATTTTACTCCCTCCTTCACTCCCCGTGTGACTTCCTCGGAGCGAGTGGAACTCGCTCCGAGGAAGTCGCACGGGGAAGTGCTACTATTGGGAAAAGGTTTAGTCTGTACTTAAGTTCAAGTCGGATGAAGAGGAGGACCAAGGCTGTCTAGTGGTCCGGGTCTTCTGTTGGAGGCCTTGCTCGGCAATGGCTCTTTCATTTGTCTCCTGCTCCGAACTCTGCAGGTCCTCGCCCGCCACAAGCCTCGCCCTTTTCTCCTCCTTCTTTCTCTTTCTTCCACACCGTTTAGAGAAATGTATAAAAGTAGATTTAGTTTTTGTCCGAAAAATTTACTTCTAGCACGTTTCCCAAAACAATATACAAGGTGTTTCGTTTAAAGCCTAACAGATTTGTTTAAAATTGCACGGCAATCACACAACGCGGTATGTTTAGACAGTGGCAGCAAGATCGTGATGTGTTTTCACACCAAATTTAGTGGGGAAACTAAAGTGATGCGGATTCAGGGGAACCTGAATCCGTGTGTAGGTCCCGTGACGGTAAATTTTTTTGCTAGATTTAGCAGGGAAACTGAATTGGTGCGCACATGACGTCGATTTTTCCAATTAAAATTTGGCATGGAAACTTCTCGTTTCTGCTCACGCTGGCACAAAACCTGGGGATGGACCACTAACAGCCGCCACTTTAAAAAAAATCCGTGAAAGCTACACTAATGCGATTTGTGCAGGCGAGGTATGCGGTCGGGGGGCATAGTATAAGCGGCTAGTCACCGTGGTAAGTCAAATAATTAGCTAGAATATGGTAAATAAGTTCTTAATTATTGAAACTAGGCACATGGTTCCAGTTATAAATGCTTCATCAAAAACCACACTATCAGTAATATTTAAAAATACTGAGATTGTGGGAATAGAGTTACCACTAGCGCAACAGGCTCTAGGCTAGGGTGAGATGATTATGGCGGGGTGTTCAGTCATCGGCAAGACCCTGCCGGCGGGACCGGCAACCAGAGATGTGGCGGTGGCACACCACGTGACCCTGAGCACCCGAACAGGAATCGCCAAACGATGGCAGTTCACTTCGCCGTTTGCCCGGAAGACAGCGCTGGTGTATCTCTTGGGTTATGCGTAGGAAGTTACCTCCTAATGTTGCATACTGAGCCATTTATTTGGGTACTCCTTTTCTTTGAAGCAGATGGTCCTCCTCACTCAATTACTCAATATCTAAGTGAGAGTTAAAAATAAAGGAAAAAAACTTTTCCTCTCAACCTGCACCACCTGACGGTATGACAGGTTTAATCCAATTTAAAATAAAAAATGAGGGCCGTAATTGGCCAAAAATTTCTTAGCTCTTAGTGAAAATGACCTCGCTCCTCACTGACACTTTCGTCCGACTCGAAAAGAGAGTAACTAACTTGTTACGGTTGCAGTATGAACAATGCAAACTAGCGTGCAGTAGCTGGTGCCAGCACCCCCGTCACCCGTATCCTCCATTTTTCCAGCAGCCCAACAGCTTGGATTGACTCGAGTGTTGGCTGCTGAGTGACTCGAGATCAGTTTCGTTCTTCCACTCATTTTCCGCGCTGACCTCCTCTCCCATTTCGGAGGCGACAACACTGGATATAGCCTGGCGCTCGCTCGACTGCCGGTGTTCGGATTTCGGGCGGAAAAGGTGCCGAAAAGTTACTGGTGCTTGTTGGAAAACCACCTCCCGAACGGTGCGTGATGGCCAGAAACTGACCATGCGAACAATATTACCGTTTTTTTGACAAAATAACTTCCCGGCAATTGGCCACCCGAATTCGCTATCAGAGACGGAAAAACCGGGCAGGTGCATTATCAAATCGGTAGCCTCTTCCCTGCTGCACGGGGGTAATTTTACAGCTTCGCCGTGCTTCCCACAATGACAATCAGGAAGTCTTTAATTAGAACCGTATGTTTATTTTAATAATTAAAACATTAACATATATCAGCTAATGAGCCGACTGATCGTTACGATTAGCCCCCTATACTCTGTCCCTCTGGCCATATTGCTCGCCTGCACAAACCTCACTGGTGTAGCTTTCACATTTTTTTTTAAACTAATCTGTCAAGCTTTTAAACGGGTGGTGCAACGATTTTATGATTAAAAGAATTTGCATCTCGTCATTTTTACGTGGTTTATCGTGTCCCAGAGGATAGAGAAAACACTTCCTTCATTAAAAATGTTGCGATTCCGCTGCATAATCGCAAAGCAAAAGTCAAGCTTTTTCCCCCACCTGCAGCCCCAATGGCAGCCGAAGGAACTACGGCGAAAAGATTACGTGACCTCGCTTGGCTCTAAGTTGCAGCATAACGCCCGCTAATGTCAGAAGAGAGAGGGAGAGGAAACGTCCTCCGAGATAGCACATGGGAAGCTACATGGCACTCTGAATGACGTCACTAGGAGAGGGACCAGGTGTGACCTTGAAGGCTGGGAGTGAGTTGAGGGGTGCCCGAAATGCCAATATTTATCTTTTTTTTTACGCAACAACTAGGACACGCAGGCGAAATCGGTTTTCTGTTTTTTGCTTCAGAAGTGTCAGAGGGCAACTTCCAGAAATCTTTGACCGAAGTCTGGAAATCGTTGCACCCCCCCTTTAAGGACGATGTGCTGCGATACTTTTGGAGATGAGATTTGAGATCTTTGAAACCTTGGGAAAGTCTCAGCGTCCAAGAGAGCGTGGATGTCACAATAAAAACTTTGGGGTAAGAAATGTACTAAAAATATACAAGGCTAACGATGCTGACAAAGACGGGTAAGCACAGAATGTGCGACAGGCCTTCCAGAAAAGAAGAGAAGGGCATCCGCTCTCATTTCTGACACACACACACACACCATGAGGCGGTGCTACACGACAGGAAAGGTTTTGAAGTGCACGGTTACTGCCGTCATTTGTGAATTGCGAAATTCGGTTGGATGACGCCGACGACGTGCTTCGAGAACATAGCGGTGACGACAACGGGATGGACATCACCAGTGCGGGCCGAATCGTAGTTGCGGATAGAGTGAGAACGTCGGGGCCTCAGTCGTCCCGCCTCCAGCGTGAGCTTCAATACCGCTTGGGCATCTCTTGCGCTTCGTCAAAACACGCCAGAAGGCATCAAGCACTTGCTGGAGGTCGGGCTTTCTAAAGAGACGTCCTACCATTTTTTTTGTTAGTGTTTGCCGTATAATATGCACCTAGAAAGTTTTTTGTTTTTATGTGAAATGGGGGGGGCTTATTTAGAATCTCGTAAATACGGTATGGGAATGTGTGGTTTGGTTGTGTGTTTGGGCGTAAAGCGAAGCTGGCGTGCTCCCCCCGCAGACGGCCTGGCCAAGAAGTTTGGGCTGACACCCGAGCAGTTTGGAGAGAACCTGCGAGACAACTACCAGCGGCACGAGGTAGACCAGTTCCCCGTCGAGCCCCTGGTCGCAGCCGCCGACTTTGTCAGCAAGTGGGTGCCCTCTCGCTTCCCGTCGTTGGTCGCAGTTTTCCCACTTACGGGGCTACGTGAACACACGCACGGGACTTCTCTGTTTATTCGTCGAGCTACCGTTGTAATGCTGAGCAGACATCCATTTAAAAATGGACGTTAATTATAAGAAAACTGCGCTTTACGCTTGCCCGACGCTTTTTTATATTTGGCCTCGTTTTGCCGGCGCTTTTGGCGAGGTATGGCTGCAACTTCTAGGTTCCTCGTTGTGGTGTATGCCTCGCTGCTCGGGGCACCTACGGCTCGCTAAGTTCAACTCGATAAATTAAAAGGCAATCCGGGCTTGTCCTACACTCTAAGAAAAAATGGAGGAAAAAAGTAGCAACGGCGCGTCTTCCTCCCTTCTACTGACGCGCCCTCAAGCGGACACGAGAAAAGGGGAGGAACGAAACGTTTTTCTCCTTCTCCAGGCAGACGGGAGAAAGCTTTCGCCCTCCCGACTCATCTTCTTTCGGTTTCGTTTTTTGAGCAAGCCGCGCACGTTGTTCAATAAAGAGCTGTTGAGTTGATTGAGCTTCAGCGGCAGCGAAGGCCGCCTGTAATTCCGCCTTCTAGTCTAAACGTGCAGAACATTTCGGTTGCATTGACGTTTTTATCACTAATTTTATCAAACGAGCAAACGAAGCCGCTAGAAACAGCGAAGTTCCGGAGCAGTGCCAGCAGCGCCACGTACACTGGGGGATGGCTGTCTCCGGATTGCGGGACTCGCGCGGCACGGAACCAACGGAACTACGGTAGCGAAACCACGCGGAACTGTGTCGACGTTTTCGACGTTACGGAAACCGCAGGAACTGCGTCCAAGACAGGCAGGTTTTGCTGCCGGCTGCCTGGGTGCCTTGCGTGCTGAGTTCGGTTCTGTTTTCCGATGCCGAGTGCAACCGGCGTTCAACGTGGTTCTGTATTTGTGCGTGTCAACAACATAGCTGCAACATCGTGATGGCAGTGTCGTGGGTTGTGAACAGAAGACTGGAATTATCGCCGATGTGACCGTGTGTTCGCGTATCAGTGGTGTAACAAGAAGATGAGATCGTAAACTGTCGGGCATTGATGCCGCTGGTCGGGCCGTGATCGGAGGGGGCGAGGTGTCGCAGGTTGACATTCCGCTTTACATTAAAAAGTTTAATACCACTTGAGGGATTACGTGCAATCGATTTAGTGTGCGGATAGTCATGTTGGAACGCTGGTCTGAACGGTAAGCTCCTATCGTACAGTGGCCAATGTGACTGTCGGTTGTCTCGTCCCCGACAGCGATTGCGCTCTGGGGAAAGGACAACAGTACGAAATCGTGACGGAAAGTACGTATATTTACTGTGTTTAATTTTAGCATTAAAAAACAATAGTAGGTAAAATCGAAAAAAAAAGCTACCCTTTATTTTGCTGTTTAAATATACTGCGGTTCCTGGAGAAACTGCCCTCCAAGTGGCGCGCTGGGATGAGCGCTAGAAGTTTTCAAGCTCGCCAAGGCGTAGCTTCGTACCTGCCGCTAGTTGCAGCTTTGACTGCATTCAAATTGATCGAAAAGTGATTTCTCAGCCCGTGAAGCATCACTTCCAGCTGAGTGAATATCCGCTCTACAGAGATTAATTTAAGACGGCAAATGCAGCTTTGCGCGAACAGCACAAATAGAAAAACCAATAGAAATACAGGCTACGACGTGCCGTGTGGGGAAACAAGCTCATGGCTTCGAACCGCATTGGAGCGGCTTGATTTATTGGCTTTCAAATAATTACGGCATGATCGAGCGTTTCCTTTTTAATAAGAGATTCATCCCCTCAGCCATTTAAAATACTCTCAGGGGTATGGCATTGCTGGAAAAAAATCAACATGCTGGGAATATATTTTATTGCTTAGGGAGTCACCGAAAAGTTCCGTACGTTCAAAACGACCAGTATAAAAGACGGAAACGCAGAGCACGGGTGTAGTGATCGGGTTAGTGTGGTGCTCTGTTGTATTGATATTTGTGTGTGCCGTTTATGTGCTCAATGTATGTTCACCTGGTGCTTGTAATAAGCGTAATGTGTGTATAGTAGAGGGTCCCCAAGCGCCGGAGAGCGGCTCTGAAGCGCAGTAGTGGCCTGGGAAGAGCAAATTTTTTGTAGAACATGAATGGGGCGGTACCTAGCGCCACCTAGCCTAGCTACTTGCAATTACTCTGCTTGACCCCGCGACCCCGCCATCTGGTGGCTAGCGATTCAACCTTTCACGCTACGCGATAAACAGCGGCTTCGAGTTTGTTCTTTCGAGAGTGGCTTTTGGTTCGCGGATTGAGTTTGCCCTTCTCCGTGATGTGCGGTTGACGAAAGAATTGTGACTCGAGGAACACCAAAGGTAAGACGCAAAGTGCGTGAAGTAACTAGGTATCGGTTGTCTCCGTTTAACATCGCAGTGCTGTCGACGAGAAGACTGAGTAACTGCTTTCGAAACGCCTGTGGCGGGAATCTGGCTTCGGAAATAAACACAGTTCGCGGAAAGCTCGTGTTATGCTTTTATTTGCTGCTCCTCTCGTCCCGTACAAGAGACGTAGCGTCCTCGTCAAGCCTTATTGGGATCGATTTGCTCGATTCGGGGCCGCCATATTGAGATGCAAGCGACGGAGGAACTTTGCTCCCCTGCTTCAGGGACGAAAGTTTCTCCCTTTCTAAAGGAACATAGGTTACAAGACCGTTCCTCCCCTAAGGGAGGACTATCCATACCCTTTTTTCTAAGAGTGTAGTCCTTTTCCGTAGTGAACTCTAATCTTGGTGAGCATCTTAGAGTCTTTCGCGCATAGTAGTTGTAATAAGTCTTAAAAAAACTGAAGCCTTTCAAGCTGTTGACCACTTGTTCGCAAAGGGGGGAAAAAACAGAGAGCGCAGAAACTCTCTTAACAGCTGTTGAGTCCACACTGCAGAAATGCAACTGTTGCTTTTTTAACCGTCGAGTTATGTTCGGATGAATGGGTATTCTCTAGGTACGGTACCTGGATTGCATCTTTGTGTTAGTCGCATCGTCGTCTGCAGTTCCTCAATTTCTGTTTGACAGATTCATAGAAGTGTCGAGCTGTTGCCTGCCAGTGGCACAACGGTGGAGGTAGATACGGTAGCTCCTTCTCTGTAGTCTGCTGCAACTCAAGAAGGTGGGGCAAGGGTAAGACGGGCTGGGCAAGAGGATGCAGACAGAAAGCTAAAGAGAGAAAAAGGTTTTCCCCTTTCTTCTCCAGCATTCCGTCTGCTTCCGTCGGGGCTATATTGTTTGCATGACCTCAATGTGAACGCTTACGTCACAGTATGCCTTGTAACGCCGTGACCTTATGGCGTTGTACACAGACACACAGCAGGTGCCCAGCTCCTTGGCAACCTCTCTCTGTGCTTACCAGATAGAATGGAGATGGGCTTTTGTTTCGTACGGCCTCGCATTGGAGTGGGCTTACGGAGGGTGTTGCGTGCACCCAGGCGCTTCCCGACGGCGGAGGAGGCCCTGAAGGGGGCCCGCTACATGGTGGCAGTCCAGATCTCGATGGACCCCCTGGTGAGGAGGTGCATCCGGGAGACCTTTTTCGAGAGGGCCAAGATCTGCGTCACCCCGTCCAAGAAGGGACTTAAGGTGAGGGGCTCAAGGCCCACCCACTACCGAAGAAACTATGCTTCCTCGAGCGTTTGCGTCTCTGCCCAAATGGAGTTTCAGATCTTACCCCTTTTGGTTCAAAAGCTGGAAGCGATTTTTTTCCATCTTTTGGGGCCGCTAAGGCGCGATAATGGGGCACCACAAAGTATTTTGTGCTACATCATAGAGGCTAGCGCGGCTTCCGCAGTGCTTAAACTCGGTGAAAGCAAGTTGCACGTGCGAATGAGACACGAGACCGAGTCACGTGCTCTCGCAGCAGTGGGGGGCTGCAGTACCGTCGGAGCTGCGTTAGATTCAACAATGTGGTGCAAAGTAGTTGGCACCGAGCACGAGCTGGCGCACGGCTCCGACGTCGCTTCCCTGCCACCGCTGTCGACGTGTTTCACTTTACGTAACTCTGGTTTCTGCCCACGTGCAGCGCCCACTGCAGGGCCAACGCGGATTCGTTTGTGAACAATGTCTGTAGGTTCGTTGGCTGCTCGGACAAAGTGGGTAGTCCACGACGTCTGAGGTTCGAAACGAGCTGGCCTTCTTGCCACAAAAGTAGAGTACTCTGCGCAGCAACCGGGTTCGTTCCTTCTCATAGCCACAGATTGACATGACGGAGTCACGAGTTCCTCGGTGACTGCTCTCTGCGTAGGAAATTGACGAGAACCATCCGTGCTATCCCATCAAGTACCTGCAGAACAAGCCGGTCAGGGACCTGGAGGGGGAGCAGTTCCTGCACATGTCGCAGGTCAGTTCTTTTCCGAGTCGTCCGCAAGGGTCGACTCGGAAGGTGCTCAGAATGTGCTCAGAATGTGCTGTTTGTTCCAGGCGGAGGGAGAGGGCCTGCTCAAGACCAGCATTGTGATGGACAGCGACTCCCGCTCCCATCCGGGCTCCTACCTCGACGAGATCAAGCAGCTCTACTACAGGGTGAGGCCTCTGACCGCGTCCTCAGATAGTCGCCGGCTAGTCGAGAAACGCGGTGTGAGCATTTCGCAGTCTCCCCGCAGCCAATAAGGTTGCGGCATTAGCTGGTAAGAATTCCAAAGAACCGATCGCAAAACAAGGGCTGTCCGGGACGGTAGAGTCTCGACGACACGATCACGGTTGATCCAAATTTCAAGATCATATGAATTTCTAAAAAAAAAAGAATGGACAAAAAGCTTCATCTGTAATGTGCTACATTTCGAAATAGTGTGACTGCTCTCTCGGGTTGTGGTGGATTATACGAACAAGAGCGCCGATCTCGAAAAAGTTGGTCTCGATTTTAAAAGTATCGAGGCGCGTTGATGTAAACAACACCGTGGCACTTCCTGCCACCTTGATAGTTCGTTCTACTAGCTCGGACCTCATATCCTTAAAGGGGTACTCCAGCGATTTCTTCATGGTCCTCGATTTGCTTGAAATTTTGCTAAACTCGCCAAACGGCATCGCCAAAATAGTATCCCACATATTATTAGGTCAAAATAATTTTTTTTCAAGAAGTGATTGAATTTACAATTTTGTTCCTCACCGTGTTTTTCAAACTGAAAGTCTCTACTGGCAACAACGAAAAAGTGACGTCAGTGGAAGTGCAGGGGTTCATTCTTTGGACTGTAGAATTTGTTCTTAACTGACTCGAAGCAGTTTCATGGTGTCAAATGAATGTTTTGGAAGCTCGCTCCAGTCCCCGCACTCCAGCACGGAACAAACGATCGGCATATTCTTTTTTTTAGACTGCTCGCTCTACTGGCAAGCCTGCCCGCCACTGACGTGACGGCACTGAAAAGTGCGGGTATATTTGAATGTTGGTTTTTGCATCATTTTCATTTGCCGATTTTGCAATAACTATTATGAATTTCGCGATACCTAATAGCATACCGGAAAGGGTAAAGGCCGGGGAGTCAGGAAATATAGTTAGTTGAGGTAGCTCAAAAAATCGCCGGAGTACCCCTTTAAGCCACGAACGATCCTTCTGCTTAATTGTGGTAGTTAGGGCCAGCCTCTGCGGCGCGAGAAACCACAACTGCCACGGGGCCACAGTCGCCGCAGTCTGAGAGTTTTGGCTAAGGCTAAGGTGTTCTACTCTAGCCCTGGCCAAAACCTTTTAGCTACGTCTTTAGCCCAACAAATAAAGAAAGCTGGTTGATCCCGGGTTCGGTGGAACGCCAAAATCAATCGCCACAATATGTGCGGCGCGGATTTCAAGCGGAAAATTTATATGGAGAATTGCACGAATCAGAAGAGAGAACAAAAGGTTGAATGTTTCCCAACTAGAATTGAGCCCGGTGCTGTACCACTCTGCCAAAGGGGACACTTGCAAAGGGATAATAACTTTGCCAAGGGCAGAATGCATGTGGAGAACTGTGCAACCATGTCGTGGGACTATTACATATAGTAACCATGTAACATGATTGGACATGATGGAAAGATTCAAAAAAGCTGTCGGAGGGAAAGTTGACCAGAAAGGAGCAGCAGCACAAAAAAACAAGGACAAAAAAAAAAAAAAAAAAAAAGTAGGAGACAGAAGGGCAGACAAGGATGCTGATTTACAACTCTTGCGTTTCTTCTTCTGCTTCTTTGCAAGAAGCAATATCGTGATCCAAAGAAAATGACCACAAACACAATCCGCAATCTTCTTTCTCAATTGGTGAAGAACTGGGATACGAATGCATTATCTGTTATTAATAAAGGTTCTATGTGGAAAGTTAATGTGATGAAAACCTGGGTTCTGGATATGGGGCCGGCAGCACTTGGGTCAAAACGTTTCGGGCTATAGACAGCTTCGTCTTATGGTACCTTTTGATTGATCAGGATGCACATTTCATTTTGGCTCTTTAGAAAGTATCGCTTTGTTTTTTGGAAAAAGTGACTTGGGATGCTATCTGATTCTGTGGGATTGCTCCCTCGACTGGCAGGACGAGTTCAGCAACAACGTCCAGGAGTGGAACAACCAGCGCTGCGAGGCCCTCAGTTATGCACTGAGCAAGCTGCTCTACCCGGCCTTTGAGAAGGAGCTCAAGGTGCAGCTGCTCCTCGAAGCTCAGGACGGCATCGTCAAGGTGACCACCCTCAAAACGTCTGCTTGTGTGCCGCAGTGTCTGGAGCAGATGACCATCCTCTTTTCATGGTTCCAGGCATGCTGTCGCAAACTCTACAACTGGCTGAAGGTGGCACCCTACCAGGTGGACCCTCAGATGGAAGAGGACGAGGACTTTGATACCCGCGACGGCATCCGGGTCTTTGCCATCGCCTACGAGAACGACTGGTGAGGTGGCGTTTGTTGCAGCAACAGTCTTTCATTACCCTTGGGTACTTCTCTCTGTACACTTTGGTGGTGTCTTTGCCTGTTTCCCACTTCGAAAGGTGGTCTTTGTGCTTCTGGTACTACGACGGCATCTTTGATTTCAGGGAAGTCCCGGCGTTTGGGGCGCTTATTGACGGCACGGGGGAGGTGATGGAGCACCTGCGGCTACCACACTTACTCAAGCGCAAGAACTCCTGGAAGGAGAAGGAGAGAGAGCTCAAGGTGCGTGGCTGCTGTACCCTGACTGCATCTCGTCTCTGTGTTTAGAATGTACCTTTGAGCAAGCTTGTTGTTGTGTTGAGGGGTTGAAGAGGAACCCCGATCATACAACACTCAGGGTACTCGGGGTTGGATAATTTGCGATTCAGACAATCCGAATAACCCGAAAAATAATGATTGTGACTTCGGTGCTCGGCCCTAAGAATAAACATATGCGGAACTTCTAAAATCACTTCTGAGCTAATAATCTGCTGGGTGATAAAAAAAAAAAAAGAGTAAAGCCCTCAAATAAATTTGAAAAAAAAAATTAAATCAAATGGTTGTGCCGTAAGGCACTGATAAAATTTTGTATTCACCTTACCTAATTTATTGAAAGCGACGAGTAACTCCCTTTGGGGGGCTGCAATCCCTCGAAGCAAGTTACCAATGCCACTGTGGGAGTATGTGAGCCGGCAAATTTTGCTCATGTCGGCACACGCACACCTTCGCCCAAAGCATCGGCATCGAGTAGTTCCCCTTTTAACGTCCTCATTGAGTGACTGCATTGTGGTCGGTTATGTCGTCATCGGTGTTTGACGTGGTTCGTAAGTCGCGTCCACTCCACATGGGCGTAGCATGCCGTTATTGGAGAGCACGTGAACTTCTGCGGTGCGTGCCAGAATCGTCAGCAGAGAATACGCCGAGAGTCGGTGTCTTTTCCATTTTCCAACAGCCCGGCACGAGCTTGGCTCGACGGATCGCAGCGTGACTGCATCACAACACCGCGCTGTCAAAGAAACAGATGAGAAAGGAACCCTTTTTTGCCCACAGTGCGCAAACAAGTAAAAGCGATAGCTGGAACACGTTTGTGCAATGGGGGCAAAATGGTGTCGTCACATACCCGTGGACGGAGTTCGAAGTGGTCAATGTATGTTCCCGTCGTGGATGCCGCGAGTGCTCGGTGATTGCTAAAGTAAGTGGGAAAGGCGAGACACTGGATGTCAGTGTTCTTGGTAAGCACAAAGTCGACGGTGGTACTGGCGCGCAGAGGCCCAGTTGCATTGCAACGAGGCTGCGGAGCCACTTGTTTTGCGGCCGCCAAGGTCGACGTCGAAGTCGTTGGTTGCGACACAAAGAAGGTAATTGGCGAAGCGTGAATTCTGTAAAAGATTCGTCAGTCACGTCGAAGGTATTTGCCAATGTACTGCTGCAGAAGCCAGTTATTCCCTCTGCTCCCGGGACGAAGTACGGCCTTTGCGCGGAAGGGCCATTCGGAAGAGTCTACGGCAGTGACGTCGCAAGCTAAGGCGCGCGCTTTGCCGGTGTTGTTGAGCGACAAAGGAAGGGTGTAACGTTGACATTCAGCAACGATCGAAGAGGAGGATGCATAACCTGACCCCTTCACGTGGCGCGGCCAATGGGAACACCCGATTTCTCCCTCCTCGCAATACGAGGGCAGAGAAGAAGGGTTTTTTCATCTCCGCCGCGAAGAGAGACAGCGAAAAATGCCGACACCGAAATGCCCGCAAAGTGTCAGCCGAAAAGTTTAAAAAAGAGAGGTTGGGGCACGAGAACAAAGCAGCACAAGTTGTGGCCATTGTGGGGAAGCGAAGGAAGACTTGATCAGAAGATCAGAAGGGGATGGAGGGCGAAAAGACACAATCAAGATCGGTACCACCGGGGAAGAAGATTGAAGGAAGAACGGCCTCCCGAGGGAAAGGGGAGGGAGGAGGATACATTTGCTGGCACAATTTTGTTTTTGGGTTGGGTCGCTCTCCCAGAAATGTGGGATCTATGCGGAGTTCGCCGGGCCCGTGCGCAATTGACGTAAAATGTGGGATGTCGCGTAAACCGGCGATGCATAAGGGGGGCGCTCCTTTGCATTCGTAGCGAGGAATACCGTATATTGCCGCATGTAAGTCGACTCCAAGTATAAGTCGACCTCCCCAATTCCCAACCCTTACCAATAAAAAAAAATTTTTTTTTTTGACAACAATGTAAATTTTTAGAAATGAACATTTATTTGAACTTAGTACACGGAGGTCTCAGGCCTTATCGTCGTTGCTTGACACGACGACGCATTCGCTACTGTGCGTCTTGTGGGTCACAGGAGCCGGTTGGGGGACTCGTCGTCGTCGCACTTGTCGTCGCTTCACACAACGACGCAGTTGCTGCTGTCGGCGTCTTGGGGGTCACTGGGGCCGGGTTGGGGAAAGCGGCGTCAAAACACACTTTGAAAAGCCCTCACGGACCATATCGGTTGGGAGTTCATTCCAAGCGTCATTGACCTACTGAGCCACAGTGCTCAAAAACGTGCGCTTCACACGTTCCGTCGGTGTCTTGGGGTTGTCGTCCCGACTCATCCACTCGTTGTAGAAGAGACGCACGCGGTCCTTGAACGGCTTGTTGAGCACCACGTCAAGGGGCTGGAAAATCATAGCGCCCGGAATGGTGACAAGGTCGCACCCTGCGTTCCCTACCGCCTTGTTCACACAGTCCGTGATGTGCCCCCGAACTGAGTCGAGAACGAGCGTGCTTCGGGGTTTCAGGAGGGCACCCGGATGCCTGCACCAGACCAGTCGGAACCACTCGAGCACCGTCTCTTTGTTGAAGTAGCCCTTTTCATTTGCCCAGACGATGACTTTCGGCGGGAATGGTTCGTTGATCGGCATCGTCTTGCGCTTGAAGATCAGAAACAGTGGCAACTTGTGGCCGTGTGCCGTGCAGCATAACATTGTGGTGAAGTGGTTATGCTCATTGCCCGTCGCCAGCAGACGAACCTGATGAGCCCCCTTCTCCGTGACCGTTCTACTGCTGGGCATATCGAACCAAGCACCGTTGGTCGGCATTGCCGACCTGTCCGAGCACGAAGTTGTTCTTCGTCTTCAAGTCGGCGACGTAACGATGAAAGCTATGCAGCCTCTCTTTGTACGCGTTGGGCAGCCGCTGACAAACGGTAGTTGGCCTTCTTAGGCTTAGGTCGTGGCGCTTCGTAAAATTCACCACCCACTTCTTCGATATCTTGAAATCGCTCCGGTCGATACCCATTTCATTGGCGACGGCGCGTGCCTTGCCTTAGATGTCCTCGTAAGACACGCTGATGCTCTTGTCTCGTTGCTCTCGCATGCATTCTTTCACCGCCTTGTCAACAAGGGGAAACTGTCCTTGCTTCGGACCGCGGAAGGTTCGACGGGTACCGGAGCATGGAAAAATCCTGTCACGCTGTTGTCGCCGTCCTTTTACGCACCTCCGAAATGCCAAAGCTGCTTTCGGCCGCAACGTTATTCTTCTCTTCGGCATACAGAATAACTTTACGCTTGAAGGACGCGCTGTACTGACGCCGTGATTTTGGAGGCATTGTTGGCGTTCGCTGAAGACGTCACAAAACCTAAGTCGCTGAGTGCCGAATCAGAACGGGGCTCGAACGTGTGTGTGCATCTGGCAGTGAGTCAGCCGCAATGCGAATACGAAACTATCCCTTCATGTGGGGAAAAAGAGGGAAAAGTCTCGGGCAGTTGAAACGTCCCTAGTATCTCTCCTTCGGCTCAAAATGGTGCGCCAACCTGCGCATAGGTCGACATCTCCGCATATAGGTTGACCCCCCTAATTTTAGATGCACATTTTTTGAAAAAAGGTTGACTTATATGCGGCAATATACGGTAGTCGTTTATGTCTCTCTCTACTTTCAGGAGCACGACATGAGGGTGCTGAGAAAGTTCATCCTCAACAAGAAGCCCCACGTCATTTGCGTCGGGGCACAGTCGAGGTTTGTGCTTTGTACTCACTGGTTAACGTCGCGGCGACGACTAGGCACTTTTCAGCGTTTCGAAAAAGCATCACACAAATGAGCAGTACATACTGGTCTACCAATACGTCGTGGGTAGAGGGTACATTCGGAACGTCGCACAATATCCGTGATCTTGCGACATAACGGCGTCGTCTCGGGGCTTCAATCAATGTCATGTTGCATGATTTCACTTCGTGCGACGATGTGTCCCATAGTCGCCGGTGTTCGCTGACTTGGAAACATGTTCTACATGTTGAGGCATGTTACGAAGGTACTGCTGCAGTTTCTAGCACAGGATCTATATTATCAGTAGGGTGTGCATTTTCCGGTTTTAACCGAAAAACACCGATAAACATCCGTCGGTGACGAAAATATAAAATCGGTTAAAACCGAAAAACACCGGTGGTTGGATATTTTCGCCCTGGTTAAAACCGAAAAACACCGATCGTTGCTAGTTTCCGACCTAGCGAAACCCTTTCCCCGTAGAGGTTCGTCAAACGTGTTATCTCGTGGATCCTGCATTCTTCCAGTGTTTATACATGGCTTGCAGGTGGCGTCAGTCCGCCCTCCTTTCTGAGGGTCAAAAGCGTCTGGTGAACGCAGTGGAAGCTAAGCTCTCACACGCCTTTCCCCTATTGTGTCACCCATGGCCCCCCTTTGTGGAAAAATTAACACAGTGGAGGGTAGGCTCTCACGTGCCTTTTCCACATTGTGTCTGGCCAAGTGATGTCGGTGCAAGCCATGTATTCAGAGGTTGCTGTGGTTCCTGGAAGACACTGCCAACGTCCGTGTCGTACAGGAGCGTGCGTTTTCTTAATTGCGGGTTGCGAACCGCAAGGAACGCGCTGCCATGACGGCAGCACGTTCCTTGCGTGTAGATGCAAGCATGAAAGCATGCTTGCATCTACTATAATAACCAAGTGCGAGAAATAGTTGCTTCCTAGAGAAGAAGTGTATGAACTATGTGAATAAAATTGGAACTCTCTGTCTGTGATTAATCGTTTTTTTTTAACCGATAATCACCGTTTTTAGCCTCGTCGTGAGACGTTCCACCGAAATACACCGGTGTTTTGAAAATAAATAAACACCGAAAAACATCCGCCGATTTTTCTCACAAATAAACACCGGAAAGTACACACCCTAATTATCAGTCGTTTTTTTACAAAAGAATCATGAAACAGCTTCGTGAACGTGCAACTCGCTGGGAGCGTTGCACGAAGTTGTGGATAATAGTTGAGGAAGACTCACATAAAATCGACGTCAGAAAGGTGCCTCGGCGGGGCCCAGGCCCGCGTCGGTGCGGTAGCAGCCAAATGGCAAATTTATAGGTTTTGGTTTTGGTTTTGGAAAAAGGCAGTGGTGTGCTGGTCATTGAATGGCTGCATTTTTCCAGAGAGGCCCTACAAATAGTCGAAGACATCAAGGCTGTTGTGACGGACCTTGCGGAGAACGAACAGATGCCCCTGATCAACGTCGAACTCTTGGACAACGATCTGGCCATTGTCTACATGAACTCCAAGAAAGCAGAGGTGAGGGAAACACACTCTTTATCGAGGCTGCCACATCTGACTTGAAGTACTTTGTTTACGCAGGATCAGGAATGCTTAAAAGTATGGAGGTGAAAACATTTGTTGCGCTTCTAGGTGGCACGAACATAACTTTAGCTTTCTTTCCAAAGCGCTCTCATTCTGTTATTTGTGAACCTGTGGCTTCAGTCTACAAAGAGACACTTAGACTCACACTTACGAGGAATTATAACTTGACCAAGTTTGTTTAGTTCTAGCCCCGTTTTTCTTTCAGTTTGCATGGCAGAATCCCAGCTTCTATGGGGTACGCCAGTTTGTCTGCAATTTGCACTGCTGATGCATATGTTTACCCTTAAAATGCACTCCCATAGTGTCGTTTCTGCTCAGGCGGCACATGCTCGATTGCCTCGTCAGCACGTGCTTTCCGTATACTCTGCGTCGTCGGTCGATTGGCACGGGCCTCCTGACCATATTTTATTAATGGGGAAGCATTAGCTGTGTCATGGAGCGAGCTGACGTCATCAGCATTGGAGCCACGCCAAACGACACCTAAACTCATTTCTTCAAGTGAAGCCGCTATCTGATGGCTCCCAGCTTTGAAGCCGAGCGAAAAGCCTAGCTAAACGGCTCCTAGTTTCCCCGCTCCCAATGGAGCGCAGTGAAACCAAAATTTGGTGGATTTCGTCTTTGGTACCATTGGCTGGCGCACGTCATAGTTTAAGGAACGTTGTGCTCATATTCTCTCAAAATACGCATTTCACTATGCGAGCAGAGCATGCGGACGACTTACGACAGTTTGTTGTTCAGTGGAATCCACTTGTAACGATAATGAGGAAACCCGAAAATGCAATCGTTACAACCGATTATCGCTGTATCTGGACTAGAAACTGGTCGCTTCTAGTCTAGAAACTGTATACACTGATAGTTTTAAGCGGTATATTGTTATATGTGATATCGTTATAAGCGGATTGCACTGTATGCCGCAGGATACTCGTGTTGGGAATCTTGGGGGGGGAAGGGCACCAAAGGAGCTACGCTTCTGAGTAAGGACAGCTCGGCCGTCTGCTTGCTTATAATTATTGTTGCCAGTTATCTCGAGCTTTATCTGAGATTGCAGGAAACACTTCTCCACCTTTTACAGATGTTTAGACGTCTGCAACGTAGCCAAATGTTAGCATCTGAGCTTCCGGACGTCTGAAGGTCGGGAAGTGGCATTATTGAATTGTAACCACGATGAGCTGTGCCCGCTTTGCAGTAGGCAACAAAACGGCAGTACCGAGACAATGGTGGAGTGGAGCGTTGCTACGTGAGCGTAGCCTAGTTAGTGACTCTGGACGGAGTTACCGAACGAACCAGTGGGGGCAGTAGCTCACTTATTCGTGGACATCCCGATCTGAGTACGGGTCGAGGAGGAGGGGAGTGCACAGACCCAGTTGGTGGCCGCGTTTGGTCTGATTTGCGCAAGTTGTGAGCGTTGGAGCGCCTTGACCATGTGTCTGCGTGCCTGGACCGCAGAGCGACTTCCGGGACTACCCGCTGCTGCTGCGGCAGGCCATCTCCCTGGCGAGGCGCATGCAGGACCCCCTGGTGGAGTTCTCGCAGCTCTGCACCCCCGACGAGGAGATCTTCTGCCTCAAGTACCACCCACTACAGGCGAGTGTGGGGAGTGGCAGGTGTTCGCGTCCCTGCACGCCAGGAGGGACTCCTAGGTCCGATTACGTTCCACTAGATTTTTTTTTTATATACAACAAAAAGAATATGGGGAACCAAATGTTCAGTTGGGCTAGTTGGTTCATGACTGGATTGAAGCGCCGAAGGACAGCGACAAAGTAACGACAACACGGAGCGCTCCGTGTTGTCGTTTCCATGGCCCTGTTTTTTGGTGCTTCTATCCAGAATATGGGGAGAAGGAACTAACACAATCCCATTTGCATTTTTTCGAATAGGAGTGGTAATCTTTTAAGTGCCAGTGTGTTCAATGTCAGGTACATTGAGCACTATTGACTGTTTGATGGTATTTGGCCTGCATGGAAAGACTTCATTTCACCTTAAAAGGACACTGACTTTTAAAAAAAAGTTTTTTTTGTAAGGCCTAAATAGGACACTTTTTTTCTTTTTAATTTTACCATGGAGAGGACAACATTTTTTGTGCGATATTTACATTGGATGCAATTCAGGTCAGTTCAACCTAACTTAACCTAACAAAAAATTTGTTTATGTTAGATGCAATTTAGGTGGGGTCGATGAAAGTAGCTTAAAGAGCCCCTGAAAATAAAAAAACTTTTTTGTTTTTAAACAGTTTAATTGGGACACGCATGTCAAAAATAATTTTACGTGAAAAAAAACAACAAATTTTAGAGCAATATTGACGGCGAGATTTCTTTAAAATTCTGCGTGCAAAGGCCATGACGTCACGGAATGGTCATTCACTCAACGAGATGATAATTCACTCTTTCTGCCTCAACGTGAAGGCGAAGCCGATCCACCTCTCCTTCACGCACCCGAAATGCCGGGAGAGAAACCAAGTGGAAAGGAGGCAGCTACCAACTAAATCGCGTCTCGTGCCGTCAATATTGCTCTATAAATTTTTTTTTTTTTTTTTTTAAATTATTTTTTTGACGTGCGTGTGTCAAAACTCTGTTTAAAAAAAATGGAAGCCATTTACAATTCCCTGTAACGCCGGTTAGAGCGCAGCTCTTGAGGAGGAGGATGGAAGGGTAGTGAGGGATAGGTGACTCCTTGAGGTCACATGACCTCAGGGGGGGGGTCGTGTGACGTCAGGAGGGTCACGTGACCTTTAAAAATGATATTTTTTTGCGGAAATATTTTACAAAGACAAATGTGTCCTGACAAACCCTTAAAAAAAATGTTTTTCATTTGATTGTAATTTAAAATTTAGATGCGGCCGATGCTATGAGCTGATGAAACCAATCATACAGCGTCAATCATGGCGTTCGTCATGTTTTGGTATGTTTTCTGGCGTCACTAAACCAATCCTAAACAGAGGAGTCCCCTTGCCTTTTGGACGCCGCTTAATTGGTCCAATTATCTCGCAGCGTTGGCTGCTTCTGGACTTAAGCTGAAACAAAGAAGGAATTTCAGGATGCTTTTCTTGTGCATTGGCATGAGTGGTGCTTTTTTGGTTTAAGAGGAGATAAGAACAGCACAAAAATGAACACAAGGGCAATTAGGAAATACAGTCAATGATTGTGGTTTTCTTTCAGAAGAAAATATACTGACACAAAATAAGAAGAGAGAAAAAAAAAATATACAAAGCATTTTCCCATCACAGTCCCAGTCACATAAATGTGTCAGTCGGATTAATAAGAGAGATCTTACCTTTAGAGAGGGTAATTGTTGATTCTACACTGACACAAACATCGGGTCCATAATGTCTAGTAAAAAAAGCCTCATGAATTTCTCTAGTGGTCCTGTTGTGATGTTATTTATTTTATTATTTATTAACTTTATTTAGCTGCAGAGTACAGCCAGATCTATAACAATGTACAGCGAGATGTCCCGATTCAGCGCTGCGTAAAGAATGTGCTCTCAAGTGTTTTATTCTTTCTTTGACTCTTGTATTTTCACCAACACGCTCTTTGATCTTTGTCTTTGTGCGCTCAAGCCCGGGCATTTATGCATCTGCCTGTCTGTCATGTATATGTCTTTGCACAAGACGGGGATTTTGTAAACTACACCGGCTGCACATGCAGCATATTTACAATGGCGTTTTACCTGGCATAATGTGTGTTCTTATGCGACAGCATTCTTTAGGTCCTCCCCCCCCCCCCCGGATTTTTTTTACTTTCTGGCCTCCTAATGCACAGTATCTATGCGCAGTAGACCATTTCAGCTCACATTCTCATACACCTTCACGTTTGCACCTTCTTCGAAGGACCTGACGACCTTGAGGTCGTCCTAGAGGTCATCCTTAAGATAGCCCTAGAGGGCATTCTAGACGTCCTTGAGGTTGTCCTAGAGGTCGTCCTTGAGATTGTCCTAGAGGTCGTCGTAGACGTCGTCTTTGATGTCGTCCTCTACGACATCGTCTTAGACGTCGTCCTCGAGGTTGTTCTAGACTAATGCTATCGCAATTCATAGACAACCAACAATAGTGGTTTCTGCAGAGATTTTTTCCTGCTTTTTCAGTTGCAGAGCATAAGCGATGTAGTTTTGACAGTGCTGAGAAGACAGTAATTAGTCTGCTTTGTTTGTCTGTATATCTTCTACTTGTCCTTGTGTACATTTTTGCGCTGTTTTTATTTCTGTGATCATGCACCGACTCGCCCGTCTTCCCTTTTTGGTTTAAGTTGAACGGGGGGACTGTTGCTCTCTTCGTAAGTTCCTCCACTCCTCCTCCAGATACGAGCATCCCACTCTTTTTTCTGTACCACACGGATTTTTAAGTGTCGTCCCATTTCTGGCTTTGGCCCGTAGATGACGGCACTAGTTGACTGGGAGACGAATTTCCTGCTTGACCTACAAGAGGCAGGCTGGGATTCTGGTGCAACCTTGGAGTCTTAACTTTTCTCGTTTGTTAATGTCTGTGGCTTTGGGTTGCACGCTGTGCAGGACTCGGTTCCCCGGACGGACTTCACAAATGGCCTGAACTTGGAGTTTGTGAACCGGACCAACGAGGTTGGGGTGGACATCAACCTGGCCATTGCGCACACCCACACCTCTTACCTGGTCCAATTCCTGTGCGGACTGGGGCCCCGGAAGGGCTACGCACTGCTCAAGGTGGGGGTCGCCCTGGGGGGGCACAGACGCAGCACCACTGGTTAACGCGCAGTAACTTGACAACAATCCAAAAAATGATGACTCAGTTTGATGTTCGTGTTAAGGTAGTGTAAGGTTAGTCTGCTTTCGAGGTATGTCAACACTGTTTTGCTTTGTAGATGAGCAATTAAGCCAGTGCGATACAACCGCTAGTCTGGGGTGTTTAATGTGCATCATGGAGCAGTGATACGCGACCGCACTCTGGTACAATGCTCATCCAGATCGAAACAGGCTGAAGGGGGCGGGATTGAACCCAAGATGCCTGGGCTCTGCAGTGCGAGCTTTTGCTCCACGTGCTCCAAGCCGCAGTGTGCTGAGAAACTTGGTCACCAACCCCCTCCTCAAACTTGACAGTACTCGGCCAGCGTATGTCGCTATAACGAACACGATCCTAGGCTCCCTTGCTACGAAGTGAAGTCCACTTTGCTACTTCATTACCGTCAGTTAGATATGTAATGCCTTATGGGACTTGTCTATGGTGTCATAGTGTGGGTTCTTGTAATCTTTGCTGTAAGCATTGTTTTCTATTTGTTGCACCGGTTAACTGGCCTTTTTTACCCCACCACTGCCTGAAAATCTCGCATCTTGGAGCACCTTTGATCTAGTGTCAGTAGGAGCTCCCCTTGGGACGTGTTTTGGCTGTGACGGACTGCCCTGTTCAATTTCACGGGGTATTTTGATCAATTCCCTTCTTCAAAGATGTAAACTTGTAGTGTTACTTTTATGCATTAAAACAGGCACAGATTGATGTATTCTGGGTATGTCGACATTCCATGGGAGTAGTGAGCTGATGTTATTGGCATTCTGGTCTCGCCTGGGTCCTTGAACGATCTTTAAATTTTTTCAGGTTATCAAACAGATTGTAGGCGAATTTGGTTCCACCATAACTTTGCAAAGAGCAAACGCAACGGCCCCTTCGAGCCCCTCAGAGTGACCGAGTCGAGCGTGTGCCGAGGCTGCGGTCTTCACCGTTTGCCGAGCGGGAACTAAAATGTGTCAGTCCCTCACAGCTAATGCCACGTGGTGCTAGAATGCTGTCATAGATTGTGTGACTTTGCAATGTATAGTGCAGAGGGTCATTTCTCCTTCCCTCCCCTGGCCGGCAGACCCTGAAGCAGAGCCACCAGCGCCTGGAGAGCCGTACCCAGCTGGTGACCGTCTGCCACATGGGGCCCAAGGTGTTCATCAACTGTGCCGGCTTCATCAAGATCGACACCACCTCCTTCGAGAACAGGTGCCTGCACTTGGTCTGTCTCGCCCACATCCAGTGCTCTGGGAACGTCCTTGCATTGCTCAAAGTCATTCCTGTCATTCGTGGAGTATTCAGTTCTAGGGGAACAGAAACACAGCTGTGTCACGTTAGTATGGATCCTGGTGATGTCAATATAGTAAACCTTGGTTGATTCGAAGTCATAAAAGCTATAAAAAGATTCGAGAGAAGTGCCTTGTGCAAACGGAGCCCTTCCAACAATCGTGCCAAGTGACCTGACAGTCGCACGGTATGCGGCTGGTGCCATGGAGAGAACAAAACGATCGCAACAAAATCATCACCAGGCAACACTCATAAGATGAGACAGTGAGACTGGGAAGCAAGAACGCGAAAAAGGAAAGAAAAACCTAAAGAACTTACAAAAAATGAAAGCCGTTTACAACTCCCTGTAATGCCGAATTAAAGCGCAGCTCTTGAGGAGGAGGGAAGGGTACTGAGGGTCACGTTTTCTGGGGGGGGGGGGGGGGGAGGAGGGGGAGGAGGAGGAGGAGGGTCACGTGATTTGGGGGAGGTGTCACGTGACCTGGGGGGTCACGTGACCCCCAAATAAATTTTTCCGCTAGATTTAGCAAGAAAATTTTTCCGGTAAATTTAGCGGGGAAATGTTTCCCCTAGATTGAGCGGGGAAATTTTTCCGCTAAATCTAGCGGAGAAATTTTTCCGCTAAATTTAGCAGGAAAATTTACCCATAATGCACCGCGCGGTGACGCCGACGCCGCTCAAGCCGGAAACAAGCGCCTAAAAGCTGCGCTCTAAAAAAAAAAAAAAAAAAATTGCGGTGGCTTAGCTCGGCTATGCCAGGATATATGTAGCGTGAGCTTATGCGCTCAAAATGAGAGGCGCTATCAAGCGGCTCCGGTGCAGCGTCAGACTTGGCTACTGTGCAACGGAGGCGCACAGCTGGGCACGCGGCGGCGCCAGTGCGTCTATGACGTCACTCCTCTGGAATGCGCAGACCGGCGAGGCGAGCACGGCGGCGGCGGCTCCGGCGTGCCAGCTGTGCGCCGTGTGACGTCACTGCTCCTCGCGCATGTGCAGTACGGAGCACGGCTCATTATGCGAGCCACGCGAAACTGCCCAACCTCAGCCAGTGTAGCTCACGCTACAAAAAAGATCGAAAGAAAAAGACCAACTGTGGAAGATAATGTTGGACGCGTGGAAGAGAGGAACAGTGGCACGACTAGCTAGCCATATCAGGGAGGAAAAAAAAAAAAGATGCTAAGACAAACATTTTGAGGCGCACGCTGCTCATGACACGAGGCGTTTTTTTTTATTTTTTTGTGCATTGTTGCACATGCAATGATGCACAATATTTTTTTTGGGGGGGGGGGGGGGGATTAATAATTAATGCTTAGGCCACCACTACATTGCTTACTGTTTCCTTTTTTTTTTTTGTATTAAGTTTTTGAAATAACCGAGGTTAGGACCTGAAAACATTTCGAGCAAAGCAATGAGTAAATGCATTATGCCTATGGGAGTTCATTCCATGACAAGGAAATCTTTCGACCTAACCAATATTCTGAGAAAGCAGAGTTTGAGTGAACGAGGGATTACTGTATAGACTAAATACTCAGGAACGAACTGGGTAAAAATGTGGGCATATTTATTTCATTATTATGGACGATTTCTGTAAGAATGGAGGTGTCTTTATTAAGGAGACATTGCTGTATATTCACATGCTCAAAGGTGTCCCATCCCTATGTCGTGGTCCGAGAAACAGCACGAGCTCAAAACGCCTCTTAACTGCCTCGGCCAGCTGTTTTGCACGACCACCACTCTTGGGTAGGAGGAGATTTGGTGGCAGTAGTCTTCATAGCACTACCAATATAAGTCACCCATACATTCAGTGCCAGTATGTCAGTTTAGTATCAGCCGAAAAGTGTAAAATGCCGCATGGTGTGCCTCTGGCGTGCCAGGTTATAAAACCGACTGCCGTAATGGGACAGTTGGAAATATGGCAGTCTGTGCCCATGTCTCTTTCAGCAGCTTAACGTATCCTAGACTTTCCACGCGGCTTCTGTGCCATTCCGGCCTGAATGCCACTGGCTCGTATCGTGCACCTTCTGAAGTTTTGTCGCTGGTTCAACAGCCCTGGCCGAGGTTGCGTAGTTGAATACGAGAATGTGCCAGAAGCTCCTCCCACTCCCACAGTTGCCACCCTCATCGTGAGAGCACGCGCGTAGGAGACTCGACACGTGCACTCGAGACAAGGCCACGCTCTTTAGCCGCAGTACTGGGTTGCACACCCGTGGAGCGACGCTAGTTTCGACGTTGTAGCGCGAAAAAGGCGACGTCGACTGTAGTAGCGCGACGGCCGATGCGAAGAGCATCTGCATTAGTTGAACGCGTTAGTGAATTTCGCTCAATATTTTAGGTCGGTACTCCGATTACAATTATAGTTCCGTGCAATTGTGGCGGATCTTCCGTCCCAGTTCATGGCGCGAAATCTTAAAGAAAAAAAGACTAGGTGAGCACAAAAGTATATTGAAAGTACCTGGAACACTACCAAACTGGCAGTAGGGTGGATGGCGGCAGCACCGCGTGTGCGTCTACAAAGGCCGCAGAATCGCCGGAACCGGGAAGCCGCCTCGGTGGCTCCGAAGCGAGGTGCCGGCCTACAAACAGACGTTGGCAGGTCCGGATCCCGACTGCTCTTATCACGTAGTGCAGTGGTTCCCAGCCAAGGATGTGTCGGGGACCCCTTGCGGACCGCTTTCAGTGATGGGGGACCCCTTCAAGCCGGGGGGGGGAGGAGACGTTAGTAAGTTAGCACATCTGGAGCATGAAACAGGTGCCTTTTATTGCTAGGTAGCAGAAAAACATAATACAAAGGTGCCACATCACTTCATTCTGGTCAGTTCATCAATACGTGGCACTCTCGCGCTTCGAACTATGTACAAAAAACGTGCCAACTAAAAAAAAAAAAAATTTTTGTTGAGGGTTTTGCAGACCTTTATTTGGGAACCACTGACGTAGTGGGCGCCGTAAGATGGTTGGAGTCCCCAGTCCCGTTGGTTTTGCACATGAAAGCCCTGGGTTTGGAGCCGGGGCCAACTGAGTGACACCTGCCTTTGTCCCGCAACCAGCACCAACGCGTACGTGGAGGTGCTGGACGGTTCCCGGGTGCACCCGGAGGCGTACGAGTGGGCCCGCAAGATGGCCGTGGACGCACTGGAGTACGACGACGTCACCGAGGACGTCAACCCGGCCGAGGCCCTCGAGGAGATCCTCGAGAACCCGGAGAAGCTCAGGGTGAGGCCTCCAGGGCTTTTCGCGAGCGTTTTGCGGGCTTTTTGGACAAATTGCGTTACAACTGCTCGCCTCCCGAGACGAGAGGTGTGAACCTGCAAAGTCCTGTGCAAGGTGGGAGATTTCTAGTTTCATTTGCCCGCAACGGCGGTCGGCACATCCGTCGAACGCATAGCTGATTTGGGCACTGAGACGTCGTCTTTGGGTCTTTTAAGGTGGAGGCTGTAAAACCCAAATTATTCGGAATTTAAATACATGCGGTTATCATAAAAATTAGTGAATTCTGAATTAGCAACCTCCTTCCTATGCAATCGCTGCAATGACAACAATAGCGAAACTCTAACAATGTCTGGAACTCAGCACGCGTCCTGAGCTTTACCAACCCCCGCACGTGGCTATGATCAACATTGGTGGCATATAAACTGCTCCAGATCACGTAACCGCTTGTTCTGGCTGCGAGTTGAGGGGATGAATGTTGCTCGTTTTTCTTTAATTTTTTCTGCGACTTCTAATGCCTGTGATGAAAAACGAACGCATCTTTCATTAGTCATTAATGTCGGGGATTCATTCGAAATGGTATTTGCACGAAGTGCAAAAATCGTTGCATCGTCCCTTTAATGAAATTTAACCTTAAGAAATTCTGATTTTTTTTACGACGGTTGACTGTTTGGCTGTATAGTATTACTGCAGAATTGCATTCTAATGGAAGATAACTCGGATTATTCGTCCGCGGCATGCGTGGCATGTCACGAGACCCGACATCACATGACTCACGATAGGAAGCGGTGGTGTCGCGTGACGTCACGGTATCGGCAAGATTATTGAACCTAGTGACAGGCACTGAGTCATAGTGTAACGTCAAGCCACGTCACGTGACCACAGCGCATGACACCCGGTCCTGTGATATCGCATTGTCACACGACACTGCCACGTGACGTGACGTCACGTGACACCACGCCTCGACGCTGTTACGTAGCCGTGATGTGCAATGTTGGATCACGTGGTGTCACGATGCGACGTGATACTGTTCCACGTGACGTCATGCAACCGTGTCGCGTGACAAGACTAGTCCAAAGTGTGCCAGCAAAAAAAAAAAAAAAAAAAAAAGATGTAAAAGCTTTTTGTTTGTAACACATTGCATTTCTGCATATGATGGTTTGATCGATAGATTCAAAACACAGCTCCTAATTCTTTTGCCTCTGGAGTGTGGTCGGCTTGGACCGACTCGCCGTCTGAGCCGCCGTGCCTGGAGGTGTCTCCGGTGAGCGCATGGTGGAAACCTTTCCGCAGGACCTGGACCTGGATGCCTTTGCGGTTGAGCTGGAGCGGCAGGGCTACGGCAACAAGAGCATCACCCTGTACGACATCCGGGCAGAGCTGAACCACCGCTACAAGGACCTCAGGACAGCCTTCAGGGCCCCCAACCCAGAGGAGACTTTCAACATGCTCACCAAGGAGACCCCCCAGACCTTCTACATCGGTAGGGGGGGACACGTCTCTGGGGGGGGTGGGGGGGTTTGACGTCGAGAGCTTTTTCAGCTGCTGATAGGGAGGGATGTCGCAGCTTTCCGCAGGGTGAGCATTATCGACCGACGAGTGAGTTAACCCATACGCGAGTCCACGATCGGACAGCATTTCGGTGAGAACTTCCACATGCGTGTGGCGAGGGAGGTCTCGTGGCCTCTCGTGCACCATTTCTAATGCTTCTTTATCTGCCGGTGGATTTTGGCTCGCTTGCGGTAGCAGAACAACTTGAGATTTGCAAAAGAATCGTGGTTTATGGACTGTTTTCTTCGTGAAATGGAGGACGTTTGCAATTAAAGCTTGCACCCGATCACGTCGTTCGCAAAACTTGATTTGTCATTCGGCTCTTTTTGATTATATCGGTGGATAATGTCCATATGATTTCTTGTTACATTTTCGTTTGCGAATGACACCTGATACCAGACGAACCCGCTTTCTGCACTCGCGAGAGCAAACTAGAAGTCTACTAATGATTGACTCGCTTTGTGAGAGTCCAGTCAGACCTGGTTCTTGTTTTCACGGTCACGAAAATCAAGAGTGATTCTGAGTCATTGATTCGTCTTCACTTGTGCTTCTTTCTCCTTACGCGAGCCTTTCCTAATGGTGTATGAATGCTTACACTTCTCTAGGACGAGGTGTGTGTTACGTTTAGGGAGTGCTTTCTGCGACAAATAGCCGCGACGTGGATTGGCTACGATTTGGATGAGAAAGCTAAAAGAACGAAGTAAGGAGATGAAGTGGCAGTTTCCAAGTGCCGGTCAGATGTTGCTTCGCAAGTACGGCTAGGGGAACCCTCGCTTGCTCCGGGAGACTGGTTGCGTACTTATGGACGGCAGTGACGGTGGGAAGACCGCTTGTTGTCGGATTATACAAATGGCGTTGTAGATAATATGGTAAGAGTACCAGAAGATGTCGGTGGGTGAAAAAACGTTGCGTTTGGGCTGTAAGGGTGAGGCTCGATGACTTCGGCAAACGGTCGTTACAAGGACATACTTGTTACGGCAACAGCCGTCGGTGAAAACCTCCCTGGGAAATCATGCAAGTGTCCCTCGCGACAACCCCCGGCGACGTCGTAAATCGCGTGGTGGCTCCTAGCCATCACACTTGGGGCTCCGAGGCACGCGCTCCAGTGCCGCAGAATTTAAAAAGAAAAGGAAAAGTCTGTCTAGCTGGATTCAAACCAGTCATCTATAGATATCGGCAATCGATTCTAGTGAGCCGCTCGACCAAATAGGCTATCAAAGGAACAGATGTTAGAAAATTGAAGGTGCATTCCATTTGTGTCTTCGTTTAATAACACCCAGGGGTCTTAGAGCCTCGAGCGTGCAGGCGCAGCCCAAGCACAGGAAAAGTGGATGAGCACGTTCTTCGACGCTGGTGCATCTTGCTGCGTCTCCCAACTAGCGCGCCGCTAGTGCACGGCGACACCGAGACATCTATAGATGACGGCAATCGATTCTAGTGAACCGCTCGACCAAATAGGCTTTCAAAGGAACAGATGTTAGAAAATTGAAGGTGCATTTCATTTGTGTCTCCGTTTGATAACGCCCAGGGGTCTTAGAGCCTCGAGCGTGCAGGCGCAGCCCAAGCACAGGAAAAGTTGATGAGCACGTTCTTCGACGCTGGTGCATCTTGCTGCGTCTCCCAACTAGCGCGCCGCTAGTGCACGGCGACACCGAGACATCTATAGATGACGGCAATCGATTCTAGTGAACCGCTCGACCAAATAGGCTTTCAAAGGAACAGATGTTAGAAAATTGAAGGTGCATTTCATTTGTGTCTCCGTTTGATAACGCCCAGGGGTCTTAGAGCCTCGAGCGTGCAGGCGCAGCCCAAGCACAGGAAAAGTTGATGAGCACGTTCTTCGACGCTGGTGCATCTTGCTGCGTCTCCCAACTAGCGCGCCGCTAGTGCACGGCGACACCGAGACATCTATAGATGACGGCAATCGATTCTAGTGAACCGCTCGACCAAATAGGCTTTCAAAGGAACAGATGTTAGAAAATTGAAGGTGCATTTCATTTGTGTCTCCGTTTGATAACGCCCAGGGGTCTTAGAGCCTCGAGCGTGCAGGCGCAGCCCAAGCACTGGAAAAGTTGATGAGCACGTTCTTCGACGCTGGTGCATCTTGCTTTGTCTCACAACTAGCGCGCCGCTAGTGCACGGCGACACCGAGACATCTATAGATGACGGCAATCGATTCTAGTGAACCGCTCGACCAAATAGGCTTTCAAAGGAACAGATGTTAGAAAATTGAAGGTGCATTTCATTTGTGTCTCCGTTTGATAACGCCCAGGGGTCTTAGAGCCTCGAGCGTGCAGGCGCAGCCCAAGCACAGGAAAAGTTGATGAGCACGTTCTTCGACGCTGGTGCATCTTGCTGCGTCTCCCAACTAGCGCGCCGCTAGTGCACGGCGACACCGAGACATCTATAGATGACGGCAATCGATTCTAGTGAACCGCTCGACCAAATAGGCTTTCAAAGGAACAGATGTTAGAAAATTGAAGGTGCATTTCATTTGTGTCTCCGTTTGATAACGCCCAGGGGTCTTAGAGCCTCGAGCGTGCAGGCGCAGCCCAAGCACAGGAAAAGTTGATGAGCACGTTCTTCGACGCTGGTGCATCTTGCTGCGTCTCCCAACTAGCGCGCCGCTAGTGCACGGCGACACCGAGACATCTATAGATGACGGCAATCGATTCTAGTGAACCGCTCGACCAAATAGGCTTTCAAAGGAACAGATGTTAGAAAATTGAAGGTGCATTTCATTTGTGTCTCCGTTTGATAACGCCCAGGGGTCTTAGAGCCTCGAGCGTGCAGGCGCAGCCCAAGCACTGGAAAAGTTGATGAGCACGTTCTTCGACGCTGGTGCATCTTGCTTTGTCTCACAACTAGCGCGCCGCTAGTGCACGGCGACACCGAGACATCTATAGATGACGGCAATCGATTCTAGTGAACCGCTCGACCAAATAGGCTTTCAAAGGAACAGATGTTAGAAAATTGAAGGTGCATTTCATTTGTGTCTCCGTTTGATAACGCCCAGGGGTCTTAGAGCCTCGAGCGTGCAGGCGCAGCCCAAGCACTGGAAAAGTTGATGAGCACGTTCTTCGACGCTGGTGCATCTTGCTGCGTCTCCCAACTAGCGCGCCGCTAGTGCACGGCGACACCGAGACATCTATAGATGACGGCAATCGATTCTAGTGAACCGCTCGACCAAATAGGCTTTCAAAGGAACAGATGTTAGAAAATTGAAGGTGCATTTCATTTGTGTCTCCGTTTGATAACGCCCAGGGGTCTTAGAGCCTCGAGCGTGCAGGCGCAGCCCAAGCACTGGAAAAGTTGATGAGCACGTTCTTCGACGCTGGTGCATCTTGCTGCGTCTCCCAACTAGCGCGCCGCTAGTGCACGGCGACACCGAGACATCTATAGATGACGGCAATCGATTCTAGTGAACCGCTCGACCAAATAGGCTTTCAAAGGAACAGATGTTAGAAAATTGAAGGTGCATTTCATTTGTGTCTCCGTTTGATAACGCCCAGGGGTCTTAGAGCCTCGAGCGTGCAGGCGCAGCCCAAGCACTGGAAAAGTTGATGAGCACGTTCTTCGACGCTGGTGCATCTTGCTTTGTCTCACAACTAGCGCGCCGCTAGTGCACGGCGACACCGAGACATCTATAGATGACGGCAATCGATTCTAGTGAACCGCTCGACCAAATAGGCTTTCAAAGGAACAGATGTTAGAAAATTGAAGGTGCATTTCATTTGTGTCTCCGTTTGATAACGCCCAGGGGTCTTAGAGCCTCGAGCGTGCAGGCGCAGCCCAAGCACAGGAAAAGTTGATGAGCACGTTCTTCGACGCTGGTGCATCTTGCTTTGTCTCACAACTAGCGCGCCGCTAGTGCACGGCGACACCGAGACATCTATAGATGACGGCAATCGATTCTAGTGAACCGCTCGACCAAATAGGCTTTCAAAGGAACAGATGTTAGAAAATTGAAGGTGCATTTCATTTGTGTCTCCGTTTGATAACGCCCAGGGGTCTTAGAGCCTCGAGCGTGCAGGCGCAGCCCAAGCACAGGAAAAGTTGATGAGCACGTTCTTCGACGCTGGTGCATCTTGCTGCGTCTCCCAACTAGCGCGCCGCTAGTGCACGGCGACACCGAGACATCTATAGATGACGGCAATCGATTCTAGTGAACCGCTCGACCAAATAGGCTTTCAAAGGAACAGATGTTAGAAAATTGAAGGTGCATTTCATTTGTGTCTCCGTTTGATAACGCCCAGGGGTCTTAGAGCCTCGAGCGTGCAGGCGCAGCCCAAGCACTGGAAAAGTTGATGAGCACGTTCTTCGACGCTGGTGCATCTTGCTGCGTCTCCCAACTAGCGCGCCGCTAGTGCACGGCGACACCGAGACATCTATAGATGACGGCAATCGATTCTAGTGAACCGCTCGACCAAATAGGCTTTCAAAGGAACAGATGTTAGAAAATTGAAGGTGCATTTCATTTGTGTCTCCGTTTGATAACGCCCAGGGGTCTTAGAGCCTCGAGCGTGCAGGCGCAGCCCAAGCACAGGAAAAGTTGATGAGCACGTTCTTCGACGCTGGTGCATCTTGCTGCGTCTCCCAACTAGCGCGCCGCTAGTGCACGGCGACACCGAGACATCTATAGATGACGGCAATCGATTCTAGTGAACCGCTCGACCAAATAGGCTTTCAAAGGAACAGATGTTAGAAAATTGAAGGTGCATTTCATTTGTGTCTCCGTTTGATAACGCCCAGGGGTCTTAGAGCCTCGAGCGTGCAGGCGCAGCCCAAGCACAGGAAAAGTTGATGAGCACGTTCTTCGACGCTGGTGCATCTTGCTGCGTCTCCCAACTAGCGCGCCGCTAGTGCACGGCGACACCGAGACATCTATAGATGACGGCAATCGATTCTAGTGAACCGCTCGACCAAATAGGCTTTCAAAGGAACAGATGTTAGAAAATTGAAGGTGCATTTCATTTGTGTCTCCGTTTGATAACGCCCAGGGGTCTTAGAGCCTCGAGCGTGCAGGCGCAGCCCAAGCACTGGAAAAGTTGATGAGCACGTTCTTCGACGCTGGTGCATCTTGCTGCGTCTCCCAACTAGCGCGCCGCTAGTGCACGGCGACACCGAGACATCTATAGATGACGGCAATCGATTCTAGTGAACCGCTCGACCAAATAGGCTTTCAAAGGAACAGATGTTAGAAAATTGAAGGTGCATTTCATTTGTGTCTCCGTTTGATAACGCCCAGGGGTCTTAGAGCCTCGAGCGTGCAGGCGCAGCCCAAGCACTGGAAAAGTTGATGAGCACGTTCTTCGACGCTGGTGCATCTTGCTTTGTCTCACAACTAGCGCGCCGCTAGTGCACGGCGACACCGAGACATCTATAGATGACGGCAATCGATTCTAGTGAACCGCTCGACCAAATAGGCTTTCAAAGGAACAGATGTTAGAAAATTGAAGGTGCATTTCATTTGTGTCTCCGTTTGATAACGCCCAGGGGTCTTAGAGCCTCGAGCGTGCAGGCGCAGCCCAAGCACTGGAAAAGTTGATGAGCACGTTCTTCGACGCTGGTGCATCTTGCTTTGTCTCACAACTAGCGCGCCGCTAGTGCACGGCGACACCGAGACATCTATAGATGACGGCAATCGATTCTAGTGAACCGCTCGACCAAATAGGCTTTCAAAGGAACAGATGTTAGAAAATTGAAGGTGCATTTCATTTGTGTCTCCGTTTGATAACGCCCAGGGGTCTTAGAGCCTCGAGCGTGCAGGCGCAGCCCAAGCACAGGAAAAGTTGATGAGCACGTTCTTCGACGCTGGTGCATCTTGCTGCGTCTCCCAACTAGCGCGCCGCTAGTGCACGGCGACACCGAGACATCTATAGATGACGGCAATCGATTCTAGTGAACCGCTCGACCAAATAGGCTTTCAAAGGAACAGATGTTAGAAAATTGAAGGTGCATTTCATTTGTGTCTCCGTTTGATAACGCCCAGGGGTCTTAGAGCCTCGAGCGTGCAGGTGCAGCCCAAGCACAGGAAAAGTTGATGAGCACGTTCTTCGACGCTGGTGCATCTTGCTGCGTCTCCCAACTAGCGCGCCGCTAGTGCACGGCGACACCGAGACATCTATAGATGACGGCAATCGATTCTAGTGAACCGCTCGACCAAATAGGCTTTCAAAGGAACAGATGTTAGAAAATTGAAGGTGCATTTCATTTGTGTCTCCGTTTGATAACGCCCAGGGGTCTTAGAGCCTCGAGCGTGCAGGCGCAGCCCAAGCACAGGAAAAGTTGATGAGCACGTTCTTCGACGCTGGTGCATCTTGCTGCGTCTCCCAACTAGCGCGCCGCTAGTGCACGGCGACACCGAGACGGACGCATCTGCCACTTTGCCGCGTCTCCCGTCGAGCTTCGGACTGTTTGGCACTCGGCGGGGGGGGGGGGGGCGGGGGGCGGGGATCTATTGAAGACGACGTCGTGCGCGAACCTCGTCTTATAGGCGGTGCTGAGGCGACACCTCGCTGTGCCGGCGTGTGCGCGCAGCCATCCGAGCGGACCGACTCGCGCGCCCGCTTTCTAGACCTCCGGAAGTTTGTAGCCAGCCTGATTAACACGACTGTCGGTTACGGCGAGCCGGGGAAGCTTGTTGTAGATAGAATACAGACGAGGAACGGAAGTGGAATCGAGAGCAAAAGCGAAAATAATGCGAAAATCCTTGGAATCGTGGTTGGGAGGTGGCACCGTAACGGCGAATTACGTGAGCACCGAGCTGCTGTCACGGGGATGCACGTTACTCTATGACGTAAATGCCCTCGGGTTTTTTACATCGACTATTCAATGTTTTGGTGATGGCCACCTACGGTTCCCACCTGGAATGGCACTACCAGAATTATCGCTTGCAAACGACGAGTTTGATGGTGCGCCTAGACAGCACGGTGGAATCTAGGAGTCGGCACGTCCTTAAACCAACACCGTCAAGGTTGACGGCTCGACGTTCTCATTTCCGTCGATTAAAGTTTTAACTGGCGAATGTAGCCAGTAGCAGAGGCTGACTGTGCCAACACTTTTGGTCACACACGTCACCCACACTGTCGGTCTGCTCGTGTGTTTCCCTTGGAATGCGGCATCGCCTGGTGAGTGCAGCCCATGTTCTTGCGTGCAGGCAAGATGGTGACCTGCCAGGTGGTGGGCATTGCCCGTCGCAAGCCCCACGGGCAGCAGCTGGACCAGGCCAACCCAATCCGCAACGACGAGACGGGTCTGTGGCAGTGCCCCTTCTGTCTCAAGAACGACTTCCCCGAGCTCAGCGAGGTGGGTGGTTGGCTTAAACTCCGATCGGTCTCTACGTTACTCGACTCATATTGGGTCAAAATAATTTTTCTTCCCAAAGTTACTAAATTTGCAATCTTGGTCCTTACCATTTTTTTTTTTTTTTTTTAATTTCAAACTGAAAGTTTTTATTGGCAACAGCGAAAAACTGATGCCAGCAGCAAGAAGGGGGTTCACTTATAGGGCAGTAGGATTTGCTCCCAACTGAATACAAGGAGTTTGATGGTGTCAAATGAATGCTTTGGAAACTGGCTCCAGCACCCGTGCAACGGCACAAAGTATGTGCAGCAGAACCTGTTTTCTAGACTGTGTGCTCGACCTGCAATCTCGCCTGCCAGTGAGGTCTCAGCATTGAAAAGCGCGAATACATTGGAACCTTCATTTGCGGATTCCAAAATAACTGTTCCGAATTTTGCGATACTAAATATGGCATGTGGGAAATGGTATAAAGACCGCGGATTCAGAAAATATAATTAGTTGGGGTAGCTTAAGAAAATCGCTGGAGTGCACCTTTAAATGGGTGCGTGAAGGGTGTTTCCCGAAGGTGCTCTACTTGCTTCGTCACATCCGTCTCCGGTGGCAGGTGTGGAACCACTTCGACGCGGGCAGCTGCCCCGGCCAGTCGATGGGAGTGAGGGTGCGCCTCGACAACGGTGTCAACGGCTTCATCCACATCAGGTTCATCAGCGACAAGAAGGTCACCAACCCCGAGGAGAGGGTTCGGGTAAGCCGCCTTTGGCTATGCTCTCAATTCCTCGGTTGCTACATCTGGGCAACCAGGAAACCTAAAGTATTTCGGCACAACCAACACTAAGTTTGTGCATCAGCTCAAGGCAGCAAACAATACGGTAAGTTTGTGCATTTGTTCTGTGGGAGTCGTGACCATAACCTGGTAAATGCATGAACCAGAAATTTAAAAACAATTTCCAATGAAAACTTTGAAGAAAATGTTTGGGTCACGGCGCATGGAATTAATATATTCTCTCGTTCCCCCTTATGTTGAGACCTGCTCTGTGGGCACCGTTGTTGCTGTAGCTCTCTCCTTGTGGTTGAGAGAGTTGTTGTTTTGTGCTTTTTCTTCCATGCTTTACACTTGTTTCTGCTCATCCCAGAATGTGCAGCGAAGCACAGGCAACGCATGCACATCTCTCACAGAGCCAACTGAGCCGCATGGCCGATTTCGTTTTGTTGGCAGTGCACGAAGCCCTTAAAGCTAGATTGGTTAAAGCAGAAACATCAGACTCCAGTTGCCAAAACATAAAGTACCAGCTCCACCTTGTCCTCGGACACGCTTGGTATGAGGCCGTTGCTCACAGCCACCCAGTAATACCAGTTTTCAAAGACACACTGGTTACAATTACAGTTGCTCTCCAGTTTCAAAAGTACCACATCTTGTGTCTAGCAACCACTGTGAACGGTTCCGAGTATGAAGTGCCGAAATATTTCCTTTCTGGTTTATGGAAAGCCTCTTGACATTTCAGGTGTTGAGGTAGCCTTTGCATACTGCCCACTTAGCAGTTCTGGGCTTTCGGGGCTGTCAACTTCGAAATTGTTCGGAGGTTTTGCTGTTTCATTGCACGGTTGCAAGAAAAAGTAAAGCAGTCATTGTATATTGTTGTCTTTTTTTTTTATTAATCTTTTCACGTGCGCTGCATAACCGTCACCGTTCTGCAGTGTAGACCTTGAGTCATAGGTCTGTGCATTGCTCTTTCAGCCAGGAATGATCCTGCACTGTCGCATCATCAAGATAGACATAGAGAGGTTTGCAGTGGACCTCACCTGCCGCTCCTCCGACCTGGCAGACGTGAACAACGAGTGGAGGTCAGAAGCCTTTCCTAGCATGCCTGTTCCCTTCCGCTTCTCTGTCTAGCCTTGTCCTGTCGAGAACCTTCATTGCCACGTGCCACCATGTGTCCGGGAAGTGTGACATTGAGCCAATCTTCGACGAATGAGGAGCCTAACATAAACGGTGCCCTGACACAGTCTCTTAGGTTTGGCGGTGAGACAGACACACAGTTTATAATTGTAAGGCAAATTCTGCGCTTACTGAGGCTAAAAAGCAATTAAATTACAACTAGTACAACGAGACATGTAGTTGGACTAGTTGATGGTGCATACTTGTTTGGTGGGAACAGCGCTAAAAGACGTAGGGCCAGGACGAAGAAGCGCACAGAGAAGGCGCTGACTTACAACTGAAAGTTGATTGCTCCGCAAAAAGGGAAATAAACACAAAAAGGGGGAAGGGAAAAGAGTAAAAAAGGGAAACCAATAACATCCAGCATCAGCCATGCCTACTCACATTCGCACATACCTGACACACTTTTTAATGAAACAATTATGGAGTGATACCTAGTTAAAGCTTAGAACGTTCAGCCTTTCCACTCTCGTGAAGAAGGAAGACCAGCGGAGCTGTACTCAATACGCTGCCGCAACGCGCACGCGCCCGTTTCCCGCTTCTTCTTGTCCGACACGCCGCCGATCGTGGATACGTCTCTGGCGACCCAGAGTCGGGCACGTGACGCCAAACGGGTAATCCACAAACTCCTTCCGGAACATCACCATCGCGCCCGGGAACTGTTCAGCTGGCGTGGAGTGCAGTCGTCGCCGGGCCTCGCGCTCGAGCTTGGCCTCCGTGACACGATCGTCGTCCGTGGCATTGGCCCGCCGGTACCCTTTACATCGCTGGTTCTGTTCTTGGCGGCGGCTTTCCAGGCGAACGATGTGCTCTTCTTTGGCAAGAGAATCTTAAGCGCTCGACGCAGTGGAAATTGAGGCGACAGCAGCTTTGCGGCGGTTATGCACCCATTCGCGCTGCTGCGTACGTTGCCGCTCCTTCCGCAGTCAGTCTTCTTTCCCCGAAAGGGCACGCGGCCGACCTATCCTGAGTAATCCTAAGTCCAAACCGAAACTGATAAGACAGTAGGAAACAGCGCACAAAACAGGCGAGGACGAAGAAACACACGTCACGAGCGCTGCGCTCGTTACGTGTGCTTCTTCTTTGTTGTCGTCTGTTTTTCGTGCTGTTCCCTACAATGAATTCCCACCAACGTGCCGCCCAACTATCCATTCTTCTATGATAGCTGGAAAGATCTTCGCCATCTACCAGCGACGATAGCAACTATACTGGTTGTGTGCTTGCCGCCGTCGCTTATAGATGGCGGTAGCTGTCCAGAGGCGTTTTTGTCGACAAGCGTTTTACACCGTACACGATCCTCGGGAACCTAGCCCTTAACAGCTCCGCTGTAATAGAAAACATGGCAGGTATGAAATGAAATTCAGTGTGACATCAAACATCGCACCCGGTACATTGCATGTGCAAGCGGGCTGGTGTACCAGATCCCCCTGTCCTGTGGCAAGGTGTATATGTTGGTCAGACGGGACGATACGTAAACATAAGGGCAAGGGAACATTTTCTTCCTCCGCATTCTTCGCCCTCGTGGAACCTAATGGTTCTATGTAGTAGGTGTGGCTGCTCGCCATCATGACATGAAAATTTTGTCTCAACACAAAAACAAGACTGCGAGAGAGATAGACGAAGCGTATTTAATGGTGACTCATGGAGCGGACTTGTGTGTGAGCGCACCTTCTGTTGCCCTTGTAGGTGACGAGGTAGATTTCATAAAAAACTGTGGCGAGTATGTGTGACTGTGTAGGCGTAGCTGATGCCAGATGTTATTGGTTTGCTTTCTTTTGTTCTCTTGCCTTCCCCTTTTCCGTGTTTATTTTCCTTTTTTTCAGAGCAATAAACTTTCAGTTGCAAGTTAGTGCCTGTCTGTGTTTTTTCTTCTGGTCCTACGTCTTTTAATGCTGTTCCCACCAAACAAGTACAACTAGTACAATAACTTTAGCCAGATGTGATAAACTTGAATCACAAATTATTTGTAAAGTAATTAAATCGTTACCATAACTGAATCGCTGAAACGTCATCCGGTGTTGCTTACAAACCTCACCTCTAGTCCTTGAACACCACCCCTGACACCTCGGGTGGCTTAGGGACTGCTGTAAGAGTCATAAGCACCCCAGCCAAGTTGCCCGACTACAGGGCCCAGGTGGCTGACTTTTCCACGTGGTGGCGCAGTCAATCTGGCCACGCACACATCACGCCTTGACAAGGCCGATTTGGGGCGGTGCACAGGCAGTTGCTGGTTGGACATTTAATACCGCCGGTGACGCATTGTTTTCATGTTAGTGTTCGTTATCGTCTTATCCTTGTTCAATAAAATGTAGTTCCTTGTTGGCGAAACCGTGTCAGGTATGCAACGAGGCCAAGCGGCCACAGAGTTTCACGAGGGCCCCTGCCTTCTCCAAGAGGTAGCTCCTCTCTGCTTTCAGGCCGGCCAAGGACCTCTACTACGACAACGAGGCGGAGGACAAGGAGAGGAAGGTGGTGGACGACAGCATGAAGAAGCAGAACCGACAAAGTGAGCGCTGACCCGAGCTTACCGTAGAATACCGTGCACCCGCCCATTCCACATTAAGTGCCCATTACCAAATTTGTGAGATCTGAGAAAATATGCACAGTATATTTATATGTAAAATTGATGACCGGGCAAGCGCCCATCCCCCATTTTTTTGCGATTATCTCCAAAGTTTGAGTGGGCGCTTGCCCGGTATTTTACGGTAAGTTGCACCAGATACTTAGCAGCTAAGTGCAAGCCTCAACACACTAACAACCTCCAAGGTTCAAACTTGGAGGAGATGCTGACTGTTGGAAGTTCCAAGTAGCGAGAGAGAGAGACAAACAGTAATGAAAAAAAAGAAGTTATTTTGGCAGCAACTATGGGGTTGCTTTGTCGAGCTTGCTTTCCCCAGTGCCTGGTGTTCGCCCAACACGAGGCCCCTGGCCTTGACGCCCTACATCACCCGTCTCTATAAAACGGAGGCACGGCGTAACATAAAAGGTGTCGACAGTAAGCGGAGCAACGTTGGCTTTACGCGACAAGCCGGATCTTTGTTGAAAGCAGTCTTGAGAAGATTTTTGTGCCGAGCTGGACAAAAGCCTCTCTTTGGGCGACGGGAGTTGAATGCGACGCAGTGTTTGGCTGCATCAGCCAAGCGCTGCGTCATTGCTCTTCTTGTCCCCCTCTGAGTTCTGAAGTTAGCCACTCTGAGTGCTGCTGTTGGTTATTCTCCCCAATAGTATGCTCCTATTTAGGAGATGTAATCTTTTCGTAAAGATAGGGAATTTTAAGTTAAGGGGAGATGCTGCACTTCGAGAAAACAAAAAAATTATTCTTTTTTTATTGTGTTTTTGAAGGTTGACAGGCATTTATCATCTTGTCTGAAAATATTTTCGTGAAAAAGATCTCTTTTATCTTAAAATATTTACTTAAAAACATAGTAAAATGAGTGTGTGCGTGCTTTTTTACTATTATTTCAAAGTGAACAATCTACACGCTGCTATTTTATGGAAGCCATATCTACATTTGCATGTATCCTATCTTTTTCAGTTTTTTTCATCTGCTAGATGTATATATACACCCAATAAGGTGTATATATATATATATATATGTTATAGTAGCATCTGTTTTTGTTTTTATGTGCTTTTTATATTTCCTGCAATCAATTATTTTGAATGGAAATAAAAAGCGTGCAAAAATAGACGAGGACGAAGGGAAGATGTGAACAAGCGCTGGACTTGCTACTAAACATCTATTGAAAAACACCTACGAAGTAAACCGCACTTTTTGTTTCAGCACGTGTCGAGATAAGCAGTTTCTTTCTTGCGTAGAAAAACTGATGGTTGGCTGACGCATGCATCTTGCCCCTCTTTTAATATTGGATACGCTTTCAATAATGACTCATGCAGTAGATGCATGCGTCAGCCAAACATTGGTTTTTCTACACAAGAAAGAAACTGCTTATCTTGACATGTTGAAGCGATACTGCGGTTTACTTTGTTGGTGTTTTTCAATAAATGGTTAGTTGTGAGTGTTGTTTGTATCTTCCCTTTGTCCTTTTCTATTTTTGCGTGCTGTTTATTTCCATTCATCAGGAATCAGCTCGACTACATCACGACACTAATCCAATTATTTTGAAACTGGAAAATTAAATCGTGCAGTGATGGAAGTGCTGCGCCAAATTGCGCCATGAACGAAAGTCTGCTACATCTTGCACCAAAGTGTTATTTTTGCTAAGAATTGCACCACACCTGCACCAGAATGACGTAAGCAACAAAAAAAAATCATTATTGGTTGATTAACATTTAGAGAAGTAGGAGGAAAGGAAAATGGTACAAATATGTATTTAACGGCGTCTCTACTCTAAGGCTCGGAACACATGCAACCACAAACGCATACTAAAAGTGCAAGTCACGGGACATTCGCTGCACTTCATTCGTTTAGAGGATAAAAGACCACGCACAGGAAGGTGGACGGATGCCACAATGTCGCGCTTTGGCACTGGTTGGTCTGGTTTACTCGGAGCGGCGGCTGCGCTTTAAATTAAGGTGAAACGAAGTATTGAGATTGCTCGTCAACTGCGCTGGTTGGTTGGAGCACCGGCAAATTGATTGCCGACATCATCTAAATTTCCAGCCGATGTTGGAGATGTGAGGAGCTATCCTAGCCATAATGTTCGCAAATGAAACTTTCAGTACTATTAGCAAAACTTATCAGGGTACATCTAAACCAAGTACATATTGGTAGTCGGATTGTGAATGCAGCTATGCCATGTCATTTCAAATGGGATCACGAGTCTAAAAGCAGTGCTCACACCGCAACTGTCCAGAGGTGTACAGTCGGGGTGCGAGCAGTTCTGATGTCCAGACTCATGCCACCCCTCGAATGTTGCAGCGTACGTCAAGCGGGTGATTGTGCACCCTTCCTTCCACAACATCTCGTACAAGGAGGCCGAGAAGCTGCTCAGCACCATGGACCAGGGAGACGTCATCATTCGCCCGAGCAGCAAGGCAAGCTATCTCTCTCCTTGTCGCACCCTAAAAGTGCAGCCAGAGCTCTGAGCTGTCCTTCCTACTCGTTGTATGGTACCTCGGTACCCTGTGAATAACCCTGAAAGGGTGCACTAACCGAGGTTTTTGCAGAGTTCTTCTTGACAGGGTTGGGGAGGGGACCAGATTTCATTAAATTTGTCATCGTCACAATGTTAGCCATGCAGCAGTATTCTTCCGCATGCTATAGACCCTTCGCACCCATACATCAAAGGGAATGCTGGGAACACAGGTACGCGCGCTGCACATTCTCGCCTTTCCTACATAAAAAAATTCCAAGTAAGGCATTTGTGGGATGGCCGTGCGTAGTGCCACTTGTCTTAGATTTTTGCTTTCAAACAGTCGCTGCTGTAGGCGCCAGCACGTGCAGTGCGTGTACTTAGGTTCCCAACATTCTCTTCGATGCTCGGGTAATTTCGGTGAAAGGTCTATTGCATGTGTCACACTGTGTTCCTGGCTCGCCTGTTTGCTAAGACTCCTTTATACTCTGCTGCCTTTTCTAACGTCTTATGCTCTTTGGTTAAGAAACACAATTAACGGAAACTTGCAGGACGTAGAACTTGAGTGCATTAGGGAGCTGGGCATTAGAGGTGCATTTGCATTGCAGAATAAACCGTCGTTGGACGTGTGCTGTCCGTTGAAATGCAGCTTGAAGCTCTTCTTTCATCTTCAAAGGGTTGGTAAAATGGGCAAGGTTCTTTTTTCATCCCCAAGGGTGTGGACCACCTGACTGTCACCTGGAAGGTGCACGAGGGAATCCTCCAGCACATCGACGTAAAGGAGCAGGGCAAGGAGAACGCCTTCAGCCTCGGCTCATCGCTTCTCATCAACAACGAGGTCGGTCGGCTTTGGCCTCCGTCTTACCTGCTCGAGCATTTATATTCTCCCCCTTCTGTTAGTGCCTGATTTCAGTTTCTCATGTAGCGCTGGAAAAACAGAGCCTTTGCTCTATTTTTCTAGAAAAGAACTCGATATGCATCTGATGCTCCGACATCCCACGCAACGACATTCTCGCCGTCGTGACATTGCCAAGTTCCTCCATGCGATGCAGTTGTAAAGCAACGTGCAATAGTGTGGAGGTCGCAAACTGGCAGAGGTTTGACTGGTTCCCTTCGAACCTCTCGCAAAGTTCGACAAGGTTCCACTTACGGGCAGTGTTGCTTTACTTCGACGCAAACATTTCCAATTTTGGGAAAGAACAATTTAGAAAGTAGTTTAGTTTATATTTTATAATATGGTTACGAACATTTACGCTATATAAAAGCGGAAATAAGTACTTTTAATGCTTTCGTTCGCGTTGCGAAGCAATACACCCGACAAATATTTCTCTTCCGCCAAGGGGTGTCGACTCCTTTTCAAATTTTGGCACACGCGTACGAAGGTCGAACCCGAGTCGGCACTTTTGTCGAACTTGGCGTTGGAAGGTCGAGGAAATCTAAGCGAGTCGAAGGACAGTCAAGCGACATCCCCAGTTGCCACCAAAGTGCCCTGAACGCAACTCCATCCGGTGCGTTTACCGCAAACACAATGCCTCGATTTGCACCAATTGTTGGGCCGTTGCCCGCCGCAGTTGTCGCAGCAGCGGAGGTGACCCGCTCTGCCGTAGGTTCTGCAGCTTGGCAGTCTACCGAAAGCTTTGGCAGCCAGGAGTTGGAACGCATTCCAGGCATCGAATTGCCACTGCCTTAACAGTGAAAAGGCCAATCTCTTTTCGTCCGGGCCGTACCAGGAATTCGAGGACCTGGACGAGATCATAGCGAGGCACGTGCAGCCCATGGCCGGCTACGCCCGGGACCTGACGAGCTTCCGCTACTTCCGGGAGGCCGAGGGGGGCAAGCGGGAGGTCCTGGAGAAGCTGCTGGCCGAGGAGAAGAAGCGCAACCCGTCCAAGATCCACTACGTCGTCTCTTCCTGCCGGGAGTTCCCGGGGAAGTTCCTGCTCTCCTACCTGCCCAGGGTCAAGGTGGGTGGGCTCACGCATTCAGCTGGGCACCGGCGGGTCCTCCACCAGTCGTGGGGGAACCCACCGAGCAGAAAAATCGGCGGCCGTATTTGGATCCGTCGATTGAACCGTTGTGTGCGGAACGGCAATGGACGAGAGACACGGTTTCGTGACATTTTAATTCTACGAGGAAATTGTCACGAAGGAACGTCGTAACGAGCTTCGTGAACAGGTGACACGCCGGGAGTGTTACGGACTCGAGGTTTGATACAGGGTATTTCGGCGAAGGCTTTCAAAGATCCCTGAAAATGGGGTGGTGGAGAAAAGAAGTCTCTTTCCAGGAACGGACTGCCACCCACGGTGGACGTCGGGAATTAAGAAACCACAGACATTCAAACCTCGTTTCAACGAAACGGGGTTTTCAATGATGTTGTGCAAGTTTCTCGTTGGAACCATATGTTTTTGTTTGCTAACTAAAAAGTTACTTAGTAAATTTTTGTTTATTATTTAGCTTATTGGTATGTTTTCTGCGATCCATGACGTCTGCCATGGCTGGCCGTTTGTTCCCGGAAAGGATTCTTTTTTCTCTTAGCCACCCTATTTTAAAGGATTTTTCAAATCTTTTTTTGAAACACCCGTATAAAGCTTAAACCTAAAGTTTGGGCCCCGGTGGGGCTCGAACCTAAGTCAATGTGGTAGCTGTTCGATACTTTTGGCGGTTCCAGCAAAATGGACGGCGTAGGTTCGTTCGCCAGCATTTTCGAGCGAATGAAATATTCTCAGGTCCCGATGGTCTAAAGACGAAGCCGTGAAAGTAGGCTAGAAAGCATGTAGTGAAAAGCGCCAGTAGCTGCTAGTGCAACTGGTCTGGAAGGGTAAACCATTTTTATTTGAATGCAAACTTAACGGTGCAGGTTACAGATTTTGGGTGATACCGTGTTTTCCGGACTATAGTCCGTGGACTATACAGGAATTTTGTTTTTCAGTATCGTTGATTATGACAAGACGCGACGGATTTTGTGAATGAAAGGGTCTTTTAACGATGATTTGTGTATAATACAAGCTTCTTTGTGAGCTAAGAAAGCAGACATCTGTCAAGGTGTGCCGTCTATGAGAAGATTTTCCTGCCGACTAAGCACCAGGTGTGGACTAAGCACCAGGTACGGACTATGCACCGGGTGCGGACTATCTAAGCACCCTGCAGGCTATACACAGGGTGTGGACTATAGTCCGGAAATTATGGTAATAACATCCCCAATAGCCGAGTGGCAGTATCCACGTGATTGCTGGCACCGACCCCAAATGCTAAAGCCCAAAAGGCAGAACGGATCCACAGAGATGGAAAGACGCAGACCTGTGCAAAGCATCCTTTCTGACATTTCCCTTTCCACTTTTTGGTCCCTCGTCCTCCTCCCAGGCGCGGCACGAGTACATCACGGTGACACCCGACGGTTACCGCTACCGGCAGCAGATGTTCCACTCGGTGGGGTCCCTGTTCCGCTGGTTCAAGGAGCACTTCCGGGACCCTGTGCCGGGCACACCGGGCAGCGCCACCAACGCTCGCACCCCAATGGGCCAGTCTTCGTACATCGGAGCAACGCCAAGCATCAACATATCGAGTGAGTTTGGATGGCCGACCTTCTTCTCGAGCCTCTTTCGGCATCCAAAACAGGAAGGGAATCTACGGGACTGTGAGACAAGGCTCATATCCAAATTTGGTAACTGTTTGTTTTTTTAAAGCAATAGTTTTATAGGACCAACCACCCTCGTAGTCATGTCCTCAAGGTCACGTACATGGCTGAAGTGCAAGGTCGTGTAATCAAGGTCACGTAAGCGCCGGTCGCATATGCTTTGTTGACTAAGTGCCGGCTGAGTAAGCTTCGTTGAGTAAGCGGCAGTTGCGTAAGCTCGTAAGTGCCAGTACTTGAAGCTGACATGACTTGAGGTCGGCCTAGATGTCGTTCTTGACGTCCTCCTGGACGTCATCCTCGACGGCGTCCTTGAGGTCGTCCTAGGTGCTGTCCTTGAAGTCGTCCTAGTGGTCGTTCTTGAAATCCTCCTATACGTCGTCCTTGATGTCCTCCTAGACGTTGTACTTGACGCCGTGTTCTAGGACATCGTCCTTGATGTGCAACACATATTACAACCATTTCATCACCGTACCATTTTTTTTCCTAATTGTTTTCACTAACAATGTTCCTGTAAAGCTACCGCGTTTCATCGCGTTCCATCGAATGAATGTGCATGTAACTTTTTTTTTTAGATTCTAGCTGACGATATCTTTCTAGCCGTGGTCACTTTTAAAGGCAGAGACACCCCCAAAGGCATTTGTTTTACGTAGAACTATGTCTTTCTCTTTGCTTAGAAGGAGGTGCAAAGTTGGGAGCTCGGTGTCGCGAAAACTTGGTTATGGAAGTGATGTTTCTTTTTTCTGCTGCCCTATAACCGGAAGTGTCGTTCGTCCTTCCGCGTTCCCCCCTCGACAATCAGGCACACACTCTCAAATTTTGCTCCGTGCCGGCCGTGCTTGCGTAAGCAGACGAAGCATCAGTAGCAAGCTTCAATATGTTGTTTGTTCACTGTCCTGCTTAGACGTTCCGAAACACTTTCAAAAGCGGCGCAATGGAAGACTACATGCAGCGGATTTAATGAGCGACATGAAGGGGGATGTCGCGTCATTCTGTGCCAAGAAGTGCCCCAGCACTGGCGCATTTGAAAGTGGCCCTTTACACAAGCTTTCAAAGAATAAAGTGGAGGAGAAGGCATGGCTGGAGGCAATTCCTGCAGGACATCCGCTCGGTGCATGCCACGCGATCTTACCAGTCTGTGTCGTCGAGGCGCCACAGAGCCGAAGCAGGCAAAAGTACCGACGACGTCCTAGTCTGGATCTTCCGGCTTTCGATCGGGCGTCTCGTACGATACCAGATTCAACCTCTGCCAACGTTCAACTTCTCAAGTTCGAAAGATTGTTTGGTGCCGAAGAAGACACCCAATCTTCCGAGCCATCACCAACATCGTGATCTCTCGCGGCACAACCGTCGGGAGACACCATTTTGAGAGATCAAAGCAAAAATGGCAAAGAGACGACATCGACGCGTTGATGTCGCGACAAAGACACTTTCAGAATTTGATTTTGGACATTTCGAAACCAGCGTCGTCGTGCGCAACCCACGTTTGTACAAAATAAGTTTCATGCATGCCATTAAATGTTGTAAAAATAAACTTTGGCAACTTCAAAATTTCTGCAATTCAACCATCGATGACGTTGTGGCTGGTGATCTAAGAAACAATCGCAAGGAGGTGTCTGGTAGCAAAGGAGGGCAAACTTAGATGTTTGCCACTAAAAACTATTTTTGCATCGCAATTTTTGGGAAATTAATGACACCATTCTTAAACTTTTAAAAGAGCACTGACACATCAAATTTTCTTTTTCTTTTTTTTTTTTTTTATTTGTAACGATTGAAAACGATGCCTGGACATCGTCAAAATTTGAAACTTGGGAATTCAGTATTTGTGAAGTAAAAAATACAATTTCCAAATGCCGAATTTGAAGTTCTCGTGCGATCCGCGCCAGTCAAATATTGCGGAGCCCTGCAAGTCAACTTCTTTTCACGCCTCCGCTCTAAACGGCTGTCGCCATCACGACCCGAAGCGAGGAGGCGAGGAGCGGGAGAGAAGTTTGCCGGCGTACCGGGAAAAACCGGTTTTATTTTGTGCGTGCCGTGCCGCCTGCCTATGGCTGCGAGCAGGGTGACAACCGAAACTACGACACACAGACACCAAACCCAGTTGTTTGGACCGTTTGACGATTTCCTTTTTGAAGTTTGAAAGTTCGTCGGGCACCTAAAAAAGACCAGTTTGTGCGATTCCCTGACTCACCAATCACCCTCTGCTATGTGCGTTGAGCGCCGCCATGTTTTGCGAGGGAGGATACAAATCCAGGAGGTGACATCGCACCAGACTCCGATTTTTGATATTTCAAAAAGAAGGGCCGTAGTGCATTCGCAATTGCAAAAAAAGACACGTTTTACGATTGCCTTTGCTGTAGAAATGTCGCCTACAAAACTTCTAAATTTCATGATTATTGACGTTGCAAATCAAATAAGGTGAGGAGCGGGAGAGAAAAACACCAAAAATAAAAAGGCGTGCGCACGCGTGGGGAAATTTTTTTTGTGGTGCGGTATTTTTTTGCGTGTCTATAACTAAAACTTGTATCGTTTTAGACAATAAAAAAAAAATAGGATCTTTGAGGTGTCAGTGCCCCTTTAAGGAGTGATAAAAAAAAAAAAAAAAGAAGAATGGCGAGTATTAGTATTTCATTAATTACTACGGCACTTCGGTCTTTCTTACAGATTATTTGCTGAATTACCTAAAGGAGCATACTGCAAGTGTAGTGACACATGCCAGTGTCTGCAGCAGTAACTGTACTAAAGCAAAAATCTAAAACAAATGGCACTTTCATACCCATTTTGTCAGTGGTTATTTCACACAGAGAAAGCACGCCTGCAGTGCGTCTACCTGCCGTAACATCTTGAGAGATAGCCCACCTTGACTTGAGAGCAGATCTGGATCAAGGAGGCTACTTTTGGACGATGATAGAGAAAAATTTTAAAAATGCCATTTCTGTATTCTATGATTGGCCAGACTTGTTATCACATTAGAGGCGATAAAGCATAGATGACTGTTCTCCCCAGTCAGCTGTGTTTGCTTATCTCCCGCTATAGTCAACTAACCTCAAGGTAACTATTGGCCCGTACACTCCAATTACTAGAAGCTGCGTTTTTGAAAAAAAAATAGCAAATTGTGTCAAAGTGAGAGGGGTTATTTTTCGTGGGTGAGTCATCTCCCGGGACATTGTCACGAATGCGAGGTGACGAAAGAAAGAATAACTGAAGGAAACTGAAACGTTTGATGGGGTGAGTTTGTGCCCAAAACAAAAAGTGAACAGACGATAACAACAGAGCGTCGCAGGCCTCAATGTCGCATAACTGCAGGATCGAACGCTGGGGCGAGACTGACTCCGCTCACCATGCGGAGCCCCTCATGTACCCTCGTGGGTTTCTGGAACATTCGGCGTAGAACTCTCGGCGCGTAGAGCATTCGGAACTCGATGAGACGAGAATGTTCTCGAACTTGCGAGAACACCAAGTTGAAAGAATATATAAGAACATTCTGCTGACTGGAATCAAACCTAGACCTTCCGTGGGACAGTCAAGTGCGGTAACCATTCGGCCATGTGCGCGCTCGCTCGGCGATGCGTGTGGCATTGTTACAGTACGCTTGGCAGTTGGATAATTTGGTAAGAGGTACGTTGCTTTCCTTAAAAGAGTGCCGGGAGAAATTTTGGAACATTCAACTTTTTGCCACGAGACTAAGCACTTTGCAAACATTTGGCATATTGTCCCGAGGTTCTTTCTGCAGGTTCCTTCATGGGTGCAGTCTTAGCACCCGGTGCCCTCCCTACGGTTGGAGGATTTTCTTAAAAACTGGCAGGGACTCTGGCATCCTCTGATTTGTCAAACTTGTGTCAAGCATGCATCGCAGCGAGTTGTGACGCCGCCCAATGCTAGAACCTTGTCTTTCTGAGCTCTGACACGAACTTGAGGGGGCTGCCATTTGGGGAAAAGCTTTGTCCATCTGTTTGTGATTGTTGCCTTGCCCTGCAGACGTGGACCCCCAGGCCATCCAGCGAGCAGCGGCCAACATTCCGAGTCACATGTTTGCCTCCCTGTCCCAAGTGGCGGGGCAGACGCCTTCCTTCACCACCCCGTACGGGGGCACCTATGCCAACGCCTACCCCTACCACCAGGTGGGGACACTTTCCCTCTCTCTGCCTCGCCATTGTTTGGGGAAGGCACAGTGGGGTCGACTCCATTGCAAAGCGTTTCAAAGAAACATTTTTTTTTTTCTCGCGTTGCTAATTATGCTTTGCTGGACTTAGTGGAGGTAGTATTGTATCTTTTGGGACTGTACTGATGCAATATTCTTTATTGACACTGGATTATTAAGTGGCATTGGGAAACCGAGATGTGAATCTGCAATTGTCCACCACACATGACTCAGGTGCAAGCTTGTGCCGGTGTTCTCCGCTGTGTCTATTGAGACACTTAATTCTGCTCGCACCAATCGGTGGGGCAGTTGCAGGCTAATATTTTAGCCCTTCATTGTAAAGGTAACCTGTGGGTTTACATGCACCATGCGGTATTACCATTTCTTAGCATCTCATCAGTCCTTCCAAAGGGTTATAAAAGATTGTGAAAACTATTTAGGTCAACCCATGGGGTTATGGTCACCAGGTTGGTTCCAGCTGGTGGTGGAGCCAGGGACGTACAATGAAAATAATCTTGAGACGGGGAGAAATAAAATAAGGAACGAGACAACTCTTTGTGGTTTACCGTAAAATACCGGGAAGTGTCCACTCAAACTTTAGAGATAATCGCAAAAAAATGGGGGATGGGCGCTTGTCCGGTCATTAATTTTACATAAAAATGTACTGTGCGTATTTTCTTAGATCTTACAAATATAGTAATGGGCGCTTAATGTGGAATGGGGGCGGATGCGCGGTATTCTGCGGTAGGTTACGTTTCCTCTCACGCTTCGCTACTTTAAAATAGGGAATTTTATTAGAGTGCTTTTTGCTTCCCAGTAACGAAATGGAATAATGATGCATGCACCAAGGCGCTGGCAGAGTATCGCCAGAGTCCTTCAATACCAGTCAGGAAACTTCTCCGCTTTGGACAAGCTTGGTGTGCAACCGCGCTGGTGTAAGAGCCACCAATCTAGCCGGCACCTGTGGGCAAATAAGCTGAGCGTCACAATTTAGAACCCGCTCCGAGTGAGCCACCCACAGATCGCATCGTTGCACTCACAGTGGTTCTCTATAACGTCCTGGGCTCTGTACCACCAATCAACTGCTCAAACTTCCATATCTGCAACAGCCTCCAAAATATTGTCATTCCTTTTTCTCAAAATTACTTTTCAATAGCCCCTCACCGTCAGAATACAATGTCACAAGTAGTGGCATTATGTAGAGGCACTGTGAGCCCAAACACTCATTTGCCTAGCTTTTTTTTTCAATTGCAAAGACATAAATTTGTTCGAAAACAACCGAAAGAAGCATATTTGTAAGTTCAGTTGTCAGAGAGATCTATAGAGAATGACTGTTCCTTGCATATGGCGATTAATTACAGGCGTAAAAAACTTTCGGTGTTCGAGAAATTGACTTTTATTTAAGCTACTCGCGATTGCGCAGTTGGGCCGACTTGCTCAGAGTGGAGCGGCCAAACGGAAACAAACCCTTAGCGACAATGGCGCACCCGGCGGCAGCCTTGGCTAAATGACCAGTGGCATATTGAAGTTTCGTTGTCGGAGTTGTGGGATGGACCCGCTGAAACTCCCCAGTACGCCGCGAGTGTCGACCTAGCTGCGGGTGACGGCAGCCGTCGTATCCTCTTTCGTCCTCGCAGCCGTACACGCCGTCCCAGGCGGTGGCCACTCCGATGGTGACGCCCTCGTACCACGCGGTGGCGACGCCGTCCCAGGCGGTGACGCCCCGCTACCCGCAGACGCCCCAGACCTCGTGGGGGACCCAGCACCCCACCACGCCCCGCGGGGCGCACACCCCGAGGCACACCCCGTCCGCCATCCCCGTCATGCAGGCCAACCCCATCCCCACCGTGGTCTCGTCCGGTCCAAAGTGAGTCTCTGTCTGTGCGCTGGCGATCTGTGTGCTTGGCGTAGACACCTCATCGTCTTCCAGGGACGCCCAACTCGTTAGATATTTAAAACGACCAAGTGGAAGCTCGAAGGGAGGGGGGGGCGTGCATGAGGCAAACCAAGCGGTGTGCTAAACAGTTTTCCCCGAAGAGGTGGTTGCTCTGTCCTTCCAATGACCTCGCCGTCAGCCAACTAATGAAGGAACGCCACGAGGACGCGACACCCAGGAAACAATTTAGGAGGATGTTGCAGCTCCCCTGGCCCTATGCATTTCCAATGGCAACTTTTCAGTGCGACTACTTGGCTACCGCCAGACGGATTGACTTCGAGATGGTTTTTATTAAAGAGATAATGAAAAACTCGTTCGCAACGTGGTCACACTTTTCCCAGTTTTGGGGCTTGAGATTTTCTACGGGAGCTTCAATTCCTTCAAACTGCCCCCTTTTTCAACCTGCCATTTATGACCACTTGCAAAGAAAACGGAGGCACTAACGTGTCCTCTGACAACACATTGTGCGAGGTAATTTATTTCTTAACACATCTCGCACAAGATCTTGGTTCCGTGTATTTTAATAGGGAAATAAGTCAATCAGATTTGCACTCTGGGTGAAAGCCTGAAAATTGCTCCTTAAGCAATTTAATTATCTGCCCAGTGGTGCCATCTGTGAGCAACCCTTCATAGTCATTTCACAAACAAGGGGATAGAATGCCAGGTTATCACGCATGAGGTCAGTGTTTCGATTAGCCTCCTCGGTGGCTCTGAGGTAAAGCACCGGCCTACGGACCCCATGTGGCGGGTTCGAATCCCGGCCGAGGTGCTCGCAATCTGACGGAGGCTCATTGCGGAGAAGGCGCCGTGTAAGCGAGCTCTCGGTTGCACGTCAAAAGATCCCCAGGTGGTCAAAATAATCCTGAGTCCTCTGCTGAGGCGTGCCAGGCACCCTTCGTTAGTTTGGCACGTAAAACCCCAAAATTTGATTTTTAGTGCTTTGATTATCGCTGTGGGGCACGGTAAAGACCGTATTTTCGTTACAGCATAATGCACTGCTGCAAATTTGGAAGGCAGTCCTAAAGCACATTGCGCGTCCTTTCAGGATGCCGGCAAACCCGTCGGCGGCGGACTGGAAGCGCATGGCGGAGCAGTGGGCGAAACAGCGGCGCGAGCAAGAAGCTCCGGGGCGGGCCGGCGGAGGCGCCCGCACGCCCCGCACCCCGACCCGCGCCTCTCCGAGCCCCATGGTGGAGTCGACGCCCCAGGGAGACGCGACTCCGCTCATCGACGAGCAGTAGGAGACGGATCACTGGCTCCAGCGAGACGACAGGAATGCCGACAAGGATGACAACCAATTGAGTGTGCCCTTTAGCCGGGAAAGAGCGTCTTTGGCATCGCCGAGATCGCCATTCCTGCAGCCACTCCTAAATCCGGCCCGCTTTGTGTCGGTGGAATCTTTGATTTGATCGGGATGTCGAAGGAGATTAGAAAGTGTGGGGACTAATTACTGTGACTGACGGTAATGGGCTACGAGTACTTGACGTCCCCCCCCGACGGCCGCTTCCAAATGTTTGAGGGTTGGGGAGTCCAGGCTCATTTCAGCCTTTGAGTCAAAGTAAGAACGAATTCTCAAACACCTTTTGGGCCGATGGCTGCCCTTAAATATGCCGCAAATTACCGCTTCGTGTCAGCGGAGGAGAGGTGGAAGTTTTCTTCGTCAGTTATAGTGTTCATTGCTTGTTTTCTTTTTGGTTCTGCAAGTGTGCTCAATTGGAAGGGCACGGTTGAGTTTTCAGTCGGTAAACATTTTTGTTTCAAAATGTGCGATTGCACTTTGAGTCCTACGCTCGTTTGGGGATATTTTGAAGACTAGCTCTTGTGTGGGGAAAATGGAGAGAAGAGGTGACAATGCTAGGAGAAATGGAGAGGCATTTTGAGTATGAGGCAATTATATATTTTTGAAGGGCCGTAATGTGGCTTGTCCCACTTTGATGCAAGAGATGTGTCCTTGTGTGTTCTTGCATAGTGATGGACCAAGCTGTGGCTGCACTTTCCTGCTCTTGAATGTTCCGAGGTAGCAAAGGCACACCTGTTTGTGATGTTGCGTTATGACCCGCAGACTTGAAAAGTGGATGTATCTTACGGCACTGTTCAGTTCTTTCAAATGGAAACAGCTCGAAATATGTCCTTGGATGAACTCCAACTCTTATCACGAGTGTGTGATGTCGTCGAAATCGTAGGAATGTGCACATTTGGCAGATCACTCTGCAGCAACCTCGTTAACATGTTGCAAAAACTGTGCTGATAGGCTGAAACCTGCCTTGTAAATATGAATTTCATACATGCAGTATTTAAGCTATGTGACATTTCTTCCTATCCCTTAGCGATAGGAGTTCTTTCGGAAATAAATGTCTTTAAACTCGATGACAGTCTTCCTCGTTTCTCGAGCACTGTCGAAACCGATTATAACGAAGTCGCGAAGCGATCACGATTTCCCATTCCCTTTTGCACTTTGTTATAACCTAAGTCAGTTATAACGAAATAGCAAATATAGTGAAGTGATTTCCGATTCCCGTTGACTTCATTATAACCGGTGTCGACGGTAACTAGATTACGTACTGTTACTCTTGTGGCGACGGCGCTATGTAGGACTATGGTGGATGTTTTGCGTACTTCAGCACTGCCAGTATTCCTGAGGTGTCGAGCAAAAATATTCTCTATTTAGGTTTTAGGGCCTGGAAAAGAAATTGGCAGATAATTTATCCTTTAAATGTTACCTTTGAAAATTAAAACGGCGCAAAGGACGAGAGATTGGACGAAGAAAGACACTGCTGACTCGCATACCGACTTGCCCAAGCTTCAAGTTTAAATGTTGAACAGCGTTGCCACACTACGGAGATATCAATATTTTGTACAGAAAGACTACTTTATTTAAAACGAATTGAACGTTCACCAAATTGTACCTGGTAGTTGTTGAAATGTTGCGGCGTCGGTTGTCCCACAAAAGCGGCGCCACTCTCTAAAAGTATGGTGCCAAGCTGCATGCACTCGCTGCTTGTCAAACTCTGCCAAACCGGATTTTCCTTGTCTCCCGTGCAACTCCTACACCTGGGGTGTAGAAAGAAAGACGGGGAGAAGGTGCAAGACAGAGGAGAGCGGTGAAAGTGGAGTCGCCTCCACTCGCGTCGCCCTACCAGTGCCGAGGTTTCTTGAATGGCTGGGACCTGGGGCGTAACGTGTGGACGCCGCCGAGTTGACCAAGGGGCACAGTACGCCAGCCTCGCCATAGCCTTGTCCGTGCTGGGACAAATGACGTCGCGAATGCGCAGTCTCCCGTGACGCATCACGCGCTCTACAGCTATCGTTGATCTTATTTAACTTCTGAACTGGAGAGGTATATTTCAGTTTTCATTTCAGTATCCCTTTAAAGAAGACTCGGCATCGTTGGTGTTCTAATTGATTAGCTAGCCTAGACATTGAAAGAATAGAGCTGCACTAGAAGGGAAGCACGGCGGTCATATTCCGATTAATTTTTCGGCATTGTTTGGAGCAACTACTGTCCACTACTACTTGTTATTGATGTACTGTATGAAATCTAAATACGTTCATATTTTTATTTAAATATATTTTCAAATGATGCAGCCCCACTGGGAGTAGGTGAAAATAATTGTGCACACCATTAAAATACTGTGAAACCTCTAATGTTTGCAAGTGAATTTTGCAACATGGAAAATTCGTGAAATTTAGGGGGCACGAATAATTCTATTTTCTATAGACTGGCGAATTCCCACCATTAGAATTCGCAAAACTTGATGGTCGCAAATACAACTCGGCTGCCCAGTTCGCGAAAAATCTGGGACGCGAAGATGAAGGGTTTTACAGTATAGCAACATACAAGAATAAACAATGCATGTGATAAATTCAAAACAATAATTATCAATGCCAGGGAACGAATTGTGCAGTGGTAGTAAGCAGACATCGTCAGAGGGTGAATTTCAAATTTCAGTGGTTGAAGGAAAGAAACTATATTTAAACGAGTTTGTACATGGATAAAAATTCAAAGTATTAATGTGGTGGTAGCTTCCTGAGGATGATACGATTAGAAAACTTAAACACCTATGTAATGATGTCAAACAAGTAGTTATTGAAGCGATACAGAAATTTTAGGCATTCGGTGTTACAACATGCAGAAAGTGGGGAAAGAGCAGCAGGTAAAGTGTGCTGCTTTCTCTGGATATATTAAAACTTTTGGATATCAGATTGGGAATCCAGATAGAGCTGTTTTTAATGACTGATTCGAATAAAGTTTGATAAGGCTGAAGCTTTGTCTGTTGTATGGCTGAACGTATCTGTCTTTTAATAAGTGCTTTGTTGCTTACGAAAGGAATGCATTTTGACCAGGACATGTGTGAAAAGACCCAGGTACCTATATTCACCATTTCAGGTTTCAGGAGTGCTCAGAAGTGCGCCTCGAGCTCCACAGCGTCGAGTTCTTCCGAATCTCTTGCGAAACAAGAGCAGATGGCTCGCCTGGAATGCCGCCGAGAACAGAAGTGGGTCAATTGACGATTGTGCCACGGAGCCATAGTACAGCTTCGCTGGTCTTCCTTCTTCACCAGAGTGGAAAGGCTGAAAGTTTTTACAGCGGAGCTGTTAAGGGCTAGTTTCCTCGGTTTCGTATACGTCGCCAAATCAGTGTCAACACATAACTCTGGACGGCTACCACCATCTATGAGCGACGGCGGCAACCAGACAACCCGGTTGTCTGGTTGCCGCCGTCACTCATAGATGGCGACAATCTTTCCACTGTTGTATTCATCAGAGTGGAAAGGCTGAATTTCTCTAGGCGTTGTCCTAGAAGTCGTCCTTGAGGTCTTCCGAGAGGTTGTTTTCGAGGTCACCCTAGAAATGATCCTTGAGGTTGTCCTAGAGGTCGTCCTATACTTCGCGACAACTTTTCTTGGCAATGCAGTGGAAGGTACAGGCCCGCGTCCCCTCTTCCATTTTGTGTGTACGCAGGCTCTCCTCCTCCCCCATTTCCGGGGAGAGGAGGAGAGCCTGCGCACACTCAAGATGGGAGAGGGGACGCGGGCCTGTACCTTCCACTGCATTGCCAAGAAAAGTTGTCGCGGAGTATAGACGACGTTCTCGGGGTCGTCCTAGACGTCGTACTCGAGGTCGTTCTAAAAGTTGTCCTTGAGGTCGTCCTAGATGTCATTCTCCAGGCGTCGTCCTTGAGGTCATCCCACCATAGTACAGTTTCGCTGGTCTTTCATCACTAGAGTGGAAAGGCTGAAAGCTTTTTTAGGGTCGAAGCTCCTTAGGGTCTAGCTTTGTCCGTCCGGCGTCCGTGCTCACATCGATCTTGCTGGTGCTCGTGCTTGTGATCGTGCTCGTGTAAAGCAAAGAAAAATGATGAAAAAAAAAAAATGTTAGCTCAGTCGACAGGATTTGAACCTGTGCGGGGAGACCCCAATGGATTTCTAGTCCATCGCCTCAACCACTCGGCCACGACTGCGGGACGAGTAGGGGGCTTTGAGATGTGGTAGTAAATCAAGAGCTGGGGATGTCGTGGATGAAACGTTGCATGGGCGTTAAAGAACACAGGAAACAAACTACTCTAGCAAAATTATTGGTTCTTCAATGCTTCTGAACACTGACTTGATTTAGGTCTAACAGAGGTCTGTGAAGTCTATTTTACCATATAAACAATGTTGCTGAATCGCGTTAAACTTTGCATGCATTGGCTCAACGTTTATAGACGAGAGGGTGCTGCGGTCAAATGCGTATATAACCACGTTCCATACCACACATTCTCTTTCTGACATGGATGAAAACGAACGAAAAGCTCGGCATGCTGCAGCTCAGCGTCTATGCAGACAAGCACCACCGGAGCTTCACCCCAATCAGCATCATTCACCATGTGGAGATGCAGTCATTTTTTTTAAATGGTTTATATCCCAAGTGATTCACTCATCCTGTCAAAAACAAATAATTTAAAATTAAGTTTGTGTAATACTGTTTATGCACCGAAATGGAAAAGCTTGTGGCACTGCAAAAAACCGGGGATTGCAGCACAATATTTTAGATGGGTTGCAGGGTAGCAGAGTTTTGGGAAGCCCTACGTGTTAATCCTCCACCAGGCCACAGAATGCGAAGGGAGGCTAGCACGAATAAAAATGGTGTTGAAAGTCAAATTTGGGGGTCTTACGTGCCAGACCAACAAAGGGCATCTAACCTGCCGAAGTGGAGGATTAATTTTGACCACCTGGGGATTTCTTGACGTCCAACTGAAATCTCGGTTGTCTTGGCCAAAGTGCCTTCTCTGCAATATGCCTCCATCAGATAACGGGCACCTTGTCTGGGGTAAAAGACTAGTGATATTGATCATACTTGCCCATCAAACTTGAGACCCATCTTATGGTCCTTGCATTCACATGCGGATGTGCAGTGTGCCGGATTATTGGACCGATATGGCCGATTTGCCTGAATCAGACGACGTCCAACATCAATCACTTAACCCTGCACCCTTTCTTGAAGCAGCAAGGAGTGGCGGGTTAGCAGAAGGGGCGGTTGACTTGTTGCCGTTATTTGTATTTCGATAATAATTAGACATAACAGAGAATAGGTGTGTAGTGTACGGGGCTGCATGACACAAGATACTGGAATTCCAAGTGGCAATGTGGTGGCTTATGGGCTTTCGTCGGGCACACCAAGCTGGTAGTGCGACTGCTGTTTAAAGAATGCAGGAAACAAACTGCTCTAGCAAAAGTATTGGTTCTTCAAAGGCTTCTGAACACTTATTTGATTTAGGTCCCACAGAGGTCTGTGAAGTCTATTTTACCATACATATAAAGAATGTTGCTGAATAACCCAAAATTTTTGCAAGCAGTATGATGTATTAAATGATTTGAATAAAATGAATTTCCAAGTTGAATTGAATTATTTGGTCAATCATTACTCAGTCCGAATTTGAACGTGGAATATTTGCACACACCCTAATGAAAATTCTTGCAAGTGTGCAGATACTAAAGTGTAGCACATTCACTTGTTGCATCTGCAGTACAAACCACAGTGCACAGCTGGAGACAAATTTATTCACATTCTATTCAACATTTATAAATACATGACTGAGATGGACTAAATTTAAAACGGCTTAATCTCAAGGAAAAATGAGACCATCAACAAAATCTGCAACCGGTAACGTTCCAGGGGGAAACAATATACATGTATTCTTTTGGTTTCTACTTTGCAAGCAGGGACTTTCCAGTCATCTCTGCGGGCTGCGGGATGTTCATGAGGGCAAGAATGGTTGGCGCTACATCGCATAGAGCAGGATTGTGCTCGGGCTTGGCGAACTTGTGTGGCCCGACCATGCAGAAGGGCACCCTGTTGGTCGTGTGGGCTGTGACGGGCTTTCCGTCCGCCGTCTTCATGACCTCCGCGTTTCCGTGATCTGCCGTGACCAGCATGACGTAGCCGTTTTCCACGCAGGCATCTCTGATGCGTCCAATGGCGACGTCAGTCGCTTCGACCGCCTTGACGGCAGCTTCGTACACCCCCGTGTGTCCTACCATGTCGGGCGGGGCGAAGTTGCACATGACGAAGGGGTGCTTCTTTGCCTGGACAACCTTGACCATCTCGTCTGCAACGCCCTTGCTGCTCATCTCAGGCAAGAGGTCGTATGTGGCCACCTTGGGCGAAGGCACCATGCACCGTTCCTCCTCTGCAAAGGCCTTCTCTTGGCCACCGTTGAAGAAGAAGGTAACGTGGGCGTACTTCTCAGTCTCGGCGCAATGGAACTGCGTATGCTTCTTCTCTGCCAGCCACTCCGCAAGGACGTTCTTGGGAACTGTTGGCGGGTACAGCAGAGCGAAAGGATACTCCTTCTTGTACTGCGTCATGCAGTAGATCTTGATGTCTTTGGGGATGACGGCTGTCTCAAAGTTTGGCTTGATGCCAAGGGCTTCAGAGAGCTGGCGAGCACGGTCGGCCCGGAAATTGCAGAAGACGATGGTGTCGCCGTCCCTAATTCGGCCGTCCAGCTCGGTGATGATGGGCATGAAGAACTCGTCCGTCTGCCGCTTGTCGTCGGGCGCGTTGTACAAGGACTGCATGTGCTTGACGAGGTCCTTGGCGTCGCACTTGGTGCCGATGCCTTGGACTAGGCCCTCGAAGGCGATCTTGATGCGCTCGTCCCGCTTGTCTCGGTCCATGGCGTAGTAGCGGCCGATGACCGTCGCCAAGGAGCCGTACTTGAGTTCGGCGATCTTGTCGAGGACCTGCTGCGCGTACTTGGCGCCGCTCGTCGGGCTCGTGTCCCTGCCGTCGCCGAAGAACTGGATGAAGGTCCGGGGCACCTTGTGCTCCTTGGCGCCTTCCAGGAGCGCGAAGATGTGCTCGATGTGGGCGTGCACTCCGCCGTCGCTCACGAGGCCCAAAAGGTGAAGCCGACCGGTCTTGGACTTGGCGCGGTTGCAGGCCTCCACGAAGTTCTCGTTCTTCTTGATGTCGCCGGTCTTGACGTCCATGTTGATTCGGACGATGTCCTGGTAGATGACTCTCCCGGCGCCGATGTTGAGGTGTCCGACTTCGCTGTTGCCCATAAGACCGTCCGGGAGGCCGACGGACAAGCCTGAAGCGTCCAAGGTCAGGTACTGGTCGGGAGCAGCCGCCAGTCCATCCATTACCGGGGTCTTAGCGTTGAGGATGGCATTGCCGTGGGGGTCGTCCGAGACTCCCCAGCCATCGATGACGATCAAGCACACCTTGGACATTTCTCAGACTTTCGGAGGAAGCTTGAAACTGCCCGACCGTACTACGATGCCTTCACCGGAGATAGTCCTTGAATACCCTTGACACAGCGACCCCGACCGGCACAAGACACAGCCGAATCGAGACGACCTGTGAGGGGAGCCGGGGAGCGAAGGCAGCGAAGAGGTTGGGTCAGTTCGGTTGTCATCGTGCTTGACACTTGAAGCAGATCACGTGACTAGAAAATACGCTCAACAAGCGCAACAAAGACCCCTGATAAGCAATATTACGTTTGTATACTCATATAAAAATGTTAACGTAAGTCAGATTACTGCTTTAGAAGCGACGTTCAATTGATATAACTATGAGAGTCACTGACCCTGGTAAGGACAAGAGTGACGACGGTGACGACCTACTCGACTTATAAGTTACAACCAAGCCCAAGCCTAGCCAAGCCAAGCCAGCCAAGCAGCCAAGTTCGCCTTCGCAGCTGGTTGATTGATCGCGACCGCCGTTGGCGTAATCGCCACCAGTGATTCATCGGTGTTCTTGAACGAATATTTATCGCTTAAATGAATCAACCAACATAAGCATCACAAGGCGCAGCAAAGCCTTAATCGAGCTTCGGCGATCGACCCATGTTTCAATGGAGCGTGAGCGTCATAGGATATGGTACGAAGTCTGTAGGTTTGGTGTCGCATTGTTGATGTGGTTGGGATCCGCACTGTTCTCATTTTACTTTGTCGCAATCAGACTTACACTGCGCTGCAAGAAAATGACTGTGGTGCAGTCGTTGTGTATTTACATTGACTTGTAAACTGTGCACATACACACACGGCACTTTGGCTTGTGAACTGTGCACATACACACACGGCAGCTTTTTTCCCCCACGCAGAGTGACCTGAGATCTGGGGCACGCCCTTCCCACAAAGCTCTCTGCTCGCCATGATTGGTGGTTTCCTCCCCTCCACTCCAGCGTCCAACCTTTAAAGTGGAGGGCCTTGTGGGAGGAGCTTGTCCTGCTTGGCAACGCTGGTTCTGAGCTGATGATTGATGCCTGATGGCCATCTTTGCCTGCTTGGCAAGCTCCGTTCAAGCAAACATCAACTGTTTATATAGGCTTTGCACCTGACGTCATTCCGTCAGCTCTCCGGCCACCTCCAGAGAAAAGGGGAAGGAGAAATTCCCCTCTCACTGGAACTCTCTTGTGTGTCCCAGACGTTGCTATTCTTCTAGAAGATTATAGACGATTAACTCGTCACTCAAAATTCGTAAAATGCAGCTTCCCCCCCCTCTCTCTCCCGTTGTGGTGCGGAAAGCATGCATACTGATCGTCAGCGCTGTTTGGGAGCTTTTCAGCTTTTTTTTCCCCTTCCCACTGTTCCAGCATGGTGTCGGACTTCTTCTACCCCAACACGGGAGGGGTGGAGAGCCACATCTACCAGCTGGCCCAGTGCCTGTTGGCTCGGGGACACAAGGTCTGCATCATCACTCACGCCTACGGCGACAGAAAGGGAGTTCGCTACATGACGTCCGGCCTCAAGGTAAGCGGCGATGTGCCATCGTGTAAATAGCTCTCACTGACGTGGCATTGTGTGGCATTGTCATGGGCTAACCTGCTGACGCAGTAGCAAATGCTCTAACTGCGATTGGTGTTCGGAAGGAGAGACCTCTCTTGCCTTCTCCGTGACTAATTTGTTCTCATTTTGCTCGAGATAAGCGCCACGTCGCTACATTAAAGCACCACACCGCACAGGGTATTCTGCTCGGAAAGAAACGCTTTAAACAAGTGCCACATTGCTTGTGTAGCGACGGGGCACTTCAAGTTAGAGCCACTGGATAAGCTCTACGCTTCTGAGTAAGGACACTTCAGTCATGGACATAGTAACCCTGGAGCTAGGGGACAAAAAGGGCCGTCCCTTTTTATCACTTAGCTCCAGGAATACCATGTCCGTCCTTAACCAACTTGCCTGCCTACTTGCTTTAACGTCGGTCATCTCAGTGCTTAAAATCAGGGTTGCCAGTCATCTTAACCTTCATCTGAAATGGCAGGAAATAATTTTCCGTCCTCCAGGAACCGCCAAAGGGTCTGTGGAAGAGCAAAAGAGTATTGTCTCTATAGAGTTATAAGAGGTTCAGCCCGTGCTATACTTTGTTCACCCTTAACCTGAGACTATGGTAGAAGCTATGTGCCCGCTTATCCCCTGACCCGTCTCTCCCCACGTGGGTGTGGCCAAGAGCGTGATGACGTGGCGAAAGAGAGGCATAGGACTTGTCCAACAAGGACGTAGCTTCCACTGCAGTGTCAGCTTAGGGGTGAACAGAGTATAGTATGCAGCTTAAAATTGAAGCAGATGGCAGCCGATCTAAAATTGAGTTCTGGTAATGCCTTTCTGTGGGAAAAGGGGTTTGTATTTTTTTTCTACACTCGATTATTAAGGAAATATTTCGATGCATTTTTTTGTAACAGAAAATTTCTCAGTCGTGTAGATAAAAATATTGGCCAGTTAGTTTGTTTTTTTTTCTCTCAAATTAATGGTCTTAAACACCGTGGAAAAATAGCTTCATACGTGCATTTATGTATACTGTCCAACACTGTTAGCACAAGCACGGCATCGGTGCTTTTCTGTGCTTTTCTGTTTATGTGCCAAAATAATGAAAGGCATCTTGAGAGTCAAGAAAGACGTCAAGAACTATGCCCTAACAGTGGATCTGTGCATGTAGACGATCAAAATAGAGTGAAATTCAAGTAATGAGAGCGATTTTCAATAAATAATGTTAGTTTTATTCTCTCTGTTCTAGTGTTCAAAACATCATATCTACACACTTGAAAACTCGGAAAATGGAGGGAAGCCAGAAAACTCTTATCGCCCGATAAAATTGGCACAATAATAAAAAGAGAAAATCCTTTATAGTCCGCATACTCTTACCATTTTACGCATTTTTAACTGCTCGTAAATGGAGATAATTTTAGTAGCACATGAATCTAGCAGATTATCAATTTTACTGTCGTCAGGATGTTGGCACTCCTTGAACAAGCCGTACATTCTTTTAGACTTTTAGTCTTCCTTAGATTCATCACTTTCCTTTACACACTTGCCGTGGAACGTAGTGCTGGGCCCAGAACACTGGGAAGTGAAACATTGCTCACTGATCGCGGAAAAATACTGTAACTAAAGCAATTGCACTTTTATAATGTTGATAAAGTTACCTACTATTTGCTACGACCCGAGAAATAATGGTGATTCCTGCCATTCTCCGGCGAAAGACAAAATGCATGTGCGCTTTCCCATGGAATTGCGCAGGGGCACTGCAAAAGTGGACTGGTTGCTGTCTGCCTTAATTTGGAACCGGACGTCCCATAGACACTAGCACCAGTTGAACCTCTGGCATACATTATGATCCCTGGGTGGATACCCACTCATCTTCGGCGCTGAGGCATCCACAAAAGCGAGAGGCAAGCCATCTCTTGCTCTCGCACGCAGAGGCGCTAGCCTCTGCTACCCCTTTTCTGCTGACAGTGTTTGTTGCATTCTAGAGGGCCGTGTATATAACCCTGCCCAGACCTAAGTATCCGAATGATAGATTCGGAAACTCGCAAGCCCAAGGCCTGCGAAGGTCCGGGCATTCAGCAATTGCCCCTAGAACTAATTTCTATCTTTGTGTTTGGTATACCATGCGAACCTTGCGTGGTTAGAACAGTCAAACAAACGGGCAAAGAATGACCTCTCCGTAGCGCTCTAGGGAAGGCCCCTCAAACATGTAATAGGCTCGGGGAGCCTACCCGGGGAATGTGGTGACAGTACTTTGGCAACTCAGATACCGTTTGTGCCGCCTGCTTCTCAACGCTGGACTCTACAACCAAAAGGCTCTCACTCCGCCTTCTTCATCAGCTTCTACCGCCCCAACTTCACTTGCTCAAGGTTGTGGCTCCATCTGCCGCCGCGATGTAGGCTTTGTCGAGTCCCTACCCCTCTTTAATTTCAAAATTTTTTCCTTCTATCAGCTGTTATCCTTTCTTCCCGTCGTCCCCTCCTCCCAACTAATAATGACCGTCTGGCCTTTGGCTGTGACATACACGGTAGTGTTTCCTTGTTCGCAAGCCTTCTCTCTCTCTCTCTCTCCCTAACTATGCCTTACACCGTATCTAAAGCTCAGAAAGTGGCATTTTTTAACGCTAACAATCGCCAATTACACTTACTCTGCACTCCAAAATCTGCGGTGCCCAGAAGATAATTGGGAAAGGGAGTGCCGACACTGTAAGCGTAGCTCATGCAGTGGGATCTTTGGAGCGTAATGGGATGAGTCGTGGAGGAGGCAGGAGATGTAGTGCAACTCCCATTCCGGACACTAATCGTAGTTAGAGCGCCACTCGGTGTCGTCCTTAGGTGAAACAGGTTCATTGGAGTAGTAACTGGGGTTTTTTGTTTCTGGGGTTTATTTACTCTCGCAGATTCGGGGTTTTTCGGTAACAATGTTTTGGCGTCGGACCAAAAAGGGGCGTTATTGGGACTTAAAAAATATTGAGACACTGGACTTCGGGGTACATACGCCAGTGGCGTAGCCAGGATTTTATTTCGGGAGGGGTTCAACGGCATCTCCTCCTTCCTTCCCCTTCCCCCCCCCGTCAATGATGGAGGACGTGCTCGCCGACACGGACGCTCAGGCAAAGATTAGGGAGACGCTGTTAAGATAAAACAGGTAACGCAGCGAAGAGATCAAGCTAAAAGTAATAAGGAATTGCATCGCATGCCACCTTGACATACAAAGCAGAAAGCAAGACGGACTTCATCGCATTCGTGAGCGACGATTTTCGCAAAGTGAGGGAAACTTCGCAAAAAATAGGGAAATTGTAGGCGTCCAATGCAAGAGGGAGAAACGTGAAGCGCCCATCACATCTGTGGTATACAGGTGGTCGCCCTCTGTCCGGAGGCACTATTTCAGAACGTCCATCGTCTCCTCAAGATGCTGAGCGCTCGTTCTCTTCACTACGGCGGTTGAAAACATACCTGAGAGCGTCCACTTCGAGTGAGCGACTGCTCGGTCTATGCTTCGTTTCAGCTTAATTCCAGACGCAGCCGATGCTACAGGCGTGAACATGTGGCCCTGAACACGAGCGCGCGTGCTTGGCAGGGACGCTGAAAGCCCGGAGCTCGCACTTGTAGCATCGGCTACGTCTGGACCTAAGCTGAAACGAAGTATAGCGTTTTTGAATGTTCACCGCGACATTAAAGTTCAAGCGGAGGATGTCCGGGATATGTTTTTCCGTGAACGCAGGCGGCTTCATTTTAATGTGTAGGCGCTTGGCATAAATGAGATGATAAAGAGAACCTGCAAACTGCATTCTAATATCACTAGTCACAGTTACCTATTAATTCGCGTGAGCGCAGCGCCACCCGTTGCTTACAGCGATTGTTTTTTTAAAAATTAATTTATAATTCCTTACATTACTAACATTTTTTATATTATCACCGTGTGTTCGCTTTATTATGTTCACATTGGTTTGATTGAACTGTGTATTTCAGTGAGGATAGTTTGTCATATTTTGCGTTGAAATTGCAATCCTTCGCCCCACAAATGTTTCGAAATATCCTTTCTCTATATATCTGAGATCAAGTTCCGCGTCCCATGGAATTAACATGAATTAAGCAGTATTGCGTATTTTATTAATTTGAGCATTTTCTACCCCACAAACAATTTTTCCGAAAGCCTGTAAGTTGGAGATGGTCCGCCTCCGTGCTCCCCCGTTGCTCCGTGCCTCGTGCAAAACCGACTGCGTGAGCGGGGCAGCGAGCGGGCCCCGTTGGCGAGGGAGAAGGGGGGGCGGGGGGAGCTTTGGTATTTCGGGAGGGGTTTCGACCCCCCAAACCCCCCCTCTGCCTACGCCACTGACATACGCGGATGCTGAGAAAACGTCCCAGTAACAATAATAAAAAAATAAAAAAAAGGGGAAAATAATTAGTTTAGGGATGTGATTCTGAAGCAATTGAAGCAAGCTTGGGGAGAAAATCTTTGTCTATATAGCTCTGTAGGCAAAAATTTTCTTCCCATGGAACTTGGGTTGTTCTTTATCGAGGAGGGACCCAATAGACCTTTATGCCAAATTACCCAAGCACCTAAGAGCATGCTGCGAGTGTAGTTACGTCATACGCTGGCGTCTGCAGCAGTGACCGGTCCAAATCGAAAGCCTAAAACAAATGGCATCTTGCACGCGCGTTCGTTGACACCTTATTTTGGTTATTTACTTTGAATCTTTTATAAGGGAAGGCGAGCATGTGCGGTGTGTAGACCTACGTTCCCAGAATTCTCCCGATGCTCGGCTAATTTAGAGATAGGTCTATTCGGGGTTTATCGGTTTCTCCCGATCTTCATAAAACCGTCTCGGGGGGTCAATTTGCGGGCTTTGTCGGTATTTATTGAAAACTCGAAACCCTAGTAATAACTAGCGAGACTGAAGAATGTCTTGTGCGAGTTACCTAATACAGATAACTGCAACAATGTAGTCAACCTCGCATAAGTGTTTGTGCGTGATCTGATTCCTATAGATGAAAAAACGAAAGAACCATGTAGGTGCGCATCTCTGCATATGTGTTGCGGGGGCACTGGTGGTCAGAGATTAACAACAGAGAAGCTCATGTTGTTCATGCTTGGGTTTGCTTGGGTTATTGCATAGTCTACATCCTGCACTGATTGCAGCGTTATTGAAGAGTGCTGTCCCTTCTACTTTCCGATTTAATGTCACATAATATTTGTTGCAGGTGTATTACGTTCCCCTGCTCGTGATCTACAACCAGTGCACCTTGCCAACTGTCTTTGTGTCATTTCCACTGATACGGAACATCCTGATCAGGGAGCGCATCACCGTGGTGCACGGACACTCTGTAAGTTCTGCCCCTCGCCCTTGGCGCTCAACTCACAGACGGTTCCTTCATTGTGAGGCAAAGGTCAAGTCGCAGGAGACCTGGCGATCACGCCCAAACAGTAGCAGCACCCACCATTGGTATGACACTTGCACTGCCACCCTTCTGCAACATTTAATAAAAGCGGCGTCGCAAGAAAAATAAACGCTCGAGTGGTTGTGTTAGACCGGGCTCAAAATAAGTGGCATGTTGAACTGCCGTAAAACTAGGATGCTCTCTTCCAAGATATAGCCCATCCTGTTTACCCTGCTAAGTATCCATAACATAAAAATTCCGAAACATTGCACACCCCGCCATTCTTGTCGCACGCTTAATCAAGTGTGCGATCCTCGGTATCGGTGCGTCTGACAAGCGAGTTCGTGGCAGGTTCCTGCGTGTTTATTGCGCCGTGAAACTTAAATTTGTTGCGTCCGCAATCTGCGGTAATCGTTCTCATATCACGTGACAAGGGAACGGATGCCATGATTTGTAGCGGGTGCCCCAGTGTTTACCACTAATTTTTTTATTAAGTTTTCCCGTCGCATCCCCAAAGATAGCAGCCCCCATGTTTTTCACCTTTTATCTCTTCATTTTGGGTGGGTGTTCTTGCGGGATTTTACGGTAGTCTTCATAAAGCATGTGCACGCAGGTCATTCCAAGCTTCTGATCATGGCCTCAGCCAGGTCAAAATTGGTTGTGCTTTACCGTTTCTCAGCGAAATATTGGTGCATGAAGGGGAAGTACAACCCGCTAAGGGATCTCGGTGTGCAAAAAGTAATGTGAGAGAGCCGTGCTGCTGGAATCCATTCCTTATCACTATGCAGGGTGTTTCCGAAAATGCGGACAAAATCTCTCCTGCAAAAACTAAGCATCGCACAGAAAAAAGGTTGATGCCGTAGTGCTTGGTCTGTGTCAAGGGGACCATTAAAGAACATATGCAGAGTGAAAAAAGATTTTTTGAACAGCTTGGGTTGGAAAAGATGTCATACAATGAATTTACAACGAACAAAAGAAAATTTTAGAGCAATATTTACGTTGCAAAACGAATTTGTACGTGACGCCCGCGGGAGCCGCCTCTACTCACGTGGTAGACCTGTGCACCGCTGCCGGAAGTTATGCCAGAGCCGTTCAGCGCCATCGTTGAAGTCCCCAGAACCCCCACACTGCCGCGTGCTGAGCGTGGCGCGCCACCGGTTAAACGCATCTCTCCATGCCGCCATCGCCGTCGTCGCCGCTGCCAGAAGGGAACACTCTGGTGCGCCGCCTCCGTCAATTTCCGATTGGCACACAGGTCTATCATGTGGTGCTTGCACTTTTTAAGGAGCTTCCTTTGGGCTCTAAAAGTTACTTATTAATCTTTGTTTTTTTGTTGCACTTACAACGAAGATTAATAAGAAACTTTTAGAGCCCATAAGAAGCTCCCAAAAGAGCGCAAGTACCACGTGACCGTAGTGGCCACGTTTTCATGGGCTCCCGCTGGCACAACTACAAATTCGTGTTGGGCCGTATTCGCGACTCCAACTAACTGTAGGTGGCGCCACTTATTTTCCAAAATGGCGGTTATAGTGAGGGTCGGAGATGCCTGCTGCTGCTGAGCCTGTCTACAGTGCTGGCTTCACTGAGCGACACAAATTATTTCTGCTAATACGAGGAAGCTTTTGGTGTTACGAGCGCAGGTCACTTCTTTACACTGAAAACAAGAACGGTGTTTAGCGTAATAAGTACGCAAGGATGTGCGTTTTAATTCTGGAGCGAAACCGAAACTAACCTCTATTTTAGATTTAATTTCTCGATATTGGTCTTAATTGCGGATTCTTTTATAACTCAAATATGTGCCTCACATCGTATTATTTAGTTAAAGAAGTTGTTCGCGGAAACATATTTTGTGACATACATGTTCGATCCAGCCTGATATTTGTAGCTGTTGTAGTTGTTGAAAAAAAGCAGTGCTGATATTTGTGCGTTTTCGCTGCCTTTCCTCGCTCGGATACTTGTCATGGAAAATAATGAACTGCGGGTCTTTTAGTGGGTTTTTTGGGTATTTGAATGATTAATTGGTTTAACATTATTCCCAGCACAATAATAAAAGGAAATTTCAATTTTTACAATATGTCACAAAACGTATAAATTAATAAACGGTGTTCTCACTGCAACAACCCAAAGACGGAATCCAAGTAAGACAGCTGAAGTGTGTGTGTGTGTTTTTTATAGCAACGCGTGACGCATAGGACTTTATATTACATGCAGTGTTTGACTGTTTGTCTATCTTGATAACGATGCCAGAGTTTTTCATATGCTAAAAAGAAATACAAAATGATACTTTTCTGGAAAGACTATTATGGCTAAATGGCATATATTTGTGATCTGGACGTTAATTGGGGTATACATTGCAGCCATTTGTATTAATAATAATAATAATAAAATTCAGCTATTTTAATACATTCTTTTTCAAGCTCTAATATAATTTGTTGCTTATGATCTAATTTCCAACGCGCGTAGAAATATGACAGTCAAAAGTGTGCTAATTATCATCACTGGTGCCAAGTAATAAAATAAAAAGAGTCTAAAATCAATGACAACATTCTAGCTAATGTGAGAAATCCATGTAAAATTACATTAGTTGTGGGTAAAGTATATTTTGCTATCAAAGTCGCGACTGCGGACAATCGGCAAAAACGTCCAAAGTCGCTGCCAATATCCTACCAAACAAAATGCCCAAAAGTAAAAAAAAAAAAAAGAAACGTTACTTTTTAATTACTAATTTTTTTCATAACATTTATTTACTTTCATTTTTACGTTCCGTCGTTTTGCCAATCTCAGCCTTTCCAGTTTGAAGGAACACCTACCTGCTTGCACGTCTGTTCAGCATTCCGCACGTTTCGTCGGCGTTGGAAGCCGGTGAAACAGCAGTGAGTTCTAGTATTACGTATACGAGCGAACGCAAGCGCTGTGTGTTTGCGTTAGCTTTGCGTGTTCCACACTGCCCGTGCGCGGAGCCCAAAATTGAGGTCTTGGACGGCGCATGATCATGAGGCGCACGCAAAACGTACGGCACGCAACTCTAACGCAAATGCACAACGTTTGCATTTGCTTCTATGCGCAATACTAAAACTCTCCAGTAAGGTACAATCCCATACCGGTTGCAGCATTACGTTGGGACAGCGAAGAGTGTTGTTTGCATTCGGAAATGACATTTCGCGAGCCATGACCGCGAGCAGTTCCGCCGTGCCCACTGAGCAGGAGAATCGGGGGACCCTCACTAGAGCGGTTTTCGTTTCCGCCGCGGGAGGGCGAGCGTCGAGTTGGAGACGCGAATATCTACCGTAGGTCTAAAATGTTTTTTTTTTTTCCTCGTAAATTTATCTTGTGACATCCTTTTTCCATCTAGGCTGCTAAAAAAGTGTTTTGTTTTCCTTTGCATATTGGTTAATGAATTAATTTTGAGTAATTAAATTGTTGATTATTGATTATAAAGGGATGGTTTCAATTAGAACCTTGCTGGGCATCATCGAAAACTTTTACATTCACCCACATTACAATGATATAAGGCACATGCAGCTTTTTACGGCGTTCAGAAAAAAATGCTCAATTGGGACGCGTCTCTGGGCTTTGGTTTCTTCTCAGAGTGCATCTCCACACGTGCAGTCCCGCCCCCAATATCTAAAACACGCAACGTGCGTGCGCCACCATGCATCGCACGTGAAGGTGCGTCTCCATACTGGTACCAACGTCAAAAAGGCAAACTTTATGTGAACATCCAGGGGCTTTCTTATCTCGCCTTTTCTACGTGCGATGAGTGGCAGTTAATGCACATTGCGTGTTTTCGACACGGGGCGCGGGATTAACTGCGCAAAGATGCGCTCCGACTAGAAACCGTAACCCAGAAACGCGTCCAAATTGAATATTTCTTCGGAACTCCGTAAAATGCTGCGTGCCTTATATCATTGTAACGTGGGTGTATTTAGTAGTTTTCAATGATGCCCAGGATGATTCGAATTGAAACCATGGCTTTAAAATCAATAATTAACACTTTATTTACTCTAAATTAATCACTTACCCAATTATATTGAACGCTAATAATTTTCCTTGACGCGGGCCATTAACGACCTCAAACTTTTTTTGCGCAATGCATAGTCTTCGCAGAAGCGATTTTGCCCGCGTTTCCGGAAACACCGTGTATGCTGTAAAATCCCGTAAAGACGCCCACTCAAAATGAAGAGATAAATTATGAAACACATGGGGTGAGCTATCTTTAAGAATGCGACAGCAAAAAAGTAAAAAAAATAAAATTTTGACACTTGGCTATCCGCTACAAACCACGTGAAATGGGAACTGATCTGAATGCCTTTTCAGGCGTTCTCGGCCCTGGCTCTGGAGTCCATTCTGCACGCCGCCACCCTCGGCCTACGGGCCGTCTTCACGGACCACTCCCTGTTCGGCTTTGCTGATGCCAGCGCCATTATCACCAACAAGCTTCTCTGCATCTCTCTCGCCTACGCAAATCACGTCATCTGCGTTTCTCACACCGGGTAAGATGCGGCCGTATCGTTGGAACGATTGGTCCGCACGGGTGAATCACGTCCCATCGATTTACTGAGTTGCAAACAACAGTTTCATTCTCATTGAAACTGCCGTCAACATTAACTGTACACGAATTATAAAATCGGGTTGCACAAGTGATAGCTAGGCTGTGTGAACTTGTATCGTGTATTTCGCATGAACTTCTACTACCCCACACCTGTCATGGCCCCCGTTAGGGGTGAACAATTTTCGTTAACAAAAATAACAAAATAATTTAAAAAACGATGCCGAAATTGCCGCTGTCATTACGCCGATTTTCGATGAAATGCGTTGGCATTTAGCACGGGGGTTCATTGTCTTTGGAGAACCAGTCTGTTCGCTCGGGTGTCGGCAGTTTCGCGCAAACGGCGTCGTCGCTGCGCCTCGGTTTTATGTTTACGTTGTGCGTACTAGGGATATGCCTTTGCTCCGGTGCCATCATAAGAGGTGTCAAGAGCGTCATTAAAAGTGTGCGACTCTTTCTCTTTTGTGTAAAAGGGAAATTGGACGTAACAAACGAACGAACGGAGCAAAAAAGCACGACGGGAACCGCGCCACAGCCTCACGAAACCCATTCGCCAGTTCAAACCAAAGACGGTTGCATGCACCGGGGCAAATAATGCTAACGCATTTAAAAAAAGCTTTCGAGTACATGTAGGCTCCAGAATTCCTTTCCAGAATCCCTTTAGTCCAAGTGTTTAGTGAGAGAGTGACCTTCACAGTTTGGATTTGACGAAAACAATGCCTCTCAATCATCCCTTCCGCTCGAAGGTTGAGGAGTGTGCATTGCACTGTTCGAGGGTGCCGCAGCAGCTCTGTTCCCCGATTCCAGGAAGGAGAACACGGTGCTGAGGGCCAGCGTTCCTCCGGCCAGGGTGTCGGTCATTCCAAACGCCGTCGAGACGGCCGTGTTCTACCCCGACCTCGCCAAGAGGCCGTCCAACCAGAGTTAGTTCCTTTTGTTCTCACGTTGTTTCGTCCCTTGGCAGGCATTGTCCTTTCCACAACATTGTCCTTTCCACAGACGAGTTGTAGCCGAGATAGTAGCTTTGCGCTTGCCCCTGTTGAAGCCAGGCCTTTTGTTCGAGATAGGGGAACCCAAGTTTTAGTGGTGCATTTCTTGCATGTTGGCCGTTATTGTGATGCTGCTCAAAAAACTGAGCGACCCATGTGCTCCTCGCACGTGCAGACATAAAGGTTGATTTATGTAAAGCATTCCAGAACAAACCCTTTCTCCTTATTTGAATGATGCAGGTGCAACATTACCTGCTAGGTGCAATGCTCACATGTGGACTCTGGTCGACATTAATTACACGTTGCCTGGCACATGTCACTCGGTCCTTGTGTTTCTTCAACCTTTTACTTCGGTACAATTATGTTTCGCGCTTGACCTACTGGCCATTTGCATGCATCGCAGGACTATTGAACAGATGAACGAATAACCAAAAGCAGTAGCAACATATCTGACGCAGTATGTCCATCTTGTCCTCCTGTTTTCAGTCACCATTGTAGTTGTGAGTCGGCTCGTCTACCGAAAGGGGGTGGACCTGATGGCGGGGGTCATCCCCGTGATTTGCAGCAGGCACCCCAATGTACAGTTCATCATAGGTACGTCTATTTGCCACCGAGTGTCATGGCCCGAGATCTTACTTCATGTATGACCCACTTTGTTTAACTCAGTACCTACATTTCAGGGCTTCAGCTTCTGTATTTCAATGACTTCTATTCAATGGATTTTTAATTGTTTATTAACTTTTTAAAGCTTTTCTTGTAACTTCTGAAGTATTCTGAAGGGCAGCTTTGGGACCCCCTCTAGTTCAGAGAATCGATGAGGGACCCCGTTAGCTGACGGGGGAGGGTATTGAACAATAGACCTGTGGGCATAGTTTCGGTTTCGCCACACGTTTAGTTTCAGTTTCGCCTCCGGCGTCCGGCAACTAGAGCCTGCTGAGATATGCCGTCGGAGGGCGCGGGCGTTTGAGTAAACAGTTTCGGGTTACACTTTCGGGATCAGAGAGACACGCCCGCACCGGGGCCAATGCGCTCATGTATTGCTGTACCTTGTGTAGTCAAGTATAATAAACAGTTTTATGTACCGGACATCTCCACTACAGACCCTTTTCAAATGTCAGAGCCATCTAGTGACAGACTAAGAAGCTCCAATGTTGCCAGTCTAATGGCGGTGATAGGAGAACAAGCTCGCATTAATCGAGTACCCTCGACCTTGGGAATCAAAAGCAATGTAAAAGAACCAAGCTGTTAGAATAAATTCCCCGCTTTAGCTTTATACTTTCGAAGACATAGACTTTTCCTGGTGTGGAGAGGCTGCATACTGCTGCCATGAGAGTGTCGGGTTTGGCTCTCGACAGGGTCGCTGAACAGACTTTTGAAAAGGGTCTATTGCAATGACAAAAAAGTAAAGGAGGAAAACTAAACACACGAAAACCAACTTTGAAGCTCTGAAGCGGAGAATAATCAAACCTATTCACTTGACTCGCATGGTTTTGTCTATTTCGAAAGCTTTGCAAAAGAGCCAACATCAACAACAAAAAAAAAGATGCAATTGCTTGGTTTGATTGACAGTCAAAGGGTTTTGGGGACCCTAAAGTGCCCTTTGGGAACCCGAAGGAACTGCGGAACCCCATTTTAAAGCCGTTGTACTAGGGGTTGTCCATACTGAGCCAAGAAACATGAAACAACAAACGGACGGCAAATCCCATGCGTATCGAAGCAGGCGTTGAGGTTAAAGGGGCACTCAGGTGCTTTTTGTAGAAGCTTGTTTTTTATGGCATATTGTTTGTTGGGCTTTAGTCGATATAAATTACCAGTTCTACATGTCAAGACACCCTGTAAACTCGCAGCAATGGGAATACACGGGCACTATTTTCCCTAGGGAGGGCCATCCCCGGGTCCCCACCACCTCCATAAAATTTGACCAATGATCATAGTTAATTGCGTTGAGATTCCGAACGTTACTATTTTGCTCTTTTTAGGCACATTGCACATTATTTTTGGACAAAGATGTAGAATCTTTGGGTGTAGGGGACGTAATACAGCAATTATTGTTTGAAAACGCCATTTGACTGTACCCCTTGGTGCAGGTAGAGGGACGTGTTACAACAATCTCCGATTAGACTTTTAACAGGAAAATCGAACGCCCATGAGTGTAATTTCAGCTTTTTTTAGGATGCTTAGAGCGCATAGACTGAGCCACTACCATAAATGGACGATCTCAGAATTTACTTAAGTGCCCTGGCTCCAGTCCCAGGGCAGTTATCTCGAATGGCTGCAAAACAGTTATTCATTTATTAAGAATATAAAAATACTTCTCAAAAGTAGCTTTACAATCATATTCCTTGTGTTCCTGGGGTTTCTAGGGCAAGCTATTGTAGTAATAGTTCATATTTAGTTAGAAAATTAATGAGTCACTATTGTCACATCCTTTGAATATTTGTCCTCTAACACTAATGTTAGGACGGGGATTTTTGTACATTACATACCTGGTACTATCATGAAAAAGTAGGTGAGGGCCTTTCTAAAACCACTTTTTTTTTGCTTCTTTGGCATGTGAAGCAGAGGATGACGCATACGAAGTTGCCTGCACTGTTTGTCGTGCGATTGTTTTGCACTTATATTTCTTCCACTCAATGTTCTGTGCTTGATTGATTGGCAACTTCCACGGACAACAGTTCCGAAGTAGCGGCCCCACGTCCGTCGCAACATTGGTCCATCGTGCGCCGCCGTTGCATTGTCCAGCCCGCGGTATGTTGCCATATTGAGAATGACGTACCGTAAAGTTTCTAGAGGACGCCCACCCCCGAGAGATCACCCATCCCGTTTTTCTGGTTAAATATCTTTAACAGAAAAATTCCGAAACATTGCCCATTCCCCGATTCCCTTCGGACGTGACTTGATGTCCAACAGGAATCGCATCTGCCGCGTGATCTGCCATATCGGTACGTCTCATATGCAAGTTCATAACAGGTTCCCGTGTTTTTGTCCACGATCTGCGCGCGCGATATCGACTCCCGTAACACACGAGTTCCCGCGTGTATATTGCATTGGGAAATGTGAATCTGCTGCGTCCGCGATTTTTGGTATCTGGTCTCGTATCACGAGAGTTTGTAGCGGATTCCCGCGCTTTTATCTGTGACCTGCGCACGCGATATTGATTCCTTTAACACGCAAGTTAGTCCCGCGTGTATGTCTCATCGTGAAATACGATTCTACTGCGTCCGCGATCTGTGGTATTCGTTCCCGTGAGATGCGAGTTCTCGGCGGGTTTCCGTGGTGTCCTTCACATGGTAAATTGTGAATCTGCTGCGTCTGCAACCTCCAGTAGCCTTTCCCGTGACACAGGAGTTCGTAGCAAATTCCCGTATGTTTATCGCATCGTGAAATGCAAATTTGCAATGTCCGCGATCTGGAGTATTAGTTTCCGCATCACACGGCTTGTAGTGGGTGTCCCGGTGTTTATCATTAATTTTTGATAAAGTTTTGCTGTAGCATCCCCAAAGATAGCCCGCCCCATGTTTTTCACCATTTATCTCTTCATTTTGGGTGGGCGTTCTTTCGGAACTTTACAGTAGTACATGCACTTCCTGTGATCTGTACAACATATTTTTCCATCAACATATTTGCAGCTTCTTGGATGCCACAAATGCCAACTGTGCTCTGTGTAGTTGGGTTCTTATAGGTCATGTTCAAATACAAACCTCGGCGAGCATAAATACCCTGTCAGTGTCCTTTTAATGTTAATTAATATTGGAGGAGAAAAATGAGAAGCACTTGGCACTGTTAACTGGTTGACAATAATTAACTTACGACTGTAATAGCTTGCCCTGGAATCCTCAAGAAGATATGTTTGCGGTGCTACTTTAGGGTATGCATTTTTCTAGTTCTTTTAGTAAATTAATAGATCACTTTGTAGCCATTCAACATGACTGCTTTAAATGTCGCGCCTGCCGCCAAATTTGTTGTTGCTGGGAAGACGTTTGTTGTCTGTTTGGTTGAGCCTTTGTAGACACCTTGTGGAGTAAACCTTTATTGCTGTGGATTGTGCGAGAGTGGGGTGAAAGCTCTTTTTCTCCGACTGGGAACCCCGGTCCCTGTCGGCACATTCAGCGGGAGACGGCCCCAAGCGGCTCGTCATTGAAGAAGTTCGGGAGAGGCATCGACTTCAGGAGAGGATCCTCATGCTCGGTGCTGTCGACCACGTGAGCGTGAGAGATGTAAGGGACACTCTCTTTCTCAGCTCTTTTCTTAAGTCTTTTTTATTACGTTGTACTAGGTCAGGTTTCTGAAGAAAGGGAACGCAACAGTAATGTATTCATTTGACCATTTATTTGCACTTCCAGTTTTGCATATTTTTGTTATAAAGCACCAGCTATTTGTCGTGTTTGGCGAAAACGTGCACCGCAGTTTACGATGTCTCCTACGTTTGAAGAAAGCCCTTCACTCCTTGTCCAAGTCACGCTGGCACATTCACTTTACTTGTGAGCAGCAGCGTGTGCCAAAACCTCGGTTAATGTTTTTACAGCCCCTTTGTTGTTCGTGGCATGTCTTGGCCAGTCTTGGTTCTTTGTGTTCTTTCTAATGGCTGTCAGAATGTAGGTATCTCAAAGGTGCGTGGAATGCAGTATTTAAAAAGTCATAACTTATATTGGTTTCAAGGAGCCACGGGACATTATGATGCACTCAAGAGACAGGATCTCACACGACTGCCTTATCATATCACGTGACATGACATGATGTGACAGTCATATGACTCTCATTATGCGACAGTGTTGTACGAGGTCACATGCCATGGGGTATGTGTAGATGCACAGAAGGACACATTCTTGGGCTTCCGTCGTAAAGCATACCATACCTTAAAGTGGTACTCCTTCCATTTTTTAAGCTACCCAAACAAATTGCCTTTTATGACTACCCGGACTTTAGTCTTCACGGGATGCTATTTATTTTCTCGAAATTCACTATAGCAATTGAGGAAACCGTAAATGATGATGATGCTGAAACAAGCATTCAAATTTCCGCGCGCTCTCCAGTGTTGTGACGTCACAAATGGTACAGACTTTCGGGTCGCGCAGGTATTCTGTAATATGTCGAGTTATGTCGAGTGTTTTTATGTGCTGCTCAGTGAATCAGCTACCAAGCATTCTTTTCTCACCATAAAACGTCTCGTAATCAGTTGGGAACATGGCTTACTGCTCACTTTGTACCAGTTCTGTCGTCACACTTCAGTGTTGCCAGTAGGGGCTCCCGGTTTGAGAAACACGATGAAAACGAAATTCGAAAATTCAATAACTTTGCAAAATGTTTTTCTTTTCCCACGATACTTGGGGGACTGGTAGAGCCGTGTCTATCAGTGCCTTGAGCCAATTTCGAGGCAAATCAGCGACCGTGAAAAAATCTCCCGAGTACCTTAAAATGCAGCGGAACATTTCCCAAATTCGGGAATTCTGCAAATTATACGTCAAGTGCCTGATTTGACCGGACAAGCACCCACGCCCAGATTAACCCAGTTTTCAGTGAAGGTGGAGTGGGCGCTCCTCCGGTATTTTACGGTACCCCTTTAATATGGTGAAATTTTCTAATATGGGAGTTTGAATGCAAATTAATTTTGAATAGGCAATAATTGGATCAAATATTGATTGAATATTTGATCGAGCCTTCATTGGATGCATGGTTGCAGGTAATGGTGCTGGGGGACATCTTCCTCAATGCCTCTCTGACGGAAGCATTCTGCATGGCCATTGTGGAGGCCTGTGCTTGCGGGTGAGCTCGAGTCGGCCTCTCTCTTCGCCGCAGCTTCTGTCCTTGAGGCTGGTTCAGACGTTTGCATTCGAGCCTGAGCATTACGACCGCTTGTGACCAAGTGACACACTGCTGCCCCCCGTCGGTAGATTTCCTTGTTTCTTTACACATCCTTTTTTAATTCCGACAATGTTATATATTTCTCCTAGGTAGTGCGTAGATTCTATTTGGAAAACTCTCCGAAACCTTCAGTTTATTTCAAGGCCGGAAGCATTCTATTTGCACACTGGCACCACCGTGTTTGGACTTTGTGCAATGCGCCTTAGTGGAACCAAGGAGTCGTAATGCAGTCGGTTGCACTCAAAACGCGAGTGTCAGAACCAGCCTTTGGTTTTCAGCTATGCTACGAATGTGTGCATGGAAAATGGATCGCAACAACTTTTGGAGGGGCGTAAAAAATGGACCATGGTGACTGTCTGAATTGTAATGTTAGTCTGTTTGTGTGAAATGTTAAATAGAAATTTAACGATGGAATCGCCGCATACTCCGAACGAATCCTTTCCTAAGAGGTGACACCTATGCAACGACTCGCGCTTGCCATTAGCCAGAGTCATGTTTGTAGATGAGTAGAAGGGTGGTGAGCTGGGGCTAGTTGCTACGGGTTCAACATGATTAAAATCAGCGAACAACGTCAGCAAACTGTTGAAGAAAACAGAAGACAGGAAAGACGCTGAAACTCACAACTCAGTATATCTTCCAAAGAGAAGAAGCTCAGAGAAGGGCATTTTACCTTACGCTTCTGCACATTCAAAAATTGTAAAGAGGTGTATTGCACTTTCATGTCTTGGCTCTGCTCTGAAAAAGTCTTGTTTTCATTGGACAGCTTTAATGTCCAAATTCAAAGACTCCGGTCTTCCGGGTTTCTCTGGCCGGTGTTAAGTGAAGTGGTGCATGTCTTGGTTATAAAAGGAAATGAAAGAGTAAGCCCTAGGCACGATGTTGAGAAAAAACGGGTGGTAGCGGTACCATACTTACACAAGGTATCGGATAACCTAAAACATGTAGCTCAACAATATGGTGTACCGGTTGTTTTTTCTTTCCCCCAAAAATGGCCCAAATTTGTTTAAAGGTTCATCTCGGCATAGAAAAAGTATCCAAACCCAAGTGCAACAAAAAACATCTCACTGTTTGTGCTGTGTACCTCGTGCGTGGTGTATGGCATCCCATTGGGATGTGGTAGAACTTATGTCAGACAGACTGGACGGTGTTGACAGGCTTTGTGAACATTACCTATCACTTAGACCCAACGTAGGTGGTCACTTACCTTTACACTGTCATAATTGTTCATGTAGTCCAACTCTCGCTAACACTAATATTATAAGTAGATACCTGTAAGGAAAAACTTACCAGAGAAATTTATGAGGCATTTATTATACATGGTTTGGAGGAGCGCTGCATGAGTCAGCCATCAGTGGCTTTATCACAAAAAGAAATATCCTTTTTAAAGCATTAAAGGTCTAAAGCTATCGCCTCGCGCTCCGAAGTTCGCTAGCCATTAGCACATACCTGTATATTCTGTGCCATTTTCTTTCTTCTTCTCTTTGGAAGCTACATTGAGTTGGGAGTTTCAGCGTCTTTCCTGTCTTCTGTTCTCTTCAACAGTTCCCTAACGTTGTTTGCTGATTTTAATCATTTTGTAGATGAGGTTTGGCTCTTATGGGTAGTGACAGTGAGGGAACATCACTAGCTGAACGCCGGATGGTGGGCCCCTTGATTTGACATGAAATTATTTTGTCGTAGTGTGTGTAGGCTCGAGGGTTGTAACTCTGGGCGACTGAAATGCAGTGTCTCAGACGTTTGGCACGGAAGCCATGTCGGTTATGGCTTATGGGGTACTGAAATGAAAAGTGAAATATACCTTTCACACCTCCCAAAATAAGTTAAACACAATCAGTGCAATCTGCTAACGACAATGGCAAGTCTGTATTTTGATTGAATCCCAATATTTTTTGTTCCAAACGGCCGATTCTAACGGGCGCTCGAAGAGCAGCCATCGGAGAGTGCGACACGCATCGTGGGAACCTGTGACGTCACTTTTCCCTGCGAGGCTTTGTAGAGGCTGGCGTGGTTACAAGCTGCGCCACCTGGTGGTGTCAACGCGTTACAACCTAGCCTTTCGAGATGCCCGAGGTCTGGTTGGAAATTGCCAGCAGAGGCGAAGAAGGGACTCACTTGCACTTCAAACTTCACTGACGTCCTCCCCTTCTCATTTCCTCTCCCCACAGGGGGTGAGGGAAAGAAGGGAAATGTAGTTTGGTCAAATTTGACGGAGAGCACGCGCACGCAGGTTGCTGACGTACTTCCGCGGAGCAGTGCTGCTTTTACGGGACAATAGGAGAAACGACATTCCAAGTAGCTGTGGGAGCATCCACCAGGTGCAATCAGGCAATCAGCTTATTCGTTATACATTGAGTTTTGCCATTTTTTCGGACAAAATATTGGTGTGTCTGCGTTGTTACCACAACGTAGTTGACATTTAGACAATTGAATGGGCACGAGAATTTGATTTAAGTAACCTCTTTAAGGCTTTGTGGGACTGCAGTTGTTGTCAGCTGCGTTGATTTCATTGTCAACCGAGTTTATTATCTAATCCGGATGTCATAGTCCATCGTTCATTGCATTGTAGGAGCAAATACAGTAATCCCTTTTTATAACGAAATCGCTTTTTTCAAATTATCGCTTTTATCGAAGTTCAACACCGTCCCAATTGAAATGTAGGCATTTTTAACTGGATTATTCAAAGTATTGGCGGCCGACCACGCTTATTACGAAGGTCGCGGTGTCGGAAGCACGCAAGCCTACACGGGGGCGCCAATGAGACCCCTGCATTCTCTCCCCCTTGTCCACCGAGGCGACCGTCAGATTTTCTCTTACAGACATGCTTGCCGAGCTGGCGCACGATTCCCAGAGCTGCAACGATCTCTTCGGGAATGTGTGAAAACATGTTGACAAAGCCACCGAGGACAACTTTGATTCGTTTACGCTTGGCGGTGCGGACTTTCCCATTCTTGCTCCTGCCATGGATGCTGCGATCGTAGACCTTGCGTGCGACCAGGGTAAACACGAAGCGACGTCGGAGAGGCACTTTGGGGAAATGCCGACAACTGCGGAGACGTGAAACATCCTACGGTTGCTTCGAAACAAATTGGAGTGCAGCGGCAGTGACTGTGTTCTTAAGACGTTTGGAGCAGTTCGAGGAGAACTGATTCCCGGATGAAATTATCGGCAAACTTCACTTAATTATTTTTTCACTCAGTAAAGCTGTCGCGAGGTATTCATAACCAAGTAAAGTGGAGATTTGGGCCAGTTGGTTCATTGTAAACAAAAAGCGCCGAAAAAATACAGGGACACAGACGAAGGGAAACAGGACAAGGCGCTCCTTGTCCTGTTTCCCTTCGTCTGTGTCCCTGTATTTTTTCGGCGCTTTTTGTTTGCAATGAACCAACTGGCCCAAATCTCCACTATACTGCAGTTTATTTCTTTTGCAACTGGCTCTGTTCTATGTTCTCCTAATAGCCATCAGTCCATTTATCCCTTAGCGCCTTGTCCTGTTTCCTTCGCCTGTGTCCCTGTATTTTTTCGATGCTTTTTGTTTTCATAACCAAGGTTTGTTTGATTAAATATACGGTGAGAGTGTACCAATAGTGTTCCTGTCTGCCTTCAAGGCTGCTGGCACTGTTTTTTTGGCTCGATTGCTTTTATCGAATTACCGCTTATATTAAATTTTTTTGCCATCCCATTGACTTTGTTACAATGAGGGATTACTGTAATTGGATGATGCTGAAGGTTATTTTGCACCTCTTCTACTGGTTTCTTCAAGTGCTTCACTTCCCCCAATGTCCAAACCTTCTCTACATATGGCTCTGCCTTGAACTGGAAGCCGGCGAAATCAGTCAGTCTACCACGCAGTGTTACCTGAAGAAAGCTGTGCAGGTGTATTTGCAAAGGTTTGACTCTGTCCTTCATTGTCATTGCACCGGTTTTGCAGCCTGCAGGTTGTGAGCACAAGGGTTGGAGGCGTTCCCGAAGTCCTCCCGCCAGACCTTATCTGGTTGTGTGATCCCAGTGTTGGAGGTGAGCAGAACATAATTGCTTAGGCAGCGAGAAGCAGTCAGCCTTGTACCTAGTGTCTTTGCTGTACATGGGAAGCCAGTGCAGTACTGCTGCTGGCCTGGTTTTTTCAACGTGCAGGAGGCAGTAGTGATACCCGTCCGCACATTGATACGATACTCATCCAGATCGAAATGGGCAGAGATGGGCATTAAAGGGATACTTCAACGAAATTTGTAATATACCCGTTGTGTTCAGAAATAGGCTGAATATGATCCACAATATCCGCAAATGACAATTGCATGTTTGTATTTTGAGCCTGGTGGCTGTATTTTTCGTTATAAACGGCCCACTCTGGCAAACGCTCGGAGAGCAGGCTGCGGCGAGCACATCACATTTGCCGCGATCGTGACATAGTTTGTCTCGGGGAATTACGTCCAGACGCAGTGTATGCTGCGACCTATCCCAGCCAGTCCCGCCCTGTGGATGTAGCTCGTGATACGCTCTTCGCCCGTTGCTGTGCCCTCTCTCCAAGGTCACGTGACATTCACGCAGCCTTCGATTGACCCCAATGGCTCGTAGCATCCGCTGAAAGCAGCCGAAGAATACCAGCGATCGGGCTACCGCAAGTAACCCCAAAGCTGTCTTTGAACAAATTTTGAGTGGCGGGTTAATCTTCTATAATCTTGTAGAGGGACAATAGCAACTTCTGGGACACACAAGAGAGAGTCTTGGGGGGAGGGGAGTTCTTACTTCCCCTCTTTTCTCGTGGTGGCCGAAGGCGAGACATTTACCGTCACTACCTGTCAAGCAGGGATAAGCAAAATACATGCAAATATGTATCGAAATAAAAATACAAAATACATCGTCAAAAATGTATTTAATTACAAATCTAATTACATTTCCAAAAAAGCATTTAAGTACAAGATACAAACACAACCAAATGTATTTGGTCTCCTCCAAATACTTTTCCAAATACATTCCTCAAAATTTGCGTCAGCGACTTTAGGGCACCTGCAACGGGTTTCTGGGCATCCCATTTTAATTTTGCATCGCACACTCGGGAGTTGGTGTGCGAGGCTCTAGTAACGTAATAGAAATATAATCACAAAAAAATGTAATCAGCTTGGACGTAATAGGTGAAAAAAGTACAGAGCTTCAAGCAGCTTTTTTTGTCGATTACATTTTGGTATAGACCAACAAAGAACCAGGACGACCAAGACGCGCAGCACTAGCTAGAGAATTTTTTATTGTTGCAACTCGCACCAGACGAAAATCTGGACGACCCGCGCATTTAGAATGTTCCAGGCAAAAATATTAATGGAAATCAGGCTGGAAAGCATCACAAGTTTTCACAGGCACTTATTTAGCCAGTCTGCCTGTGAACGTCGATTTCGTAACTATTCTTGCCCCGGACTAGCACCGTAATCACACAGTCACTAAACGCTTGTGCTTGATTGAGAGACACCGCATTCGGTGCAGAACGTAGCTTTCTTCCTGCTCTGGACAGTGACAATAAATTTGAGGGATGTATTTTCGCCCACAAAATGTATTTTATTATAATTGTAGTATTTGAAATACCCATGTTTTAGTATTTAAATACACACGTCAAATACATTACCCAATTTGTAATTATATACAAATGCAAAGTACACAAAGTATTTGAAATACGTATTTCAAATACTTGTATTTGAAATACTGCCCATCCCTGCTGTCAGGGTTCCTAGACGGGCATTACAAATGAGGCATTAGCGCCATCCACCAGGTGCTCTTTGCTAGTCGTTTAATTTGTTTTAAAACTCCTTTTCCTGTCTTTTTCAACAAGAGATTGGTGTGTCTGATGGAATAATGCTTTCTTGAACACGAATAGACCAAGGAATAAGCGCCAAACGGAAAATTGAGCATTTTATATAGTTGTGCATATACTGGTTTACTGACCACGTTGTATGTTCTCCTTGACCCAGACGACACGCATAGTCCCGAGGTCGCCCCGTGGACGTTCAGATGTCCCGCGAATAATTTCCGGTATTAATTTGGAATTGCATTCTCACTGAAGCTAATTCTAATTTAGCCTTGGAAGGTGAAGCGTGCAACGCTTGAAGAGAGTTGGCTGGCTGCCAAACTAATGCCATATGCCTGCATTGCAAGCTTCGCTGTCCATTCAACGCAACGTGTGAAGAAAAAAAAAGGGAAAAATAAAATGGAACAGGTAGGAGAGAGTACTCCAAGACACTTTGAGAAGACTTAACCAGTTGCAAAGCGTCAAAAACGGCGAGCCAAAAAAGAAAATAGTACAAAAGGGGATTGTGGCGACACTAGATACGACGTCATGTGCCTGGAAGGCTGAGACTGGAGTTAGCGTTCGCTGCATTCCTTATAAAATGCAATTCTGCATGTGGCGGTTTGATCAACTGACTGACGTTTTCGGAAAGACCTTTTTCTAGACGTGATTAGGAGCTTTATCAGCTACCTGCCAGGCCATGCCATACAGGCCTTTGGAAACAAAATTAGTAAAAAAATACTTAATGAGTGTTTTTTTTTTTTATGTATTTAAAGCTTTAGGCAATACAAAATGCTTTGGAGCTGAGGCAAAAGTTGCCACTGGGGGTCACCTGACTAGGCCCATAGCCCCAGACAGCACATAGTTGACATTTGAATCTGTAATTATGTCATCGATTTACGGCTTCCAATAAACTATTCAGATGCTAATAATTGTTATATACTTCACTTACGAGTGCAGTCCTGCAGTTTTATCTCTACTCTCATTCTAAAAGCGGGCTGGCCAAAAACGAAGGCGATGGGGGCCATTCAGTAATTTCTAGACCCTGTGAAAACATTTACCGCGCATCTCTTCACCTCCATTTAGATGTCCTTGGGGCATCCTCGTTAAATTTTCTGCAGAGACAAAGGGTACTCGCCAGGTCATCTGCCTAAAAGTTACAGGCAATCCTGGTGAAAAAAAAAAAGGAAAACTTTGACTTTTTAGTGCAACCACCTTCGGACTGAACTACTGCCATCCCCCTCAGATTTCTCGAGAATAATATTAAACTTTACACACTTCCAACCATCCATTGTTCAAGATCTTCTTTGTGGCAAAACATTTTTGGCCTTGTGGGTCAAAGAAAGTTCAGAAAGAGTGGAATGTAGATTAAATGTATATCATGTACAGGACTCATTTTGACCCACTTGTATCAAAGAAATGAAAGAATATCTTGCGAGAAAAAAGTACCGTATTTTCTAACGTATAAGTCTTATTTTTTTTTTAATTTCTGTCGGTGCATTTCATACAACGGCGCGAGTTATACACATTTTTTTATGTAAGTGTGGACATTAACTATGCAATATGTAGGCTAGTAACATATAGGGTGACCACCTTCCTGCCGGCGACATGCGGGACATCCTGACCAAAGGGGGGGGGGGGGGGGGGGTATAAAAGGTGGAATTAAAGGTAATTCACCAACACGCACACCCCGAGATCTTGTGCTGTCCAAAAGCGTATCATACACCTGCTAATGGTTTTGCAACAATTAAGCTAAAATAATTTTCACTCAGTGATATATTCCTTGTTTAATTGTATTTGTAAATATTGTATTGAAGGTGTCTAAGTTGATAACATAAATATTGACTGCAACACACCCCAATGCATGAAAACAAAATAAGAAACAGTAAATTTTTTTTCGGCTTATTGTTTTCTGTCAATACTTACTCTTATACTAACATGCTCCTACACAAAATTAGAACCTAATGCTGTTGCTTTTTCAACCGTTGTGAGTTGTAGACTTTTTTGCCTTGTGTGGCCGTCTTGACTAAAAAAAGCATTCCACAACAGCCCTTTTGCACGACACAGTATGATTTGCAAATAATTGCAATAGTTTATTTTTCAACTTTTGGCGAGCAACTTTCACTTGCAATGTTTTGCCATCAAGGCGAGAGGCGCAACGGCGTATGTGCGCCTGTCTTCTGCAAGAATGATGGTCGCTTTCCACAGTGCTTGTATATAAAATGGCCTACCATCGAGATTCACACGTTTATCAGCAACCTCTGCGCTTCCCCGTGGCCCGTTGTTAGGAAGCGCCATAATTTGCGTAGTAGATGTTGCGACATTATAAAATGCGGGACTTTTTAAGATTTGGGTATTTCTTGCGGGACGCGGGACATGAGCGCTCATTGCGGGACAGTCCCGCGAGTCGCAAAACGGGTGGTCACCCTAGTAACATACAACAGAGCACCCTCCAATGGCCAGCTCTTCTAGTGATCTGAAGACAGTCTGAAGCTCACACATGTATAGCAACCACAATAGACTTTGCGAGCTTATCAAAGCAGTTTCGCCGACCGTAAAATGAGGCGCGACTTATACAAAAGTGCAACTTATCTTCTAGCAACTTTGTCGACAGCCGTTTTTACTGGTGTGCAACCCGTACCACAGTGCAACTTGTAGACCAGAAAATGCAGTAATTTTTAGGACTCGAATCGGGGTGCGTCCAAAGTTGACTTAGTCGACATACGCCACGATACTGATTTAGCCTCAAAACTCGCATTCTATGTTTCCTCGAGTAGACCCTCATGGGAGGGGGAAAGCCTCCAGTTTGGCGTTTAGTCTTCTGCGAGGTTCGAGATTCGTGCTTGTGCACGAGCGTAGACAAAGAGAACGTGGGCTTGCCGCAGGACTGCTGGAAGGCCTGGAGAACGCCATTGAGAACCACCGGCAAGGAAAAGTGGTTCCGGCCGCCGAAGCGCACGCCCGTGTCGCCAAAATGTACCAGTGGGAGAACGTGGCTCTCCGCACGGAGCGCGTGTACGACGCGATCTGCCACGAGCCCCCATTGGAGCTTCATCGCAGGCTCGACAGGTGAGAGCAGACCCGTCGTGTCATACGACGAGTCCTCAGTAGTAGCATTTAGAACTAGAGGTATCAGATCTTTGACCGTGAATTGAATGTGAGTACCGTAATATCCCGGGAGACAGCCCACCTAAAATCTAAAGAAAAATTGAGTGAAAAGAAGGGCTAACCTAACTTTTGGTGTGCCATAAAAAAAAGTTGAAAAAATGCTAATTTTTATTTTTTACACACGAAGCTCATGATCGCGGGGAGGGACGATGAACCAAAGACTACTGTCCTTCCCAGTCAGCAGTGTTCACCTGTCTCGACCATTGGCCAGGGCCCTGCAACTACTAGAAGTGAGCTCCTTTTCGGTCTTTCTGAAACAACAGCAAAATGTGCCAAAAATAGGGGGCGGGTTATCTTTCGGGGGAGGAGCATCTCTCGGGATATTGCGGTATTAAGGTTTGACTGCCAATCGAATTTGAATATTTTTAATATGAATCGATTACTTTTAATGCAACTTGAGCGTGGATACTTTAAGAAATGATGGCTGGAATTCTTTAACATGATCAGTGAGATAGATTGGCAGGGCGCGTCTTTGGAACGCCCAGCACGCCCTCTATGCCTTCCGCTGTTCTCCGGCTTAAGGAGATGTCCAAGCATTGGGGAAGCTCACGCTGGGGGCAGGACAGTCCTTCCTGCCTCATCGGGGACCATAAAAGGGGACAATTCTATAACACAATCTCACATACCTACAAAGATGCTAAATTCCCCAAATAAGTTTGCACGAGCGTTGAACTGGACCCTACAAACTCCAAAACGTCACTCGTACATCAATATCTCAAACGAATGACCATAATTTTGGAGGGGCGCCATCAGGCGAGGAATGTGACGTCAGGATCCTCCTGGAACAGTTGAGAGAGGGGGGAAGCGGCCTCGCTTCTCTCCTCCTCGCTTTGGTTCAGCAGCTCGATGGGACGAAGCGAAGAGGAGAGGGAATGAGAATCGTGACATTGCATGTCTCGGTGGCCTTGTTCAATCGCGCACTGCTTTTCCAGAAATACGGTGATCCGCTAGAGATGTTGCTGTAAGAGTGAAGTTTTGCGGTTTTGCATTGTCCTGCCTATCGCTCCAACCTTGTTTTGTAAGCTCCGAATTTCGGGTCAGTATCCCTTTAATTCGAGGGGGAAAGATGAGACGAGTCAGGTCAAACATATTCCAACATGGCAAGCAAAGCAATAACTATCTGCCTTATTTATTTGAATATAGTGTGATATTTCCTTTTCTCGGACGACTCTGTTCTTCAGAATCCCAACCCGAGAAGGCTGACCAGCAACAGAAAGCAAAATTTCCCAGGCCATCGGAGCTAACTTGACTGCTCCGACTCGTCCGCCGTTTCTCCTACCACGCCAATGCAAAGCAGCCAAGCTTCGCCGCAAAGCCTTGCTGCCAAGCTTGACCCAAGAAATCGGGGAAAATATTATTAATAATTTTCGAGTATATTTCAGAAAGCTAAAATACTTTGAACAAATAAGTTGTGATGCACTTCAAATCGAAAAGCAAACAATATTTACAAGTTATTCAAAGTTTAAAATATTTCAGAGTTTACTTAAAACCAGTTTGGTCGACTGCTGGACGCAGAGATGTTTAGCTTCGCCCGAAGACACGCGGAACTAAGTAAACCCTTTTTTGCCCGACCTTCTGTGCAGTGCATATCATCATCCAGAATCGCCTAGGGTCTGGATTGTGCTAATCTGCTCATGGGCGTGTTGGGGCTACCAAATCCGTCTCTTCACTCTGTGACCTGCGTCGTGCCTTGTGTTCTAGTATCGTGCCACTTTGGAGGCAGCAGAAAGGTTCCACTGGAGCAGACAATGTTGAGCAGTGTTTCTGATGATCTGGCTCTTTGCACAGGGCGGTTCACTGCGGCTTCCTGTTCGGAAGGTTCGTCATGGTTATCATGCTGATTCTTCATGCCATGAATTATGTGCTGTCCTACCTCAAGCCTAACTCAGTAAGTGGCTTTATTACTTCTCTATTTGCCAAAATGCCCCAATGTCCTAGCCCGTTTTGTATCTCTATCGTTTCTCTGGAGATGACCCGACGTCAAGTCCCGGATCGTAACATATATCCATCCGGTAGAGACATTTTCAACAACGTACAAAGGCTTGACCAAGTATCGATGTTAGGAGGCCTTCTCATTTCATTCTACAAGACACGGGGCTACCCTTCCTTCCCAGTATTCGTCGCCAGTTGTAGTGATGTAAGTGCTGCGCCAAATTGCGCCATGAACGCAAGTCTGTTGCACATAGCACCACAATGACATTTTTGCTAAAAATTGCATTACACCTGCTCCAAAATTAGCTTAAACGATGCAAATAAAAATTTTAATATTGGTCGACGATAATATTGAAGGAACTAAAAGAGAAGGAAAATGGTGCAAACGCATATATGTTACGGCTTGTCTACTTAATACGCTCGTCGACTGCGCTGGCCACGTCATCGTCCAAACTTCCAGACTATTATGCTGTGATGTTGGTCATGTCACGGAGCTAAAAGTCGCAAGAAAAATGTGTAAAACGTTTGTATGATGGCTGTTGTGCTATGACAGAACCAGGGTCTCATAGTTTTGATGAGATTGCTTGATTATAATCTCAGCCACATGACTCCACGCCGTAGCACTACCCCCGCTCACATCAACCTTCAACACCTCGCAAAGGTGCGCTTGCGTCAAGCTTCACCACTTCACATTGGTGTGCTAGGAAAAGCAACTTTCACGGGGATTGTGTAATGCAATGAAAATACTTTTACAGGTGGACCTTTTTTGGCCCTGATTGTAGGTGTAATTTTAAAGAGCTGTACAAGAAAGAAAAAAAATGCACACCTATTTTTGAATAAGATACTCAAGGTACAGTCGATCCCAGATATATTGAATTCAAAGGGGATAAAAAAATAGTTCAATATATCAATAATTTGATATACAAAGATATGTTAGATTAAGCTCGAGTTGAAATTTCCTGGCGTCTCTGCTAATACGGAAGGTCGCTACAAACGGGAGCTTACCAAATAGAGCACCCAAGAGCCGCTAAATACTGTAGAGCGTAGTTGGCGGAGACTGCAAACACCGTCATACTTACACGGATGCCTGGCCGAAACCTCCACACAGGTTAAACGACAAAACACAAAAATAATAAAAAAGAAATGAAGGAAAAAGTGAGATGCATAAAAGAAATCTCTTGATCCTTAGAAAAAGTATAACAAGCAACAAAAAAGAAAGTTCACTAAATTCAGGCAGCAAGAAAAGTAAAGCAAAAAAAAAAAAAAACGGGCAAAGAAATAATGGCAAAAGAAAAAGGTAAACAAAGAAAAGGCCTTTCGAAGTGCGATTGCACAACCATTGTTGTGCAATTGCACTTCGCATTCTTTCATTTAGCAAATACGTTTATTTTGGGCAGGAACATTGCACCCTGAACGAAACCCCAACTAACATAGGGTGATAAGGGGAAAGGCAAACTGGGGGGTGGACAAGGTGATAAGGGGGAAGGAAAATGAAAACTGGGAGATTGAAAGGGGCAGAACTACCGTGATGGTGTGATTATTACGGAGAGATGCGAAATTTTTCAAGTTCAGGCCTGATGAATTTTATTTCCCATCTTGATAAGGTTACTGAGGCCGATAAAACATTGTTTTCTGCGTTCTGGATGAGGAAGGACTCGATGATCTCGCGTCCGTAGCGATTGCAATGTCCTCCCTTTGTCTTGGTTCCTGCAAAGTCAGGCGCGCATCCAATGCATTCGTTCGCGTGAACCGCTATCGGATGAATGAGGTTGTCACTGACTCATTTGGCGATGCAATCGTCGTTTATTTTTCGAGTGATGCGGTAACATATGTAAGTATCTGCTCCAAAAGAATCGATGGCTGCTCCAAACCAACGTTTTTCCTCCTACTAGACTTACTACAAAAAGTCAGATGCCGCTTCCATCACTGCAGCTGATATAAGCACCACCTTTTTGTGCGTGTGTTCATGGTGGATGCTCAGCGTGCGCAAAAAGTGGTCCCTTCATCAATTGGCAACGAACCTTGGAGGAAAAGATCCTGCAAGTAGTAACTGTAAAAGTTTGCCAACTGACAGCATCTAGATTCCATGTGACCGCGCAACTTGGCAAACGGTGAAGACTGCTACCCCAGTGGGCCAATCAGAACGTCAGATCAAGGCAATGCGACAACGTCTGAATGCACTCCTCCTGTGTAGAGTTGTGACATAATACCCGCTCTGATTGGCTATAGCCCCCTCAAGCCAATCAGAGCAGGTACTAAGATTTACCTCTATTACTACAGTGCCCCAAATGATTTCCATTTTTTTTCTTTCCTTTGGCAGTTATAAATGAAGACCTATGCTTACGTCCACCTGAAACCAGTCTGTTGCACACATTAGACGGAGCAATGAACGGATTACGCGTGAAGTGGCGCTTGAACTGCCCGGCTGCTTTGTAATGGCAACTGGCTTCCCGTGTCTGCTGGGCCCGGCACTCTCGTTTTGTATCCCTAGCTCATCTCTCTTCACCCTGCTGCACCTGCCGTCGTCACAAAACCTGCAAGCAAGAGCTTTCATAGTATGGGTACTGTTCTTCACTGCCGCCAAATGCAAACTGTGTTCCCCTCTAATAGCAGTCGCCAGTTGCCCGTGTGCCGTCGCCCGCGACACGAAAGGCCGACATGCGACATGAAAGGGCTAGGGCTGGCCCTAAATATGCTACGCATTAAAAGTAAAATGAGCAACAAGCTGCATTCTGCACATGAAAAACTCGAAAAAACAAAGTTCTCCTCAAGCAGAGCCTAGAGCACTGGGTGATCAGTGACCCGACGCCCGGGACCACTGTGCTGCTCTACTCGTGGATTTACTTTCCCTTTCCAGCCTCCTTGGTGGCGCCTTCAGTTTTTCCCACTGCAGGAGAAACACACGCTGACAACCCGTCAGTTTTTTTTATAATGTTTTTTCTTGACAAGTATTGTTTACCAACAACAAAACAAACGTACGAAGGACAGCTCTTTAACATCTTGGTGTAGTTAGCTAGAAGTGTGCGCTGACTCGCCGATGCCGAGTCGTACTGTACATAGATGTGAAATGTGTTCCATAATTATTGAGCTGTCTCCAGCTTGCTGCCGTTTATTCAGGCAATGCTGTACCACTGACGCTACTGCCACGAATGTTAAAATTCACCTTTTGCCATTACCCGCAAGACAGGTACGGCTCACATTTCGGTATACCGAACCGTTTTCTAATAAACCAGTAACTGCCACATGATATTGTGGTTTTGTCCCAGTTTGGGTTTGATAGTATCAAGTTCCTATAGCAGTTTCAGTTTTTATGTGGTTTTCGGTTTTGGTTTGGTTCGACACTGCTTATTGCTCTGTAGTGTGTGTACACCTACTGCGGCGTCTACACTTGCTGCTAAATTTTTGTTGTACAACTTGTCGTTTCTTCTTTCCAGCTGATAGACGAGGCTGTGGATTTCCCGGCACCACTCCCCAAGGAAGAATTGATGACCAACGTCAACAAAAAGAAAATTCACGAGGTTGGGGCATCCTGACTGGCCCAAAACTTTAAGCAATGTTTTTTTAATTTTTTTTTTTTAGAAGTATCAAATGTGTAGTGGGAGCAGGAACAGGTATAAAAAGAGAAACATACGGGTCAGACATTTGTTTAATTTAAAGCAGCAATGCAGCAATTTTAACTAAAAAATTATTTGCTGTTCTTGATTTTTACACTGTTCATCATATCAAAAGGAGTGTAGAAACTGCCTGATTCTTTCGAAATATCACAATTTTGAGCAAACCAAAGAATGAGAATATTTTGAGATTTGCAGCCGCGTGTGAGGACCACAGAAACTAAGGCACGACGCCAACCTGGGTGTGTCGTGAGAAGTTGGCTGGATGTGGCCATTTTGTGCTCAATCTAAGGCTATCTTTGATAAATAATTGTGGACAAAATTGTACTATATTCAGTTTTAGTGGTGCTATCTGCCCGAGGTGAAGGAAGTCATTCCTCTCCCTAGTCTCACCCCGTCGCGCTTGTACGTCAGTCCAACTGCCTTACAACGGGGCAAGTGCTTGGCCCCTTCCCACATTGCTCAGATCAACCTTCAAGGTCACCATGTGAGTGGGAGGCACTCTGAAACAGGCTGGCAAAATTGGTTTTCTCAGTTCTTTACTCCAGACGTGACAGGGAACAACTCCTGCAGTTATTTCATTCAAGTCCATAAATTGTTGCACGTCCCCTTTAAAGAAGTCTCAAGAGACCTTTTGGCAAATTACTTTAGCATCAAAGAGGATACCGGGAACGTGGGTACACGAGCTGCGCGTGCTAGCAAAAATCAAAAACAAATGGCACTTCGCACGTGCATTCCACAAACGTTTTATTTTGGTTATTTACTTCGAATCTTTTTTTAAGGAAGGCGAGCATGCGCAGCGAGTGTACCTACATTCCCAGTGTTTTTTGATGCTTGGGTAATTTAGGGAAAGGTCCATTACTGTACATATAGATAGTGGACATCAAGATGACTTAGTGGAGCTTGACATGGAACCATTTTTTGTCGCACATGTTTTCCAGTCTACCCCAGGACTTTATTTTTCGTATATAAAAAATTATTTTTTTGCATAAAGAGACAGCATTCACATTGAGACAAAACATTGATTTCTTTTAGCCTGTGCAGCTGCTGTTTCATCTTTTTTCTATGTTTGTGATAGAATCTGGCGCAAATCTGATGTTCGTGAGAGAAGCATGTGCCAACAAAAATAAAGCATAAATCCATTAATATTGGTCTGTTTTAAATTATGCAGTCAAATTGAAGAATCCACACATCAAATTGAAGAGACTACCGTAATAGTCCGAGAGATGCCCCACCCCCGAAAGATAGCCCACCCCTATTTTTGGCTTGATTTGCTATTTTTTTTTAAACACAGAAAGATACCCGACTCCTAGTAATAGTAGTATTGGGGTCAATGATGACCTCGGTGTAAATGCGGCTAGTTAGCTATGGCGGAATATAAGCAAACGTTGCTAGCTGGGAAGTATAGTCCTCTTTGCTTTGTTGCCCCTCGCCACCATAACAAGCTTGAAAGGAACATGACCTAAAAATCGTAATGTCTTAAAATTTTCTTCATTGTACACCGAAAGTTAGGCCACTCCATATTTTCACCTGATTTGCTCTTGATGTTAGGTGGGTTATCTCTCGGGATTTTACGATAGTAGATTATGCAACATATATATGTTAATGAGCTCAGATGACTTGCAGTTGTGCAACATCGGAGATTTCCATGACAATTCACTGTTATTGAATACGTTACAGTTGGCATGACATAGGCAGAACCTCTGATCTCTATGACAATTGCTGGATTGCACTTCCCCGATCCACGAATGCGGTCACTGAACGACCATTTAGCGACACAGAAATTGACCTTTTGGAGCGTTGCGGAGGCCGGCCGCAGCGTGCTGAAGACATGTTTTCTGCTCATTCGTCATCATTTGCCGGAGAAGATTTTTAAAACCTTGTCTAAACGAGGAGAATTGCCTTTGAGAACATGTGAAAGTTTTTACGAAGGCGCAGCACTACAGAAGAAAAAGCGCAACTCGTCAAACGGAAGTCTCGCCGCTCTCACTGCGTGATCAAAGCTTCCTTGGCATACCGAAGTGCTGCATCTCTGTGCCTTCGTGTGCTTGGTTACCAATCAAGAATCGATGCCATGTGGATTTGTTTCGCGAGTGCAATGTGCGTGAAGGCATATGTGCCTCTGGAGCTGCATTTTATTACTCTGACGACTGTATTTGTAACTTGCAGCACTTGCGGTCCAGAAATGAGCTTGATCGAGTGGCGACCGAAGAGGGGTTGGAGGGTATGGCGGTGGCGACAGATTGCACGTGACCATGTGGGCCGTGCTTCAAAAAAATATTGATCTCACTGTTTCATACTTTTGCATTCGAAAGTCTGCCTTGCTCCACAGCATTGCTTATTTGTGCTGTCATGTGATCTATTTGAGTAGATTTGGAACATACCCGTGGGCATAATTGCAACCACTAATTTTTTTTTCCTTTATTGATTGCAACTCACCAAAACTGCTAGGTGATTCAGAACGCTGGAACAATTGGCCGATCCAGGAGACATCTACGCACGACACACCTTCTCAGCTTCACCACGGCATCAATTCTTGATAAGTGTCTAAGCGTGCAAAGGCACATAGACGCAGCAGTTCGGCGTGCCAAGGAAGCTTTGATCACGCTGCAAGGCCAGCGAGACTTCCGTTTGACAAGTTGCACCTTTTTCCTGTGGTGCTGTGCTTTCGTAAAAATTTTCACATTTTCTCAAAGGCGATTTTTAATTTTTACACAAAGTTTTAACGAACTTCTTCGACGGACGACGAACGAGCAGGAAACGTGTCTTCAACACGCTGCCACCCAGCTTCTGCAGCGCTTCAAAAGGTAGATGTTTTCTGTGTCAAGATGGTCGTCTGGTGCCTGCTCGTCACAATTTAAACTTTTATTCAAAGGTGTATTTCACAGGTTGGTTTTACCTTGTAAAATTACAAAGCATAGCTTCCTTTGTGTAAAAAATAAAGCCAAAACAACTTGCCAGGGTCAATAGCGGACGGCGACGCAGACGACTAAGTGGAGTGGCGGGGCAGGTTTGGCGCACGTATTGATAGTTGCTGCTACTTCCTTATCGAGTCTGCTCGCGACACTGTGTTCTATTGAAATGATCATAATCTTTTTGTAATGTATCTTTGGTTTAAAAAATGCAAACAGTAAGAGCAAAACTTTACGTGAAAAGAAAAAAAAGACACGGCTGCATAATGACGGTGCTCTTGCTGCCGATGGATCTTGTCTGCGTGTCGTCTGCTTTCTTTCGCCGTTCAACTACACCTTCAGACGCTGCTCCCGATGCCATCTATCAATACCTAGCTTAGCTCCGCAACAAAAAGGCACAACTCGTCTAAAGTAAGTTTTGCCGGCCTCGTGGCGTGATCAAAGCTTCCTTGTCACTCCAAAGTGCTGCACCCCTGCCTTCGCACGCGTGGACACCGATCAAGAATCAACGCCACGGCAAAGTTTTGAAGGTGTGTCGCGCGTAGATGTCTTTGTGCATCAAATATTGGCCACGGAGTTCTGGATCGTCCAGCTCTTCCGTTAAGTTTCTGTCAATAAAGGGGGAAAAAAAATATGCGGTTGCTCTTATGCCCTATTAACCATGTCTATGTTCCAAATCTACCCTAGTGGATCACATGGCAGCACAATTAGAGCAATGCTGTGGAGCAAGGAAGGTTTTCGAAGGTGAAAGCACAAGACGGCGAGATCGAAAATCTTTTAGACGGGGCCCATATGGTTGTGTGCAATCTGTTGACCAATCACAATTTCTTAAGGGTTCAAATCACATTGCAACTTTTGAACAATGGAGCCAAGGGCATTGGAAGTCTTTGGTAGTAAGGGGGGGGGGGGGTGCAATAAAGATTTTTGTTCTACTGAATTGATGCCAGAATTGTCTATACCCGTTTTCATCTCAAGAAAAGAGCAAGTTTTGCGAATTGTTCATATGTGGTGTGAAGTAGTTCTCACGAGATTTGGTTCTCAGGGGAAAAAGCGATGCTTTTGGTGTTTGAAATGTGTAATCTTGATAAGGTAACATACATGTAATCTAAATTGCACCTACATATATCTTTGCGGAGGAGGCGCCGTGTAACTGAGCTTTCGGTTGCACGTCAAAAGATCCCCAGGTGGTCCAAATTAATCCTCGGTCCTCCGCTGGGGCGTGCCAGATGCCCGTCGTTGGTTTGGCACGTAAAACCCCCAAATTTGACCTACATATATCTAAATTATCAACATGAAGGGGCAAATTACTTATGCTTAGCAAGAAGCCGGACTTTTTAATACGTTTTTTGACGTGAAAAGTGTAGTAAGCAAAATTTTAAAAATGTGCCACATCTGCCCCCACCCCCTCCCCCCTCTCCCGTCGCCACTGGACACTGGATCAAGCTCGTTTCTGGACTGCGGGTGCTGCAAGTTACAAATGCAGTCGTCGGAGTAAAGTAATGCGCTGCTCCAGAGGCACATGTGGCTTCACGCACAGTGCACCCACAAAACAATTCCACACGGCGTCGATTCTTGATCAGTATCCAAGCGTGCGAAGCTGCAGAGACTCAGCACTTCGGCGTGCTAAGGAAGCTTTGGTCACGCCACGAGACCGGCGAAACTTGCTTTCAACGAGTTGTGCCTTTTTCCTGCACTGCTGCGCTTTGGTAAAAATTGCCATGTGTCCTCAAAGGCAAATCTCACCGTGTTCACGTGGATTTAAGAAACTTCTTCAACATATGACAACAAACTAGTAGAAAACGTGTCTTCAGCACACTGCGGCTAGCCCCTGCAATGCTCTCAAAAAAAGACTTCGCTGCATGCAAGATGGCCGTCCGGTGGATGCACTGCAGTGACCTTTGGTTGACAAGCTTCGCATTAGCCACACTTCAGAAAGCCGGCCCCCTCCGTTCGCGCGAGCGTGTTGGCGCTGTCGTCGCAGCCCTCCTAAGCTCGCCCAGTTTGCCAAGCTCTGAGCAAGCTTGGGACGCTGGCTTTTCATTGTGAAATCAGGCGGTCGGTGGCATGTTTGCAGCCCTTGCACACTGTCGTCGGTGGCCCATGGGCAAGTAGATTCTTCTGCAGCCACATGATTGTAAATATGCTTGCTTACGATTTCTTCAATTTTTGGACAGTACAATGCGATGGATAGGAGCGTAGGTGCTTGGCTTTAGGTCGAGCTTCCATGTGTGATTTTCTGCTCATGTAATATTTAAGTAAAATGGGATTTATGTCATAGTTGATGTCTCATATTCGTCTATGACCAGCATCCACAAGCTGCATGCGCTGTCAGCGCTGCATCCAGTTCTCGATAAATGCTCCCACATATTTGTCACAGGACAATGAACAAAATATGTTTTTTCCCTCTTATTTGTTGCCACAACAAATCTTCGTCAAGGCTAAAATTATAGATGAATACTCTGCAACATTTATGTCTTTTTCCATGAAAAAATCGCACCAGAATGCAAAGCACCAAGGCGAAAATACCTGTAGTTGGCGATCACAGGACCTGAGCTTTCTTGTTTGCTACTGCCACTTTTTCATCATCTTTAACTTTCGATTGGTGTCTCTTGTGTGGAAGTGTATTCGCGTTACAACAAAGAAGCTTAGTTGTTGGTCAGTGCTCCCAGCTGTAGATGAGCAATTTAGCCAGTGCAGTACAACCGTTAGCTTGGGGTCTTTAAGGTGCACCACACAGTAGTGATACACGACTGCACGCCGGTACGATGCTCATCCAGTTCGAAACGGGCAGGGGTGGGGATCGAACCCAGGATTCTGGGTTCTGCAGCGCGAGCTTTCGCTCCACATGCTCCGAGCTGGTGTGCGCTAGACCACTCGGCCGCCGATCCCTCCGTTCAAAATCTAGTGCAGACACACAGTGGCACCATACTGAGAAACATGGGCCAGCGCGGCCAGATCGGGGATCATGGCAAAAGGTATATGTATCTCTGGCAAGAGGCTACGAGTAAGAAGCAGTCGCTCGCCAGATATTGACAGCACAAGAACGCACCGGCTCCCTACCACCAGTACCGAAGAGACGGAGCAAGTGCCCTCTTCTTCCAGGCTCGGACCGGCGCCCTGCTGACACAGAAGAGGAGACTGGAGCTCTTCGGCGAAGATGCGACATGTAGACTGTGTGGCCTTGAGGACGAGGATTTAGAGCACATCTTCTACAGATGGTGCACCTGCAACCCAGCGATACGTTGGGAATAGACCTTGATGAAGTTTTGGGACTTACTAAAACACCGAGAACTTGGTTGGATATACTTGACCAGCCAGTGCAGCCGCCTCAACGGCAGGAAGCGGGAGGGGGAGAGGAAGCGAAGCGCCACCTCACAAAATGGGAAAAGCGTTTGCGGGTGTTCAGTCAGCTGGGCCGGCTGGGCTTTGAAAAACAGTCGGAACACACAGGGCAGGTGTCACACTGTAGTGAGGACAAGCCCTCCCTCTCGCCCTTCCCCCCATCGGATGTGAAGTAAGTGTGTGTGTGACACGACATTGTTTTTAGAGCGCAGCTCTTGGGCGCCCACTCCCGGCTGGAGCGGCGTCGGCGTCGGCGGCAGCGTAACCATGCGTTGCATTATGGGACGTTCCCATGATGACGTCACTCGTGATGTCACATGGTACATCATGAGTGACGTCATGTGTGATGTCACCCTTATGACGTTGCACGGCCCCTGAATTTAGCGGGAATATTTCCCTGCTAAATTTGGTAGGGAACTTTTCCCACTAAATTTAGAACAATTTCCCCGCTAAGTTTAGCGGACAAATTTTTCTGCTAAATTTAGCTGGACAATTTCTCTGCTAAATTTGGCAGAAAATTTTGTATGCTAGATTTAGCAGAAATATTTCACCCGCTAAGTTTAGCAGAAAAATTCCCTTCTAAATTTAGCGGAAAAAATTCCCTGCTAAATTTAGCAGGAAAATTTTCCCGCTAAATCTAGCGGAAAAAATTCCCTGCTAAATTCAGCAGAAAAGCCAAGAAAAGCTGTCCCACATTTTCCCGCTAAATTTAGCAGAAAAATTTCCCGCTAAATCTAGCTGAAAAATTTTTCCACTAAATTTGGAAGAAATATTTTCCCGCTAAATTTAGCGGAAATATTTCCCCGTTAAGTTTAGCAGAAAAATTGCCTTGCTAAATTTAGCGGAAAAAATTCCCCGCTTAATTTAGAAAAAAAGTTCAATTTTTTTATCTAAAAACATTCCCCGTTAAATTTAGGAAAGAAACTTCCACGCTAAATTTAGGGGGAAAGTTAGCCAAAATTTCCCGCTAAATAAAAATTGTGCTAAAAAAAAAAAAAAAAAAATCACGAATTGTTAGGCAAGGTAGCGCAAGCTGCCGCCCGTTACAAAGGGCGTAGCCGTTACCATTCATCCATCCAGAAGAGTAGAAAAGAAGGAAGGGTTCCAAAATTTTCATTTTTTTAGCAATTTCTAAGGCACTGAATAATGAATTGGGCGGTAGCTTGCGCCACCTAGCCATTGTCATTTTTCATAAAAACCTTTATTGATGCGTAGCCGTCGCCATCTATGCGTGTCGCCATTTGAAATAACGGCGAACACGTGGTGCAACCACATAATTACAAGAAATTGTGTTTAACTTTTATCTTAATTTATTCATCTTAACGGTAAAGAAAGAAATTTTTCTAGCACAGTAGTACTCTCACAAGTCAGACTTTACGATCCAGTTGCCCAACTGCTTTTGTATCATATCATGGCGGACAGGTATGACAGTGATTACGGTTCGAGGTAAGTGAAATTACGTTTACTTCGGCGACGCATTCGCGAGGCCTCGCCGTATTTGCGCCCACGGCGAACGAGAATCCAAGGGACACCCGATTTTCGGGACGAGTACTTTCACATGCGGGCACCTCTCGGCGTGACTGCATGCGGCGCCGAGCATGGTCCCACAAAATGCTGCCCCATTCGGGCACACGTTTGGCTTATGACCATTTCGGGCCTGCGCGGCCAAATATCGCCGTGCAAACTGCCGCAAACAGGACACTTTGCAATTAAATCGCACGTCCTGACTCGAGCTCGTAACGTAACGAGTTGTTCTTGCGCGTAAACGGTGTAGTGACGTGATTGAGGCTTTAGCGGTCTAACCCGCCTCCGAAAAAAAAAGAAAGAAAAAAAAAAAAAAATGCCCCCGTCGTGTTTGCCGCGGAATCAAACAACATAAACGTGACTTGGTTCACCATTTACGATATTGTTTTAGCTCAAGCATTACTGTCGATCAAATTGGCTTGTCTAGTGCCCATGTTGACTGCTCCTTTGAAGCGTGTGGTGCTCATGCGTTGGAAGAGGCGGGGGAGATCGGCTTTGATGTGGCGTGCGTAATGACCGGGGTCCGCGATGGCTCGTTGAGCGTTTTACTTCCGATAAAAGGGAAAGTTAGAATGCGCCACGACTGTTGTTCGCACGGTCACGTTGTTTTGTCGATGACTGGGTTCAAAGCGCGATCAAACGAGTGGTGTGGGTACGTAGGGCACCCGCCAGTATCCGCCGATGATTAGAGACTATCGAATCGACCGTCGTAACACCACCAGCAGAAGCTTTGACGGGCATTGTTAACGACGTCATGTAGGACCCCAGATGCCGTTGCGTTTTGCCCATTGTGATCTCGACATGAAAGTGATGTGTGAAAGTGTGCCCGCTTTTAAGTTGGCCGTTAACTTGAAAGCAGTAACACGTTTCTAATGGATTTGTCGTTTGCTTGGAAGTTGGCCTCCGTTGGTGTCAATACACGGTGCTATTACGTGATGGTCATGGAGCAATGCACCACAACGTGGCACATGTGCTGTCATTAGAGCACGTTGGTGTTAGTTGTGAGTTTTTTCTCTTTTTACTTTGGAAGTGACTTGGGGATGATCGGCTCAGTTGACGACACAACACTGGTAGCACCCTGTTCTCTTTCGTGCTTACAGGGCATATCTTCACTTGGTTCCTCATTTCAAATTTCACATCGTTGAAGTTTTTGGGAGTTCATAACTTATCAACAACCTCCCACCAGTTCACTGTTCATGTCTCAGCAGCAAAGGTGACGAGCCACACGTCAAGTCATAGCCAAAAGACGCTCACTGGACTAAGAAACACGAAGGACAGACTGCAGGTGTACAATTATGAAGTGTGGACGCATTTGTGTGTGCTTTTTATGCTACATGTCTAAATCCTAGTGCAGCACTGGAACCATTTTGGGACAAATTACCGCAACTGTAGGGTGGCATGAATGAAAGGGTTGCCTGCAAAGCAGGCTGGAAAAGTCAGTACCTGCACAAAGAGCTTTCATCAAAGGTGGCTTGTGTAATAGAGCTATAAGTTTAGAAATTTCACGGCAGTGTCGTTCCTGCGAAACATTATAACAACATTCTTAGCATTTTCAACAGCGAGCTCCAATTCAGACGACCGAGTTGCTTGAGAGTCACGCTTCTGGTGCCATCTCCTGAAGGGTGCAGCAAGCATTTGTTACCATGTTGTCTGCTTTCGACCAAATGCCTCCCGTGCCCATCGGGAGATGGCGCCACCTGCACAACTCTCGGATGAATTTGTCATCTGTGTCAGGGCCTCGCCATTGAAAATGTCAAGGACATTGTTTTACTTACTCTTAGGAACTGAGCTATGCCTTTTCTCGCAGTAACATCCATCACCGGAATACTTCCTCGATGAAAATTAAAGCTCCCTGCGCAGGAACCAAATTTTCAGGGAGCAAAATGGTTACGCTTGTGCAGTTCCACAGGCTCAGCATGACATCAGAAACACATGCTGTATGTAGAGGGAGTTGCTCGTAGCTCCAATCACACAGCCCACAGTTAGCTGAAATGTGGGACGTGTACCTGTAATCGGACTTGGCCGCCCTAGTTTATATTGTACACATGCACGTCCCCTCTTGGAATGCGTCTCGGACTGGTGCCACGTCCTCGCTTGTGGTCCCATGAATTTCCCTCAATGATGTCGCAGAAGTGTCATGTCTACTGTAATCCCGATGGCGGCACACCAGTTGAGAGGGACATGGCAGATGACTGTTCTCGGCTTAGGAACAACACGGTAGCATCAGCAGCCAGCATTTGTGGTGCTGCAATGTTTCCTCGTCTTCTTTAGCAGAACTTTTGTGACCAACCGTCAGCATTGTGTCATCCGACAGGCTGGCACCGCACTCACACTGGTGGCTTTTGTGGGCACATTCTTGCGGTACGGTAAAAATTTTGAAAAATTCTGGGTCAAAAGCATAGTTGGTGACAGGTTAAGAGCTCAGGGGAACCTCCTCCCACCCCTTTCCCCTTTAGCAGTGTGAATGCAAGTGATTAGGTTGCCTCCTCCTACCTTTGCTCTTAATCTATCATAGGGCGCACAACGATTGATAAGTGGAAGGAAGTACGACTCTTTGTTTGGTGCAACGTTGATAGCGTGTTTTGCACGTTTGTGGCTGCAGATATGGCGGCGGAGGCGGCCATCGAGACCACTACGGCAGCAAGCCCTCTAGACCCATGCCCACCGAGCCTCCGTTCACAGCCTTTGTAGGTAATCTGCCCGATGGTGTTGTGCAGAGCGACATTGACGAGATCTTCAAGGGCATCAAGGTAAGGTTTGTTGCTGACACCCTCGAATGTTTTGGGGCTGCGAAACGCACGTTTGTCCTCTTCAGTCTTGCCTCCCCCTTTATTAGAAGCTTTGAAATATAAATATTGCTGCTGTATTTTGCTTTATTGATCAAACTGTCAATGCAGAATTGTGTTGTATAAAAACTATTGGGTTTTTGCGGCATTTTAGGGTGCAGCTCTTAGGCGCCCGTTCCCGGGTTGAGTGGTGGCACCGTCAACGTAACCGCGCGCGTTGCATTATGGGACATTTCCCCGCTAAATTTAGCAGGGAAATTGACGTCACTACTTTGTGTCACGTCGCCCATGCACAAATTCAGCGGCAGTAGGAGGAGGAGGAGGAGGGGCATAGCCTCCCCTCCGTACCCTCCCCTCCTCCTCCTCAAGAGCTGCACTCTAATTTCGCATTACAAAGATTTGGGAACGTCTTTCATTTTTTTTTTATTGCCACACACTAAATAGTTGTTTAATGTTGCGTTGCACCACTACTTGAGATGTCCAGTGTTATTAGATCCAATACTGTTGTTGTGTCAACAACAGTATTGGATCTAATAACACTGGGCATCTCAAGGAAATGCATGATGTTGCTTGACCCGACGTGACATGCCATGGGTCATTTGTGGCATGGCACGGGCGCCACAGGTGAATGCGAAAATCTGAGTTAGTTTTTGTTAGAATGCAGTTCTGCATTAGAAAAGCACGTCTCACGCGTTAAGTACTGTGAGTTCTCAGTTTTTGGTTCGCCAACCCATGAAGTGGTGACCAAAAACTGTTCATCTCAAATAAGGGGCAGCTGCGCGTGGGATGCTGCTACTAACACTCGCTGACAGCTGGTCTTTTAAACATTTTCAGATCAAGAGTACTCGTCTCGTCAGGGACAAGGAGACGGACAGGTTCAAAGGTGCCCCATTCTTTGTTCGACGTTCGGAGCGTGTTTTCCGGCGGGGAAATCCTGTAATCATAGGGGAATTTGTGTTCTAGTTACACAGTCAACGATCGTTGAGCCAACAGGAGTCAGCTGATTGGCGAGAGTTGAACGGTGGTCTGTCGTTGCCCATCTACCCACGTTCAAGACGGCAGTGGCATTAACATTGACGGCCAGCACTTGCTGTTTCAGAGTGGTGACATTTATAAACAGTTGTAGCGGCAGATGTTGTTGGAGGAAGCATGTTCACAGGCCAGGGCTGCCACGAAAATGAGACCTGGCAGGTCATGAGAAGGGATCTGCACTCTATAACTATGTTTCAATGTTTGCACTCTCCCGTGGAATACCCAAACACAATGTTTAATATGTTGGCACAGTGCCTGGCATGTTTGTGCACCTTTGTTTTTATCCTCTTGATTTCCGTCTATTAAGTTGAGGGACGCTGTAGATCGTCACAATTGCGGTGGCAGCCAGACGGCGGAGGAAGGCATTGCAGCTGCTTGCTCTGCAACCAGCCAGCCAATGAAAACTGTGTCAGTCGGGGGTTGGGACGCCGAAACACTAGTGGCAGTGACTCCCGTTTTCCGGCTATACCGTTGTCGCCTTTGTACCCCTTCCACCCCTAAGCTGACATTGCTGCGGAAGCTACATTCTCATTGGGCCAGTCGGACATCTCTTTGGCAGTGCGGATGCCCATGCCCACGCGGAAAGGTCGGGTCAGACGATGAAAGGGAGGCAGTAATTGGTCCGCCAAGCACGTAGCTTCCACCGCATTGCCAGCCTAAGGGTGAACAAAGCCCACAACCATCCGAAGGATCCCAATGATTTGTAGCTTTCCTTGGCTTTGATTAATTTTGCTGAAAATTTCTGGGACACTGCGGCGACCAGTCAGAAACGTGTTTCACCCAGTATCAGTGTTAGTAGAAACGGAGGGAGGAGAGGAGTTGCCAGAGCACTGAGCTCTGGTTGGAACGATTAGTGGGCGGGCGCAAAGATAGCTGTCTCTGTCTCTACTTGCTGTCCGAACGCCTTTGAATGGCAAGCGCCGGTGGGCAGCGTCCGTGTTGAAACGCCGAGTAGTGACAAAGGCAGCTAACTAATCGTTCCAACCGAAGCATGCTGCTCTGACCTCCCCGTGCCCTCTCGTCTCTCCCCCTCTTTCGGTTTCTAGCCACATAGTTCGGTTTAAAACAGCGCGACAAAGGCAAAGTAGAAACGAGATGGACGACACCGCCGTCGTCTGTCTCTTCTTTACTTTGTCCTTGCTTTGTTGCGCTGCTGTAAACCAAGATGCTCAACAACCAACTAGCCCGAACGTGCCTTTTGGCTACCTGTATAGTTTATCAGCCACAAGTATCGTTGCAAAGTTCAATCAACAATGTCATTGTCCTTTGTGAGCCTTCGGGGAGGTCCCAGTCTGCTGGGGCTCAGCACGATTATTATCATAGATGGTCTTCAAGTCTTTAGAACACTTCGTGCATCAGTTTTGGAGCTTGCTATCTTTCCAAAGTTTCCTGGGTGATCCGAAAAATTGCTCGCGCGACCCCTTGGTGGGTGCCTTACGTGGCTAGTAGATCACCACCAGCTCTGCATACCCTCATGTTACGTGTTTTAGGTCTGTAGCAGTTGCAGCGTCGGTGTGCGCATGGGTTTGAACTGACGGCTACGATTCAAAACTTGGCTACGGTGCGGCCACAGAGACTCGATTCGCCAGTGTTCCAAACCAGTTATAAAGCGCCAATTCATGCGCCGGCAGAGCCACCTGCGTAGTTTGAGTGTCGATGAGATGATGCCCAACGTGATTTTTGAAATTTTTCACCGTTGCCGTAGCAGTTGGCCGCTTTCTACGTTTATTGACTACCACCCATATTCGGCAAATTCTGTCACATTATCGTCATCGGTTTGTACACATTCCGCCAATGACAGCTCGTAAAGGTTTTACATGCGAGAAAAAAATAATAATGAGCATGGTGCAGCGATCTTGCACTCGAATGAAATATTTCGGGTAGTTTGGCTTTGATTGCAGTAATTCGAAATTTGTAGAGCGACTCGCGGCATCCTCGTCTGTAGTTTGTGGTGCAGACGGTAGACCTAGAACATGTGTCGCAATGGATGCGGAGCTGGCAGAGCAGCGAGGGCTCGCACAAAAAAGTTTCTGGGCTGGCCCACGAAGTGCGAACTTTGTGACTGCACCGTAAAGTTGTTCCGGCGACGTTAGATGGCTCGGTTAATTTTAGTTAGTAAGATTATCGAGGAAAGCCTGGAAAAGCTTTTGCGGGAGTTTCTACCATTATGATAGACACCCTTATGTGGTAGGGGCAGATTTTAATAGGCTTTTAAATGTGGGGGCTTCCTACGGAGTGTAAATGAAAGTGAAAACCTCAAGTGGATTACCCAATCTGATAGCTTGCGTCTCGCTTCAACTTTTCTACCCAGAGATGCGTAGTGGGTCCAGAATTATTTCATGGGGTACATGTTTGAAAAGACAATCTCGCGTGGGGGTTCCTTACCCCTGGGGCCAAGTTGATGGCCACGATGGCCCCTAGAAAAGAGGAAATAAGTAAACTAGTTGACCAAATAACATAAAAAAATTGTTAACTTTTAAAGATTTTTGTTTTGGGAATAACATGCTGTCGAGACGGGTTATAACTAGGGTTCCGCGTTTTCGGTTTCTATTTTTTCAAAATTCGGCGTACTTTTTTCGGTGTTTATTTTAAAAATCAATTTTCGGTTTTTTCGGCATATATTTATGCCCACAAAGGTTTATCGGCTTTTTTCGGTGTATATAAAATAAACACATACGGTCACCGGATCACATTATACTTGTAGCTGTGATATTTGTGATCACTCAAGGAATAACGGCACAGATACATTGAAAAAGAAATGGACACTTTATTGGGCAAATGTGTGTAACTGTAAAAATGAAAAAACACAGAAGTACAAACAAGACAACACTCACACATGAAGCCTATGCCCAAAATCATAGAACTTCACCATATGTATATCAGGATTACCGTGATAATATTATAGTGCACACACATATGTATGTACCAGGTTTTCTTCGTTCATCCGCACTCTTTCTTTCCTGTTAGTATGACACTCAGGAGCTTCGAGAATGCCCTCTCAACGTGAACACTGGACACTGGCAGGCTGAGGAGATGAAGCGCTGCCTGAGCCGAAATCATCTAATCAACCAATTGTAACCGCCAAAAGAGACACGGTGCGACGTTATGAAGCACAACACAACATGCAAAGCTTGCATCAATTCAGTCTTCCTTACAACGAGTTCGAAAACACGCTTGTACATGGCGAAGTCATGGGGCATTTCGGACTTCACGTTCTGATCGATGATGCGCACATTAAACCAAAATGTTGTGATGGCACCCGTGTATCCCGTACATTCGGACACGTTTCGATAAACACTGTCGTTCCACTTTTTTGCCACGGCTCTGCGGTACGACTAGAAGGTCAAAGTGACCTTTTTCGGTTAAAACTGAATTTTACAAAATAAATTCGACAAACTTTTATCGGTTTTTATCGGTTTAAATTGAAAATGCCGACCCTAAAAACTGACCTTTATCGGTTAAGACCGAATTCCCGAAAATGAATTCGGCGTACTGTTATCGGTTTTTATCGGTTTAAACCGAAAAATCCGAACCCTAGTTATAACAAACTCAATGGGCGCGTTCAGTAGCGCCTCCCTTGCCTCCGAACGGAGTGCCTCGAGTCGGAGTCATCGGAGCGCCTACTGAACGGCAAAAAAACCCGCGGCTCCAAACCTGCTTCTACGCAACTTCCGCTTCCTCCCCTGTGCCAGACGGTCTCCGAATAAACTGGAAGCAGACGATGGCGAGCACGATCGCTTTTATTTGACGCCGGTATTGAAGAAGTCTTTACAAGGTCGTTAAAGAAAAAGCGAGTGATTGTACACATCAGCGCTGCTGTTCGAAGCGATGCAACGCGATCGAGCCTCTCGCTTGGCGGTGCAAAGTCAGCTACTGTTACAAAAGCCGACAAAAATCGTCGTCAGTACACGCAAAATACCGAGCTCAGCGAATCTACCCCACCGGTTGCGATACTTTTATACGGTCATAAGTTTGTTCTGCCCTTCGTAACAAACTTCCCATAAAATGTATTTGTATACAGACGGGAAGTTCGGCCGCGCTCGGCGATCAAGGTTTTGTCGGCCGAAGCGAGCCTGAGCCAACGTGCACCCCGATTTAGCGACGCAAACAAAACATTAATCGGTATCATGCTCTGCGTGAGTGTCCAACCGGCTTCCAAAGTCGCGTTCATACCCTGTTTTTCTCTGTTGAGCGCGGACAGGACTATCGTCAATATTACCGAGTTTCCGTGCAACGGCGATCAAGAGACGGCGCGTCAAATGAACGTTTGCGTTGTTTATTAGCATATTCAAACCAAACAAAATACGGTCCAATGCATTTTCCGAAAGAGCCTTACCTCAAAAAGATATTCGAACGCGTTATTCGTCTTACCTTGAGCACTTTTCATTAACAAAAGCGAGCAAACCGCGCACCCGCTACAGAACCGAAGCAGCTTATCCCGCCATATTGTTTGTTTTTTACTCTTTTAGCGCCGGAAATCGTCACCAGTCAGGAAATGACGTCATTTTAGCTCCTTTGACTCTACGTGCACCGTCTCCGGACTCGGTGCTTCGGAGCTTGACTCCGAAGCCCCGGAGTTACGTGCACCGGAAGTGACTTTTGGCCGTCCAGTGGAAGGAGTCAGTGACTCCTTGACTCCGGGGCCGCTACTGAACGCGCCCAATGGGAATCGGGAATCCCTTCGCTATTTCGTTATAACCGACTTCGGTTATAACAAAGTGCAAAAGGGAATGGGAAATCGTGATCGCTTTGGTGTAGCCGCTATTTCGTAATAACCAACTTAGTTATAACCGGTCTTCAGAGTATTTAGAGAAAGGACGCTCGACTTGAATATGGTCTAGTCGCGACGCAAAATGTTAATAAAAAAATTGGTAGTGGGCGTTTTGGGGCTAGAAATGTCACCCTTGTACGCAGTTTCAATTAGAAATTATGCGGGCCAGTGACGTCAATCTTTCTGCCCTCCGCTTGACAATATTTTGACAATATATATTTTTTTTATTTGGCAGGCTACTGCTACGTGGAGTTCAATGACCTCGAATCGCTGAAGGAGGCATTAGAATTCGATTCTGCGGTGAGTGCCATTTTTTTTCGCTCTTCCATAGACCTACCTGTGTGTACCTTTCAAAACCACCACCTTTGTGTTTCTTTGCTGCGGTGCCTTCGTCGCGTAACCGTTGCCCCACCATTGTTTTGTCCACTCTAAATATTTGGCATAATTTTTTTTTTTTTAGAGCCTCAAACCGAACATTTCCACGTTTGATTGGGGGGCCTTCGACAATGTAGGGGTGTCTGCATAGAAAATAATTACGGCAATGATTTATCGATAATAATAAAATATCTGTCATCGAACGCTTAGTTTCCTCCTAAATGTATCGCTAGCAATCCAGACCAACTGTTGAAGTCGGAGCTCGCCGTTATTCGATTCAGAAGTTACGAGTGATTCTCTGACGTTTTCGGCAAAAATTGGAGGCCCGACGAATGCACAAAGATAAATGGTGTTGGCTACCACTAACGGGCCTTATTTCCTCGTTGAAAGCTTCCGGAAAACTCTCGTAAAATTTTAATCGGATAACGGCAAGCCCTGAAAATTTTGCGTCTGGTCTGGATCGCTATCGCTACATTTGGGCCATAACTGAGCATTTGGTAATGCGTAGTTCATTTTTGTGGGGAAAACTAAACACAATTTTTTTTCCGTGGATGTGCACATTGTTTGTATGCATACAGTCAAACCTCGTTATATCGAACAGTGCAAGGACTGTGAAATAGTTTGATATGACCAAAAATTTTATATACAAAATCACCAAAAATGCGTCAAAGTGCAGCGCAATTTAATCACTAAAAAGCTAGCTGCGAAAATGACTGCTCTCACGAAGCGTTGACGTGAACTATTTATTCCAACGAAAAAAACTCCTGCGGCATAGACTGCTTCTTGGAGTTGGCCGCATGCCTTGTTACGGCCCGCTCCACAGTCTCCGAGTGATCCACAAGCGCCAGATTACTGTCGTCTATTGCGCTGCAGTAGCGGCGTTAAGGCGTCAAAGCGACTGCAGCTTCGCCGAAAGTCGACAGCAGAGCGAGGTCCTCGGCGTTCGAAGGGCCAGGTTCGGTAGCCACATCCTCTGGAGCCAGCTCATGGGTGACACATCGGCTAGTTTGGCCGTGGTCCCCACCTCTTCATCATCACTGACAAAAATCGTCGACGGTCATGGTTTCGGGTACAGCACCCACAAAACGTGAAAATGTGCTCCACGTTTCATTAAGCAAAAGGTTCTTCAAAATTGTCAAACACACCATCTTCCTCGGATGGTTCCTCGGCAACGACGACAAACCCAACGTGCTGAAAGCAGTGGGCGATCGTCGCCCACCACTTGCGGCAAAGTTTTCTGCTCGGCGGAGGAACGCAAAGTCCTTTTCTGTCCGTCGAAGCATCATCCCCTACACCGTTCACAAACCGCTTGTGTAGCGATCTTTCCACGCTTTCGAAGGCCGGTGTCCGAACACGGCGTGCACTGGAGTGCTTGCTTTGTTCAACCTTCGATTGGATGTCGCTTTTCGTCTTCAGCAGCGTGCTCAAAGTGCTTTGCGGTACGTTGTACGCTTTCACAATGCTGGATTTGTTTTCTCCTTTTCAACGCGGCGGACAATCTCGAGCTTCGTTGCAAATGTTAGCGACGTACGTTCCTTTACGTTTGTCGCCATCACTATGCCACATGCGGTTGACGCAGCGTCGGAGGAATGAAAACACGCGACTGCGGGAGCTGCGTAACAAGCGCACGAAAAGAGCGACCGAGCTGACCGAGCCCATGCGCCGTTGAGTCTGGGTGGCGCTCCCAGCACCATAGGGACGAAGCTGTACGTAGGTATGCGCTTGTAAAAGTAGCAAATGCCTGCTGCGCTGTCCTCCGATGTGTGGCGGGAAAGTCTGCAGCAGGGATGGCCAGTATTTCAAATACTTTGTGTATTTTGCATTTGTATTTAATTACAAATTGGGTATGTATTTGACGTGTGTATTTAAATATTAAAACGTGAGTATTTCAAATACAATTGTAATTAAATACAATTTTGTAGGCGAAAATACTTCCCTCAAATTTACTGTCAGTGTGAAGAGCAGGAAGAAAACTACGTTCTGCACCGAATGCAATGCCTCTTAATCAAGCACAAGCGTTTAGTGACTTTGAGATTACGGTGCTATTCCTGGGCAAGAATAGTGGCGAAATCGACGTTCACAGGCAGACTGGCTAAATAAGTGCCCGTGACAACTTGTGATGCTTTCCAGCCTGATTTCCCTCCATATTTTTGCCTGGAACATTCTAAATGCGCGGGTCGTCCAGATTTTCGTAACTGGTGCGAGTTGCAACAATAAAAAATTCTGTAGCTAGTGCTGCGCGTCTTGGTCGTCTTGGTTCTTTGTTGGTCTATACCAAAATGTAATCGACAAAAAAAGCTGCTTGAAGCTTCATACTTTTTTCACTTATTAGGTCCAAGCTGATTACATTTTTTTGTGATATTTCTATTACGTTAATAGAGCCTCGCACACTAACCCCCGAGTGTGCGATGCAAAATTAAAATGAGATACCCAGAAACCCGTTGCAGGTGCCCTGAAGTCGCTGACGCAAATTTTGAGGGATGTATTTGGAAAAGTATTTAGAAGAGACCAAATACATTTGGTTGTATTTGTATCTTGTACTTAAATGCTTTTTTGGAAATGTAATTAGATTTGTAATTAAATAATTTTTTGACGAAGTATTTTGTATTTGTATTGCAATACATATTTGCATGTATTTTGCCCATCCCTGGTCTGCAGCCTGTCTCCGGAGCAGACACGTTTCGGCGCTCCAACGTTTCATATACAGTATTAACTTTTAACTGACCGAGTTTGCTATAAAAAATGTAAAATTCACAATTGTTATGACAGTTCGACACCGGTTCGATATAAGCTGTAATTCTACATATCCGTGTTTGATATAACGAGGTTTGACTGTACCTGCCTATATTTTTACTTGAATAAACACTGAAAAGAAGAAAAAAAAAGTTTTTAGAGCGCAGCTCTTAGGGGCCCGTTCCCGGCTTGAGCGGCGTCGGCGTTACCAAGGTCACCCCAAGGTCACGTGACCCCCAAGGTCATCCCAAGGTCACAGCAAGGTCACGTGACCGTCCCAGGGTCACGTGACCCTCAAGGTCCTGTGACCCCCCCTGAAGTCACGTGACACCCCCCCCCCCCCCCCCCCCCCCCCCCCCCGAGGTCACGTGACCTCCCCGATGACGTCATCGTCACTGATGACGTCACCGGCATCCTCATCGTCATCATCACTGATGACGTCATCATTGACGTCACTGATTACCTCACCGGCATCCGCATCGTCATCATCGCTGATGACGTCATCAGTGACGTCACTGATGACGTCACCGGCATCGGCATCGTCATCATCACTGATGACGTCATCAGTGATGTCACTGATTACCTCACCGGCATCCGCATCGTCATCGTCATCATCGCTGATGATGTCATCAGTGACGTCACTGATGACGTCACCGGCATCCACATCGTCATCATCACGTATGACGTCATCAGTGACGTCACTGATGACATCACCGGCATCGTCATCGTCGTTGATGACGTCATCAAAGTCCGCATCGTCATCGTCACTGATGATGTCATCAGTGACGTCACTGATGACATCATCGGCATCGTCACGTGACCCCCAAGGTCACGTGACCCCCCCAGGTCACTTCACCCCCCCAGTACCCTCCCTCCCCTCCTCCTCCTCCTCAAGAGCTGCGCTCTAATTCGGTGTTACAGGGAGTTGTAAACGGCTTTCACTTTTTTTTAAACAGTCTGTTTGGGACGTGTTTTTTTGTCTCTCTGCATTTCGGGTGCGTGGAGGAGAGGTGCATCAGCTTGGCCATCACGTTCAGGTGGAGAGAGTGTATGACCATTCCGTGACGTTGTGGGTTTTGCGCTCAGAATTTAAAATAAATCTCTCACCGTCAACGTTCAAAAATAAATTTTTTTTCACGTAATATTTATTCTTTGACACGCGTGTTCCAGCCAGACTGTTTAAAAAAAACAACATATTTTTCTTTTCAGTGGTTCTTTAATCCCCTAAGCTCGATTCCTGTGTTTGCGTAAGATGCATTTCCTCGCTTTTATGTGCGGAATGATGCGGATACGGCAGTGTGTGCAGGTGCCTTTAGACACTGTAGTGCTGGGATGCGGGTGACATTTATGGTATGCCTGCTCGCCCGACTTTTTGTACCACATGGGTGCAGCATGCTTGGGATGGCACTGCCGCACGTCAGAATTGAAGTTTCCATTTGCGAGCATGTTTGCGGCAAGATTGTGCAAAACAAACAACATATAGTTGTTGATTAGTACTTCTCGCACTGGATTAGCCAGTTATTTAAAAAAAATTTGAATAGAGCGAGGTTTCCCTTTGAGTTTTAGTAATGGTCGGTGCCAGAGCCACGAAAAAAAAGAATGATTGTTACCAGTCGAGTTTTACCTGAAATTGCAGGAAAGGCTCCTCCAGAAATGTTAAAACAGTTTGCGACAAAGTGAAACAATCATATCTCAAGTTCAGGAAGCGGCATTTTGAAATCGTATGCATTGCCAATAGACGGATCTCGCCAGCCAGTTTCGTTACGCCACCGCCGCTGCAATGCGTCGAGGGAACATTGGTCTCTTCGCACGCGTGATAACCTCGCCGAGGGGCAGGGCCCGAGACCGCACAAGCCTTCTCGTGCACTGCCGCCTGCAAACTAAGAATTTACCCGCCGCAGCCGCTCCGCCGTAGGCAAGGACACCCACGAGGCAGTCGGGGTATGGGGGCGCATTATTTAAGGGCTCTAGTCCACCCTGTGTTGGGTTGGTGTCTGTGGAGACTGCAATGCTGGGAGCGGAAGGACCGTCCGAAGATGTGATAGGGGCTGAGAGGGAGGGATCTAACCAGTGATTTGTTTACTCACCCCCAAGAGGAGTAATGCTCAATGCCCCCCCACAAAAAAAAAAAAAAAAATATGTAGACACTTTTTTTAGTTTTAATATCTGGGGAAACCCCGGTATATGATGGACATTGGTTGCAGGACCTGCAGGGACGGTCACTAAGAGTGGACATTGCCGAGGGCCGCCGCAGCGACCGAGGGGGTGGCTTTGGCAACCGGCGAGGGGGCGGACCAGGAGGTGGGTTCCCAGTGTTTCCCGAAGAACTTTAGGAGCACTTTTTGAGACTGTCTTTTTTGGTGCAGACTCGGTCTGCATGCCCTAAGCATACTGGAAGATGCAAAAGTGTAATGGTTGCTTGGCGCTTTTCCTCGTTAAAAACTCGACCGAATGTTGCTCTTCCGATTGCAGGGGTGTGTCATGATGTTCGGTCGCTCCCTGTGAAGGAGAAACTGAAAGGTTTAGCAACCTTTTAGATAGGTAGCATTAATAGGGCCAGCCTCGAGGATCTTTTGCCCATGGCGCATAGCCTCGATGACTAAGGTGTCAGTGATGCTGTTACGCGTCGTCCCAAAGGCGCTCAATTGGGTAGTACAGTCAAACCCACTTATAACGATCCCACATGTAACGACCTTTCGGTTATAACGACCAACTTTCAGAAAATATACAAATTCAAGGCCCTACCCATTAAAATTGGTCCAGATAAAACGACCGTTTTTCAAAGCATCATACTGTTACAACGAACACAAAGTCCGCTCTCGGAAGGAAAAACGTTGCACGAAGAACACGAACATCGGCGTTTGTGCGTTTTTCAAGCTCTTGCCAATTCGTGTTCATAAGACGAGCGACGCCTTCAGCCAATAGAAGGGGCGACGACTCGGCGACGTCTTTGTGCGAATCGGCTTGGTGGTCAGGCGTGTGGTACGCAATAAATCCTAATTGTTTTGATCTGTAAATGATTTCTCTTTCGAAGCTAGACAGATTCGCCGGTACTGGAAACAATAGTTGTGAAGTAGAGTTCCCATGCCCGTCGTCCGCCGCCATCACTTAGTGCGCTTCGTCCAGCCGTTGACATGAAACTCCGCAATGCGACGCCATGTTGAGAATTGCGCAGAGAATGCACCGAGTACTTCCAGTATTCTGTGAAACGCTTTTTCCAGTCAACGTATTAGCAGCCAAAAAATTGGGTATCATATTTTTTCTCTTTTTAATATTGAGTGCGTGCCTTCGATGATGACCCACGACTTATATCTGGTGTGTGTGTCTAAACCGTAGAGAGCGGCACATGACGACAACAAAGAGAGGGAGCGCGACCCAAACCGGCCAGTTCTCTATCGGCGGTTTTCGGGCGGAAAGAATAAATTTCAAGCCGCAAATTGTGATAAGTAGTTAGGCTCTCATATGTCACATACAAATAAAACTTAGGCGAGCACAAATCCGCTTTCAGTGTCCCTTTAAGGCTGAACATAGTCTAGTTTTGCCATTTCATGTTGCAATGGTAGTGCAATTGAGAGTATGTTCCTAATGAATCTTCTCTTGTTCTTACATTCACACTTTATGGGTTCATGGTTGTTTCGACAATTTTTGGACCTCCGCCGCAATTGTAAAGGTATGTTTATGGAGGCTCGAGAAGTGAGTAACCTCCGTAAACAGGTTTTCATAATTTTCCATGCTCATCACCGGGGGAAGTCTTGTCTGTTAGTATGCTGGTTTTTCTTCCTGGAAAGCATGCTCTGCCAGGGCGCCCAGCCAGCGAAGTTGCCGTAGCTCTCCACACTTGCAGACTTTGACCGGGGCGGTGGCCGAGGCGGCGGTCCGAGGGACGGAGGTCGCTACGGAGGAGACCGTGGAAGCGGCGGAGGCGGCTTCCGAGGCGGTTTCTCGGACCGCGGAGGCGACCGGGACTTCGACAGGTCAAGGTCGGACGGCCAGCAGCAATGGCAAGTGGCCCCTTGCTTTCTTCTGGAGAGGCGACCGGCTCGGTGCCGCGAGCCGCGTCGATTGGAGAACTGTCATCAGTCCTCCAGATGATGATTGTGAAGTGTCCGTCCTTGTGCTAACTGAGCACCGAGGAGCGTGATGGGTCAGTAAGTAGCTGCACATGCTTGCCCTCTCTCTAGAAAAGATTAGGTGACTAGGATAAAGCCAACTCTTCGCAAACCAGGAATCTGTGAGTCAGCAAATCTACCGTTGCGGAATGCGAAAACCCAGAGCCGCTCGAAAGCACATAGATGCAACCAAGCTCTATTAGAACAATCTCGCCAGTCATCTTGACTGTGCTGCCGGTGGCGCAATGTATCGGAGAAACTTCAGTCTTTTTGCACGTGCGACAATTTTGCCGGAGCTCTGCACTTGCAGAGAAGGCACAAACCATCTCAGGCTGCCTGCCTCCTGTGAACTGGCTTCATGCATGCGCCGAACGCCTGGCGAGATCAGTCTTTTGACGCAAAGGTGGTTACTGTGGTTGCTTAAAGGCGGACGTGGGCCTAAATTTAAAATTTTTACAGTGCAGCTGTTATGCACTATGATCTGGGAAAAAATGCGTCTGCGGATGTTGACACAAAACTCTCCATTGATCTTGGCAAGTATGAAAAATAAAAATAAAAAGGGGGCAACCAGCGTGAGTCAGCCTTCCTTGGCATTAGTAGATAGTGAGGTCCTGATCCCTTGTTACCATCTCTAGGCATCGTCCTTGAGTTCGTCCTAGAAGTCGTCTGAGGGGTTGTCCTAGAGGTCATCCTAGACGTCTTTCTCGAGGTCGTCTTAGAAATCGTGCATGAGGTCGTCCTAGACAACGTCCTCGAGGTCGTCCTAGAAGTCGTCCTTGAGGTCGTCCTAGACATTGTCCTTGAGGTCGTTCTAGACGACGTCCTCTAGGCATGTCCTTGAGGTCGTCCTAGACGTCGTCCTCTAGGCATCGTCCTAGACGTTGTAAAGATAACAGCTGGGTTCATCTCTTACCATGGGGAGCATTTGCAATTCAGTGGTGGATGCCTCTCGCGAAGATTGGCCGCAGGCGAAAAAGCGGAAACTTTTGCGGACGATCAACATTTTCGGCACCTCCTCGCAGCTCATATTGTCACGGGTGGTGACCAATAAACAAGAAATGAACAGGAAGAAATAAACGTTTAATGTGGCGAACTTGTGCCAAAATAAAAGGGTACAAAAGATAATAACAGAGCGTCGTTGGCGTCGAGGTCGGCGTAGCAGCAGAGTCGAACGCTGGGGCGAAACTGACTCCGGCTTGCCACGCGGAGCTGCTTTTTTACACGCGTTGGCTTCTGGAGCATTCGACGTAGAAGGTTCGATGCGTAGAACATTTTGAACTCGAATCAGCTAGACGGTTCTCGAACTCACCAGAACATCTCATTACAGTGTCAACAAAATGCGTAGCCGCGGCCAGGAATCGAACCCTGGCCCTTCGCGTGGGAGGCAAGCGCAATAACCGTTAGGCTACGGCCGCGCTGCCTATTTGGCGCGCGGCATTACTCCCCCCTTAAAAAAGTGCATCGCCCCGATGCAACACAAAACAAAACAAAGCAGATAAAAAGAACGGCAAACTAAAGAGTTATTTGAAACACATAAGCTCCAACGTCCTATCGAGCGTAGTACGGCTTCAGGCGCACGACGTGGACGACTTCAGGTCGTGGTGGGCGGCGTGATGATGTTCTTGTTCCGTCGGGCATCACCTGGTAGTTCAGCTCGCCGAGGCGACGAAGTACCTTGTATGGTCCAAAGTACCGTTTCAGCAGTTTCTCACTGAGGCCGCGGCGACGGATGGGCGTCCACACCCACACCCTGTCTCCGGGCTGGAAGTGAACGTCCCTGCGACGAAGGTTGTAGCGGCCCGCGTCGACGCGTTGTTGGTCTTGAATCATGAGTTGGGCGAGCTGGCGGACTTCTTCGGCGCGTTGAGCAACCACCTGGGCGTCGTCGCTCTGATTGTCAGATAGCTCATGGGGCAGCATTGCGTCCAGCATGGTCGTTACCTTCCGACCATGTACCAGCTGGAAAGGGGTGAATCCAGTGGTCTCCTGAGCCGCCGTATTGTAGGCGAACATGACGTAGGGCAGCACCTCGTCTCACGTCTTGTGCTCAACGTCGACGTACATAGAGATCATGTCGGCGATTGTCTTGTTCAGTCTCTCCTTCAGCCCGTCGGTCTGCGGGTGGTACGCAGTTGTATGACGGTGGCTGGTGTGACTGAGTCGGAGGATTTCTTGGGTCAGCTGTGCCATGAACGATGATCCGCGATCAGTAATCAAAACTTCTGGAGCGCCGTGCCGGAGGACGATGGACTCGACGAAAAACTTGGCGACTTCAACAGCCGTGCCTGCTGGAAGGGCTTTCGTCTCGGCGTACCGTATGAGGTAATCGGCGGCGACGATAATCCAGCGGTTTCCCGACGTTGATGGCGGGAAAGGGCCAAGTAAATCCATTCCGATCTGCTGGAACGGCATAGACGGGGGAGAAATCAAATGCAGAAGTCCTGACGGCTTCGTCGGCGGTTTCTTGCGTCGCTGACACTCGTGGCATGATCGAATGTATAGGTGAACGGTCTTCGGTAGCCTCGGTTAGTAGTTTTTTTCTCGAATCCTGGCGAGCGTCCTGCTGTAGCCAAGGTGTCCAGCCGTTGGGTCATCATGGCATCCTTGGAATATTTCATCTCGAAGGCTGGCAGGAACAACCAACAGCCATGCTGTGTTGTTGTTGACGAAGTTCTCCTTGTACAGCACCCCTTGCCGCATGGAAAATGTATGCAGGATTCTTAAGAAAGCACGGGGAACCAAACTCGCTTGTCCCTCTAAGTGCTCGATGAGCGCTCGCAGTTCAGGGTCGTCTCGTTGGAGTGTTGCCATGTCGCTGACGTCCAAAGCGCCGAGGAAGCACTCACCGTCGTCGTCTTCGATACAGGCAGGTCTGGCCTCGACAGGAGCTCTTGACAGGCAGTCGGCGTCATTGTGCTTCCGGCCGGACTTGTACACAACGGTCATGTCGAACTCCTGCAGTCGTAGGCTCCACCGGGCAAGGCGTCCGGAGGGATCTTTCAGATTCGCAAGCCAGCAGAGCGAGTGGTGGTTTGTGACCACGCGAAAAGGACTTTCATACAGATATGGGCGAAACTTTGTTATTGCCCAGACGACAGCAAAGCACTCCTTTTCAGTTGTTGAGTAGTTCCTCTCCGCCTTAGACAGCATTCGACTCGCGTATGCGATGACTCGCCCTGCCCCGTCCTGCCTTTGAACTAGCACCGCGCCAAGTCCGGTGTTACTGGCGTCCGTGTGGATCTCTGTATCAGCGAACTGGTCGAAATGGCCAAGAATCGGGGGCGTCTGGAGTCTTCGTTTCAGCCCATCGAATGACCGCTGGTGTTCGTCTGTCCATTCAAACTTTACGGCGTCCTTCGTGAGGTGCATCAGCGGTGCGGATAGCTTGGCGAAGTCCCGAACAAATCGTCTGTAGTAGGCACAAAGACCGAGGAATCTTCTCACAGCCTTCTTGTCAGACGGCGGCGTAAATGCAGCTACGGCGCGAGTCTTCTCGGGGTCCGGGAGAACACCTATGTTGCGCACTACGTGGCCAAGGAACTTAAGTTCACCATAGGCGAATCGACACTTTGTTGGCTTGAGTGACAGGCCGGCGGTCTTGATGGCTTGAAGCACGGCTCGAAGTCGTTTCAGGTGCTCGTCGAAATCTTGTGAAAATACCACAACGTCGTCGAGGTAGACGAGGCAGCCCTGCCATTTCAGACCTGCCAGCACGGTGTCCATGACACGCTGGAAGGTGGCTGGCGCTGTACAAAGCCCGAACGGCGTCACTTTGAATTCGTACAGTCCGTCGGGAGTGACGAAGGCAGTTTTCTCCCGGTCGCGTTCGTCGACTTCAATCTGCCAGTAGCCACTCTTCAGATCCACCAACGAAAAATATCAGGAGTGGCGCAGTCGGTCTAACGTATCGTCGATGCGGGGGAGCGGATAGATGTCCTTCTTCGTCACAGCGTTTAGTCGGCGATAGTCCACGCAGAACCGCAGGGTTCCATCCTTCTTCTTTACAAGGACGACTGGGGACGCCCATGGACTTCTTGAGGGTTGAATGATGTCGTCGTCGAGCATTTCTTGGACTTGATCCTGAATCACCTTCCTTTCCTTTAAGGAGACTCGACATGGCGACTGATGGACAGGGAGCGCGTCGTCGTCGGTAATAACGCGATGTTTCGCCATTGGTGTTTGGCAAACTTTCGACGACGTGGCAAAACAGTCATTGTATTCGGCGAGGAGATCAACCAGTTGCCGGCGCTTAGGAGCTGGGGGCTCGGGGTTGATGTCGATAGGTGGCGGCGGCGTGCTGTTCTGTTGTGACGAGGTTTCTTCGGAGACTGCGGTGACCACGGCTGGCGCCTGAAACTCCTCAATGTGACCCACAGTGGTACCCTTCGTTAGGTGCTGCGGCTCCTCTCGGACATTTATCACAAGAACAGTTGTACGTCCTTCTTGGAGATCCGTTACGCCTCGTGCGACGCCAATTCCTTTCTCAAGGAACAGTTGGACGCTGCCTTCCAGAAGAGCTTCATCGTGCATGGCTGAGTCGGTTATGACGGTGACGAAAACACTCGACCGCGGCGGTAAGTTCACATGGTCGGCGATAACTCGGATCGCGGTTGACGTCGTGTTGGTCTCCACCGGCGGTAAAAAAGGCTTTCGCAGCGTCAGCTGATTTGCCCCGAGGTCAATGACGGCGCCATACTCGCAGAGAAAGTCCATTCCGAGGATAACGTCCCTCGAACAGTCTTGCATAACGACGAACTTCACAGGGCACGTCTCACCGTGGATCTCGACGCGAGCAGTGCATCTCCCGACTGGTGTGATGAGGTGCCCTCCGGCGGTTCGTATTTGTGGTCCATCCCACAGCGTGGTGACTTTTCGAAGGCGGCGGGAGAGTC